CTGACACGTTCGACTACTCACAACACAAAAACAACACAAAATTCACCCTACACGCTCCTACACACAACACACAAGCACACACGCTTGCGCTTGCGCCACGCCTACACATACTCCTCGCTCGCCAAACCGCCCTGCCGCACCCGCGCATTCGACCGCATCGACTACCAAAGCATCACCCCTGACCGCCGCCGGGCTACGCCGCCGCCTCGTGTCCTGGTGTCCTGTGAGCTCGGTTTGACCTGCAGGACACCGAGGACGCTGTGGTGGCTTGTGCGCACGGCCGACAACGCACCGGACGCCCACTTGCGAGAACCACGAAGACAGCCGCAACCGGGCTCGAAGCCCAGCCAGGCGGGCCTCCAAAGTGTCGGCCAAGATAACATTCAAGGCAATGGACCGATCCAGCGGTCCGATCGGTGGATGAAGGCATGCAGACGCGAACGGGGGCGACGGAGAGCCGCGCAGGCGGCCGGGAGCGCTGGAATCGGCGCGGTAGCGTGCGTGGAGGCAAAAGGAGCAAAGAAGATATCAGAGGAGGGGATCGAACCCTCGATCTCGAGCGTGTGAAGCTCGCGTCCTAACCACTAGACGACACTGACACGTTCGACTACTCACAACACAAAAACAACACAAAATTCACCCTACACGCTCCTACACACAACACACAAGCACACACGCTTGCGCTTGCGCCACGCCTACACATACTCCTCGCTCGCCAAACCGCCCTGCCGCACCCGCGCATTCGACCGCATCGACTACCAAAGCATCACCCCTGACCGCCGCCGGGCTACGCCGCCGCCTCGTGTCCTGGTGTCCTGTGAGCTCGGTTTGACCTGCAGGACACCGAGGACGCTGTGGTGGCTTGTGCGCACGGCCGACAACGCACCGGACGCCCACTTGCGAGAACCACGAAGACAGCCGCAACCGGGCTCGAAGCCCAGCCAGGCGGGCCTCCAAAGTGTCGGCCAAGATAACATTCAAGGCAATGGACCGATCCAGCGGTCCGATCGGTGGATGAAGGCATGCAGACGCGAACGGGGGCGACGGAGAGCCGCGCAGGCGGCCGGGAGCGCTGGAATCGGCGCGGTAGCGTGCGTGGAGGCAAAAGGAGCAAAGAAGATATCAGAGGAGGGGATCGAACCCTCGATCTCGAGCGTGTGAAGCTCGCGTCCTAACCACTAGACGACACTGACACGTTCGACTACTCACAACACAAAAACAACACAAAATTCACCCTACACGCTCCTACACACAACACACAAGCACACACGCTTGCGCTTGCGCCACGCCTACACATACTCCTCGCTCGCCAAACCGCCCTGCCGCACCCGCGCATTCGACCGCATCGACTACCAAAGCATCACCCCTGACCGCCGCCGGGCTACGCCGCCGCCTCGTGTCCTGGTGTCCTGTGAGCTCGGTTTGACCTGCAGGACACCGAGGACGCTGTGGTGGCTTGTGCGCACGGCCGACAACGCACCGGACGCCCACTTGCGAGAACCACGAAGACAGCCGCAACCGGGCTCGAAGCCCAGCCAGGCGGGCCTCCAAAGTGTCGGCCAAGATAACATTCAAGGCAATGGACCGATCCAGCGGTCCGATCGGAGGATGAAGGCATGCAGACGCGAACGGGGGCGACGGAGAGCCGCGCAGGCGGCCGGGAGCGCTGGAATCGGCGCGGTAGCGTGCGTGGAGGCAAAAGGAGCAAAGAAGATATCAGAGGAGGGGATCGAACCCTCGATCTCGAGCGTGTGAAGCTCGCGTCCTAACCACTAGACGACACTGACACGTTCGACTACTCACAACACAAAAACAACACAAAATTCACCCTACACGCTCCTACACACAACACACAAGCACACACGCTTGCGCTTGCGCCACGCCTACACATACTCCTCGCTCGCCAAACCGCCCTGCCGCACCCGCGCATTCGACCGCATCGACTACCAAAGCATCACCCCTGACCGCCGCCGGGCTACGCCGCCGCCTCGTGTCCTGGTGTCCTGTGAGCTCGGTTTGACCTGCAGGACACCGAGGACGCTGTGGTGGCTTGTGCGCACGGCCGACAACGCACCGGACGCCCACTTGCGAGAACCACGAAGACAGCCGCAACCGGGCTCGAAGCCCAGCCAGGCGGGCCTCCAAAGTGTCGGCCAAGATAACATTCAAGGCAATGGACCGATCCAGCGGTCCGATCGGTGGATGAAGGCATGCAGACGCGAACGGGGGCGACGGAGAGCCGCGCAGGCGGCCGGGAGCGCTGGAATCGGCGCGGTAGCGTGCGTGGAGGCAAAAGGAGCAAAGAAGATATCAGAGGAGGGGATCGAACCCTCGATCTCGAGCGTGTGAAGCTCGCGTCCTAACCACTAGACGACACTGACACGTTCGACTACTCACAACACAAAAACAACACAAAATTCACCCTACACGCTCCTACACACAACACACAAGCACACACGCTTGCGCTTGCGCCACGCCTACACATACTCCTCGCTCGCCAAACCGCCCTGCCGCACCCGCGCATTCGACCGCATCGACTACCAAAGCATCACCCCTGACCACCGCCGGGCTACGCCGCCGCCTCGTGTCCTGGTGTCCTGTGAGCTCGGTTTGACCTGCAGGACACCGAGGACGCTGTGGTGGCTTGTGCGCATGGCCGACAACGCACCGGACGCCCACTTGCGAGAACCACGAAGACAGCCGCAACCGGGCTCGAAGCCCAGCCAGGCGGGCCTCCAAAGTGTCGGCCAAGATAACATTCAAGGCAATGGACCGATCCAGCGGTCCGATCGGTGGATGAAGGCATGCAGACGCGAACGGGGGCGACGGAGAGCCGCGCAGGCGGCCGGGAGCGCTGGAATCGGCGCGGTAGCGTGCGTGGAGGCAAAAGGAGCAAAGAAGATATCAGAGGAGGGGATCGAACCCTCGATCTCGAGCGTGTGAAGCTCGCGTCCTAACCACTAGACGACACTGACACGTTCGACTACTCACAACACAAAAACAACACAAAATTCACCCTACACGCTCCTACACACAACACACAAGCACACACGCTTGCGCTTGCGCCACGCCTACACATACTCCTCGCTCGCCAAACCGCCCTGCCGCACCCGCGCATTCGACCGCATCGACTACCAAAGCATCACCCCTGACCGCCGCCGGGCTACGCCGCCGCCTCGTGTCCTGGTGTCCTGTGAGCTCGGTTTGACCTGCAGGACACCGAGGACGCTGTGGTGGCTTGTGCGCACGGCCGACAACGCACCGGACGCCCACTTGCGAGAACCACGAAGACAGCCGCAACCGGGCTCGAAGCCCAGCCAGGCGGGCCTCCAAAGTGTCGGCCAAGATAACATTCAAGGCAATGGACCGATCCAGCGGTCCGATCGGAGGATGAAGGCATGCAGACGCGAACGGGGGCGACGGAGAGCCGCGCAGGCGGCCGGGAGCGCTGGAATCGGCGCGGTAGCGTGCGTGGAGGCAAAAGGAGCAAAGAAGATATCAGAGGAGGGGATCGAACCCTCGATCTCGAGCGTGTGAAGCTCGCGTCCTAACCACTAGACGACACTGACACGTTCGACTACTCACAACACAAAAACAACACAAAATTCACCCTACACGCTCCTACACACAACACACAAGCACACACGCTTGCGCTTGCGCCACGCCTACACATACTCCTCGCTCGCCAAACCGCCCTGCCGCACCCGCGCATTCGACCGCATCGACTACCAAAGCATCACCCCTGACCGCCGCCGGGCTACGCCGCCGCCTCGTGTCCTGGTGTCCTGTGAGCTCGGTTTGACCTGCAGGACACCGAGGACGCTGTGGTGGCTTGTGCGCATGGCCGACAACGCACCGGACGCCCACTTGCGAGAACCACGAAGACAGCCGCAACCGGGCTCGAAGCCCAGCCAGGCGGGCCTCCAAAGTGTCGGCCAAGATAACATTCAAGGCAATGGACCGATCCAGCGGTCCGATCGGTGGATGAAGGCATGCAGACGCGAACGGGGGCGACGGAGAGCCGCGCAGGCGGCCGGGAGCGCTGGAATCGGCGCGGTAGCGTGCGTGGAGGCAAAAGGAGCAAAGAAGATATCAGAGGAGGGGATCGAACCCTCGATCTCGAGCGTGTGAAGCTCGCGTCCTAACCACTAGACGACACTGACACGTTCGACTACTCACAACACAAAAACAACACAAAATTCACCCTACACGCTCCTACACACAACACACAAGCACACACGCTTGCGCTTGCGCCACGCCTACACATACTCCTCACTCGCCAAACCGCCCTGCCGCACCCGCGCATTCGACCGCATCGACTACCAAAGCATCACCCCTGACCGCCGCCGGGCTACGCCGCCGCCTCGTGTCCTGGTGTCCTGTGAGCTCGGTTTGACCTGCAGGACACCGAGGACGCTGTGGTGGCTTGTGCGCATGGCCGACAACGCACCGGACGCCCACTTGCGAGAACCACGAAGACAGCCGCAACCGGGCTCGAAGCCCAGCCAGGCGGGCCTCCAAAGTGTCGGCCAAGATAACATTCAAGGCAATGGACCGATCCAGCGGTCCGATCGGTGGATGAAGGCATGCAGACGCGAACGGGGGCGACGGAGAGCCGCGCAGGCGGCCGGGACGTCAGTGCTGGAAGCTCCTTTTGCCTCCCACACGCTACCGCGCCGATTCCAGCGCTCCCGGCCGCCTGCGCGGCTCTCCGTCGCCCCCGTTCGCGTCTGCATGCCTTCATCCACCGATCGGACCGCTGGATCGGTCCATTGCCTTGAATGTTATCTTGGCCGACACTTTGGAGGCCCGCCTGGCTGGGCTTCGAGCCCGGTTGCGGCTGTCTTCGTGGTTCTCGCAAGTGGGCGTCCGGTGCGTTGTCGGCCATGCGCACAAGCCACCACAGCGTCCTCGGTGTCCTGCAGGTCAAACCGAGCTCACAGGACACCAGGACACGAGGCGGCGGCGTAGCCCGGCGGCGGTCAGGGGTGATGCTTTGGTAGTCGATGCGGTCGAATGCGCGGGTGCGGCAGGGCGGTTTGGCGAGCGAGGAGTATGTGTAGGCGTGGCGCAAGCGCAAGCGCGTGTGCTTGTGTGTTGTGTGTAGGAGCGTGTAGGGTGACTTTTGTGTTGTTTTTGTGTTGTGAGTAGTCGAACGTGTCAGTGTCGTCTAGTGGTTAGGACGCGAGCTTCACACGCTCGAGATCGAGGGTTCGATCCCCTCCTCTGATATCTTCTTTACTCCTTTTGCCTCCACGCACGCTACCGCGCCGATTCCAGCGCTCCCGGCCGCCTGCGCGGCTCTCCGTCGCCCCCGTTCGCGTCTGCATGCCTTCATCCACCGATCGGACCGCTGGATCGGTCCATTGCCTTGAATGTTATCTTGGCCGACACTTTGGAGGCCCGCCTGGCTGGGCTTCGAGCCCGGTTGCGGCTGTCTTCGTGGTTCTCGCAAGTGGGCGTCCGGTGCGTTGTCGGCCATGCGCACAAGCCACCACAGCGTCCTCGGTGTCCTGCAGGTCAAACCGAGCTCACAGGACACCAGGACACGAGGCGGCGGCGTAGCCCGGCGGCGGTCAGGGGTGATGCTTTGGTAGTCGATGCGGTCGAATGCGCGGGTGCGGCAGGGCGGTTTGGCGAGCGAGGAGTATGTGTAGGCGTGGCGCAAGCGCAAGCGCGTGTGCTTGTGTGTTGTGTGTAGGAGCGTGTAGGGTGACTTTTGTGTTGTTTTTGTGTTGTGAGTAGTCGAACGTGTCAGTGTCGTCTAGTGGTTAGGACGCGAGCTTCACACGCTCGAGATCGAGGGTTCGATCCCCTCCTCTGATATCTTCTTTACTCCTTTTGCCTCCACGCACGCTACCGCGCCGATTCCAGCGCTCCCGGCCGCCTGCGCGGCTCTCCGTCGCCCCCGTTCGCGTCTGCATGCCTTCATCCACCGATCGGACCGCTGGATCGGTCCATTGCCTTGAATGTTATCTTGGCCGACACTTTGGAGGCCCGCCTGGCTGGGCTTCGAGCCCGGTTGCGGCTGTCTTCGTGGTTCTCGCAAGTGGGCGTCCGGTGCGTTGTCGGCCGTGCGCACAAGCCACCACAGCGTCCTCGGTGTCCTGCAGGTCAAACCGAGCTCACAGGACACCAGGACACGAGGCGGCGGCGTAGCCCGGCGGCGGTCAGGGGTGATGCTTTGGTAGTCGATGCGGTCGAATGCGCGGGTGCGGCAGGGCGGTTTGGCGAGCGAGGAGTATGTGTAGGCGTGGCGCAAGCGCAAGCGTGTGTGCTTGTGTGTTGTGTGTAGGAGCGTGTAGGGTGAATTTTGTGTTGTTTTTGTGTTGTGAGTAGTCGAACGTGTCAGTGTCGTCTAGTGGTTAGGACGCGAGCTTCACACGCTCGAGATCGAGGGTTCGATCCCCTCCTCTGATATCTTCTTTGCTCCTTTTGCCTCCACGCACGCTACCGCGCCGATTCCAGCGCTCCCGGCCGCCTGCGCGGCTCTCCGTCGCCCCCGTTCGCGTCTGCATGCCTTCATCCTCCGATCGGACCGCTGGATCGGTCCATTGCCTTGAATGTTATCTTGGCCGACACTTTGGAGGCCCGCCTGGCTGGGCTTCGAGCCCGGTTGCGGCTGTCTTCGTGGTTCTCGCAAGTGGGCGTCCGGTGCGTTGTCGGCCGTGCGCACAAGCCACCACAGCGTCCTCGGTGTCCTGCAGGTCAAACCGAGCTCACAGGACACCAGGACACGAGGCGGCGGCGTAGCCCGGCGGCGGTCAGGGGTGATGCTTTGGTAGTCGATGCGGTCGAATGCGCGGGTGCGGCAGGGCGGTTTGGCGAGCGAGGAGTATGTGTAGGCGTGGCGCAAGCGCAAGCGTGTGTGCTTGTGTGTTGTGTGTAGGAGCGTGTAGGGTGAATTTTGTGTTGTTTTTGTGTTGTGAGTAGTCGAACGTGTCAGTGTCGTCTAGTGGTTAGGACGCGAGCTTCACACGCTCGAGATCGAGGGTTCGATCCCCTCCTCTGATATCTTCTTTGCTCCTTTTGCCTCCACGCACGCTACCGCGCCGATTCCAGCGCTCCCGGCCGCCTGCGCGGCTCTCCGTCGCCCCCGTTCGCGTCTGCATGCCTTCATCCTCCGATCGGACCGCTGGATCGGTCCATTGCCTTGAATGTTATCTTGGCCGACACTTTGGAGGCCCGCCTGGCTGGGCTTCGAGCCCGGTTGCGGCTGTCTTCGTGGTTCTCGCAAGTGGGCGTCCGGTGCGTTGTCGGCCGTGCGCACAAGCCACCACAGCGTCCTCGGTGTCCTGCAGGTCAAACCGAGCTCACAGGACACCAGGACACGAGGCGGCGGCGTAGCCCGGCGGCGGTCAGGGGTGATGCTTTGGTAGTCGATGCGGTCGAATGCGCGGGTGCGGCAGGGCGGTTTGGCGAGCGAGGAGTATGTGTAGGCGTGGCGCAAGCGCAAGCGTGTGTGCTTGTGTGTTGTGTGTAGGAGCGTGTAGGGTGAATTTTGTGTTGTTTTTGTGTTGTGAGTAGTCGAACGTGTCAGTGTCGTCTAGTGGTTAGGACGCGAGCTTCACACGCTCGAGATCGAGGGTTCGATCCCCTCCTCTGATATCTTCTTTGCTCCTTTTGCCTCCACGCACGCTACCGCGCCGATTCCAGCGCTCCCGGCCGCCTGCGCGGCTCTCCGTCGCCCCCGTTCGCGTCTGCATGCCTTCATCCACCGATCGGACCGCTGGATCGGTCCATTGCCTTGAATGTTATCTTGGCCGACACTTTGGAGGCCCGCCTGGCTGGGCTTCGAGCCCGGTTGCGGCTGTCTTCGTGGTTCTCGCAAGTGGGCGTCCGGTGCGTTGTCGGCCGTGCGCACAAGCCACCACAGCGTCCTCGGTGTCCTGCAGGTCAAACCGAGCTCACAGGACACCAGGACACGAGGCGGCGGCGTAGCCCGGCGGCGGTCAGGGGTGATGCTTTGGTAGTCGATGCGGTCGAATGCGCGGGTGCGGCAGGGCGGTTTGGCGAGCGAGGAGTATGTGTAGGCGTGGCGCAAGCGCAAGCGTGTGTGCTTGTGTGTTGTGTGTAGGAGCGTGTAGGGTGAATTTTGTGTTGTTTTTGTGTTGTGAGTAGTCGAACGTGTCAGTGTCGTCTAGTGGTTAGGACGCGAGCTTCACACGCTCGAGATCGAGGGTTCGCTCCCCTCCTCTGATATCTTCTTTGCTCCTTTTGCCTCCACACACGCTACCGCGCCGATTCCAGCGCTCCCGGCCGCCTGCGCGGCTCTCCGTCGCCCCCGTTCGCGTCTGCATGCCTTCATCCACCGATCGGACCGCTGGATCGGTCCATTGCCTTGAATGTTATCTTGGCCGACACTTTGGAGGCCCGCCTGGCTGGGCTTCGAGCCCGGTTGCGGCTGTCTTCGTGGTTCTCGCAAGTGGGCGTCCGGTGCGTTGTCGGCCATGCGCACAAGCCACCACAGCGTCCTCGGTGTCCTGCAGGTCAAACCGAGCTCACAGGACACCAGGACACGAGGCGGCGGCGTAGCCCGGCGGCGGTCAGGGGTGATGCTTTGGTAGTCGATGCGGTCGAATGCGCGGGTGCGGCAGGGCGGTTTGGCGAGCGAGGAGTATGTGTAGGCGTGGCGCAAGCGCAAGCGTGTGTGCTTGTGTGTTGTGTGTAGGAGCGTGTAGGGTGAATTTTGTGTTGTTTTTGTGTTGTGAGTAGTCGAACGTGTCAGTGTCGTCTAGTGGTTAGGACGCGAGCTTCACACGCTCGAGATCGAGGGTTCGCTCCCCTCCTCTGATATCTTCTTTGCTCCTTTTGCCTCCACGCACGCTACCGCGCCGATTCCAGCGCTCCCGGCCGCCTGCGCGGCTCTCCGTCGCCCCCGTTCGCGTCTGCATGCCTTCATCCACCGATCGGACCGCTGGATCGGTCCATTGCCTTGAATGTTATCTTGGCCGACACTTTGGAGGCCCGCCTGGCTGGGCTTCGAGCCCGGTTGCGGCTGCCTTCGTGGTTCTCGCAAGTGGGCGTCCGGTGCGTTGTCGGCCATGCGCACAAGCCACCACAGCGTCCTCGGTGTCCTGCAGGTCAAACCGAGCTCACAGGACACCAGGACACGAGGCGGCGGCGTAGCCCGGCGGCGGTCAGGGGTGATGCTTTGGTAGTCGATGCGGTCGAATGCGCGAGTGCGGCAGGGCGGTTTGGCGAGCGAGGAGTATGTGTAGGCGTGGCGCAAGCGCAAGCGTGTGTGCTTGTGTGTTGTGTGTAGGAGCGTGTAGGGTGAATTTTGTGTTGTTTTTGTGTTGTGAGTAGTCGAACGTGTCAGTGTCGTCTAGTGGTTAGGACGCGAGCTTCACACGCTCGAGATCGAGGGTTCGCTCCCCTCCTCTGATATCTTCTTTGCTCCTTTTGCCTCCACGCACGCTACCGCGCCGATTCCAGCGCTCCCGGCCGCCTGCGCGGCTCTCCGTCGCCCCCGTTCGCGTCTGCATGCCTTCATCCACCGATCGGACCGCTGGATCGGTCCATTGCCTTGAATGTTATCTTGGCCGACACTTTGGAGGCCCGCCTGGCTGGGCTTCGAGCCCGGTTGCGGCTGTCTTCGTGGTTCTCGCAAGTGGGCGTCCGGTGCGTTGTCGGCCATGCGCACAAGCCACCACAGCGTCCTCGGTGTCCTGCAGGTCAAACCGAGCTCACAGGACACCAGGACACGAGGCGGCGGTGTAGCCCGGCGGCGGTCAGGGGTGATGCTTTGGTAGTCGATGCGGTCGAATGCGCGGGTGCGGCAGGGCGGTTTGGCGAGCGAGGAGTATGTGTAGGCGTGGCGCAAGCGCAAGCGTGTGTGCTTGTGTGTTGTGTGTAGGAGCGTGTAGGGTGAATTTTGTGTTGTTTTTGTGTTGTGAGTAGTCGAACGTGTCAGTGTCGTCTAGTGGTTAGGACGCGAGCTTCACACGCTCGAGATCGAGGGTTCGCTCCCCTCCTCTGATATCTTCTTTGCTCCTTTTGCCTCCACGCACGCTACCGCGCCGATTCCAGCGCTCCCGGCCGCCTGCGCGGCTCTCCGTCGCCCCCGTTCGCGTCTGCATGCCTTCATCCACCGATCGGACCGCTGGATCGGTCCATTGCCTTGAATGTTATCTTGGCCGACACTTTGGAGGCCCGCCTGGCTGGGCTTCGAGCCCGGTTGCGGCTGTCTTCGTGGTTCTCGCAAGTGGGCGTCCGGTGCGTTGTCGGCCGTGCGCACAAGCCACCACAGCGTCCTCGGTGTCCTGCAGGTCAAACCGAGCTCACAGGACACCAGGACACGAGGCGGCGGCGTAGCCCGGCGGCGGTCAGGGGTGATGCTTTGGTAGTCGATGCGGTCGAATGCGCGGGTGCGGCAGGGCGGTTTGGCGAGCGAGGAGTATGTGTAGGCGTGGCGCAAGCGCAAGCGTGTGTGCTTGTGTGTTGTGTGTAGGAGCGTGTAGGGTGAATTTTGTGTTGTTTTTGTGTTGTGAGTAGTCGAACGTGTCAGTGTCGTCTAGTGGTTAGGACGCGAGCTTCACACGCTCGAGATCGAGGGTTCGATCCCCTCCTCTGATATCTTCTTTGCTCCTTTTGCCTCCACGCACGCTACCGCGCCGATTCCAGCGCTCCCGGCCGCCTGCGCGGCTCTCCGTCGCCCCCGTTCGCGTCTGCATGCCTTCATCCACCGATCGGACCGCTGGATCGGTCCATTGCCTTGAATGTTATCTTGGCCGACACTTTGGAGGCCCGCCTGGCTGGGCTTCGAGCCCGGTTGCGGCTGTCTTCGTGGTTCTCGCAAGTGGGCGTCCGGTGCGTTGTCGGCCGTGCGCACAAGCCACCACAGCGTCCTCGGTGTCCTGCAGGTCAAACCGAGCTCACAGGACACCAGGACACGAGGCGGCGGCGTAGCCCGGCGGCGGTCAGGGGTGATGCTTTGGTAGTCGATGCGGTCGAATGCGCGGGTGCGGCAGGGCGGTTTGGCGAGCGAGGAGTATGTGTAGGCGTGGCGCAAGCGCAAGCGTGTGTGCTTGTGTGTTGTGTGTAGGAGCGTGTAGGGTGAATTTTGTGTTGTTTTTGTGTTGTGAGTAGTCGAACGTGTCAGTGTCGTCTAGTGGTTAGGACGCGAGCTTCACACGCTCGAGATCGAGGGTTCGATCCCCTCCTCTGATATCTTCTTTGCTCCTTTTGCCTCCACGCACGCTACCGCGCCGATTCCAGCGCTCCCGGCCGCCTGCGCGGCTCTCCGTCGCCCCCGTTCGCGTCTGCATGCCTTCATCCACCGATCGGACCGCTGGATCGGTCCATTGCCTTGAATGTTATCTTGGCCGACACTTTGGAGGCCCGCCTGGCTGGGCTTCGAGCCCGGTTGCGGCTGTCTTCGTGGTTCTCGCAAGTGGGCGTCCGGTGCGTTGTCGGCCGTGCGCACAAGCCACCACAGCGTCCTCGGTGTCCTGCAGGTCAAACCGAGCTCACAGGACACCAGGACACGAGGCGGCGGCGTAGCCCGGCGGCGGTCAGGGGTGATGCTTTGGTAGTCGATGCGGTTGAATGCGCGGGTGCGGCAGGGCGGTTTGGCGAGCGAGGAGTATGTGTAGGCGTGGCGCAAGCGCAAGCGTGTGTGCTTGTGTGTTGTGTGTAGGAGCGTGTAGGGTGAATTTTGTGTTGTTTTTGTGTTGTGAGTAGTCGAACGTGTCAGTGTCGTCTAGTGGTTAGGACGCGAGCTTCACACGCTCGAGATCGAGGGTTCGATCCCCTCCTCTGATATCTTCTTTGCTCCTTTTGCCTCCACGCACGCTACCGCGCCGATTCCAGCGCTCCCGGCCGCCTGCGCGGCTCTCCGTCGCCCCCGTTCGCGTCTGCATGCCTTCATCCACCGATCGGACCGCTGGATCGGTCCATTGCCTTGAATGTTATCTTGGCCGACACTTTGGAGGCCCGCCTGGCTGGGCTTCGAGCCCGGTTGCGGCTGTCTTCGTGGTTCTCGCAAGTGGGCGTCCGGTGCGTTGTCGGCCGTGCGCACAAGCCACCACAGCGTCCTCGGTGTCCTGCAGGTCAAACCGAGCTCACAGGACACCAGGACACGAGGCGGCGGCGTAGCCCGGCGGCGGTCAGGGGTGATGCTTTGGTAGTCGATGCGGTCGAATGCGCGGGTGCGGCAGGGCGGTTTGGCGAGCGAGGAGTATGTGTAGGCGTGGCGCAAGCGCAAGCGTGTGTGCTTGTGTGTTGTGTGTAGGAGCGTGTAGGGTGAATTTTGTGTTGTTTTTGTGTTGTGAGTAGTCGAACGTGTCAGTGTCGTCTAGTGGTTAGGACGCGAGCTTCACACGCTCGAGATCGAGGGTTCGATCCCCTCCTCTGATATCTTCTTTGCTCCTTTTGCCTCCACGCACGCTACCGCGCCGATTCCAGCGCTCCCGGCCGCCTGCGCGGCTCTCCGTCGCCCCCGTTCGCGTCTGCATGCCTTCATCCACCGATCGGACCGCTGGATCGGTCCATTGCCTTGAATGTTATCTTGGCCGACACTTTGGAGGCCCGCCTGGCTGGGCTTCGAGCCCGGTTGCGGCTGTCTTCGTGGTTCTCGCAAGTGGGCGTCCGGTGCGTTGTCGGCCATGCGCACAAGCCACCACAGCGTCCTCGGTGTCCTGCAGGTCAAACCGAGCTCACAGGACACCAGGACACGAGGCGGCGGCGTAGCCCGGCGGCGGTCAGGGGTGATGCTTTGGTAGTCGATGCGGTCGAATGCGCGGGTGCGGCAGGGCGGTTTGGCGAGCGAGGAGTATGTGTAGGCGTGGCGCAAGCGCAAGCGTGTGTGCTTGTGTGTTGTGTGTAGGAGCGTGTAGGGTGAATTTTGTGTTGTTTTTGTGTTGTGAGTAGTCGAACGTGTCAGTGTCGTCTAGTGGTTAGGACGCGAGCTTCACACGCTCGAGATCGAGGGTTCGATCCCCTCCTCTGATATCTTCTTTGCTCCTTTTGCCTCCACGCACGCTACCGCGCCGATTCCAGCGCTCCCGGCCGCCTGCGCGGCTCTCCGTCGCCCCCGTTCGCGTCTGCATGCCTTCATCCACCGATCGGACCGCTGGATCGGTCCATTGCCTTGAATGTTATCTTGGCCGACACTTTGGAGGCCCGCCTGGCTGGGCTTCGAGCCCGGTTGCGGCTGTCTTCGTGGTTCTCGCAAGTGGGCGTCCGGTGCGTTGTCGGCCGTGCGCACAAGCCACCACAGCGTCCTCGGTGTCCTGCAGGTCAAACCGAGCTCACAGGACACCAGGACACGAGGCGGCGGCGTAGCCCGGCGGCGGTCAGGGGTGATGCTTTGGTAGTCGATGCGGTCGAATGCGCGGGTGCGGCAGGGCGGTTTGGCGAGCGAGGAGTATGTGTAGGCGTGGCGCAAGCGCAAGCGTGTGTGCTTGTGTGTTGTGTGTAGGAGCGTGTAGGGTGAATTTTGTGTTGTTTTTGTGTTGTGAGTAGTCGAACGTGTCAGTGTCGTCTAGTGGTTAGGACGCGAGCTTCACACGCTCGAGATCGAGGGTTCGCTCCCCTCCTCTGATATCTTCTTTGCTCCTTTTGCCTCCACGCACGCTACCGCGCCGATTCCAGCGCTCCCGGCCGCCTGCGCGGCTCTCCGTCGCCCCCGTTCGCGTCTGCATGCCTTCATCCACCGATCGGACCGCTGGATCGGTCCATTGCCTTGAATGTTATCTTGGCCGACACTTTGGAGGCCCGCCTGGCTGGGCTTCGAGCCCGGTTGCGGCTGCCTTCGTGGTTCTCGCAAGTGGGCGTCCGGTGCGTTGTCGGCCATGCGCACAAGCCACCACAGCGTCCTCGGTGTCCTGCAGGTCAAACCGAGCTCACAGGACACCAGGACACGAGGCGGCGGCGTAGCCCGGCGGCGGTCAGGGGTGATGCTTTGGTAGTCGATGCGGTCGAATGCGCGGGTGCGGCAGGGCGGTTTGGCGAGCGAGGAGTATGTGTAGGCGTGGCGCAAGCGCAAGCGCGTGTGCTTGTGTGTTGTGTGTAGGAGCGTGTAGGGTGAATTTTGTGTTGTTTTTGTGTTGTGAGTAGTCGAACGTGTCAGTGTCGTCTAGTGGTTAGGACGCGAGCTTCACACGCTCGAGATCGAGGGTTCGATCCCCTCCTCTGATATCTTCTTTGCTCCTTTTGCCTCCACACACGCTACCGCGCCGATTCCAGCGCTCCCGGCCGCCTGCGCGGCTCTCCGTCGCCCCCGTTCGCGTCTGCATGCCTTCATCCACCGATCGGACCGCTGGATCGGTCCATTGCCTTGAATGTTATCTTGGCCGACACTTTGGAGGCCCGCCTGGCTGGGCTTCGAGCCCGGTTGCGGCTGTCTTCGTGGTTCTCGCAAGTGGGCGTCCGGTGCGTTGTCGGCCATGCGCACAAGCCACCACAGCGTCCTCGGTGTCCTGCAGGTCAAACCGAGCTCACAGGACACCAGGACACGAGGCGGCGGCGTAGCCCGGCGGCGGTCAGGGGTGATGCTTTGGTAGTCGATGCGGTCGAATGCGCGGGTGCGGCAGGGCGGTTTGGCGAGCGAGGAGTATGTGTAGGCGTGGCGCAAGCGCAAGCGCGTGTGCTTGTGTGTTGTGTGTAGGAGCGTGTAGGGTGAATTTTGTGTTGTTTTTGTGTTGTGAGTAGTCGAACGTGTCAGTGTCGTCTAGTCAAACCGAGCTCACAGGACACCAGGACACGAGGCGGCGGCGTAGCCCGGCGGCGGTCAGGGGTGATGCTTTGGTAGTCGATGCGGTCGAATGCGCGGGTGCGGCAGGGCGGTTTGGCGAGCGAGGAGTATGTGTTGGCGTGGCGCAAGCGCAAGCGTGTGTGCTTGTGTGTTGTGTGTAGGAGCGTGTAGGGTGAATTTTGTGTTGTTTTTGTGTTGTGAGTAGTCGAACGTGTCAGTGTCGTCTAGTGGTTAGGACGCGAGCTTCACACGCTCGAGATCGAGGGTTCGATCCCCTCCTCTGATATCTTCTTTGCTCCTTTTGCCTCCACGCACGCTACCGCGCCGATTCCAGCGCTCCCGGCCGCCTGCGCGGCTCTCCGTCGCCCCCGTTCGCGTCTGCATGCCTTCATCCACCGATCGGACCGCTGGATCGGTCCATTGCCTTGAATGTTATCTTGGCCGACACTTTGGAGGCCCGCCTGGCTGGGCTTCGAGCCCGGTTGCGGCTGTCTTCGTGGTTCTCGCAAGTGGGCGTCCGGTGCGTTGTCGGCCATGCGCACAAGCCACCACAGCGTCCTCGGTGTCCTGCAGGTCAAACCGAGCTCACAGGACACCAGGACACGAGGCGGCGGCGTAGCCCGGCGGCGGTCAGGGGTGATGCTTTGGTAGTCGATGCGGTCGAATGCGCGGGTGCGGCAGGGCGGTTTGGCGAGCGAGGAGTATGTGTAGGCGTGGCGCAAGCGCAAGCGTGTGTGCTTGTGTGTTGTGTGTAGGAGCGTGTAGGGTGAATTTTGTGTTGTTTTTGTGTTGTGAGTAGTCGAACGTGTCAGTGTCGTCTAGTGGTTAGGACGCGAGCTTCACACGCTCGAGATCGAGGGTTCGATCCCCTCCTCTGATATCTTCTTTGCTCCTTTTGCCTCCACGCACGCTACCGCGCCGATTCCAGCGCTCCCGGCCGCCTGCGCGGCTCTCCGTCGCCCCCGTTCGCGTCTGCATGCCTTCATCCACCGATCGGACCGCTGGATCGGTCCATTGCCTTGAATGTTATCTTGGCCGACACTTTGGAGGCCCGCCTGGCTGGGCTTCGAGCCCGGTTGCGGCTGTCTTCGTGGTTCTCGCAAGTGGGCGTCCGGTGCGTTGTCGGCCATGCGCACAAGCCACCACAGCGTCCTCGGTGTCCTGCAGGTCAAACCGAGCTCACAGGACACCAGGACACGAGGCGGCGGCGTAGCCCGGCGGCGGTCAGGGGTGATGCTTTGGTAGTCGATGCGGTCGAATGCGCGGGTGCGGCAGGGCGGTTTGGCGAGCGAGGAGTATGTGTAGGCGTGGCGCAAGCGCAAGCGTGTGTGCTTGTGTGTTGTGTGTAGGAGCGTGTAGGGTGAATTTTGTGTTGTTTTTGTGTTGTGAGTAGTCGAACGTGTCAGTGTCGTCTAGTGGTTAGGACGCGAGCTTCACACGCTCGAGATCGAGGGTTCGATCCCCTCCTCTGATATCTTCTTTGCTCCTTTTGCCTCCACGCACGCTACCGCGCCGATTCCAGCGCTCCCGGCCGCCTGCGCGGCTCTCCGTCGCCCCCGTTCGCGTCTGCATGCCTTCATCCACCGATCGGACCGCTGGATCGGTCCATTGCCTTGAATGTTATCTTGGCCGACACTTTGGAGGCCCGCCTGGCTGGGCTTCGAGCCCGGTTGCGGCTGTCTTCGTGGTTCTCGCAAGTGGGCGTCCGGTGCGTTGTCGGCCATGCGCACAAGCCACCACAGCGTCCTCGGTGTCCTGCAGGTCAAACCGAGCTCACAGGACACCAGGACACGAGGCGGCGGCGTAGCCCGGCGGCGGTCAGGGGTGATGCTTTGGTAGTCGATGCGGTCGAATGCGCGGGTGCGGCAGGGCGGTTTGGCGAGCGAGGAGTATGTGTAGGCGTGGCGCAAGCGCAAGCGTGTGTGCTTGTGTGTTGTGTGTAGGAGCGTGTAGGGTGAATTTTGTGTTGTTTTTGTGTTGTGAGTAGTCGAACGTGTCAGTGTCGTCTAGTGGTTAGGACGCGAGCTTCACACGCTCGAGATCGAGGGTTCGCTCCCCTCCTCTGATATCTTCTTTGCTCCTTTTGCCTCCACGCACGCTACCGCGCCGATTCCAGCGCTCCCGGCCGCCTGCGCGGCTCTCCGTCGCCCCCGTTCGCGTCTGCACACAAGCATCACCCCTGACCGCCGCCGGGCTACGCCGCCGCCTCGTGTCCTGGTGTCCTGTGAGCTCGGTTTGACCTGCAGGACACCGAGGACGCTGTGGTGGCTTGTGCGCACGGCCGACAACGCACCGGACGCCCACTTGCGAGAACTACGAAGGCAGCGGCAACCGGGCTCGAAGCCCAGCCAGGCGGGCCTCCAAAGTGTCGGCCAAGATAACATTCAAGGCAATGGACCGATCCAGCGGTCCGATCGGTGGATGAAGGCATGCAGACGCGAACGGGGGCGACGGAGAGCCGCGCAGGCGGCCGGGAGCGCCGGAATCGGCGCGGTAGCGTGCGTGGAGGCAAAAGGAGCAAAGTATGAGCAACAGTGAACAGTTAGAGTAAATAACAGCCAAACAAAGGCGGTCTTGTTTGTGCCATACTGAGGTGTTCCTGAAGAGTGATAGCGCCAAACTATTTGAAAGTTTTGTGTGTTGGACTAAAGGGTCTGATCGCTTTTCGCCAGGAATACTATGTAAGCTAGTTATGAAAAAATACTTTATGTCAGTGAACCCGACTAGGTATTGGAGATGCATTGCACAAGCTCCACTCGCATAGGCAAAGGTCCATCAAAGAGAGTTTCTAATTCGTTTCTCGGATCGTCATGTGCGGAGCTGCTGCAAGAGAGCCAGAATATGAGTGCGCTGAATATATTTCTAGATTGAAAGAAAGTAGACTAGGTGGTCTGTGCTGCAAAACCGCCTGGATATCGCGTATTCAAAACAAGGGACAGATCGCATATTCGTTTTAATTACGGGTAGCTATCTCCAACATCGTTCACCGAGACTATTGGAGAGGTCGGTGTCGAGCCACTAATTAAATACAGCAGCGACCGCATCTGTCATAATAATAATTCAGTGTCGTTTCTCATATGACTGCACTGTAGCAGCAACAGTAGAAAAATTTTGCTCGGTGTTTTATATGGAGTGGCGATCGGAATGGGGACAACGTTCTTTTAAATCTAATAAAAACGCGATCAGTCTAAAGGATGGGTAGTAGAGAGATGATTATTATTGCTTCCTCTCTAACGCCCAGAAAAATTTAATTTGTGTTTCTTCTGCAACTGAATGTATTGTGCCTGGTATACTTTCTGTCTAAACAACGACGTAATTCGTTATTTTTAACAAATCACGGTGATTAGTCCATCATAGAGTAGAAGACTAACTCATCGATTTAAGATAGAATAGCTGCTAAGACAACGAGTTAACGTTGAGTTATGTGTTCTTTCGTTGAATGACTGGAGTAAATACGACAATACTACGGTCCTAACATTCTAACTCGCTCGCTTCGTGTGATTGCTTTCCAGTCGATCATGATCTCGATTGATCTATCGTACTAAACTACTTCTACAGTATTGAAGAACATCGTCGTTTTTAAATGGAAGAGCTGCAAGCAGTTTTAAAGTCAGCGTTCTACCAAACAATTCAACTGCTACTATATACCGTGCTCTGAAATTCAACTTTGGTTTAACGCGAAGGCCCCGACGAAGAGAGCGAGGGAAAGAGTCCCCGGCTAAATCAGTGTTTACTGCACGGAGTCGGCGCCAATCTATCGGGGACCTCATCAGTTGTTTCTTTTGTGCAGCGCCAACCGACCTACTCTTGCAGTGGCAACCGCTGCATTCTTGCTCTGCGCGCTTGGGACTGGCGGGTGATTAGCTTACTTTAACTTAGAGTCAGGCTGCGATATATGATCACCGGAAACGATTTTTTCATTGGTTTAGAGCCCTTAATCGCATGCCAAAGTTCGTTCAAAGCACCATAATATTTTTTGCAAGTAGATAAGCGGAAGCAGATTGGCGCTAGAAAGATCTATTACTCAGCAAAAAAAAACATACATGGTTTTAAGAGACCTCTGTTTTGTATTTTACTCCATCCATGCTACTTTAAGTGCACCTTGCGTATTTGCTTGAAGCATCAGAACTGGGACAACATTTTGTTTAATCAGTCTGACTGCCGAAAAAGTACGAGCACTAGTGAATACTAGAAAATATCAACGGCCGGGTTCGAACCGGCGACCTTCTGCGTGTAAAGCAGACGTGATAACCACTACACTACGCTGATTAATGAACTTACTTATCAACAACATAATTGTCTATGTCTGCGCAAAGCTGAAATGGAGGCTCGGCAGCAAAATAACAAAACAAAATAACAATTCTATCAAGCAGTATACGATATATTATTCCATTAGTGTACCTTCTAAGCCGAGTTTTTTTCGAAATGATCAGGTATACCATTTAACAGTGTTTTATACAAATGGGGATTGGATAGATGCATTGTATGTGAGAGGAAAAATAAATCACCGGTTTCATATGGGTACATCGAAGCTGCAGCTATGTATCTGTGACGTATGTAGTAGCTAAGTCGGACTTCCTTAATCAGGTTGCCATTTCAAGATACATCGTTCATAAATCGTAAAGTGAGACCCAGCATCGCGGAATGATCATTGAGGATGCACGCTTATTAGGTCGCACGCCAAGTAAGGAATAGTCAGTAATGGTAAAATTCCAGCAAAAATCATATCCTATCGACGCGTGATTGAGTTTGTAGGGTATGCTATTTGGAATGATATTATGGGATTTTTTATACGCCAAAGATGGACAATGGTATTTGATTCATAATACGTATATTATTTGGTAGAAACCATTAACAAATCCAAAGATCCACTAATTGACGCACTTAAACGTTCACTTATTTCTTCAAACATTTTGTTTCAAGTCAATGTATTGGCAACTTCAATACGAACGCCTGTATAGTTCTTTGTTAGTATGAATCTCCGTCACAGGCATCTATAATTTAATCAAGATTAATGTGTGTTTCCAAGTCGTGTCGCGTGCAAATTCGACATATTTGTATAGGAGCCTATGTACCCAATGGGAAATCATAGCTCGTGTCATATGCCACGTTAAAACAATCTGATTGGAGAAATATATCCAGCTCGCACCCTACAATTCCTCCTAGAAGTTGAGATATTCAGTATCTCAAGCATTTTGTCGCGCAGTGTTGCATAGAAAAATACATCGCTGAAAGCTTCATACCTGAAGCACACATAGATCTACGACATGAAATAATGATACACCTCGAGCTAGACAAAACAGTTCCTAAAAGTACGCGACGCGAGACTCGAACCCGCAACCCCCAGATTCGAAGTCTGATACGCTATCCATTGCGCCAGCCGCGCTACTACATGTGGTACGGAATTTAAATCGATAAAGTAAAATTCGGAATTACACTAGTACCGGTCTATTTATGATTTGCATTTCTTTGCGCTGACCCGCAAGTGCCAAGATGGCATAGGCATTAGGGGAACCTCCCGGCAGATGAAGTACTCAAGTACGGACGCGATGCGGCGTGTGCTGCGTGACGACGACTCGAACTCACGTAAAATCATAGCACCCAGCTTGTCCAAGCGCGATATCCATGACCTCTTATGGCAAATAGCACGGGTTACTACACTGCCCCTCACCCTCGCTTTAGGTCTACCCCCCCCCTCGCGGACTATTCTGTGTGCTCTATCTAACATTTTTCTAGCTTTTCTAACGCGGCTCTCCTAAAGCGGGCAAGACCGCTCGACCAGATACTTACTCAACAGGTAGGCGGACAACGGCCCCGGTTCAAGACACGCTGCAGGACAAGCAGCCCAGGCTCGACGGCTGAAGAGAAGCAGAAGCAGCTCCGAGCGAAGCTTGATACTCAACTAGGTGGCACCATCCATGATCGAGAGGAGAATATAGGGGCGTGGAACATACTCATGCATGGCGAACGTCTCACTGAAGATTATCTTCATAAAAAATAAAAAGGAACATCGACGACCCCGACAATTTGTGCACTACTGGCGCGATGTTCGGCGTCCGCCGCTTGAAAATTTGCCGCCGCTAGACTGGACGGGAATTGTGCATGGTGCATGGTGTGTACGGGTTTAGCGCCAAGGACAAGAACTAGATCGCGTTTTGATAGGCCGCGAGAACTCCGAGGACTTCATCCACATGGTCTCGGAGTTTAACTCCCGTTTGTGCACCCCAACTGCAGTATCGAGTTCGTCTAGCAGCTGGATGAGGCTTTAACACACGGTATCCGGGCCTGCCCGCATACCCCAGATGACAAGCCCTATGATCAAGAGCTCAGATTGAGCTGAAATTTGACACAAAGTGTGCTTACAGCATAGCAAGATGTACTGTGAAGTTTCGCGTTCGTAGCGCGAGTAGAAGTTATGAATCGGCAAAGAACTACGAAATCCGCCGTAATGTGTAAATGGACTGTGCCTTTTCTGATCATTATGGCTACATTTTAGTCTGTTTATGATCAAATTGGACGGGTCGTGGTCAAAATGTCATACATTGATTGCGATACCCGTCGACGAAGGGCCTCATTGACGAGCCACATATCAGGCCTCACCTCTTTGATCCATCGTATCTCCTCCATTTTCAGTGCTGCGAGTCTACAAAGCTACATCTACCATTTCTTGATCGGGCCTTTCCTTTAAACGCTGAGCTAGACCAATTTAAGCTGATTTAAAAATGCTGGAAAATTACACTTGCCATCCAAAAAGGGCGAAAACGTGCGGGTTGTTACGGAGACAGAATGTTAATTCATACGTCCAAAACCAGCGCAGTTCTTGGAAGAGCAGAGGTTACAGATGCTGAGTAGACACCACGATCCCACGACCTGAGCGCAATTGAAAACCTGTGATTCATTCCGCCTCGCCCCGCCTATCGAAACATCCGCTAGTTCAGCACGCTGGCTGATTTGCGTACTGTCAATGAAGCTGCGTGGGAGTCCATCGAGCCCAAGATAATCTGCTCGTTGATCGACTCAATGATGTGTCGCTACCAGAAGATGAATGAGAAGAGCGAAAAGAAGACACACCACGGAGAAGTAATCAAGAAAGGCAACAATAACACGTACTTCTAATACAAGTTACATTTGATCAGCAATCCTGTCCACATGTTTTACGTATACTGAGCTGCCTATTATTACCATACTGATGTTTAGTTTGCTCAAGAAATATCAGCTTGCTTAAACGTGCGTTTCATGCGCCTTTGAAACCACCAGAAGCCAAATGTAAGCCGTTCTCGGAGAGAACGGATATCCGACCTTGTTTTAATAATCCTGCAAAAGCGCGAAAAATGTGTCATCTCTTCCAGCGTCTTTTGGTTTCGTACCACTGTTGGCAGTTGTCTCCTATAATTTATTTTAGGATGGTGCGCATTGGATTCACTTACTACTGTCAGTGCCCAAAGCAATCAATCCAGAGCCATGTTATCGGAAGCTAGATCGTAAGGGGCGTGTTTGAGTAAGAGATAACAAAGGTTGTGGTGATCTGTTATCGAAAACGGCGGTGCCTGATAGATAAAAGGCGGGTCTTGTGGGTGCTTTTGATGGTCTCTCTGCGTGTGCGTTTCCTGTGCAGTGCGCATTGTGTAGGCGGAATTTTTGTTAGTGTTGTGCGTTGTTGTGAAGTTACCATAAGGGTGGCGAAGGTGCACCTGTCTAGCAAGTCGGTAGAGTGCTGGCCTTATAAGCTAATAGTCAGGTGGGGCTTTAGTTTTTTTTTTTGCGACTGGCGGCCGAGTGGTGGTAGCATTGGTGCAGTCGTTGTCAGAGGTTATAGTGGTGGGTATGTCGTGTAGTTTGCTTTCTACAGGGCAGCGGACGGGTGGGCCCAGCTGGGCGTGATAACGAGAGGACGCCGACTCGATTGAAATCGCCGCTGTTTCGACGGTACTGAGAGCGGTTGGACAACGGAATAACTGAGTGGCGCATCGGCTAGAGATGGACGATGCGAAGTTGTTTCCCATGTTTAGGCTATCGTAGACCGCAACGTTTTCCAACAGATTCAATGTTGTGGGCCAAGGTTGAAAACAGGCAAAACGTTAAATGGTCATGGGTTGTTCTATTCTAGAAAATAAATAAATATGCACATTAACACCTTCATACAGTGGTTAGCGTACTTAAGTCTAGTACTGATTGATTGGTGCAAACAAGATTTTAGCGTCCGTACAAATTAGATCTAGTGTTGAAAACAACAGACTAATGTGGAATATAGACTAGTTATGACCATCCCAAATTAGTCTGATATACAGGATGTATCCATGTTATTCTACCTAAAACAAGTGCTTTATTACTTGCGACGTCTCCATAGTTGCTTAATGCACTGGTATATAGCTAAGCTTATGTTCTCTATCTTTATTAGCGTCAGCAATATTCCTTTCTTATTGTGATACGGTCCCATCAAACGGGCCACCGACCACGTTTGGAGGCATTTCGTACCATGAAGCCCGCTCCTGTGACCCCCGGCAGACCGCCAAATGGTGAAGTCTTTTGCAACCCGGTTGGGTAAACAATAACACAGAAGCTTTGTAGTTCTATGTCGATTCTGCACCCATCATGTTGTCTAAGGTGCAGGAGCGACAATTTGTTCCATCTTAGCTTGAAGCTCGTCAAACGAAAGCGAGGGTCATATTGGGTTGAGGTTTGCAGTCGGAATTGTGCCCTGGAAATGCCGGGAGTTCATCGGGCATTCACTTAATATATTTATAAATCGGTATTTGACCTCTGCTATATATAAATCGCTCTGGAATTGGGGTGGGATTGGATGTGCATAAATGCAGTGCTAATCGGAATAGGTGTATCTAAACCGACATTGCCTTGTCCGATTTAGAAATTAATCAGGGTTGGTAATCATAGTTGGGACCCCAAACGCCGGAATTACTGCTCGTTTAGACAAACAAATCGGCTTCCACACTAAATAACCGATACCATAATATGATAGTATGACTAGCTGAGCAGCTCTGGTGGGCCGACCTCTTAAGTACGGTAACGTACTTTTGACGACGTCCCCACGCTTCTCCCAAACTACTGCTGTTCCCGCATCACATATCGGGGATGTCTGGCGCGTAGCTCGTAGTGTATAGAGGTGTTGAGGCCGCAATTGTGTGTGCGGTGGGGGTGATCTTGAAGAGGAGGGGCCCTTGGTGTAGTAGTACATGGCGCGGTGGGGGCGATCTTTAACAGGAGGGGATGTGGAGGGGCGCAATTGCGCGATGGAGGACACACCGGGAGTAAGAAAACAAGCGATGTTAAAGTTGTTCGAAGAGGATTACCGGTCCGTTTGGCTTTTGCGATGACGATGCATAAAGTTCAAGGGCTTACTTGCGATAAAGTTGTTTTTCATTCTCACTCTGTCCCTTCATGTGCATTTGCGTATGTCGCGCTATCCAGGGTTAAGCACAGAAATGATATCATACTCACTTCCCCGTTAACACTTGACGAATGGAAAACATCGCCAGAAAAGCTTCAAATATTCCAGGCCGAGGAGGAAGGAGTGAAGAAAGCAAGACTCAAAACTGCTGACTACGCCACAGCGATCATTGCATCCACGAAAGAGGCAGCTCTGCAACACAATAGATGCATATAGATCCATGCAAATTCGTAACCCAGTTTGCGACTCCGCTGATTTCTTTCGGAGGTACAGGAATAATATTCGGAACATCGGACAGAAATGACGGGCCTAGATATGTATCCGTTATCTGCACTAAAGTAATTGGTAGGTCGCTCCCTTCTGTAAAAATGAGATCGTACAGGTTACCATTGGTCCCGTTGCACAGTTCTGCAGGCTGACACATATTGAATGTAAGAGCTATTGTAACGGGGTAAGAGATACCGTCACTAGCGTACACTGTAGATAAGAGGAAGCTTGTAATATTAAGCTCAAGTCTTGTCTTTAGGGTAAAATCAACTCTGTTTATGTATGGGACGGTGGCGGAGCCCCCCTAACCTTGTGGACCACTCAAATCTAAGTCTGCACCTGATTGGATGAAATGGGTCTGGCTCCCCACTTTCAACCAATCAGAACATGACAGCAGGCCACACACTAGCCGTGTGACTGCACCTTCTTTTGTGTATGTACCTATGTAACTTCTACCTACTTATGTAAATGGGCCCTCTAAGTTGCGCTTATGTAGCTTAAGCGCGGACACGGAACTCTCGAGAACACACTCTTCACAACGGCGAAAGTTCCGACGGCAACACTCGGCAGCGCGCGCCGAACGACGATGGCGATATCGAACTCAAGCGACGGTGCCGGGTTCGGCGTCGGCCGCCCGCCGTCTCCGTCGCTCGTGTCGGCGCCCCACGCGATGGACCACGAGCTCAAGCCCTGGGAGCTCTACAGCCTCCAAGGAGCCGAAGAACCGGAATCGTCATGACAGTCGCGGCCGAAACCGCCGCGACTCTTCGCCGGAGTTTTGTCGCAGCCGCAGTCGTGATCGAGGGTGGCCTTCGGCTGGGGCGCGCGAGCGCAGTCGCTCGCGAGGACGCGGTCCTCCAGCGCGTCATCGTTCGCCTTCGCCAGCGCGAGTGTGGACTCATACTCGCGCACAACATCCGGGATATCCTGCAACACGCGACTACGTGGCTCACACGTATCCTCCGCTGGCGAATATCCCAGCCAGCGGACGCGATAGTGCTTCTCAGGGGTACGCGCGTGGCTTCTCTTCGGCTTCGACGGCGCAGCACTATCGCGAGGACCTTCCTCGCGACTCCGGCGGACGTCATGGTCTACGATGCGCTCGGCAATCTAGCGCCGATCGCCAGCTGTGTCAATCAGCGGGGGTGGACCACCGCGACGGTAGGGCGGAACATGGGGGCGAAACGTCGCGCGCGACCCTTCGGCTCGAACAGCCGCCGGTTTCGTCAGTTTCGTCAGCCTCGTCAACTCATCAGCTACCTGCGCCCACGGATCCTGCTGCATCTGTGCAGCGGGTGACGATCGAGCAGGACCGGATAATGATGGCCGAGGCGGAGCAGGCCCGGAACGACGCGCTGGACGCGCAGAACCTTGCGGAGAGCGCTCGCACTCGAGCGAGCGCGGCCGAGGCAGTGACGGAAGAGTCTCAGCGTGATCCACGCGCGCTGGTGGAGCGCCTCCGTCGTCTGGAGAGGGCTGCATTCGGGGCACCTCAGGCGAAACCGTCTGCGCGTGAGCATCAGGGACTTGGGCCAAGCTGGCGTCAGCGTCGTCGTCATGGGGAATCGGACTACGAGCCCGCCCGAGGCGCTGCGGACGGGAGTCGGGGATCTCGGCCGGTAGATACGGCTTCAGGCGCCCGACGTAAAACGTCGGGTGAAGACGCATTACGGTCGGTATGTCCAGCGTGTAAGCGTCTCCCAGCACTTTGATAACTTTGAATGGACCGATGTATCTTGGCGCCAGCTTGTTCGCGCCAAGGTTCGTAATTGCTGTCGATTGAATTCCGGTGGTCGACAGCAGGACTCGGTCACCTTAGCGGAAGACGCTCATGTTCTTCCGGCCTCGCTGGTCTGCGTACTCCTTCTGCTTGTCCACAACAGACTGCAGCGCATCACGCACGAATCTCGTGATTGCCTGGCGTTGCAGCATGAACTCCGATACCGCTGCGGAGTCGATCGGCGATGCAGCTTCGTGAAGAGCGAAGTTGGCTGCCGGCGGGTCGACAGGGTCGAAAGCAGTGCCGGTCGACCTTCGTGCCTTCGAACGCGTTCGTGATGCAATTCCACACATGGCATCCGTTGCCGTAACCGGTATTTCCGCGTCCACCGGTTCTGCTACCGGTGGAACCGACGCCACAGTGCTGCTGCTATTCCCTCGCGGCTCGTCTTCACTCGACACTAGTACCGGGCGGTTCGGCACTGCATCCATTCCTCCCCCACCAAGAGTGGAGCGCGCGGAGCCGGACGAAGACTCGAAGGCGAGCGTCGTTGGAACGTGCGGATGCCGCGCGTTGTTGATGAAGAACGGCGTCAAACCTGTCGACTACGTTGTTGATAGCGAACTCGGCGAGCGGCAGGAACGTACTCCACGACGGGAACGACGTGGCGTAGCTGCGAAGGACATCTTCAACGACTCGATTGACGCGCTCCGTTTGCCCATCCGTTTCAGGATGAGCTGCCGTCGACATCAACAAGCGCGTACCAAGCAGTTCGAACAATCGATCCCAGAAGGTCGATGTGAAGCGAGGATCGCGGTCAGAGACGATGGATTCCGAGAGGCCATGATGCCGGAATACGAGGTCGAGGAACAGGGACGCAGTCACCTCAGCTGTCACTTGGGCTTCGACCGGAGCAAGACGGACCATCTTGCTAAAGCGATCGACGATGACAAAGGCGCCCGTGCGGCCCTGGTCGTCCGATGGAAGGCCGAAGACGAAGTCCATGGTGGCGGATCGCCACGCTGCCGTGGCGATAGGCAACGGGCGCAGCGGAGCTTGCGATGATGGAGCTGGCTTGACGCGCTGGCAAGATTTCCTCCTCTTCCTCCTCGAAGACTTCGAGCAGGAGCTCGAGGTGGACGACTCGCTGGCACTGGACGATACATCGTCGCTATCGCTGGACGATACTTTACCCTCCTCTAGGTGCGGAGTGTCGAGCCCGTCCGCACCGGAAGTACGCGGGAGCACCGCTTGCTCGACCGCCTCGTTTATTCGCGGGAGCCCACGTCGCTCGACCGCCTCGTTGGTTCGCGGGAGTCGCCTTCGCTCGACCGCCGTCGCAACAACCTCGCTTCGCTGCGAGGTTTCGCGTTCATTTGTCGGTTCATCCAACAGCACCGCACATGTCATACAGAGAGGGCCATCGCTCGCTCTGTGTAGGGCTTGCGTCGTGGATGAACGATCCACGACGGTAACGTGGGGCCAGTCCGTCGGAGCGACCAGGAGATGAGTGAACACTTCACTCACGTCGTAGTCGGCTCGACGCTTGACTGATCGGGCCAGCCAGTCGACCTCCGGCTGATACCGTGTCAGCCACGGTATGCCCAAGATGCAGTCGAACGCGTAGTTCATCTCGATCACCAGGAAGTCGTCGTTGCTACGGAAGCCGTCGAACGTGTACGGCAGTGTGATGGGAGTGGGACACGGTGTGGCTTGCCGTCAGCGAGCTTAATGACGACGATGCCGGGACCCTCGGGGACGGATATGTCCGAGGGAAGAAGCGACAAACACGAGGCGCGGAAGAAGTTGTTCGTTGCGCCCGAATCCAGGAGCGCACGGAGAGAACGCCGCGCGCCGGCGACGTGCAGGCTGACGATGATCAGTCTGTGGTCGCCGCTGGTGGTGGTGGCATCGAAGTGTGCGTGAAGCACTGGGGGGCTAGGAGATCGGGTTGCCACCGGGGGACCCGGACCTCCGTTCCAGCCAGTAGGGCTCCCCGCACCTACTGGTCCCGGCCGTTTTTTGGTTGAACGGCCAGGATCTCGTCGTCGGCGAGCGACTGCAGCATGCATCGGCGCAGCCGCGCGGCAGATTGCCGCGCGATGACCCAACTTCCCACAACGATGGCAGGTCAGCGAACGGGAATTGCGACCGCCGCGCGAGTAGTACCGCCGGTTATTCTCCGCGGCTTCGACGCCATCGATTTCCATTGGCTCGGGCATCGCTGCCCGAGCGTCCGCCGGCGACTGTCGCGAGTACGAAGCGGATATCGTGTAGTCCTCGCGCAATGCGAGGGCGAACGCTTCTTCCAGCGACTTCGGCTCGGCGCGCGTGAGACAACAGCGCGTCATTCCTTCTCGTATGCCAAACACGAAGACGTGGACCTGCGAAGCCGTGTCGATGGAGCTCGTGACGATACACGAGGCCAGGTGACGAGTGTTCTGTACGTAGTCGCGCATGGACAGCTTGCCTTGCTTCAACGCGAAGAACTCTGCACGCATCCGCGATTCGTCTTGCAGAGGCTCGAACGCAAGTCGAATGTCTTTCTGGAGACTGTCCAGACTCGGGAAGGCGTGTTGGTCCACAACAAGCTTGCCGAGGGCCCACTCCTTCGCCTTCCCCGACAAACGCGACAGGAGGAAGTTCACTTTCGCCGTCGGCGCCTCGATCAGTCTCGAGGCGATGGCGATGTCGATCTCCCTGAACCAGCGGTTCAGGGGCAATCGGTCTTGGCCGGCGCCGGAGTACGTCGACGTCTCCATCTTCACAGCATCGTTCCGGGAGGAATGTGAGGGAGTTGAAACTCGCCGCTTGGTATCGGCGAGCTTGCGTTCCATGAACTCTTGGGCAGCCTGGCGTTGTTGGTCGGCGGTCGCTGAGCTCAGCAGCGACGTGACGACGAACTCGCCGGACACGGCAGCGAGGCGGTGAAGGGCTTCCCACTCAACCCGGGTGAGGTGGGGAAAACTCGTGTGGTCAAGGGTTACACCGGACCCTTCGGACATCAGGACTTGGCTCATCTTGGTCTTGGACGTTGGAAGGACTACAAAGTGCTACCAGGTGTAACGGGGTAAGAGATACCGTCACTAGCGTACACTGTAGATAAGAGGAAGCTTGTAATATTAAGCTCAAGTCTTGTCTTTAGGGTAAAATCAACTCTGTTTATGTATGGGACGGGGGCGGAGGCCCCCTAACCTTGTGGACCACTCAAATCTAAGTCTGCACCTGATTGGATGAAATGGGTCTGGCTCCCCACTTTCAACCAATCAGAACATGACAGCAGGCCACACGCTAGCCGTGTGACTTCACCTACTTTTGTGTATGTACCTATGTAACTTCTACCTACTTATGTAAATGGGCCCTTTACAGCTATAGGCACTCCGACGGCAAGCTTAACGTAAGGTGGAACAACTCGGTCTCGACTAGAATCAGTCTGCACAGCTTCCTCCAAAAGTGATGCACAGTAATATCTGAAATATCGCGCTGTGCAAGTAATCTTTTTTTCTGAACAAAATGCTGGGAGAATATGTGGACAATATTTTCCGTGTGTAAGGAGACACAATCGGCATTTGCTGAATCAACATCTACATTTAAGTGAGCAATATGTCTAGCCTTCCTGAGGCGGCATCCAGCGAGTGTTGAAAAGATCAATATCTTTCTGTGTAGGTGTCTTCGCAGACATATCGCTTATTAAGTGTTTATTTGTCCGCAGAACTACACATAGCAGGCTGCTTAAATATCTAGATCTATTAACCTTTAATACCCATTGAGCCCACGCGTGGGCTCAATTCAAAAAGCCGATACTATTGTTGTCTGGCCTATTTATAGATACCATTCTGCATACAAATAAATGAGAGAGAGGTCTGTTCAGCGCCTTTTGCCCGACTTCAAACGGAGTCGTCTTCACGAAAAAATGTCCGGACAAAGATTATGGTCGAGAAAATAGCGATCTCATCAAAACTGTTTGCTAAGTATGTATTTAGAATCGGTGCTGGTATACCCGAGGTGTACCTCCACGTATAAGGGAAGAAATGCAAACCGCACAGCGTTAAACAAGTACTGCGGGGGGGGGGGGGGAACTTAGCAAGAGCCGACCACATAAACAATTTAAATACTGTGTAGACTCTATTGTAAGCACTACCAACGCGATAGAGCGTTACAGGACCACTGATTTACTCCCAAAGTAGGAATCCCTACAATTTCGTCATGGCTACAACAAGTTGACGCCTTGTGGCTGTTGAAGGCTAACCAGTTATGTCCCAACAGTGCACGTATCACGTGAATTCATTTGGCTTGCTGCGCTGTTTTCAATGTGTCTGTAGAGCTTGGACCATTGACCTTATTATTTTAAAGGTAGATAGGCTGCACGGAGATTACCAATCGACTTTCCGCACTAACTATGATCCGATAAATAAATGTTGTTGCTCCTCGTGGTCAGTGGCAAGTCAATTGTACTTCAATGCGCCATTAGAGCTCTTTAGAATCAATTACATTGCTTTGGAAAGCGAAAACGTATTATCTACAACTATTGTTTTTGAGCCCACGCGTGGGATTTGGACCGGGCCCACCGGTGGGCTTTGAGGCTGGGTAATGAAGATTAAGATCTCGCCCTACGGATGAAACAGCGTTGTTGGCTTCACAACCCAGCAAAACATAGCGTGTCCAACCAAGTTCATGATCTGGTGGTCAGCCTTACCGGGGTCTGTTTGCATAGCTCGCTACCACAATGTTGAGAGGGGCTCCGCGCGATGCCAAAAGTGAAAGCAAAAGGATTATCTGGCTCGGGCAGCCAGCGGTCAGCAGGCAAACATACCGCCGTAATACCGCGAGACGAAGGGTTCCGTGCACTTATGTACCATTACTTTAAGGCCCTCATCAAAGCATAGCGTTACTAAAAGACTGTTAAAAGGCTGGTGACCCCTCGATCGAGGGCCCAAGTAAAATTCGGGGAGGTCGAGGGCCTGCTATACATTTCAACCCTAAACCTAATTATTTCATCCAATCAGTCACCGGACACTACGGTAAGGATAGGTATACCGGTATCAAGTCATTATAATGGGGACTTCGTCCCAATTAGACCCAGTCTTGTATCTCCTCGCGAGAGCGGGATGGGATGTGAGACGGCGCTACCCGGCCCAGGACCTCCGTCCGAGTGCTAAAGACGATACAGCCAGTGTTCAGTATTGCACAATCAGAAGAGGCTTGGATGGAGGACACTGAAGACGAGGAAGAGATCATTGCGGAGGGCTTGGTGTTGCTCGAGCTGCCACGGCCCCGAGCACCGCTGACAATTCGAGCGAAGCTCAAGTGCCACCGGGAGCTCAACATGCTGCTGGCAGAGAGCCAATTTGAAGCCTGTTACCGGATGCCAGCCGCTGCCTTCGTGCGACTCGAGGCCTTGACCGCCCCATTGCTGCTTCGCTCGCCTCATGCCTGGGTGAGGCGAGGCTGGATTGCCTGCGATAACGCTCTGCAGCTCACACTGAGGTATCTAGCTGGCGGGTAGATGCATGGCATCCGACGCATCGCGGGTGTAAGCAAGGCATCTTTCTATCGCATTGTGTGGCTGGTCGTCGACGCAATTAACGCCGCCGAGGAGTTGCGCCTAGAGTTCCCGCGCTCGCCTACCTCACGCGAAGCAGCAGCAGCAGCTTTCAAGACGTTAAGTGCTCAAGGTGTCTTCTCAGGCTGCGTGGGCTGCTTAGACGGTTGGCTTTGCTCGACCAGAGCACCGCGGCTGACGGAGACTGACGGCGTCGGACCGCAGCGCTATTGTAGCGGCCACTATCGCTGCTATGGAGTAAATGTCCAGGCATGCTGCGACTATCGCTGTCGTTTCACCTACATCAACGTATCGCAACCTGGTAGTTGCAACGACAGCAGAGCCTTCCAACAGAGCGCGCTGCACGGTGTGCTCGACGAGATGGAGAGCGGCTTCTACCTACTAGGCGACAATGCCTACGTGTGTACGGCGCATATGCTCACGCCATTTACACGAGCTGAGACGACGGATATTCATCGTGACGCCTACAATTTCTATCTCTCTCAGCTGAGGATCCGAATTGAGATGTCTTTCGGGCTACTAGTTGGACGCTGGCAGATATTCACGCGACCGCTGGTTGTTGCGTTAGATAAAGTGCCGTGCCTTGTTCAAGCTGCTGCTTGGCTGCACAACTTCGTGCAAAATGAACGCTACGGTTCTTCTGAAGCTTACGACATTGTCGAGACGTGCACAAGACAGGGTCTCGTCCGTCGCCAAGGAAACTCCCTCATCTCGTTGCTAGGGTACGCGCCCGCAACACTCCCTGAAGCAGACACTAATCCATTCATGAGAGAAGCAATGGTTGAAAAGATTAAAGCGAACAATCTCTATCGACCTAACTAATCAACCCAAGTGTCTAATGCTTACTCCGAAGCATCCATCTCTTCGACTTTCTTCACATATTCTTCCACATTGGCTTCGAGACAACCGACAACTGTACTACCGAGCCCAGCTTGCACCGCAGCACACAGCGACTTTGTCAGTTGCTCCAGCTCTATAAAAGTGCGAGCGCGCTTGTTGCTCTGCATCGCTTGCTCTTTTAGCTGCATCTTGGCCTCTGTTGAGCCGAACCTTGACTCCAAGAATGCAATCACAGTCTCGGCGTCCGACGCTCGCTTCTTGGAGCTGTTCGACTTGCTGTTGTTGCTGTCCTTCGTCGAGAAGGTCTCTTCCGCGGCCACCGGCTCCTCCAGCGTGTCCACCTGACAGTACTTGGGCATGCTGCCCACAGCAGCGCTGAAAGCCTGCGGCCTCACCTGCAACCACGCACTCACGTAAAGCGCGTCCAGCTGTCCCATACAAAAGTCATAAAACTCAGACTCATGCAAACCCGATTGGGTAGCCCGCGCATGGGCTGCAGAATACTTGGCCGACGTGTCCTTCCATATTTGATTGAGCTTTGGGCCGTCGTGGGGGACCATGTGCCCAGGGTCAATACCGGAAAACCGGTCGTCTCTCGACACGAGGCCAGCGTACTCTTCTCACTCAGCAGCGAACTCCGCCGCCACCTCCTGCCAAAAGACGTTGTGGCCACCAACAGCGCCTGCATCGAGCTCGCGCCGAGCGGGTTGCGCACCCATTTGGCCGAGTCTGTCACAGAGCCTCTCGCTGAAGAGGACATTCAGCAGCCGAAAGCTGCAGTGCCTGATCTTGCGCGTACTTGCGAGTGACGTGGACAGTTGCCCTTCGGACCCTTGCAGCAACTTGCTGCGCTGGTCGCGCGTGGCCTCCTCGCTCTCACGGCGCGAGCGTGCTAACTGCACCAAAATAGTCACGTAGCCCATCTTGTTGTCCGTGCTGCCGTTCTTCGAGCGAACCTTCGCGCCGAATAGCTTGCACACAGATCGGAGTTCCTTGACCGTGTGGCCTGTCATGATTTCTTGTAGCGAGTCGTCGGTCTCGCCAGGTTGCGGACTTCCGATGCGCTTCACGAGGTCGGTTACAGGATCAGTTGAGGTCATCTTGCTGCGTGGCTGCGTGGAGTGTTTGCAAATGAGCACGACAGTTCTGAGCTTTCTCCTAGAAGGCAAGCAAACAGTTCATTGCCATTCATTCACTATCTAGCCGTAGTGTCCACTACACCGACCACCTTATTAGTCGGGCCCTCACTAATTATGGTGGAATGTTTGGAGAGTAAAAGTGAAGACCGACTATATTGTGTGCATGACTAAATCACGTGGAATTGCTTGTGCATTCTAGTCCTGCTACATCTACCTCCCGGTACCCCTTTTCAAAGTCGGCTAGGTGAGCCGCCAAGAGCTCACGTAACTTTCTACTAATTTCCAAACACCATCAGCTGGGACGTCTAATCCACATTCGAGCATGGACTTCTTTGCCCAATTGAGTCCAGCGTTATCAACCTCAAGGTTGACTCGTCGAATGCACTCCGCTGCTGTCTCCAAGAAGAACTGTTTCCCAGGGTTTGACAGAGCCTTTGAATTTGTCGCCCAGTCCCCGTCCCGAATAGCTTGCATATTGCGTGCCTCGCAAATGGAGCGCCAATGTGCCTTTATTCGCTGAATAGGGAAGCGGTCAGCAGGCTGAACGCGATCGGTCGCATTTGGAGGGAAGAAATTGATCGTGGTTCGTAGTGTTTTGGCTGTTGTCTGCACCTCGGGGCTTGAGTGGCCGCTTGCGTTGTCCATCCAGAGTATACGGTCGCCAGCAAACGGACCTCCAGGTCCCCAACAACTAGAGAATGTAAAAGGATGACCGAATTCGGTTTCAACCGGTTGCATTCGAATGAAATTCGAATGCAACCGGTCAATAAAAATCCGGATTCTGATCCGGGTTCATCCGGATGCAATTTTGGGACATTTCTTTGTACACATTCTGATTTTATCCAATCATGATCACTCAAAAAATGTGTATCATTTATTACCCCGTGGTAGCCGATTGCTGATTTAATCGTATATAGAAGGATACTCCATAATGTAATAAGTCAAACAATCCGAATGCATTCGAATATAACCGGATTTATTCGATTTTCAAACCGGTTGAACCGGATGAGACAGAAATGCCAATCTGAAATCCGAATGTCATCCGATAAAATTCTCTACCAACAACGAACATCGTGTAGCCACTCCTCCATCGTCACATTGTTGATGAACGCACTCGGCGTTGAGCGATAGCAAACGCCGTCCACGGAGTCTGGAAGTCCCTGAATAGGATGGCTCGAGTTAGGATTCTTGAAGATCAGCATCGGACATAGTATCTTGGCGTTGGAACCTCCTCTTAAGAGCACACACATCGTGATACCTTCCCGCCCTGCAATACAATAACCATGTACTATTAGTCATAATCATAATATCATAACAAACATACAAAACGCCAAAATAATTACCTGAAACAATTTTGCGGTATTTGACCTCTTCAGAGCCCTGAAAGTCCAGGGTCTTGCCATCATCGAGGTCAATTACAAAATGGCTTTCGTCCATGTTGTATATCTGGTTCGGGTCGATGATTTTGTCGTCAAACTGCCGCTTCAATTTGCCCAGGTGAGTTGCAATGGAAATGCCGATCTGCAACTGCTTTTCCTCGCTGACCTGCTTATTGCCCTTTAATCGACGGTAGACGATGTTGAAGCGCTCCATGAAATCTTGTATACGGCGCTCTGAAATCATTTCCTTGAAGGGGGTGCCTCGGATTTTGAGGTCTTTGTTGTACACTGTCCTCGATAAGAACTGTAGCCATGTCGACTACCAAGCGAATCGAAAACTTCACTCCTGCGCGTCGTAGCCTTTCGAATTCACTTAACAGCTGCGGATACAGCCATTGCCACTGAGCTTCCAGCTTGCGACCGCGACCATGTAGAGCCTTGACTACGAATTGCTGTCGTGCGCCTCGTATGCTGCTGCCATACTTCAGTTGCTTGCTATCAGCGAGTTTTACACGAGTAGTGTCCCGCTTGTTGCACCAATCCCGTGCTTTGTTAAGATTGACTCGCCGATTATCAGATCGAAAGAGAGCGGGATATTGGGCAACAGCTCGCCCAAAGAGGCCCTTCGCCATTGACTGCTTTGTCGATCTCCATCCACTCCACACATTTCACTCGGTTGCTCAGTGGCACTACTTGCTGGAGACTGCGCTTGACGTCTGACGCCATTTTGTAAATGAGCAGTGGTGCGAGAGTTACTCCCTCTCTAGCTCTCTGCCACCACAAACCGTCTACTCACTACTAATTGTGGTGCATCTCTAATAATGGTGCACGACTAATAGCTGTGCATGACTAATTGTGGTGGGTGTACTTTATATACTGTGGTAAGTACGATGCACGATTAAATAACTCGCACGACTAATAAGGGTGGCCGGTGTAGCTATGCTGCCATTGTCAAACCAGCTTCTTGCTGACATCGCCAGCGTCATATATTGTGTATCCCGCGCCCCGTGCCACACAACATCCCAGCGGGACAAGAAGGGGTGTCGTCCCTAAAGCGTCCCGCTCCGACCCGCAACAAAGAGCTCTGATTGGTCCCATCCCGCATCCCGCGAGATACAAGACTGGGCCTTACCCCATCATATTAGCATATATTCGATTCTATTTATTGTTCTGTGCATCCAGTTTGCCCTTCTATTTAGTGCACTCCTTAGTGCTCGTACTTAGCGGTAAACCATAGTGGCCTTGAATGCGAGTTGCTCAAGTCGTGTTTCGAACCCGGTTTGGCTCGGAAATGACACTTTCTAAAACTGCCAAACGGATGCTTATCCGTACTGGATGTGCTAAATCATGCAGGAGATGCGCACTACTTAGTGCTGATTGACCGACCATCCACAACTTACAGCAATTCGTACTCGAGTACGATTTATCAATAAGTCGTGCTCAATAAGTCGTACGAGTTACAGTCCGAAGTGCCAAAAAGTCTGCAAAGCACAAGGACTTGTGACCTCAATACTATTTCAATTTTAACTTGTTGCATATTATCAGAATACTCGTGCTAAACGCAATCGAACTAGGTCGTCTTCGACTTGGCTGGGAACACCAGTGGTATACCGCAATTCGCATGTTGAGAGCTGCACCCGCTTATGAGATGCACCTACATCGACCAATCATATGAAGCGATCTACATATTTTTATCTAATCAGACCAATTATTATACCCGGCAAATAAGATATAACCACAATATTACAGTTGTGACTTCTACAACATGTTGAATTTTGTATATGATACTTTTAAGTACGAATACAGATCAACATTACCGGGGTGAACATAGGGTGCAGCTCTCTACATGCGAATTGCGGTAAACGCTGGTGATGGTACCGGTGCTAATTGCCATGATAAGGGAGAACTGTGGCCCGCGTGATTCAAGGGCGTGGCCCCTGCGGGGCCACAACCATGAATATCGCGCGTGCCGCAGTTCACTTTCTGAAGCTGGTGCATGGGTCTGTTGACGTGCATTTCCTGCCTCAGTCTGTCTTGCTGAAAGTTGCCGTTGAACCTGTTCGGTCGACATCCTTCTGGCTGGTGTAGCACGAAGGTTGCACCAGGTTACGCTAACGCGTCCAATTAATCCGTTGGCCCTCATTCTTCGGGTGTTCCCAGTATAAATGCGGTTTAAGTGTTTTACGAGTGATAATAATATTGATCAACTTCAAACGTGATTATCTCGAAAACTGCAAATGTTTTTGTTTGATCGGGCTCATGTTATAAAGTGTAAATCAAAGTGTTGATGAATTTTGAGATGGAACGTTTTGAGTGTATTTTGAACTTTGATGCTGCAAATTTGGCACAAAGTGGTCAAACTGAGTTGTTGTGATTTTGTGCGCTCTATTTTAATATTAAAATATGACTAATATACGTTACATTGCCTAGCGCTAGTGTTCTTGTCTGTCGAATTCTCTTCATCTTTCGGCGGTGACCAGTCCCAGCCAAAGCGAATCGGTATTCACAGGCCCACAACAACTTCAGTTCTGCAATGCTCAGATGCCAATCCTCTCCTTGTAAATTTTTGAGCCCAAGCCACCCACTGTCAGTGCATGTACTCAGTACAGTACCGTAGCCACCCACGATTTTTCTGTTTTGGAATCCGAAAGTGTCGTCTGGCAACAACTTACATGCATTTGTTCAACATTCTTGCTGGTCACAATTCCAAACAGCGCGAACCAAGTATGACACAACGCTACATGTAATCATAAATCCTTCTCCTGCCGCTCGAACGAGGAAACAATCGCTGGCTACCAAATGTGTGCACCAAGACGCACTGTGGTCTGTCCGGGTTCAACACTCGCCAACGGAGATTCGTTGCTCGATGTCAGCTCAGCAACATCTCGGCGGCCGACTTCTCTGCGAAGCTGCCGCTGCGTCCGCGCATTCTCCTGCCTGTTCGAGGTCCGCCCTTCGGAGCATCGACTGGCAGGCACGCAGCTATCAAACGAGTCGCCGCTGATTTTTTGACGTGCACTGGAGCGCTCGCTACATTGCGTCGTGCATGCCGCCGCCTGCTTCAACACTCACGCTGCTGATTCTTGTCGCCTGCTTGGCGCACAAAACTCAGGATGGGTGTGGCCGGGCTTTGACTCATCAGAACGGAGCTCCGGCGAGTGTAGCCACTTGTGGCAGCTCACCAAGCTTTCGGACGCGGTGTCCAGCCACCCGATCCCGAGTTTTGCATTTCTGCGTCCGTGTCAACACGACCAAGCAGCGCTGCGCCACGTTGCAGTGGTGTTGCGTGTTCGTCACGCCGTTAGCTGAGATTTCCATCTCATTTCAAGCTTGGACCGCGTTCCCGGCCGCCACCAGCAGCGGGCGGTGAGCAGCATTTTCAGTCGCGCATCCGCCGCCGCCGCCGTCCTGCAAAGTGCAGAGACCGCGGATGTAAATCAGCGTTGGCTCAGAAACGAGGCGAGCGATGGCTGGGGCAGACGTAAACGCTGCCGCGGTGAGCAGCTCGAAGAGGAAAAAAGTTAATCCAGCAAGTTGCAGGATTGCATCTCCTCCGACACTGCCAGTGTCCAGTGTCACTGGAGATTGCCTGCACTCACACATAAAAAACTATTGTGCTCCATTGTAAGCTGCGCGTGCGTGCGTACCGATACCAATCGTTGTACATGTACATGTATTCGAGCCGAGTCGCGGCATGATGGATGATGTACGCGAGCCAAAAATCCCGGGCCCGGGTATGGGACGCGAAAGACTTCCGCGCAGCTTGTCACGCGTAAGTGTATGCTCCTGTCTTCCTCGCCTTTTCTCGGCCACGCGCAGCACTGTCCAAGGCTTGATTCCTCGCGGCTGCTGCCTGCCGCGCGGCTTCTCTCCGCCTTCGCGCTCGCCTTCCGGCCTGCCTGCGTCACCGTCCAGCTCAAGTCGCTTTTTTTCAGGCAGGATGCGCTCCGCCACACGCGACTCGGCCGAGCCTTGCAGTGCTGCACACAGTACACGTCGACAAGCTACACGTCCGTCCGTCGCGAATTAGATCCGACTATCTGGGGCGCAGTCTCCGCTGCGGGTCATTCGTGAACACGCCGACCGACTGCCGACCTGCCCGCGGAATTGAACGCGCCAGGAGCACCAACGAGGTCGGTCATGCCCGCTGCCAGCTGCTCCGAAGTGGAGCAGGCGTGGCTCGATGCCGGGCGGCGAGGAGACGTCAAGGCCATGCTAGGTCTCCGCAAACAGCACCCCAAGTGGCTCGCGCTCGACCGCGTACGTAGCCATCTTCGAGTGTGCGCGCGAGTACTACTCTTGCGCGCTTTGGCTCGTCCGATTAAGCAGCGATTTGCCTGCCTGCAGACGCGGCTGACTGATGCACATCGTCTTGTGTTCCTGCGTTGCGCTGATGGCCATGGCAGGTTGTCGCGGCCGAGTGCAGTCCCAAGAATCGAGACGAAGGAGATGAAGCGCCGTCCTTCTGCGACTGGGAGAAGTTCCACCTGCCGACGGTGGGCGCCTCGGCGCTCCACGCCGCCGCCTGGGACGGCGAGTACGAGGTGCTGGAGTTCCTGCTGAAGGAAGGCCAGCAAGTGGACGAGCGCGGCCGACGAGGGGTGACGGCGCTCATGGCCACGCTCATGAGGCACAACGTGCAAGCTCTGCGCGCCGTGTTCCAAGGAACCGCGGTCGTGCAGCTCAACACCGTCATGGATGTACGTGGTCTGCAATCGAGTTGAGCTGCTGAGACTGAGGCTGACCGTTGGCTTTGTTGTTGAGCAGTGTCGGGAGGAGGACGAAGAGCGACTGAAGCACACTCTGAGAGTGGTGAAGCTGCTGCTGCGTCACGGCGCGAAGACGGAGGCATGTGACAACGAGGGCAAGACGGCGCTGTTCCTCGCGACGAATGACGAGCTGTTTGAGGTCGCCAAGCTTCTGCTGGAGAATGGAGCGCGTCTGGACGCGCAGGACTCGATTGGTAGGTCCCCGCTCCACGCGTGCTTGCGCGCTTCCCCCGAGCAGAGCGTGCTGGTGACGAACCTGCTGGTCTCGCGAGGCGCGCCGATTGATCTCCCGGACAAGACGGGCGAGACGCCGTTCACGATTGTTGTCCGGCACGGGGACATCACGGCGCTGCAGCTGCTGCTGAACCACCACTCGCTCGTGGCCACGCCTGCGAGGCAGGATTTCTCCGGCGCGGTGCTGTTGCACGCTGCGGAGCTCGGCGTCGTGGACGTTGTGCGATTCTTGCTGGACGGCAAGTACACGAGCGTCGATGTCGTCAACGCTCGAGGCGAAACGGCGTTGCACCTGGCCATTATGAAGCAACGCAAGGCGCTCGTTGAAATGCTGTGCAAGTCAAAATCTGCAGAGCTGCTGCTCGCTGCTCGAACGAAGGGCAAGGGCGAGTCGGTTCTTCACTACGCCGCGCGCTTCGGGTCTCCTTCGGACCTGACGTCGGTGCTGTCGCTATTAGGCAAAGGAGGCTCATCCAAGGTGAATGTCGCGAGTGCTCAAGGTTTGACTCCTCTGTACCTGGCTACCACGGCATCTACGGCTGGCTCGCCGAGTGAAAGGCGTGCCAAGGTTGCCCAGCTCGAGAAGCTCGGCGCGTCGCTCTTTGCTAGCGACGCGCTTCTCTTCCGAGAAGTCAAGAATGCTGCAGGCGTCGCGTTAGTGGCCATGAACCCTGCTGTCCGACGCTGTCTGGCGCTGTGGATGGCCGAGTGCAGCGCGTCGTCGCCGACCGCGTTCTCCGACTTCTGCGTCAACTGGGTCGCGTGCGTGCAGCGCCCCCAAATCAATCCGACCAAGAAGCTGCAGCCTCCGTTCCAGCACCGTGTCCCGCTGACGCCGGCATTGACCGCGTTTGTCTGTGCTGGTTACGCGCCGGATTCGATCCCCCTGCTTCTGTCGCTACCGCTGAAGCTCGAGACGGCGTCGCGCTTCCTCGAGCTGCTGAAGACATTGGTCGCCGACACGAAGCACGCATTGTTGCAGAAGCTTCAGATGGAGTTGCAGGCGGGCTGGAAGATCAGAAGCAGCGTGGCCAGCGCCCCGAAGGCTGGAGCGTCAGTGAAGGCCAAGGAGTAGCGGGGTGGGGCGCGAGTGAAGTGCGCAAGGACGAGGGAAGATGAAGGGCGAGGAGCATGGCAAACTATGCGAACGAAGCAGCCGCCCATGTACAATCGCAGTATGAGAGAGAACGAGAGCCGCCCGAGTGCGCGTTGCGGCCGAAGATGCAGGTAGTCAAAGTAGCATTTAGCCACGTACGATACGAATATAATGACCTCCTTGACACGACCACCTTGAAGTGAAGTGGCTTTTTGACTGACGTCAGCGTGGCACCACCACCAAGCAGCCTGAGATCACGACAGTACGTACAGCAAGCGAAGTGTCGATGAAAGGGGACCAAGCTACGCGCAAAATCGTGAGTTTTTATTTACTGCTTATGACAGAGAAGAGAGAGCGTGCGCATGCAGTCTCTCTAAACGCCGACTGGTGCTGCTGGTTAGCCAGCAACTTAGAGGGTCTCGGCGTCCGGGGCGATGGGCACGAGGTTGCCGGCGCCCTTGAAGGTCTCGAGGATGTTGGCCTGCTCGCTCAGGATGAGGCGGTCGCGGTTGTTGCCAAGCTCGGCCAGCTTGCGCCAGCGCGCGTAGTCCTCGGGGTTGCGCTTGTCGCCGTGGGCATCCTCGGGGTGCTCCCAGTGGCCCTTGGAGAAGCCGATCATGGTCGTGATCTTCTGGTTCTTGATGTCGTACACGAGCGACACGATTGTGCCGGTCTCCTCGAGCCAGTTGCACTGCCAGAGCTCACCGGGGCGGATGCACTGGAAGGCCACGGTCTGGTAGTTGAGACGGCCGGCCATGGGGCCGCCGTGGATCGAGTACACGATGCGGTTCTCCGAGAAGAACCACATCTCGTAGCGCCACTTCTCGGGCTTGCCGTCCGCGCCCTCGGCGTCGTAGTCGTACAGCAGGTGGAGGTCACGGATGTCCTCGTCGAACGACGGGTGCAGGGGCGTGTTGGTGTGGTATCCGGGCACTTGCATCGGCATGTTGCTTGAGACTTCTTGGGGACTGGATGGAGTGCTTCCGAGACGGCAAAATGAAAAGTGAGGAGCCCTCGAGCCCTCGGCACGTGGCCCGAGCCCGAGGGGTCATCCATCCCGAGGCCTGCGCTGGGGAGAGCCCCCCTGTTTTGCTGCACCAGTACCTCGGGGGCGTGGACGTGAAGACCCGGACGTAATCGGGGAGCTCTTGGGCGCCTTCAAGACAGAGTTTCTATGAATTTCACACAGACAGCCAACCCTATCAGTGCAGGCACCAGACGGTGGAGTTGTCCCTACAGCGCGCAAACAGAGGAGGGCGTGGCGCGTTAACCACATCTCGGCAGATGGATGAAGGATGAAGCGCATGCACCTGCATCAACCAAGTATCAACGCAAGAAGATCTCTTTCGTCGGCCGAAGGCGCAGGGCACTGATTAAAGCAACATTGAAATGTTGGCGTTGCGTAACATTGAGCGCAACAATGGTGCCTTTGCCTAACATTGCACAATGTTACGGTATCTCTCGTAGCAGAATATTTGGTTTACCAATGTGACAATAGTGGACACGCGTCGCCGAGAGTCATTAAAGCAACATTGAAAATCAGCCTCAATGTGTGGGATCAATAACATTGATGGGGTCCAATGTTGCATGATCGCTAACATTGACGCAATGTAAATTTCGCATGCACCTGCATCAACCAAGTATCAACGCAAGAAGATCTCTTTCGTCGGCCGAAGGCGCAGGGCACTGATTAAAGCAACATTGAAATGTTGGCGTTGCGTAACATTGAGCGCAACAATGGTGCCTTTGCCTAACATTGCACAATGTTACGGTATCTCTCGTAGCAGAATATTTGGTTTACCAATGTGACAATAGTGGACACGCGTCGCCGAGAGTCATTAAAGCAACATTGAAAATCAGCCTCAATGTGTGGGATCAATAACATTGATGGGGTCCAATGTTGCTTTAATGACTCTCAAGGCGCGGTGCCGTCGATAAGAAGAGGGAGAAGGAGACTGGGCGAGCAGGAAACATTAAGCTCACGTTGCAGCAGAGCGCACCCCGACGCTCCTTCTCTACAGATTCGTCACGCGCTTCGCCTTGAATCCCCGCGCTAAGCTCCTTTTCTGCCATCAGCTGCCCCAAGAAGAAGCTTCGCAGATGGGAGCGGCGAGCACGTTTGATTTGCTCGAGCAGCAAGGGAAAAGGCCGCATCGCACCGCTCCGTCGGTTGCCAAGTCCGCCAAGACGCTAGCATAAATGAAGGACTGTAGGGCCAAGGACGTCAAATGTAGGCGGCAAAAAGCGTTGGAGGCGATCGCTGAAGCTGCGTTGAACAACACACAGCTGAATTGTTTTCATTTGGTAGTCGCCCAATGATTAATCGAGCGCGAAACGAGGAAGACTTGCTAGTTTGCTACAAGTTCCGTCCCGTTACGCCACCGAAATGGACGCCTTTGATACTGTTGCTGCTGCTTCACAGGACTTGAGGGATGAGCGTTCTCATGAGGTGTTATCCGCGGCCGATGACGCCAACCTCCTCTGTACGGCGGGCTGGCACCACCACACCACTGTACCGTATTGTAGCACTGGTGTCGCTAAAGAAATTCATCAACTAGGTCCTCGACAGTGTCGATCCTGTCCATCAAACGTCCTCCATGCTCAACATTATTCGGCGTCCAAGAGCATTATTATACACCTTAATTCAAATTCTACATGTAGCATTGTTTTTTTCTGCTGAATTTCCAAGCCCAACCTGAGAGCTTGGGAACTCCACGACTGCTATCCGGATACAGTATGTATGATACCGATGCCAACTCTTCCTGATTCAATCGCTGCTGCGAAAAAGACATGGATAAGCTGCCCCGCGCACTCATCCAGGGGCAACACAGCCGGCAGCTTCGTGCCTGCGTCTGACTTGTGCATGGACTCGATGAGCTTCATCATATGAAGTTTCTTCCTGCGACGAAATGCACGAAACCAACCTAGACACAACCACGTGGATCCATTACTTTGGATTTCTAGCCTGCACGCAGCACATTCTTCAATGCGACAAATCCATCGAGCTACAGCGTCTCGGCATCGGAGGCAATGGGCACGAGGTCGCCCGGGCCTCGGAAGTTTTCCAGGATCTTGGCCTGTTCGCAGAGCACGAGGCGGTCGCGTTGGTTGCCGTACTCCGCGAGTTTACGCAGCGGGCAAAGTCCCCGGGGTTACGCTTGTCACCGTGCGCTTCCTCGCTATGCTCCCAGTGCCCCTTGGAGAACGCGCACATGGTGGTGATCATCTGCTTCTGGATGGCTCACGATCGTGCCGGTCTCTTCAAGCCAATTGCACTGCCAGAGCTCGCCCGGACGAATGCACTGGCACGCCACCGTTTGGTAGTTGAGCCGGCCGGCCATGGGTCAGCCATGAATGGAGTACACGATACGCGTGGGCGACATGCACCACAACTCGCAGCGCCACTTCCGCACCTGGCCGTCCTCCTCCTTCACGTCGTAGTCGTACACGAGGTGGAGGTCGCGGGTGTCCTTGTCAAACGAGGGGTCCAGCGGCGTGTTGGTGTGGTACCCGGGAACTTGCATCGGCATGGTGACTTGAGCTTGAGCTTGAATACGCTTGAAGTACTTGGGTGTTGCCAGGGTGGCAAGTCTTGAAATGAGGCCGGAGTGGGTACCTGCTGCGTGTGCTTGGAGGAGGGAAAAGGATGCGAGAACTCCCTCGAGAGGCTTTTCGGCATAACCCCTGACAAATCGCGGCAGCTTCAATTTGTGTCCAAGATTCATGGTACCGGTATGAAGCTCGAGGCATAAAACACGAGGTTCTCGTGACGAGAACACCGTTCATGCTCAGACTTCACCAATAAAGGTGGTCTGCCTTCTTGACAACTAGCTAACTCTTCATTCTACACCGACATTCTACTGGCGGGGGGGGGGGGGGCTCACATATTGCTCGAAGAGGAAGCAACACCCAGCTTCCGTTGGCGACAGATTCAACAAGACAAAACTGCAACCGCAACATAAAACCCCCATCGGTTCATCAATCTACTATGGCATTGCTTGTCGATGCCTGCTCTACATCGCAGCATAGTCGCCGAACTGCCCGTACACGTAGTTGCGATCGTCCCCTAGGTCCATTAACATGGATTCCTCTTCGCGCCTCAACGCTCTCCACGCGAACCCGACGAGCGTGAGACCCAACAAGAGCCCGGCAACACTGACACTGACGATCACCGCCACTACCAGCCTGGACAACCCGCCACCGTTGCCGTCACTCGGACTCTTCTCCGCTGCGTCGTCGTTGTCGTTTGGCCTTGGGATGAAGTCGGCTGCGGGCTGCACCACCGTCGTGTTGTGCGTGTCATCCACAGTGACCGCTGCGTCTTCTCCTGCATTGTCAACCAAGACCCCCGACGAATCCGTCGCCAACACCATGGCAACAAGGGACAAAACCATCGCCAGCACCAGCCCGAGGCGCCGCATCTTGCACTCACTCCGCTGCAGCGGATCCGCTCGCACCGTTTCGTGTCCCCTCGAGATTTTTTTTCAGGTTCCAGGTTCTAGTTCCAGTTACGCACACTTTCTATGTTTCCCACATCATTTCCATTTTGCAAGAGCCAATCGAGCCGTCGCTTCGGTTAAAGAGTGTTAACCATGGCGGCCAAGTTTTCCATGGCCAACACCTCCGGGCTGTTCGACTCGGCGGCCCATGTGGAGGCCTCGGACCGCATGCAGGGCGCCATGGAGGAGCTGAAGGTGAAAAACGAGCGGCAAGAGAAAATCCGCGCGCAACAACTGGAGCAACAGGAGCGAGAGGACAAGCAGCGCGCGCGGCGGCTGGAGGAGGCGCTGGCGGCCAAGGCGGCGCAGCAGAAGGAGGACCGCTCCTATGTGGGCCAGCAGCAGCAGGAGGACGAGCTGGACTCGGATGACGAGGCCCTGCTGGACGAGCTGGACGAGGACCCGGAGCTGGAGCGGTTAGACACTTTCTTTAACCACAAGTTTAAACTAGTGCTAACCTTGTGTGTGTTTAAAGTTGCTAACTAGAGTTTTGTTGATATTTGTAGGATACGCGCGGCGAGGCTCAAGCAGTTGAAGAGCGAGTTCGAGGAGAAGCAGACGCTGCTGGCAAAAGGCCACGGAGAGTACCGCGAGATCACCCAGGACGAGTTCTTGAAGGAGGTCACGGGCAGTCCCTTGGTGGCTGTGCACTTTTACCACCGGGACTTTGAGCGCTGCAAGATCATGGACATGCACCTGGCAAAGCTGGCAAAGAGCCACATCGAGTGCAAATTCCTCAAACTGAACGCGGAGAAGGCCCCGTTCTTCGTCGAGAAGCTCGTGATCCGCGTGCTGCCGACGGTCGTGTGCTTCAAGGACGGCGTGGCGTTCCCGGACCGAGTCGTCGGCTTCGACGGTCTCACGGAGGACGAGGAAGAGGCCGAGCTGGCAAACTTTGGATCCCGGTCGAACCACCACGCCACGTCCAGTGACAACTTCCCCACCGCTGCCGTACGTTGATCCATTTTTTGTTTTTGTTTTTGCATGCTGTTTAACAACTTTCACTAACCTATGTTGCCTTGCAGCTCGCCCGCAAGATGGTGGAGATCGGCGCCATTCGCGAGAAGGACGACGCCGACGAAGCAGAGTAGACTGCTTACGTAGGATAAGCAGGCAAGTGACGCGTTAATGCACTCAACAATACCCCCAAAAGCACCGATCGCAACCCGAGCGTGCTCATGCTTAACGTGGTAACGCGCTCGGATAATTGATAGCCCCACTGACGTGCACCGCTATCATAGTCGCTTGAACTACCGGCGCCCAGTACGATGGCAGTCCTATACCCAAAACTCCAGGTAAGGTTCGTGAAATGGTTGTTAGTTTTGCTTACGCTCTTTATTCTGTGGCGACGTAGTCCGTTTCGACAGACATTGGTGTCGAGATTCGCTCTACTCGTGGTGGGGCTCTCCACGGGAGATCCCCCCATGGCGACTCCTCTAGCGATGAATCGCGCGAAACGATGAGCGTGCTTGACAAGTCTTCACGAGGAAAAGCGCAACTCCAAGTTGAATCTGCAGCAACGCACTTGGCGTCCACCGGAGCAACGCAGTCGGTCCCATTGAACGTGTGCAGACTGGAGTGGCAGTCGGCTACGGCGACATCCCCCTTGAGCGGACATGCTGTTCCTACTGGAAGATCACCAAGACCAGAGCATACTGGTCCTCGAGAGGAATCGACGGCGTAGGTTGCATCGAGCTGCACAGTGACCGTCAAGTCTGCAGTCACTAGCTTGGTAGTTGCCAGCACCAGGATTGTTGCAGCTGTGGACTTCGCCATGGAGGGGCTCGATGCCAAGGTAGCAAATTGAAGACTGAGCTCTACTTGTTCAACAAGTAGAGCTCAGTCTTCAATTCTTGTTGGCACACCCAAGTGAGATCTTGAAAGGACACCGTGTGCAGGTCTGTTTCGGGCACTCGATAGTAATGCGCGTGATGTTGCACCGTAGCTGGAAAATGGTAGAGTTCTGCCCAGTACTGGCAAGAAAATACTAACGCCAGTCTTCAATTGTCGGGTACCTGTCTGAAACCTTAGAAACGAACAGCAAATTAGCTGACGGTCGAACCCATTCGAGCGAAAGCCGCGCCCTGAGCCTTCACGTTGTAACGTCTCTGTGTTTGTGAGTCACAACTGAAGGTGCTGCACATAGAGTGTTGAGGTACAGGTATGGGTGATATTTATGAGCTGTTACTTTAGCACTATTCGGCTGTTGCCCACCTACAGCCCCTGTTCACCCGTCATGAGCCCTGTTCTGCTGTTGCTTTCTGTTTAACCTGCTACTTTCTTCATGGATTTCTCCTGAGATGTGTGTACTGTGGATTACAGACCCCAGCAATAAATCTTACTCCGAGTTGTGGGGGCAGGCCCATTCGCAGGAATGCTCGGCAATGGTTTCCGCCTCTGGAAATTCCGGGCGGCCCTAATTTGCTAGTACAGTAGGGTTTTCTTCGGCTACGTGCCCTTGCAATCGCTCACTACCTTCTGCTACATGAATTTACTTAGTACAGCGCTATTGTTTTACTTCTGTATCCTACGGATTCTCAATAGCAAAGAGCAGTCCACTTGCAAGTTACTAGCTATGGGAGTAGCCGATGTACGTTTGACTGAAGTGCTTTGGATGAAGCGGTTTTGAATTATCGAAGCGAATCGCAGCTTGAGCCCGCAACTGGCGTTTAATCTAAAATACTACGTAGTATTTGTTGGAGAACAACAGCATACCAGGGTCCTTGACAGGTCAGTAGGAGCTGTACGGTACCAACAGCTCGACAGTGCTGGAACAACAGGTATTAATTATTTTCGTACAGGTATCGTTCATACGCACGCTTTGTATTACTGGCGAATGGTTGAAATGCAAATTTCATTGCCACAACCAACATCCTTTGTGGCTCGCACTAATACGGCCACGCTTTCTTGAGCCTCTTCTCGAAGTTGACGTCATTAAACGGAACTTCTGCCTCCCCGAAGTCCGCCGTATTCAGCGCCATCCTGGCGGCATCCGTCAGTTGCTCCCACATGATGAGGTCGTAATCCCCGCCGCCGCCACTGCAGCGCAAATACATGGGACCCAGGAAATACGGGATCGCATGCTCCAGCACCATCGTCACGTACGGTCCACCGTTAACTGATGCGAGGCAAGCGTTGTCGCCACTTGGCGGTGCCTCTTTATCGTACTTGGTGTCCGACGTTGAGTACGAAAGCCCTGAGACTGTTGGTGACGCAGCCTCGGGGTCGTCCAGCCAGACCACCGCGCTCGCCCAGTCGTGGCGCCTCACTGGCCAGTCCGCGGAGAAGCCATTCGGGAAATACCATGCGTACAAAATGGCGTACTTTCCTTCATACCACATCGATCGGCCGTACACTTGCGCTCCCAGAGGTGCTTCGCGACAGCCAGTAGTCCCCCCGGAGCCCTTCAGCCCGCCATTCGTCTCCCCGGCCGCGTTCACAGCAGGGAAAACCGCGCAGCCTTCTTGATCGTCCATTGTAGGTTTGTACTTGACACCAAGCTTCTCCGAAAGAGTCACGGGCTCGCGCTGGGCGAACGGTTGAACCTTGTCATGGTCGATGGAGACTGCGTCGACTACCAGCAGGATTGCAGCGACGAAGACAACTTTGAGCGCGTGCATTCTTCGGTGCTTGCTCTGACGGTGCTTTTCTGAGGACCTCAGAATGCACTTCAAATAATATACCGAGATGGGCGATGGTTATTATTAATATTATAGCGTTAGATTTGCCATAACGCTATCGCTGAATCATTCCTGACAAATGTCTTTACGCTCAATGATAGCACTTTGGGCCCGATGATTGCACCAAATACTGTAGTTCTGAGCTCCAGCAGGACCGCAGTATAATAGTGGCGACAACTTTTGGATAATGCATCGGTGCCTGCAGCCGATGTAAGGCAACGTTACAATTACACTGCAAATGTATTATATATATATATATTACTAATATATTTGTTTTTACTGGGATAGGAAGCAACGTTAGTGCTGCTATCGCAGACCAAATAGGATTATTCTGAGATAGCATGTGTACCGTAAGGTATGCTGCTACGCAGCCGGCACAGGATTAAATCGGTGTCGCATGAAGCCGTGCGTGTTTAAGTATCCATCATATATTGAAATTTTATGAAAGTAAACTGAATAGGTCACCTAAATAATTATCTAGTCGGTCTCTATCGGTGAGGAAGCATCAATCGCATCATCAAGTTTCATTCGAACCATTTCCCATTCTCACGCCCGACCCGAAGACGCAACACCAGGCCGAAGTTACAGCCGCTGTTGCAGCTAATAGCTTGCTTGTATTTGATTATTAACAGCGCGGAGGTAAGCTTAAGAAAGTAAATTGATATTATCGCAAGTGGGTTATTGCACTAAGAAGCTGCTTATCTGGTAGTTGTGGATGTTTATAATACAATACGTACAGCGTGGACGACTGGTGCACCGCAAGTGCGGCGCGCCTAAGTCGTGTGCGCTGTGCGTATATCTGTTCTGTTTTATTTTCGCTATCTCAGCCCCCGCGAAGCCCTAGTATCCGTGGTACGTCAAGTCAAAAGGTGAACCCTCTTGACACCTAACTGGTACATTGTCCTGAAACCGGTGTGACCCCGGTGCCGCACTGGGCCCTCCTAAAGGTTTACATGTATATGCGTGGGCAGATTGAACCGGTATGAGTCAGTAGAATGATTGAAGCGGGCGAACCGCATACAAAGGTAAACATTTTCATTTTCTACAAACTACAAACAGATCTCGAGCAAGGTTCGTTTTATCACTGTGTATAAGCACCGCCAAGGCATATCATGTATCTACAGTTTTGAGGTGAATTACCGGGCAGACGCTGCGGCTGCGAAGCAAGCGCAGGAGATGCCCGTGGTTCGTAAAAAAAAAACTCATAATAATAGAAAGCGATTATACCAAAAAACTCCTATCCCGTAGAGTCCATCCTTCTAGGGTACCATGTTTTTGGTACAGGTCCGATAGATCCCTATAGTCCGATATTTCATGGTATGGAGTATCATCAATTCTTTATTTTACAGTACTGTACATGTTTTTTTTGTCCATTTTCGGTGTAGAAGCCCTCAATTTGGCTCAACCCAGGCTTAGGAGCTTTAGGACAGCTATTTAGATCTCATAAGGGTGTGACTTTCCTTGAAGTGATCCTTCATCAATGGAGAGTGTGCTCGAGTAGTTCTCACCCTTTACACTATTGTAAGTCGCGTGTCCAAAGGGCGTGACCAGATCCGTTCATGACCTGTAATAATGATAACCCATACTCGAGTGCGAAAAAAATGTGGTTTCCTGGATAGCGGGGCGGTATTGACGTTATTGACGATCTAACGCGATCATCGGATTTTGATTGCGGATATTACCTTGACCGTTGAGTCTAGTTGGCATCTTCCGTTTCCCACACAGAAGAAAAAGGAAACCCGAGCCTAAAAAACAAACAAATTCACTCCTGAAAATTCCAAGTGAGACACAAGTGAACTTTACCTGACCATGCACTTCCGAATGCTTGTTGTCGTATTCACGGCCACCTTCCTTGCTGTCGACGGCATTTCAACCGACCACGACAAAGTCAAGCCGCACGCTCAGCCTGAGCCCGTCACGATAGCAGAGAAGGCTGGCGTCAAGTTCAAGCCACGGATGTCCATCCGCGAGGGGTGTGCGTCATACCCGGCAGTGAATGAGGCCGGTGAGACCAGTGGACCAGTGGAGGTCTTAAGGTGAGCGGAGGATCTCCAGGGTGTGAAGGTTCTCCATTCGGGTCCCAGGTTTACGGGTGCGCGGCGTGGCACAACGATCTGTACGCCATCGTGTACGCCTGGTACTTCCCAAAAGGATTCTCGGGGCCTTCGCCGTCAAGGCGCCATAACTGGTCCAGTGCCGTCGTGGGGCTCGACAACCCAGACGTGGCCACACCAAAGATCATGGGGCTTTTGCTGTCAAACTCCGCTAACTCAATGTTGGTGAACCATCAAATAGCAAATGACTTCAAAACTTGATTCCATGCCGCGTTAAACTTGTACTCCCTCCAGTTTGCTCGATTGTTCTCTCCAGCTACCCAAGCTCAGACGAGCTGGATACGGGTCCACAGTATCCAAAATATGAACCTGGCTGGATGAAATGCTTCTCGTCGTGCCTTCCAAAATAACAATGAGGTTGAACCTCACAGCATATCTGTATTTCCAGATCACAGTAACTTTGATTCAAATTCCCACAGCCATGCTGAAGAATTCCATTTCATTTAAACGAAGAACCACTTAATAAAACTATCCTACCTACTCAGTTACTGCTGACTAGTGTCCTCTACTCTTTCTCTATACTCACCAGTTTAAGAAAGCGCGGTGACATCCAGATGCAGCAGATCGCTCCACGCAATCGTCGTCGGGTACACGAGCATCGACGTCTCCTTCACCGTGTTCTTGTCCATTTCGTGCACGAAGATGTTGGTGAAGCGCACTCGAGTGAGCTTCATGACGATCAAGGGAGCAGATCCTGCGCGCCGATGAGGAACTTGCCGTTGACCACGAGGAAGCCGTTGCAGTAGACCGCGTCGATCGTCGCGATGAGCTGGTTGTCGTGCACCGCGTAGTTGTCGTAGCTCGAGATGACGCCAAAGCGGTTGGTCAGAGCCGCTCCTGTAGCCACTTCGAAGGACGTGAGGCCGTTCTGCTGCAAGCCTTCCCTGTAGGCGCTGGACCGTCGACGAGCTGTCATTGTAACGTGGTCTCCGGTCGCTACGACTGGCACGCTGGTGTACCGAGTCGACTTCCGACCGATAATGTACGCGAGCATGAACACGATGGGGCTGCAGATGGGAGAAGACGACTGGCTTCCGGTCGCTTTCCAGCGGGTATGCCGTCATGAGCTGCATCGGAGAGAGACCCTCGAGCCCCGAACTCACGTCCAGCAGACCCAGAATCGTATCAGCCCACGCGAAGGTCGCGATATGCGTGGGCCAAGGCGGGGAACAGCTTGGCGAGCTGCACTCGGTACGTCCAGCCCAACTCGAACGTCAGATACGCCACCAGTGGGTCGACCCTCTCACGCGCGAGATAGCTCAAGACGCTGGCCAGATTCAGATACACAGACCACAAGTTGGCGTGCACGAGCTCTGGGCGGTAGTAGATGACGTGCTGGTCCGTGATGGAGTCTCCGATGGAGATGCACATCTTGGTGATGGTCCAGTACCCGTTCAAGTGGCTGCAGAAAATGACGATCACGCCTCGGTACAGCAGCGAGTTCGAGATGGTGGCGAAGGCGTCGCCCACCCAGACGTGGCCCATGCGCAGACGCCGATAGATGATGAACGCCAGTACGCTCAGGTTGAAGATGTCATTGAGGGCGAAGGCGCCGTGGATAGCGTGCGTCCAGGCCCACGAGTCGTGTAGTACAGCACGAGTATACCACCTCCATTCTCGCAGCTCGGTAGCGGCGTCAGTGGGTAGGTCCCAATGCGCTGTCTCGATGTTGGACTGTGCGGTTGGATCACTCCTGTATCGCCCAAAACGTCGAGCCATGCGCACAGTTTTGGCAGGGTCTGCGTTGTGTTGGTTTGGGAAAGTTTTCAAAAGCCAGTAGTTGTCTCCATCAATCCCTTCCAGTTCGGAGTAGGCAAACGCTGGGTCGGATACGTAGGGATAGTTGAGCGTCACCGTGAGCTGACGCTCCAGCGTGGTGGCCTGAGTATCGTTGATAGGTGCGAGTTGGAGAATTGCAGCGGGTCCTCTCTGGAATTGTTGAGCCACTTGGTAGTCTTGCGCCGACAGCGAAGTCGACAGCAGTAACACTTGTTCGGTGTCGCTCTGGTTACGCACCAGGTAGTACACGCGGACGGCGGTTGGGTCGCCAAGCACCAAAAGACCAAACGTGCAGTCCACGACGGGGGCTACCAGCTCCATTTCTGAAATAATAATAATGTTGAGGTGCATTGAGTTACTGGCTCACGCCGAACCCCTTCCGCCTCGAATTGAAGAGGGCTGGGAAACGCTACTTATTATAAATGCAAAAGGTATATATCCAGAGGGAGGACTGTCACCGTGGTTCGCCCTCTCTCGCTGACAACCAGTGAGTACAGTCCCCGCTAAGGTGGCTCAGTATTCCTGGGTAGCGCCAATCTATCATCTCATCTGTTGTCGGTTCATCTTCCTGGCTGCGTCTTGAGTCCATAGCCAGATTCGCTATACAGTCTGCCATCTTATTATGCCGCCTCAAGTGGTGGGTCCACGATACTATTCTGGCCATGTCCGCCAGCGGTCGAGCGCGGTCATACCAGCCTTGGAGCTTGCGAGACTTTGGCCTTCGTCGTTCTTTCATCATCCGCAGGATCAGCTGGCTGTCGCCAACAATATGAACTGTGGGTAGCTTCCGTTTGGCTACAAAGAGCAGAAGACTGTAAAGTCCTCGGAACTCCGCAACGTTGTTGGTGCATCTGGTCCCTGCGAGTGATGTACTGCATATCCAGATAATCTTTGGTGCACCTACTCCAAATTCGACCAGGACGCTGCCACTCCCCCCGGGACCTGGGTTACCCCGTGAACCTCCGTCGAAGAATCCGACATACTTCACCGTCGATTCGGGTTGGGTGAGAGGGTTCTCAATCGCGACTCCACTTTTATAGCGCAGCATTTTTCGAATTTCCATGGCCGCTACCCACTCTCCGTATTTTTCCCCCGTAAGAGGAAACGAGAATGCAATGTTGTCGAATCCTTCCTGCAGTTGCCGTCTTAAGAGAGCCCGCCGTTCATCTACCGTGGGTATTCTCGACTCAGTACTGCGTATTAAGTCCAGTCGTACTCTCCATATCAAGCTGATAACCTGCATCACTGCGTATTTCCAATACTTATTGACCACCTCCGCGATGGTATCCGTTGTCATGTCTTGATCTTTTTTGTTGTTACTGTCTAACCAGGCCGTCCTGAAAGCAATGCACCTCGACGGCGGGTAGTCCAAACTGAAAGAGAAAATTTCCTCTGGCCCATGAGTCGTGAACAGCTTAAGCATCCAGCTCCATGCTTGTTGAGCGAAGTGGCAATCCCAGAAAACATGTCCCAACGATATATCAAGGTGTTCGCATTGGTCATGGGGGCATGCAATTGCCTTGCGATTCTTGATCCACAGCGACAGAGCGTGAAGTTTGATACGATAAAGTAGGGAGCGCTGATACGTGGAAATCCCAACGATTCTAGCCAAACTGCCCCATGACACCCGTTTCAATGCTGAGCTAACTTTTGGGCAGTCCTTGGTCCATGCTGCTTCGGCTTGAATCACTCTCTTCTCCCCTTTGTTGGTTCGCTTCGCCATGATAGCCGTCCGATATCGAGCTCTCGTGTGAGACCAACGACGCTGGCCCACCCAAATTGCTGCCATTCGCGTCGCCCACACGTGGGGTGCGGTCCATACAGAGGTTCTTGGGACCGCAAGAAACGTTGCGATTTCTTCGTCAAGTAGCGGTGGCGATGAGTGCTTGAACACAACAGGATCCCTGGAACCCCATGTGTGTGTGACGATTAAGCCCGGCAGTGCTTCTATTTGAAATACATGGTGGGGGTCATCGAGTTGGTGTTACCACAATCTGGGAGTTACAATTCTGATGAAGTACAATTGTGGGAAAATCACAAGCACGTCCAGTGCTAGTTCACGAAATTGGTGAGCCAGCTACGAGGTCATGGGGTATTTGTGAAGTACAACATTTTCATGGATCGCGATCATTGTGGGGAAAAATCAACTTCATTTTGAGCTTCTCGGGAGTGGAGTGGCGCGCCCCAACAGATCCCGCCGATCCACACCATGCATCCACTACAGGCTATCGCCTGCCGCGCCGCATATCAGCCTTGCCAGTTTTCTTGATCCGTCCGATGTCAGCACTGGATATTCTTCAAATGTATTAGAGAGTCAGCGACCCATCAACTTGATAATTAGGCGATCGGCGCCCGAGTTCATCAGAACTGTTGCTCCCCCAATTCGAACCGAGTGCGTCGAAACAGCTTTGCATCAAGTTCCGCCGACGCGGCCGCCCGCTTCAGTGTCAGCGCCACCTCTGTCGCGGTAATTCCCTTTCCGGCTCCAGTGGACAAGGCTGGTTGCTCTGCGGCTGTGCCGTAGGACTTGGCTCCTTGCAAGATCCATCGCGCGGCTTTGATGGGGCACAGGACTTCGTCACCTGACCGATGATGAAAACGTCGCTCCTCGCGCCCGAATTGGTTGTTTTTGGCTCCCAGCAACCGGATACCCACCACTTCCGCTCGGTGTGGTTTAGCACGATTTCCTGCTCCGTCTTGAAAGAGGATATCTCCCAGTCGCAGGACGTAGTTGTGGTGTCTCCGCCCGATAAATAGGTATTCGGAGCGCCGTAATAAAAAAAAGAAACCGAGCAACAAACCACCCCACAATAATTGATCCCGTGAACGTCGTAAGTCCAAATCCTGATAGACGAGACGAAGAAGAGCGGGGGAAAGCGGTTGTTGCTTGACAACGGGGTCTGTAAATCTTCGAATTCCACGAAGCAGAATAGCATGTCCTGCATTCACACCGGGGTCGTACCCTGCTGTATGCTTGTGAAACCATCTCACAGCACACAGCTTATTGCAAATCGTAGAGTAGGTGTTTCCCTTTCCGGATCTGTTCATGCCATACCGACAGAGAAATACTGCGAACGCTCCCAACTGAGCAGCATTAGCATCGACAGTGTCTCGATCCATCCACGGATTAAAGCCGAGAGAAGAGCACCATCGTTGCCACTGATTCCAAGCTCGCCGGTATTGCACTCGAGACGTGTCCGCTAGAGCGCCAGCTCGGAGCATTGCTCCCAGAGCTTCCAGAGTTTTCTTGAGCTCTCTGGGACCTGGACCTGTGTCCACGAACACGACATGTCAGAAAATTTCTTCGAGAGCTCCACAGATTGCCACACCCTGCTTCCTGCATCGGCCATGATATTGTCACTACCCGCGATGTGCTGGGCAGAAGAGTAAAAATTATGTTGCACTTCGAAGAGGGCGAGCAATCGCAGCACTACTTGAGCGAATGAAATCCGGCTCGACCGCCGGTTTGCCCAGCAGACCGCTGAAGAATTGTCAATCCAATAGCGGACATGTGATGGGTCATCATCACTTGACTGAGACCACTCTTTGGCCCAGACAATTGACGCAAAGGCGGCACTCATCAGCTCGCGGATGATGATGCTGAAATCATCTGGGCCCGCAGCATGAAACTCAGCAATTCGTTGGAGTTCCTCTTGATCAAATTCCACTTGCACATATTCCTTCTTCGCTGGCCACAGTGCGCAGAGACCTCGGTCGCTCGCGTCCATGAAGATATGGTGATCAGGAGCGCGTGATGCTACAAAACGAGAAAGCGGTACTGAATTGAGTCGGCCGACTCGAATAATTGCTGCAAACCAGCGTAAATCCTCCCGTACATCCTCCGAAATGGCAGAGCGCTGGAAGCGATTTGTCGCTCTGGCTAAAGCCGCTATTCGTTGGAAAAATGGGGCTGTTGCGCGAATACAGGTCGCCACGTGCCGTAGACTCCCAAGAAGTTTATTGAGCTGCTTCCTGGTCGTTGTTTCAGATACATACATGTCATGTATTCGTCCAAGAGCCTTCGTAATCTTCTCCTCCGGCATCGCCAATGTCAATCTCGTCAGGTTCCAATGCAGTCCCAATGCTTTTCCTTCGACGAACCAAGATGTAAACTTTTCCTCATTGCATGCGTGTGGTCCCAGAATCGTGACCATCGCTGTCCGCAGAGAAATACTGGCTTCACTCAACCGGGTCCCCACCTCGGGTTCTATGCAGATGTGGTCGTCGCACCAATCTTTCCCATCGAAGTTCCCATTAGCTGTGGCACCTTGCTCGGGCCACGTCGGCGATGACTGCGCGTGCAGATGAACTATTGCCCCTCCTGCAGACCAATACTGCCGTGGAGAGTCTGACCACCCAAAGGGACATGATAAATCGATCACCAGAATGCCGAGTTCAGGCAAAGTCCCTGCAAATCGGCAGGCCGCCTCTGCTGCAAGCGGAATATTGCGAAATGCACCAGCTACATCCCCTGTAGCCATTCGAGCTAAACCAGGAAATTCTTGCTCGACATCCAATATCCGTTGGGCTAACACTGCAGCTCCATCATACGTGACAGTTATGGTGGGCTCATCTTGCACTTGGTCGTTTACCGAGGTGCCCTTCGGACAGGAGAGGTCGTGTATCACCCGACCATCCACGCTCAGGTCGGCTTCTCCATTTGGTACCGCCCCGAACGGGCTGCAGGTGACTCCTTCGAGTAGTGGTAGCAAATTGATGTCCAAGATCAGGTATCTATTGTCATCTTGGCCTTTTCGAAGGCTTTTGATCACAATATTTAGAGCTGGCAAGGCTGATCCATGGTTCTGGGGTGGCCTTGTTTGCTTTGGAAACTCATTCTTCCATGTTGGTCGCACTCCATGTGTGACGATATCACGCCACTCGTCCTTGTATTGGTATGACTTCCAGCACGGGAGCTGATCAGGTACGCTCAAGGCTTTGTTCGGGCGGGGGTCGCTACTTGTTTCTCCGCGCACAATGCGAATTAAATCCGGCAGTCGCATTCTTGATTTCCGTAGTAGCTCGCTGTAAGCAGATTGTTTTGCCCTGTCGATCCTGAAAACTTGGACTCCCTTCTTCAGAACGAAGGATGGGCTCGCAGTGGGAGGTGTAATTCCGTAGTGGGCCAGCAGCGTCCTCAAGTTGGAGTCGGCGGCGTCCTGCTGCAAGGAAAATAAACACTCCCGGGCTCGCAAGGTTGACGCGTACTGTCGCTGCAGAGCTTCCATGTGCGAATGTAGATTTTGTGCCAGGACCACCCTTGATTCTGTAGCCTGTTGGCTGCTCCGAGGCCGATCCGCCTTACACTGGACCGGACGTTTGACCACCTCCGAGCAAACTACCTGCCTGCACTGATCTTGCAGCGGCATACCGACTTCTTGACCGTGGTCATCCACCTTGTCAGGGCACACAACCAGCCTGCAACCGTCTTGCAGTGGCTTTTTAACGCCCCGCAAGTGGCTGGTAGCCTCGTCGGAGCTAACAACCTGCCTGCACTCGTCGTGCAGCGGCACCTCGACGCCTGGAGAGTGATGTGTGGCCACCCTGAGGCAAACTACCTGCCTGCAAGTGTATTGCAGCGGCTGATCAACGCCGAACACGGGGCGTGGGTCACGACAGGACCATTCGTGCTTCCGCCGACCGGAATCGGTGCACTATCGGAACTCGGGCGTACACGCCTGAGCCCAGAAACTTCTCGAGATAATTTGGGGCTGTCAGGGACGGAGAGACAACCGGGGCGAACCGACAAAACGGCAGGTGGGGGCTTTTGTTCAGGCCTGAAACGAGACGCTTCCCGATCTGTTTCATGGCATCTGTGGCCCCCACTTCTTTCTCTGAGCTGGTAGCTCGCATCCCACCGTAAGCCTTGGCGATAAACGTTTTGATAATCGTTGGTAGCCTTGTTGGTACGAAATGACCTCGATAGTCGTACACACAGGTGTCGCCGTCACCAGGGCAACCGTCTACCGACAAAAATCTCACGCAGAGCTTTTTCCCCTTCCGGATAGGTAAAGCCGCCACAACCGCTTGAGGAACCGGGATGATTGAGGGTTGGTGAGCGCCCTTCGTCTTGCGCTGAGCTCCTCTGTGTCGAGTGTCGGTTCTTCGAGGGGGTGCTCTCGTCGCTGCCTCGACTCTCAGGTTCGTCACACGATGCACCACCCGGGCGTAAGACTCGCTGTTGAATTGAAAGCCCATCTTCACGTCCGCCGCCGCCACCAGGTCTTGACGCACGAGATACGATCGGAATTGCTCAAAACAGTCGTCAATCCATGCCACCAATTCTGGGACGGCCTCTGGTCCTGTCATGGACTTCGTCTTCCGTAACCCCAGCAGAAATCGTCTCGCACTGTCGATTAGGTCCATTACCACTGGTTGGTACAGCTCATTCACAAGCAGTGACAGCACCTCCAGCGCAGCTAAGATGTCAGCAATGTCCTTAGCCTTTGGAGGCTCTGGGAGCTTGTTCTTGGCGGAAAAGTCGGTCATGTCGTGTCGGCGACGATATTCACGCTCTTCGTCCACATCCATGGGGGAGAAATGCATCAAGGAGAGTCCACGAAAACCAAAATCCCAGCCGAAAAATCATCGTGCAGATCCAGGGTGTGGCAAATAATCGAACTCTTTCGACTTCGACTGCATAGTCTTAACAAACAACTGAGAATCCAATGAAGCGTACTTACCATTGACCAGCAGACCGTGTGCCATCACTTGCTGACGACTCGGTTTGAACTGCGCCTTTGTATTGAGTCCTGCGGTCGTCACTAGAGCGGTAGTGTTGCTTGAACGCACGTTGGCCTGGCGGAGAGCGATTAGCTGGTCGATATCCCGTACCATATTGGGATCGTCCTCAAGGCGTTGTCGAAGAGCCTCGAGGCGCGCCTCACCTTGAACAATCGGAGCGGCCTCCCGTGCTCGTTTTGCACTTGTCGACCGTGCCGTATCTACTTCTAGGCTGGTGCCCTCGCCCACATCGTCGTCCTCCGATTCGTAAAGGCGCTCCAAGCGTTCCACATCCATGTTGGAATTGCCTGGGCTCTCTCGCGCGAGGTCCAGTCCTTCCACCGTCTCCAAGAACAATGAAGCTGGTACCGTGACTCCTTGCGGCGCTCGGCGCTTGCCCTCAGTGTAGAAAACATAGTTTAGGATATGGTCGATCCTCAACTTCGCGACTCGTGCGTCTGCTACATTGAACACGGGTACAGTCAATCTCTGCCATGTCAACCTTGCGGAGAACAGTGGAAGAGCTTCGACGGGCGGGCTGTCCTATCCCGTTGAAGTGGTCGTGAACCGCATTGTGGATGGCGCGCATCTCGGCCGGCATTACGTCAGCGACGCTTCTGCCACTACAAGGGCGGAGTGCGTAAGTCTCCAGCACTAGGTCCTGCTGCTCTTCTTTCCCGTAGGGTAGCTCGCTTGTTCCATCAACGAAGGTCACTTGCAGCACCCCTGTATGAGTGGCCTTATCCCACGTGTAGCCCACTACCACACCGTAATCCCATATCTTAGGCTGTCCTTCGGGCACCCGAGCAATGCACAGGGCGCACCCGACGTACGTCCCAACCCCGCTTAATGCTTCTTCCTCTGTCACGGCGCGCATTTCCAATTCCGAGGCTTCTCGCTGAATTGCGAGCGTCCCGGCGTCGGCCCACCGCCCGCTCGCCACACGTTCCACTTCAATCTTTCCTCTCTGCGCCTCCGAGATCGCCTTGCCATAGGCATAACCCGCTGTATCCAGGGTGTCCGGCCTGAAGAACGCGTACTTGTTCGAAGTAGCCATAATGTCGTCTGCTGGCAGCTTCCGTAAGGCAACACGAAAGGTCGGGGTGGCTGGAGGTTGATGAGAAGCGGAGGAAAAGAGAAACTGAGCTCGGCTGTCTGTCCAGCCTTCCTCTTAAGACTAAACTTTGCCTACAAATTTTTTCAGGCAACCTTCTCGTGATCCGAAAAAGCAGCCTTCCTCGTTCGACTGTAACGTCTTCGACATCTTGTCCGTGGAAGCCGAACATTGACTCTAACCTCCCGGTCTAATCCACTACCAGTCGAGAACCTCCGCCAAAGTGGTCGCGCTGTTTGCGAGAAGGCCAAACTTCGTCCTCAATGAAGCAAAGTAACCGGGATCGTTGAAGACCGGTAAATCGAAGACGGGGAGATGTTTTACACCCTCAGCTGCAAAAGCACCGAGTCGTTTTTCCTGAAGTTGAGCCAAACGCCTTGATTCAGCCAACAAACTCCTTAAATCACAGAGCAGTCCGCCTTCACACCATCTTGCCGTGACTTGGTGGACAGCTCGGCATCGAGAGCGTATGTCCTGCTGAAGTGTAATGATATCTTCTGTATAGTGGGGAGTGATCGAACGGGAGACCCAAAGGAAGCCTGTGGCTCGAATTGAATCTCGGATGGTAACGGGAGCCGCCAGCTTCCAGCTCGGAGAGACATGGGTACGGCGATCAATCCCATTGGGACCTAGTATGTCACCGATAGTTCGGACAATACGTGAAGTTGAAGTAGACCACTCGCCCACAACATGGGCGCTTAGCGCGTGTAGCTCCTTTTGATAGTTCGGCATTGCTAACCCCCCACGTTTCCGTGGTAGTTCTAGGGCTTCGCAGCTTGCCCATCCACAAATTTTGGTTGTTGGTCGTGCAAAGGAGCTATGCCAGATGAAATTTCGCATCCGCATCTCTGCATCCCTGGCGATACGCGATGTCGGCCATGCATGCTGGGCTACATACAGCAGTTTGGGCATGATTATTGCATTGGCGATGTCGACTCGCTGCATAGCGGAGTTTGTCTTGTCAATCGCCAACGCAAGACGTGAAGATAGAGCCGAGAAAGCTCTTTTCCAGGCTTCAGCAGTGGTACCCAGAGTTCCAGCCCAGTGACCAAGATACCTGCACGCAGGTTGGGCGGAGATTGGTCCTGAAATGCTATCGGTAGTGTTGGAATTTTGGTTGGCATTGCTCAGCGGAATCGCAACGGACTTCGCAACATTGACTCTTAGCCCGGAGACGTCCGAAAAACGCTTGACAGCTGCGATGATTCTGTCTTGCATTGCTTTCTCACGAATGTAAATAGCTGTATCATCCGCGTAACCAGCTACGTGAAGTCTAAAGGAGCCCTGTAATCCCACTAAATCCAGACCACACTCTTCTGCTGTGAACTCCAGCTCATCGTACAGCAGATCGACCGCAAGAATGAAAAGGAGCGGGGCTAGAGGGCACCCTTGCCTAATTCCTCGCGTGACGGAGATCGGCTCAGACGGATAACCATTGGCGAGGAAGATTGCGAAAGTGTCGGCATGAGTTGCGTCCACCAGCTGAATGAATTTAGGCGGGAAGCCTTTGGCCTTGAGTACCGCCAGTAGAAACCGACGGTCTAACGTGTCGTAGGCCTTTGCGAAATCCAGTAAAAGTGCCTGCGCGTTGGCATACTTCGCGCTGGAGTTTCAAACCTTCTTGGCCGCCTCAAAAAGTTCGATTGCAGTGTGAGTTCTGCGTCCAGGTACAAAACCAAATTGAGTGTCGAGAACCAGAGAACCTATTCGAGTCCGTAGCCGCTTCGTAAAAATTTTAGTGAGCACTTTGTAGTCTGAGTTGGGAAGCGCAATGGGTCGATAGTTGAGGGGATCCGTTGGGTCACCTTTCTTCTTGATACTAAAGATGTTTCCTTGCTGGAAGCTCTTGGGAAAATACCAGCATCCATCCACTTGTTGAAAAGAGTAGTCAAAATGGGGCGGAGTTGCTCCGAGTGGTCCTTGTACCAATCATTCCCAAGCTTATCTGGCCCTGCTGCTTTTCCACACTTACACTTCTTTATTGCCGCCCCCACCTCGTCTTCTGTGATGATGGCGTCCATTTCGGAAAGATCGAACTTCTCCCAACGCGACTTCATCCTCGACACGTAGCCATCTATGTCCTCACAACTGATGTCCTCTTTTGTCATAATGGGGAACCATGCGTCCGCAAGAATGTTGGCTTTGTCGTTGGGGTTTCGCGTGGGATTTCCGCTCGCAGGCTTCAGCTGGTGAATAATATTGTCTCCAAACCGAGTACTGATCCTACGAAAGCAAAACTTCGACGATGAACGATCACTCCATGTATGATTCCTCGTTAACCTTTTCCGTCGAAGGTTTCGAATTGCCTTCAGCTGGTTGAGAAGTTCATTGCGTTTGAGGAAAAGCGTGGATTGTTGGTCGGCCTCACAATTGCGTAACTTCCGCATCACTCGTCGGATGCGCTGTCTGAATCCTTTCGCCACTTTGCGTCTGCATTGTCGTTTTAGATGCGTGAGCTCTTTGCATAAATCTCCTTTGAATTGATCCCACTTTGCTGCAAGAGCGGAACCGTCTCCGGCATCTTCGCAGCATAGCTCCTTGCTGAAGGCTGTCAATCTTGTAGCAATGAGGTCATTCGCTGCGGCCGTGACGAATCTCGGCATCGGGTAAATCGGCGATTGGCGCTTTATTCGTATCGGATTTTTCGGCGATTGAAGATGCATCGTGACTCCGTAGTGGTCTGATTCGAGGGGACACTTGCACTTTTCAACACGTCTGACCCACTGCTGCATTTCAGCAGAGATGTACCAGCGATCAATTCGACTAGAACCTTTCTGCCTGTGAGCCAAGTTGTAGAAATACGTGTGGAACTCGCTGGCGAAGGCGTTTCTAATGATCGTATTGATATGACGAGGTTTAAATTGCTCCACCGCATCGACAATACTGCTTTGTTCAATCCAAGTTTGTAGTTGCGCACGTCCAGCATCTCCCTTCTGCGATGATGTGCGTCTGTCGAGAGTGCGGTCAATCACGCAATTGAAGTCGCCTCCAGTGATCACCTTAGCCCCTTCCGGCACGGGTACATCTTTCAGCTGAATAAAAAATTGTTTTCTGGCACTTGGGTCTGCCGGCGCGTACAGATTCATCACCAACAGCTCCCTCCTTGCAGTTTACACTGGATAAATTGATGGTATGCAGTCCATAACTCCTCTTTCCACGGCCTCGCGTCTCGAACTGCTCCGTACGGGTTAGCTAGGATACCAACCCCTCCATGCCTTGCACGCTCGGAAGCACTTCCTGCATGGGCTGGAGACCAAAATGAGGCTACGCTTTTGGCTAACCCCTTGAAACCCCAAACAGCTTTATACTGACGCTCTGCAAATGCCGACTCCGATACATCCAGGTGTGTTTCTTGCACTATGTCGTTGGCACCATTCCGGTGTTGTTCTCGCAGGCCTTGAAAAAGCTGGGGTAGCTGGTTAATATAAGATGCAAGGCCCCCAACATTGTAGGTGGCCAGTCCATGTGTAAAATTATCCGCGGCAAGTCGACGCGATGTTGCTTGTCGTGGCGGTAAATCAAAAGTAATACGTGTCCTTCGGTTGACTCGAGAGCGCTGAAAGAGATGCTGCACCTGACGTGCGCGATCTTGTTCAGGGACTCTAGAGTAAAAATCTCTGATCGAAGCCTGGACAGGACTTCGTCGAGATCTCGATCCCCCTTCACCCATTAGAGATTCGGCGAAGCTGCCGATAAGTCCACATTGGCATTACCGGTGCCCGCAGCCCCTTCGGAGTCTTTTGCTTCATTGTTCTGTGCATTCACACAAGCGAGACTCTTATGGGCTTTTCGAACCGCGTGATTTGCCGACAGAGTAATTGATCTTATGTCCGTGTTGCCCCTCGGCGGCCGAGTCAGTCCGTATGAATGCAGGATGTCGTCATGGCGGCCTGCCATCAAGTCGTATGCCTTTGGATCGTTCAGCCCTTCAGATGCGCTGTCAGGGTATGTCACCGCTTGGAAATGCTTACTGTCTCCTTCCCTCTTGAGTACTATGACAACTGGTTGTACTTCTGCTCTACGCAAGTCTTTCAGCATTTGTACAGGATTGCCAGTGTTGAGATTTTCAAAGTACGGGAACTCGGCACTGTTGCCGTCCTCATCAGGCTTCGGCTTGTAGGAGTACATGCCCAGATATGCACTTCCAGTTCGTGCACATCAATGACGGAAAAGAGCTGCCCCTTTAAGTACCGTGTGGCTTACCCAGCACTTTTTAGGCACAGGGACGTCGACATTACGCTTACGCTCCGCGTCCCAGTAGAGCGTAGGTTCCTTTGCAGTTTCTTGTGGTCCCAAGTATGTGGCTCCGGGTTCTGTCTTTATGTCAATTGCCCGGGTATCCACCAGGTACTGAAACTATGCAAGGAGGACGTTCAATATCTTCTTCTTCATCAGGGTGGCTTCCACGACTTGTTTGGAGGTCAGTTGGAGGGAGTCCTCGTGTATGTTGTGCATGGCAGCAAAAAGCGCTGACCAGCCGCATTGGCCATTTGCCTCCACGTCGGTGATAGACCCTCCCCTCCCAACGCCTCCAACCACAGCTGTAGAGGATAGTGCATTTCAGTTGGCTTCACTCCGGTAATACTGACATCGTCATCGTTGTTCGTTACATGCAATGTGTCTTGCGTAGTTGGTTGATGTTGAGCAGCCTCAGTTTCCGATGTCACTATCTCAGCCATGTCAATATCGCTAAAATCGGCTTCGGTACTGGACTCCGCAGCCGGTAGCACTTCAGCCCAGGATATAGGCAGCGCTTCCTTCTTGGGCGAGACGAGGGCTGGCTCCGCATTAGCGCTTACTGATCTCATTTTGACATCTTCAACTTGTGATGGTCCGATCATCGGTCCGGTGGAGGTTGGCCGGGCTTCAACCCGTAGCGTATCGTAGAGAGAAAGTTGCTTAGTAGCTTTCTTGGCTGGCTTCGATCTAGCTGCGGGCAAAGCCACTGAGCAGCTGTTCGAATTGGATCCTTGTCGTAAAATTTTTACCTCTCGTCGCGCTGAGCGTTGCTGGGTTGAGGAGGCTTTACGAACGGCGTCCTTATCTGTCGTTGCGTCTGTACACCCAATTTCCGAGCCCTCGCTGTGAGTCTCAACTTCCTCACTGACTGCAGTGTTGGCCCGTGCTCTCTTCAGTGGTGAAAGCTTTGAGGGCGGCACAGCTGGGGCTTCCTCTCCAGTCGAAACAGTCTGAGGCGAGGCAGGTTGGGGCGCGACTGATCCAGGGTCTGAGAGTGACACATCGTTTTCTGTAGGTGGAGCAGCCCTCTTCTCTTCCTGGTAAATGCTGTCTAATTCCATATCGATGTCGTTCGCACAGTCTGCATGCTCCTCTTCTGCCCTAGGCTTCAATTCAGCTGAGCTATGGTCCCTCTTGGACACACAAGACGGCGAGGCACTCGTTCCTGGTGATTCTGCTGCAGTTCCTGAGGGGGATGTCTCGCTCATCCGGTCAAAAAATTGCAGAAGCTGGTCAAGGCTCCGGATATTTTCCAATGATTCTGCGGCATCATGTGCTACGGGAAGCGCATGAGACCAGGATGGAATCTTCAGCGTACGTTTCGCCGCGGCTTGGGCGCGATCGGCTTCTGCGGTTTTGCAGTGAGCGTGGGAGTGCCACCTGTCTCGGCATTTGGTACATGGTAGATGTAGATGCACATCCGAGTGGTGGATTAGTAGTTCCGCATGAGGCAGTTGGATACGGGAGTGCCGCGTTAGTACGTCGGGGCACTTCGGGCTTTTGACGATCACTTCCCATCTCTCTCTTCCTGGCTGCTGCTCGCACAGCGTTGGGTGGTTCAAGACGGCTATCTGGAGCTGCAGTTCTTTCGTGAGCAGTGCGTGCATCTCAGTTGGGCTTATCTTCCCTCGCAACAGGAGGTCTGTAAGTATCCATGCGCAGCACCGCGTCCGGAAATTCTTGACGTAACGCGTCGATCAGTTGCATGCCACGCCGGTCAAAGGGGCAAAAGGACCCCGCCCATTGTTTGGCAATCCGGGCGCTGGGAAAAAACATCGTGAGCAATCGCTGCTCTGAGTCGAGCTGCAATCGCACCAGGTCTGTTTTGAGTCTTTGTACTTGGTTCTGCTGCTCAGGAAGGCCTGCCTCCCCCGCATCCACCAGTTGTAGTAGCGTGTTTTGGCTCAGGCCGTCTCGAACAAAGTGGCCTGGTAGTAGATGCGCATGCACTGGGTACTCTTGACGCTGTATCAGCTCCGTTATTAATGCCACCTTGTCCGTGTCGAATACTTGAGCCAGAAAAGGCGGCGTAGACTTGATTTCCATTTCGCCGGAGAGAATCAGATTCAAGACCTCCTGTTCCTCGCTTGTCATCGCCCGTGGTTTCATCAACGGAGCCGCTGGTCGGGCAGCAATTTGAAGTAGCTTGTTCATACTAGCGCTCCCGCCAGGCGGAGGGGTGCTAAAGGCGGGCATCTTGGATTCTAAGACATCATTGTAACTTTTTGGTTGCGCGTAGCTTTTGACAGACATGTACACCTGCTGCTCCGGTTTGTTCACGAAAGTGAAGACTTGGACACGTTGCTCCAGCTCCTTTTTTGATATTTTATCCTAGATGAGCCAGCTGTACACCGTTCGAGCGAGGCGGAGCTTGTCATCGCGGATGGTGTAGTCCCATTGGTCTGCAAAACGGCCAAAGCGCTCCAACGTCTTAGCAGGGAGACTGTCAGTCCAATTCGCCTGTAATTTCGCCCTTTCCTCCTCGTCCTTGATTGCATTGATACGGCTTTCGAATTCCTCAAGCCGACGTTGCTGCGCAAGATCATGAATACGAACCACCATCTGGAAAATGTACTCTGGTGGTGCTTCCGATCGCAGTAGTTCTTGTAGCTTGTAGAAGGAGGCACGGCCATCGCCGTTTTCACCTTGAGGCCTCGTTCCTTTGGGTGGGAAACTAGGCTTGGCAGTCCTCTGGTGCTGTTTAGCGTCTTTTGAGCTTGGATTCTTTCCATTGTTGCCAACTCGGAATCTTGGACTCAAACCTTCGTTTCGCGCCTTCTGTCCAGCGCTGCCCTTGCGTCCTGGTGTCTTGGTGGTCCACCCGGCATCCGATTTATCCGCTGCGGAGGCCTCTGCCACTCCGGGAGCCACTACGCCTCCTTCCAGCGGGGCCACAGGAGCCGTCACTGCCTTCTCCATCTTGGGACTTCCAGCTCTCGAGGGGGAAGTTTCGGGGCGTTCACCTGGGTGTATTGACACGTCCGGTGGTCAGTCTTGGTGGTCCATAGTAGGTTGAGATTGTAGCTGAACTGCTTCCTGGGTTTAGTGACCCTGGCCACGTGCCTCTCCACACGTACAGTCTTGCTTGCTGAGATCTTTATCGAGCGCGGCCGGAGGGTCGCTTGTTCTCGCCGGAGATCTTTCGAGAGATGTTCATGCTCGCGTACATTATCGGTCGGAAGTCGACTCGGTACACCAGCGTGCCAGTCGTAGCGACCGGAGACCCGACGGTCCAGCGCCTACAGGGAAGGCTTGCAGCAGAACGGCCTCACGTCCTTCGAAGTGGCTACAGGAGCGGCTCTGACCAACCGCTTTGGCGTCATCTCGAGCTACGACAACTACGCGGTGCACGACAACCAGCTCATCGCGACAATCGACGCGGTCTACTGCAACGGCTTCCTCGTGGTCAACGGCAAGTTCCTCATCGGCGCGCAGGATCTGCTCCCTTGATCGTCATGAAGCTCACTCGAGTGCGCTTCACCAACATCTTCGTGCACGAAATGGACAAGAACACGGTGAAGGAGACGTCGATGCTCGTGTACCCGACGACGATTGCGTGGAGCGATCTGCTGCATCTGGATGTCACCGCGCTTTCTTAGACTGGTGAGTATAGAGAAAGAGTAGAGGACACTAGTCAGCAGTAACTGAGTAGGTAGGATAGTTTTATTAAGTGGTTCTTCGTTTAAATGAAATGGAATTCTTCAGCATGGCTGTGGGAATTTGAATCAAAGTTACTGTGATCTGGAAATACAGATATGCTGTGAGGTTCAACCTCATTGTTATACTGGGAACACCCGAGGAATGAGGGAGTGGACAGCTCCCAACGGATTAATACTGGGAACTCCCGAAGAATGAGGGGGTGGACAGCTCCCATGAATCACGCGGCACAGTTCTCCCTTATCATCGCAATTAGCACCGGTACCATCACCAGCAGCCAAGTCGAAGACGACCAAGTTGGACGCGTAAGCGTAACTTGGCGCAACCTTCGCGGCACAGTTCGAATAGTGAATGTTGACCCAGCAACTTCAACGACTTCAACGGCAATGACAAGATATGATTGAATTGAATAGACCTGATTGAGTCCTGACAGTTTGCCAATTGATCTCAAGGCGGAATAATGTCTAAGGTTGCTAGCTGCGCCGTCCCTGGCGAAGACAGGCGAGTGCCGAATACTATCGAAGCGCTTTCAACTGCGAGCAGTATTGATTCCGGCGAAGTAGTGGCGTCGGAAAGGAAACGCGAGCGTAATAACGCGAAGCAATCAGCTGCTGAAGAGCTGCTTAACAGAAGGAAGCAGAAGCGGCCCCTTTACATGCGGGATTACCGTGCCAGACACAAGCGAATAAAGATCGCAACGCGTTCGGGTGGTGGTTTGGCAGAAACGACCTTGGTAGCAGCGACCAGGGCTCCTCTCGAGTCACGGCAAGTAGCTGCGAGCGGCGCGAGTGCGATATTGACGGCAACGTATCAACAGAAGAAGCTACAAAAAAACGAAGAGCGCTGAAACATCAGCTGGAGTGGCGGCGCAAGATAAAAAGCGCAAGCAGGGTCTTTACATGCGCAATTACCGCGCGAAGCGCAAGAAGACTCTCACTAGTAGCCGAGAGGGTGTAGCAGATCGTGGTTCCAGCGATATGGCACCTGCAGAGATGGCTACAAAGCAAAAAAAGTTGAAGCGGCCTGCAGATACTTTGCGAGCATCCCGGGCTACGCAGAAGAAAAGAAAGGTATCGTGGTATTGTTTCGATACGATGCTATATTCTAGTCTCTGATGGATTGGTTGTTGTATTATTTGCAGAAAAAGAGTCGCGGCAACGAGGTCAAGATGAACGTCTACAGGACTTAGCAGATTCTATCTTGCTGAAAAACAGCATAACTGATGACGAAATCGCTTTGATGGAGAGTGGACAGAAGTTTACGACTGATCCGAGATTAGCTTTGGCTAACTATTACTGCTGTGGAGGTCATCCAGATGCATTCGTTTTCAATGACGAGCACGTTCGTGAAAGTGAATCAGTGCGGGAACGGTTGATGAGAGTATTGGATTCTCCCTCAGGCGTAGCTGAATACGCACGCTGCCAAGAATCAGCGGCAGCTGCAGATCCATCATTGAGTGGGATTTTTGCGTGTGATTCTTGCTGCGAATTTCTGGTGGGATCTCAGTGTGGACACGTACAGCGGGTGGGTTAAATGAGCGCCCCCCCCTTAGCAAAAAAAATATACAAAAAACAAGTCAAATGATTTGCAGGCTTGACTTTTCATCTGGCCCACTTAACAATCGACAATTCAATTTAACCTCATTTTTTGCGAACTCACCTGATTGGCTTAATATACGGTTTCAGCCATATGATTGGGTACAAAGTTTGATTAGAGTACAAAATTGCTTAGAAAACCCTCAAAAACTTGACGAACGCCACACCTTCCGCACGCGTTCTACGACGGCGAACTAGCACTGTATTGACAGCTAACTAAGCTTTCCAATGATACCATTTTGGTATAATATCGCCAAAAATTGTAGCCATTTCGCAAAAAACCTAATGTTACCCAAAATCGGGCTTACGAAATTTGTTCTGTTTCCCTTAATCCTGCTTTTTTTGAGTAGCCAATAGTATAACGCGAATCCCCCAAATCCCAGCTTTCTTTTGAGCTATTATTTGTCTCCGACAGATTTTTTTGATTTTTTTAGAGCGGAAAAATAGAAATGTCGATTCTTAGGTGGGCCAGAGAAGTACAGAATTGTCATTTCTTCTTGGTTTCACATCAAACCTGCCCCATTCGACGCAGAATCCCTTGGACTATAATCAGCTGCCCTATCATTGGCTATTAATGCCTGTATTTTGACAAATCATTGATTGAGTTGAGCACCCGATACAGCTGAGCCATGTCCATATCTTGATTTTTGTATGGGCTCCCATGATTTGTATCGAAACATGCGACGGAGGGGGGGGGGGCTCATTTAATCCACCCGCTGTATGCATCCCGCTTTCTCGTCTACCAGAAACATTTCAAGTATCACGCGATGAATATAAGAAGCGATATAGTCATCTTTCTGACGACAAGGTGAAAAAGTATGCTGTGGAGTGGGCGTCACGTGCTTGGGACGGAGTTACGCAGGATACTATCAGGAATTGTTGGAGGCATCCGGGGATAGTAAGCTCAATGATGCACATGCGCCGCATCCTCAACTAAGCTCAAGTTGTAGTAATTCAGTACATTTGCATCTATGTGAAGCGTTCATGAATTTTACAACCTTCCACTCTCTATTGGTCCCACCCTGCCGAATCTGACAGACTGTCTGTATACAGCTGTATCAATTACTATATAGTGCTTTGGACTTCATCTTTATCGCGAAAGACCTAAACACGGATAAGCACTTCAATTTGACACTGCAACATCTACCACTGCCAAATACAGCACTTCTTCTCATAAGTGTTCCCAGCTAAGTCGCAGACGACCTAGTTTTGGAAGGCACGACGAGAAGCATTTCATCCAGCCAGGTTCATATTTTGGATACTGTGGACCCGTATCCAGCTCGTCTGAGCTTGGGTAGCTGGAGAGAACAGTCGGGCAAACTGGAGGGAGTACAAGTTCAACGCGGCATGGAATTAAGTTTTGAAGTCATTTGCTATTTGATGGTTCACCAACATTGCGTTAGTTGTTTTGCAGAATTTTGGCCGAATCTTCTTGCTAACTAACAACAAGAGCCAATGTTTTCTGTCGTGCCTCGAAAAGAAAAAAAACGGATATGCCTGCTGTATCAGACAATGTCAGCTATCAGTACCAAGCAGTCGGTGACGCCCTCCTCGCGAATACCACGTCGTCTGGATCCCAACATGGCAGGATAGTCAAAGACGGTAGATCCTCCAAACAGGGACAAGTCATGGAACAACTTGAGGGTTGTGCCAGCACTAATGGCGTGGCTCGGGACAGTCGCCATCGGGTCTTTCTTGTACTTGTCGTCGGAGTTTGACAGCGAAATCCCCATGATCTTTGGTGTGGCCACGTCTAGGTTGTCGAGCCACACGACCGCACTGACCCAGTCGTGGCGCCTTGACGGCGAAGGCCCCGAGAATCCTTTTGGGAAGTACCAGGCGTACACGATGGCGTACAGATCGTTGTGCCACGCCGCGCGCCCGTAAACCTGGGACCCGAATGGAGAACCTTCACACCCTGGAGATCCTCCGCTCCCCTTAAGACCTCCACTGATAGTCCACAGTCAGCTTCCTTTAGTGGATCGGCCTATCACTCCATAGCGACAGATCGCTGCTTGTAGCAGAACCAACCGCCTTAGCGCTACCGATAGATGTAACACTAAGGAATCCCGCCCATCATCGCACCACCAGCTCGAACGAGCGACCCGTCGCCCATCACATACTCTCCGTGCTCGCTCAGTCAGCAATACAGACAACGACTTACAAAGCCGGCAGACTCAAAAAGCCGGCATTAGTAGAAAAAAGACAGACATATGTTCACATAAATTTTTGTTTTAGCAAATCAAAACGCAGAACTGTGCTTTTATTTTAGCAAATCATAGCTTAGATAAAATCGGTTGGCCACTGTAAAACGCGCCACCTCACCCACTAAAGCCTAGGTTCATTGTCGAAATGGCGCCGAAACAACAGCGCTATAGTATCAAGGAGAAGCGTGAAGGTGCGCAGCTCGCAATTCATGTCGGCGTCGACGAGGCTGCGCACCAGCTTGGGCGACCCCGCGGAACTGTGTTCGGATGGTGGAAGCAAGCCGACAGGCTTTTCGTTTTCGCGGAAACTCGCGTTCGCCAACTCTGAAGGGGCAGGGACGCAAGGAAATATTTCCTAGCGTCCCAGCCCTTGTTACATTTATGAAGGACACGCGCAGAGACGAAAAGGTCGGTTTACCATTCTAGTACGTGCTTTTGCGACTTAATACTGACTATTGTGCGTGCTTTTTTTTTGTAGGCCCTATCGACGCATGCAATGATCGACTACATGTGGCTACTAGAGCCTGAGTGGTGTGCTAGCTACGTGGACAGCCACAAAAGCCCTGGGCAGTCGCTAGAAAAATGTGTCAACGCATTTGCAAACGGTAAATTGGTTTTCATGGTGTGAAGTTAATTTTTAATCGATTAATCATTCTTTCAATTGATGTTTTTTTATTTAGTTACGACTTCACGTCTCAAAGGCCCCAAGAAGCCACGCTTCCGACAGTGGAGCTGCTCGAGAAACGCGTTGAGTTCTCCATTGAACTTTGGAACAAGTACTCGACGTGGTGCCCTACGACACTCTTTAACGTGGATGAGACGGCTATCAATTTTGATGTGCCGCCGACACGGTTTTGGGCTGTCAAAGGCCGCAAGGACCCTGCCCGAATTACCAAGATGACGAAGCACACTGGCCGAATGACAGCAGTTCTTACTGTTCGCGGTGATGGTACGTTTTTTCTTGCTTTCACAATTCTGAAACTGGGTATTTTAATGCTAACACATTTTGTATTATATATTTTAGGGCATAAGCTGCCAATTCTCTTCATCATTCGGGGTAAGCTCGGCGGCGACATCGACAGCGACGAGCTGCCACACTATCCACCCGGTCACTACTACACTGTCCAGGAGCATGCCTGGATGGACGCGGTAGGATGGAGATTTTATGTGAGTAATGTGTTAAAACATGAAATCAATGGACCCGCTGTCCTCCTCCTTGGTAATTTTGACTCACATGTTTCGGAGGAGGGACAGCGGGTCGTTTTCGAAGAAACGAACGCCACAGTGGTGCCTTTCCCGCCTAATACGACGGCGGTTTGTCAACCGCTCGACGTTGGCGTGATCGGCCCACTGACAGCAAAAATTAGGTCAAAGTTTCGGGGTGTTGCAGGAGGCACTGCAAAGGAGAAGCGCCTCCGTGCAATTAAGTCTATAATTGCGCCCTGGGAAGAATTAGCGGAAACCACCGTAATTCGTAGCTTTGAGAAAGCAATTCCTAAGTACCCTGAGATGTTGATCTGATAATAGCATCTTCTTTTTTCAAAACAGGCCCGCCTGGCTGGGCTTCGAGCCCGGTTGCGGCTGCCTTCGTAGTTCTCGCAAGTGGGCGTCCGGTGCGTTGTCGGCCGTGCGCACAAGCCACCACAGCGTCCTCGGTGTCCTGCAGGTCAAACCGAGCTCACAGGACACCAGGACACGAGGCGGCGGCGTAGCCCGGCGGCGGTCAGGGGTGATGCTTTGGTAGTCGATGCGGTCGAATGCGCGGGTGCGGCAGGGCGGTTTGGCGAGCGAGGAGTATGTGTAGGCGTGGCGCAAGCGCAAGCGTGTATGCTTGTGTGTTGTGTGTAGGAGCGTGTAGGGTGAATTTTGTGTTGTTTTTGTGTTGTGAGTAGTCGAACGTGTCAGTGTCGTCTAGTGGTTAGGACGCGAGCTTCACACGCTCGAGATCGAGGGTTCGATCCCCTCCTCTGATATCTTCTTTGCTCCTTTTGCCTCCACGCACGCTACCGCGCCGATTCCAGCGCTCCCGGCCGCCTGCGCGGCTCTTCGTCGCCCCCGTTCGCGTCTGCATGCCTTCATCCACCGATCGGACCGCTGGATCGGTCCATTGCCTTGAATGTTATCTTGGCCGACACTTTGGAGGCCCGCCTGGCTGGGCTTCGAGCCCGGTTGCGGCTGTCTTCGTGGTTCTCGCAAGTGGGCGTCCGGTGCGTTGTCGGCCGTGCGCACAAGCCACCACAGCGTCCTCGGTGTCCTGCAGGTCAAACCGAGCTCACAGGACACCAGGACACGAGGCGGCGGCGTAGCCCGGCGGCGGTCAGGGGTGATGCTTTGGTAGTCGATGCGGTCGAATGCGCGGGTGCGGCAGGGCGGTTTGGCGAGCGAGGGGTATGTGTAGGCGTGGCGCAAGCGCAAGCGCGTGTGCTTGTGTGTTGTGTGTAGGAGCGTGTAGGGTGCGTTTTGAGTTGTTTGTGATAAAATACGAGAAATACCATATGAATAGGGTGCCCAGCACAAGGGAAATCATTATTTCACGCATATAGGATATGTGAGACATGACCAGCATCACAGCGGCTATGTTTGACTCGCATCTTACCAGAGTCGGTCTGGTGTGAATGTTCCGTACCATTGTCCATTCATTATCCTGACCTTCAGGCGTCGTGCGGCACGTCAGGGCACGGTACACGCGCCGAAGTTCCCGCGGCTCTCCTGGGCGCTATAGGGGTCAACCAGCTTCGCGGATGGGCCGTTGGTTTATATCGGTGTCAGATCGGTGCGCATATCCATGTCCCCCGGCAAATTTATGTTGGTAATGGTGAAGCACAGGGAAGGGCAGCCAGAATGATGTCTGCGTATACTGCGCTCTCTGCGGGTATCTAATAGCGTCCGTAGGGATGGCAGGATGCGGTTTGAAGTGGGCACACGTTGACAAACGGTGAACATCGCGCGGGTCGAGCCGCTTAACGCGGTGGTGAGAGGTTGTGCAGGATGGTGAGTGGCGCGGGTGAGGTCGGAGCCTCATCGGTGGTGGGCGGTGGGTAAGTGGGTAAGGGACCGCACATTACTTGATGGTAAGCAACGGGCGAAGGTGAACGGCATTGACTAAGGTCGTGTCCGCTGTATAAACTTTTGTTCTACAATTGCGGTGTGCATAGTTGATAGTAAGCACGTAGCTGTTGGATGTCAGGTGGCCTGGGCCTTGACGCCTAGAGACTCGGCGCTTCTTGGTGGCTTCTCGGTAAACAGGTCATTCGTGACCAAAAGGTCGACGAGACACCGAGCATTCAACGCAAAGAGCACATGCGCGCAGCACGCAAACTTCGTATAGAACTGACATCGGCACGCACATATCCACCTTCAACCCCTCCGACGAGACGTCCTTTGTTTCCATCCTAGCTGTATGCAAGCTCACTGGGCCGAAGCTCCTCGTGTCGACGGTGTTAGTTCTCTTCTTAAGGCCGACTTGCACCTACAGCACACACATAGAAGGTGTCGCGGATCTCGGCGTCAGGTGGCGTATTTTCCGTCATGAAGCCAATGCCGTGCCGGTTACCGCTAGCTCAGAGAGGAGATTTCGCCGCTCCAACTTGCGAGTGCGTCGTTGCCGTATTGTCTCTGCAACGGCTACCACAGCAAAAGATACGGAGCAAGTGCTCTCCAGCGTACAAAAGTCTAGCAGCCTGTCAAGCCCCATCTTAACCGTCCTGTGCACGGTGACATCGCGCTTGAGTACTGCGTTGTACTGCTCCACCTGGTTGTAGATTGTGGCCGCCATCTCAGGTGGAGTGCTGTACATTTGCCACCACACGAAGCGCCCCGTAACCCAAGTGCTCGTGGTGTAAGTCGTAAAAGCCGCCAGGCCTGGCCACTCGGCTCAGCCAGCAAACATCCGTGACTTGACCTTCTCGTACTCGTCTTCATCAACCATGAAGGGAGATCATGCAGATCGCGCAGCACCATGGCGAACAAGTAGATTCCAGAATCTTAGCCTTCGCGTAGACTTTCTTCGCAACTCTCTCAAAGCGGCTAGCGTCCTCGCATAGTGTAGCTGCATCTGCGGAGACATAATCACAATGACAACAGCGTGAAACCTGCGTACCTTGTCAGATACACCAATCACCAGAACTGGGTAGGTCGCCTGGTGTAGCTTGGAGGTTGGATCAAGGTGAAGAACGAAAGAACTGGGCTCGCGGTCTGCGAGCTGGAGCAGTTTCTTCGTGACAATGGCGGCGATGAATGGGGCGTTGTTACTGCCGTTTCCGACAATTGACTAGCCAGCCGAGTCATTTGCCCGCGTGAACATGAAGGACTGGATTTCTTCTTCACCGCTGTGGAACGCGGCTTCGCAGACCTTGCCCTTCACCGTCACCAAAATGTCGTAGTTGCGTAGATGGAAGTAGGTATAGGTATGGCAAATCGCTGCACCACCGACAGCGGGGGTAGAGGCGAGGGCGCGGAGGTGATGGCTCCGACGAGACCTGCATGCCAGCTTCCTCTACGGGCAGGCGGTTGATGTGCTGACAGGGAAGCATCTTACCGCGACATGGTCACAGGGTAAAGGGCACCACCGCCGCACACGTAGGGCACTTGCAGGTCGGTAGCCGGACACGCATGGTATGCGAGGCTGCATGGCTGCACAGCCCACACAAAACGAAGAGGCTCTTGACCACCTTGAAGATCTTGAAAGAGTCGAGCAGCATCTCAGTATCACTGGTAGGCATCGGGGGAGTTGGGGCGGTTTGTAGAATCTTGGCCTTCATGCTGCGGTGAGGGGTAACTTGCTGAGCTGGGCAGGGGCTGGATTCTTGCAGGAAAGTGTCGAATTATCGAGTGGCTTGCAGCCAGTAATATACAATTGGCGCTTGTTACCTTAGTTCTAACTGATTAAAGTCGGGCAATAGTACAATTTGATCGGGTGGCAACTTCAGTGGTGTTGATATATATATATATAGGGGGGTATTTGGCGACATGAAATACGGTGGTTTAGTTGTTTTGTGAGTGACAACAGCCCGACCTGAGTGGTGATATTGTAGCATGAGTGCTGCAACTACTGTTTGGACATTTATGTAATGATTTGAGTACAGAGAGGAGAGCATCCTCAAAACTAAAGAATAGATCAGCTACCGAAAGCATAACTCGTTGTTTTAGATGCAGATCCTCATGTTCGTTCTACTGGTTCAATCTTAAATCTATTGGCGAGATTGTGATCAAGAGGGACCTACCGGGAAACCTTCAGCTCAGTCGCAAACCCCTTGCTAAATGACTACACACCAGTTTTTTTTAATGCTGTTCTTGTGTACCAGAGACCTGTTTTGAGCCAAGCCAGTAAATTACCAATTGAAGGGACGTAAATACTAGCTTTTAACAGCCTGGATACTAAATCTATGCGTCGGCTGAAGCATGGCTATTAGATTGGTACAGACAACGACCGGCAAATAGACCACCCCTTAATCGTATCTGATTGGTTAGCCTTCATACATTAAGTGGAACTTGTGATTATAAGTTAAACATTTTGCTACGGTACGTTACTAATCCAGTACATAGTACCCACATCTTTAAAACTTAATTTAGTACATCAAAATGCATATAGCCGCTAAATAGAAGTAACTCCAGCAACAAGATATGCTTCCAATTTTGACACTCAAATAACCGCTCGCTTTCTGCAGTATACGTTTTTTGTTGTCCGAACTGTTATTACGTAATTAAACGACAACAAGAATGCAAGTTCGAAATAGAAAAACATATTTTAACGTTGATTTCAGTAATGACCGAAGCATTATCTGACGGTACCCCCAGCGCCTTGTTACATTGCTGTGTGGCGGTGCATTCTCTATTATTCGTGCATCACCGAGCGCTCTGCAGTCTGTGCCGGGTGGAAATACAGACGTGTAGACGAATGCGGCAAAGACCCGGTCTGTTCACTCATCAAAAGGGGATACAGAAATCTGCCTCAATACCGAACGGGTATACAATACATAACCTCATATAAATAATACTTCAAGGTCCAACAACAGGACGAACGGAGATGGGCAAAGGTACTGATGTAAAAATTCAGGATACCTTTGTTTGGCTAAAAGTACTAAGCTGTGCAGTTTGAAAATTGGCGCCCTTTTGATTGTCTGTGCGATCTTCTCTGTATTTACGATTCCACTTTCACATTTGCGCACTACCCGCTAAGCCCTCTAGGAGTAGTACAAAGTAGAGCTACTAACCGCACTGACGTGGTGCGAACACGCTTGATCGAAGGTCAGCGCTGAAACAACTCAGTACTCGGGTTTGATTATTGTGAAAACCGATTATATTGTCTAATTGGAACATAAATCGGTTGATTAAGCAGATGATTAAGCTTAATTGGGTCGGATTTAGCAAATCCGACCTCCTAATTAGATCGAAAACCTAAGATTTGTACTCTGATTTGACAGAGCAGTCTGTTGTGCCTACATCGCCATGTGGCAAGCTGATTTAGCCACTCCACGACTTACAAAGCCTTGGACGGCTGATTTGCATGCTAATCAGCCCGAATGTCCGACACCCACTCGGCATTCGGCGGCCGATTTAAAGTAAAACCGACAAACGCTAATGCTGACGAGAAATGACAGCGCAAATACATGACTACACAACTTGATAAATAGATAGCAGTACGTATCGACTGCTCACAGAAGCGTATTTAATGCACGCGATGCTATTCCTCGTTAGTAGGTGCGCGAAACATTAGCTCGTGGCGGTAAGTGGTCGTTCCTCGCATTGCAGGCGGTAATGAGGCAACCCCTATTTTTTAACCTTACACCGATTTATACCCTTACTGATGCCATATGAAATCATAGGAATCCCCGATTTAGTACTAGTCAAATCCCTCATGAACGCTGCTTTATCAGCTAATCCGCTCGGACAATCTAATCGGTTTCCACAATAAGTAAGCAAGCGTCAAATCCCGTCTAAGATAAACTAATTAAGTACAGCCTTTTCTCTGGTAACGCTGAGATCACTTTATAAACCTGGAGCCCTTATATATATCAGGCGTTCGGTATTCAGGCAGAGTTCTGTAAAAAGGATCTCCACACTGAATTGAGAAATTAAGCTATTCAAGGTGATTACCCCTGATTTGTTGCAACGTAAGTAGGTTTGTGTCACTACTTATAAGTAGGTAAGGACCGAACCTACTTACCCGTTTCTAAACGTTATATAGGTTTTATGATTATCTTATAGCGCCGTTTTAAGAATTGTCGACTTGGTGTAAGCGTAGGTAACATGTATTTGTTTGACGATAATAAGTTTTTTTTTCCGGGGTTAACGCCGATTGCGCTCAGGGTGAGCTTTTCTTCAACCCCGCATACCGACGATAATGGAAAAGAATCATATCACCAAACCTGTACATACCTGTGAATCAGGAACTTAAACTGTGAAAAAACATTGCTAAAGCGTCGGTAGGGTGTTGGATGGTGGTGCTACCACACTCTCCCCACACAGCGATCCCTGGTTAAACGGCTAGCAGAATTCCGAGCTCACCCGTGCGGACAAGAAGAACACCAGCATCAACCAATATTCAGGGTGCCTCGTGTTTACATTAGTGTTCGCATAAATACTCACTGTATAGCTAACACTAGCGTTTACAAACGGTTTGTTAGTGTGTCGTAAATCTACCTAACATGTTTGTGGGTTAGACGGTTTGCCAATAGTGACCCCCTTACCTTAGATTACTCTGACTACGTTGTGGTGCGTGCGCGGAATGCAGATTCGACATCGGGTAACAGTTCGCGAGCGGAGCCGTGAAATTTTGCAAAATAACATTGCACGCAAATGATAGAGCAGCAAACGTACAAATGCGTTAGTAGACAGCACTTACCGCTAATTGGTGTACTGTGAAAATCGTGAACATGTTTGCGATGTACACTATCCGGTAAAGCAAGCGAATGAAGATGACAAGCGTGCGACATAAATATTTTATGATGTTGTTAAGGATGTTTGATTCGGGGGCAGGCTAGATAGGGCAACTTTGCACTGTATAAACGTATTCGTGCTTCATGCCATAAGTTTACACGGTACTGTAATAACTTTGCGGAGCATGGTCCCCGCAAAAGACAATTAGCTGGCGACACATCTAGCCCGCTATCGCTCGTCAACTTTACCCTGTACTGAAGCATGATAGTAAAACATTGCGTTGCTGACCAGTAGCTTACATGTATAAGATAATTATAAAAGCGTATATTACGCTTAAGTAGGTTTGGCCCTAACCTACTTATAAGTACTGTAGTAACACAAACCTACTTACGTTGCAACAAATCAAGGGTAATCTACTTGAATAGCTTAATTGCTCCACTGAATTAGGTCTCTTTTTTACAAAAACACGACGCCCCCAAACCTGAGCCCCCCGATCTGGATCACTCGCCAATCTTCCCGACGCCGCGCAAGTCTGAAGTCTCCTCCGTCAGCAGACAGACACGATGGCTCAGCCTCGCGCCCTCCGCTCGCACTCGTACTCGAACCTGGACGAGGTGACGTTCACGCACCTGCACTGGGTCGTGGCGCTGGACTTCGCCGCGCAGCAGCTCAAGGGCTACGCCGAGTACACGTTCCACCACGCGGCCTCAGCCGCCTCCGCCGTCGTGGTGCTGGACACGCATCACCTGCGCGTGTCCAAGGCCTACGCGGACGGCAAGGAGACGACCTACACTCTGGCCGAGCAGGAGCACCCGGCGTTCGGCCGCGCGCTCGTGGTGGACGTGCCCAGCCACGCCACCAAGGTGCGCGTGGACTACACGACGTCCGCCGCCTCGAGCGGCCTGCAGTGGCTCAGCAAGGAGCTCACGGCCGGCAAGACGCACCCGTACCTCTTCACCCAGTGCCAGGCTATCCACGCGCGCACCATCGTGCCGTGCCCCGACACGCCGGCCTGCAAGTTCACGTACTCGGCCACGGTCACGGTTCCCGACTGGTGCACGTGCCTCATGAGCGCCATCGCCGACCCGCAGGGCCGCAAGAACCACAACAGCGTGGACGCCACGTACCAGGTCTCGTTCCAGCAGTCAGTGCCCATCCCGTCCTATCTGCTGGCCATCGTGGCCGGCAAGCTCGAGAGCGTGGACCTCGGCCCGCGCAGCCGCGTGTGGGCGGAGCCCTCCGTGGTCACGAAGGCCGCGCACGAGTTCGCGCAGACCGAGGACTTCCTCAAGCACGCGGAGGAGATCACGGGTCAGGAGTACGTCTGGAAGAGGTACGACCTCGTGTGTCTGCCGCCCTCGTTCCCGTACGGAGGCATGGAGAACCCGTGCTTGACGTTCGTGACCCCGACGCTGCTGGCGGGAGACCGCTCCCTCGCGGACGTCGTGGCGCACGAGATCTCGCACTCGTGGACGGGCAACTTGGTCACGAACCGCTCGTGGACCGACTTCTGGCTTAATGAAGGATGGACCATGTGGCTGGAGCGCAAGATCCAGACGCGCATCGCTCAGGACCCCAAGGCGTACGACCTCAAGGCGGCCATGGGTCTGCGTGACCTTGTGGAGTCGGTGGAGGCGTTCGGACACGACCACCCGTACACGGCCTTGGTGCCCAACATGGACGGCATTGACCCGGACGAGGTGTTCTCGTCCATCCCGTACGAGAAGGGTTTCAACTTCCTTCACTACCTGTCGACGGTGGTCGGCGGCCACGAAGTGTTTGACAAGTTCGCGCAGGCTTACATCCAGGAGTTCAAGTTCAAGACTCTCACGTCGGGCGAGTTCCGTGCCTTCTTCGAGAAGTACTTCGCCGACAAGCAGGAGGCGCTTCGCAAGATCGACTGGGAGGCGTGGTACCACTCGCCGGGTATGCCCCCCGTTGCGAACAAGTTCGACACGACTCTGACTACCCAGGCGACGAAGCTGGGCGAGCAGATCACGGCCAGCAGCAACCCGGACACGTGGACGAGCGTCAGCAAGAACGTGCTGAAGAAGTGGCCGGCGAGTCTCTGGATCCTGCTGTTGGATACGCTGTTGTTGAAGCAGGAACAGGCGAGCTTCACGCCTGCCCATCTGGACGCCATCGACTCCTTCACGCACCGCCACCTCACCACTACGCACAACGCGGAGCTGCGTTTCCGCTGGTACACGCTGTCGCTTCGCTCGGGTGACCTGCGCGTGCTTGACAAGACTGTGGAGATGCTGAAGGAACAGGGCCGCATGAAGTTTGTGCGTCCGCTGTTCCGTGATTTGTGCACGGCTCTGGGCCCCGCTCAGGCTGAGGCGATCTTCGCAGATTGCAAGCACTTGTACCACCCGATTGCTGCCAAGATGATCCAGCGTGACATTGAGAACAGCATCGCCAAGACGAAGAGCAAGAAGGTGAAGTTCGCTTCGCCCACGGCCCCGAGTGCTCTGGCTCAGTGGCTGGGTGTGTCTGACGAGATGGTTGGCTACGCGGCTGTAGCTGCTGCTGTCGCTGCTGTGGCCCTCGTTGTCGTGTCTCGCCGGCGGTAAGCATAGGTCCTTGCTGACACGGTAATACACCGGAGTATGTTAAGAGGTTAAGGACGGTGGCAGCCAGAAGGCAGCAGCACATTATTCGCGTCAAGTAACACCTTTTGGAGTTCTGCCACGGTACTGTTCAGTGCATATGCTCTTCGCAATGACAGGGTTGATCAGAGCGAGAGGAAGCACACAGCATCCGAAACCGACCCCGCTAACTCGAAGTCAACTGATTGCCGCGCTATTTCCTCTCCAGCAGTTTCGATCGTGGATGAGCTAAGTACATGAGCGGGCGGTTCACCAGGCATCATGCGTACTCTTTCACCCCAAGATCTTGCCTCTATCACCCAAGCAGACAACTTGTCGATGAGAGGGAAGCCCATGCGGCAGGAATCAATGCAGCCAAGAACCCATAGCGAAAAATCGCCAATTAGATTGGTGCTCTCGCGGGTTGACTGCTGGCAGACTGCAACCACAGTACTATTTTCCATCGCGTGGTTTCACCAACTGGGACAAGATGGGATGAACCCTGCGCAGTTTCCCACTAGGTCTATCGTAATGTAGCCTTCTGACCCGAAGCCGTTTTGTGAAATCAAGCCGTGACCTAGTCGCCGGGTTTTTCGTCACCCAGAAACTCTAATTGGAGAAAAAAATTGTGGTTAAGGGGATTGGCCAGTTTAGTAGAGCAAGCTGAATTTTTGACTTTGAAAAGTATTTTCTTGAAAACTACTAATCTTTTGGAGATAAAACGTGTACACAATGAAAGCCCTAGATTTGCTCTAACAATGTGCACCAATCCAGACACAGTTAGCAGCTATGAAAGTGCTATTGTGGATTCCCAGGACCACAGGATCACTTTAAAAGCTGAATTTGGCTCGACTTGAGAGACATCAACACAAACCACCACAATCGATATTGCGATTTGTTGGGGCTGCTACAGTCGGGTGGCGTGATGATGTCTCTGAAGTCCACTCACTACTGTATTTGAGCTCGCACGACCTCGATTGTCCCTACCGTTGTGGAGTATTTTGAGAGGGCGTATAGCCTAGCACGAGACTGAGTTGCGAGTCTCCTGGTCGAAACATGAAAATAGCAGGCGTTTGAAGAGTGAACACCCACGTGCGGGGGACGAAGCCGTTTCGTTAGTTGGAGCTTACCCAACGTATCCCATTCGTTCTCCATGCTATTCTGATCATAACTCGATATAAGTGGCGCTCGTCTTCCGCCATCACCCGAGCAACAGCAGTCCAGCTGTCAGTGAACACACTACAACACCCGTCAACCAAACTCCACGCGCTGCTCATCATACTATTTTCTTCCATCATCCAAGAAGTTCGTGCACGAGCAAAACACGAGCTGTTGCCGCCCGATGTCTTTCCTAGACCGTCTCCTGTGCTCCCCAGCAAGCGACAGCGAAGATCTAACTACTCCCTATGCCTACGACAAACCAAACCTTCGGCGGTGCAGCGTCAACAACTGCCAGAAGACAGCCAAGCGCGGCGGGCGCTGCATCGCACACGGAGGCGGCAACAAGTGCGCCGTGGACGGATGCACCACCAGCGTCGTGAGTCGAGGCTTGTGCGTCGCACACGGCGGAGGCAAGCGATGCCAGACCCCGTCGTGCACCAAGAGTGCTCAATCCGGAGGATTCTGCTGGGTCCACGGCGGTGGGAAGAAGTGCGGCTATGAGGGCTGTCCCAAGCGTGCTCAGAGCGGTGGCGCCTGCATCGCCCACGGTAAGACGTCATTGATCATCGTGAGTTGACACTTGCCACTCCGATACTAACTTGATGATTGTGGTGAACACAGGCGGTGGCAAGCGATGTCGAATGGATGGATGCAGTAAGGTGGTGCAGTACGACGGACTGTGCGTCGGACACGGCGGCTACCGGCGGTGTGTTTTTGAGAACTGCGACCGGCGAGCAATGGCCAACGACTATTGCCAGCAGCACGGCGGCTCCTCCGTGTGCGTCTTAGAGCACTGCTACAAGCGTGCGGTGCGTGGCGGAATGTGCTCCGAGCACAAGGCCGAGGCCTCCCTGCAGGCCGTCACCGCAAGCGGATTGCCAACTACGAGTCAATTGTCTGGTCGATGTCGTCGCGCAGTACGACAAAAGTCTTCAACTCGTCCAACGGACCCAGTGCCGACGTTAGCATGGCCCGAATTTGCGGTGCCGTGTTCGCCCGCGGTTCGGGAATCAACATCGGATCTGATCCCTAATTGCCCGACACGCACTAATTTGACGTGACCCCCTTCGCCAGTTAGGCAAGCGGACCAAAGTCTCGATGAGGTGCGGTGCGAAGAATCACCCTCGGCCCCAGGTTTTTCTGCGCTTCTCAGCGCCAACAACGCGTTCGCTTCACGCTACACGAGACGCTCATGCACTGAAGACTTGCGCCCCCACCATGGACTCAAGGGGTACGCCGTGCTACCAGGCATACGGGCCCTGCAGAACTACAGAAGCGCGTGGTCCTGAAGACAGAGGATTCAGAACTTCAAATGGCAAAGGAAGATCCGGAGAGGATGTCGAGAGCAGATCCTGAGCACTCCTACTTTCACAGACAAAATGCAAGGGTGTTGCCGTGCTTCACAACGCAGACGGGTTGGTACGCTGAGCAATCCGCAAACACAAATAGTGATGGCGTCAACTACTGCTAAGTTAAGTGAAGCGCAAACAACATGTCAGGTATAATATATAAAAACCCTCGCGTTGCGTAATACTGGTGCTTTTCGGTATTTTGAAGGAATACTCAAGCGAGCGCACTAGCACAGCAAGCGTGCTACATACTTAGGTGATGTTAGCTCCTTGTGTGGGGAGAGCGACTCTATATTCGGGACACAAATGCTTCGTAACTACTCTCCTGCCGTTGCAGTCGATGAACACGCTGTCGGTTGCCCAGGACACTTCCAGAAACTGCCATTTCGGTCAAATGCACGCCATCATATTTCTACTGACAACCCCCCTCAGCATCGTTGGAATGCACTCGGATAGCTACCCAGTGCAGACTGCAACATCTGAAACGTATGCGATGGTGCGTCCGCTCCTGTTCACCTGAATCTAGGGTGTAGCGCAAGGTCTCGAGTTGCGTAGGTCTTACCGTTAGCGGGGCAGGTTCGCTTGTCTTCTACCTGAGAGAGAAACGAAGTGGGGTGTTGCCGCAAAGGAAGCAGAATCGCATTGAAGACCCTCCGGTGGAAGGCCTCCACCAACACCAGTACTCGAAGACTATTTTTGCCTCACTATCACGACAACATTTGCGATGCAGCGTCGAGCTGTTTTATCAAGTATTTTTTGTACCGATGTCGCAACCGAGGCGTTCGTGAAATCAACCACGTAGCTTGCCTCCAATAATGAACGTTAATATTAGCGGGGATCCGTTGGCCAACGATATATCAAAACCCCAGGAGTGGAAGCTATTTGTTTTACACCAGTCTCAATTGCGATGCAGGCCGGTATCCCCCGATTGTCTAAGTCACTAACTGCAGGGCCCCTAAAGCAAATTCCTTGCCCTTCGTGAGCCAACTGCACCACTATTTGGAGCCATGTTGGTATTTTTCAACGGGTGTAGTTATTGAGACGAGGACTGCAAGGATCACGCTTCTCTAAGGAAAATAGCCCTGCGGGTGAGCAAAGAAAGCTCTCAGGCGTTCGTCGCGCATCAGTTTTCCGAGTGGCTCAAAGTACGTTGGCGCGAAACCCACCAAACGGGCATTCGTTTCAACTTCTCCCCACACGCACCAATAGGTGACTTCCCGATGTCCACGGTCGCAGCTGGGCACTAAAAGCAGAATGGACTCCGCACTCGTCCTTTTGCCATCACCCGGATCAACTACAACATCGCCGTTAACCAAACTCCACACGCCCACGGTGGTCATCCACACTTCAATAATTACCTCCATCCTCCGACAAGTCGGTGAAGATCAAGCACGTGTCGTTATCGCGCCATGGCCTCGCTAAACCACCTCCTATGCGCTACCGATAGCGAAGATCTAGCTCCGGCAAGGTCTCAAGTGCCTTCAGACTACGACAAACCAAACCTTCGGCGGTGCAGCGTCGACGGCTGCCAGAAGACAGCCAAGCGCGGCGGGCGCTGCATCGCACACGGAGGCGGCAACAAGTGCGCCGTGGACGGATGCACCACCAGCGTCGTGAGTCGAGGCTTGTGCGTCGCACACGGCGGAGGCAAGCGATGCCAGACCCCGTCGTGCACCAAGAGTGCTCAATCCGGAGGATTCTGCTGGGTCCACGGCGGTGGGAAGAAGTGCGGCTATGAGGGCTGTCCCAAGCGTGCTCAGAGCGGTGGCGCCTGCATCGCCCACGGTAAGACGTCATTGATCATCGTGAGTTGACACTTGCCACTCCGATACTAACTTGATGATTGTGGTGAACACAGGCGGTGGCAAGCGATGTCGAATGGATGGATGCAGTAAGGTGGTGCAGTACGACGGACTGTGCGTCGGACACGGCGGCTACCGGCGGTGTGTTTTTGAGAACTGCGACCGGCGAGCAATGGCCAACGACTATTGCCAGCAGCACGGCGGCTCCTCCGTGTGCGTCTTAGAGCACTGCTACAAGCGTGCGGTGCGTGGCGGAATGTGCTCCGAGCACAAGGCCGAGGCCTCCCTGCAGGCCGTCACCGCAAGCAGATTGCCGACACCAGGTCAATTTCCTGACGAAGGTCGGCGTTGTCGCGCCATTCAACAAAAACCACAAGTACCAACTGCGACTCACTCAGGAATTTGCTCAGCACCTGCGTCTGAATGGCGAAGCAGACACGAATCCACAGGTCAGCCAGAAACATGGTCTCCATCACCCGTTAGGAGGCCAACAGCCCGTGGTCACGATGAGACTCAAAGGAGAGACTCGCCCGTAGCACCAGGTCTGGCAGCGCTGCTGACTGCGAACGATAAATTCCCTTCGTTCGCGACCTACAGCAAAATACGAAAGCCCACAGATCGGTACACGAGGCATCCGCATGCACAGCACCCACGCCACCCCCACCATGAGCGCAGGGTCTATCCCGTGTTGCCAGGCATCCACGCCCTGCAGAACTACAGGAACAAAGCTTCATCAAGTGGTGGACAATCGAGCATGGTGTGGTATGACTCGCCCTTTAGGACGGCGAAGACAGGGGAGTCGGAGCTTCGGATCGTGGTCACAGAAGACGCGGATAGATTAAAGAGGGCGGAGTCTGACGATGAGGGAAGATACAAGTCAGACGAGTATGCCACGGAGGACTCGCCGTCTCGGAAATTGTACGTCCACTCCTATTACTACACCAGGAACGAGGCCGTGACGGCTTTCTCCACTACACCGACCAGCCGACTTTGGCATAGACGACACACGCGAACATGAAAGTATGAGAGTAGGTAGATGTAACACGCAGAAGTAGGCCCCCTTACTTGACGATTGACATTGTGAGCCTAATCTGTAAGGAGCTTCCCACCAAAAGTTCATCAAATCCTAAACGAGGGAAATCCCATTCATCATGCCAGGAAAAAGAATGTTATCCTTCTGGAATGGAATATATCTCCAACATTGTTCACAGCAATGGCAGCGAAAACACGTTTCCATTGGAGCTCATTTAAAAGTGAACCAATTCCTACGGGTAGGCAAGTTATGCCCTAGAATTAGTGTACTCCGCAAACATGTTAGTGATTTTCACAACACACTGACTTACAGTAAGTGCTGTTTGCAAACGCGTTTGTATGTTTGCTGCTCTATCACTATTTTAATAGCAGATCAAATTAATGGCTACTCAAGAGGACGTCGTCCTTACTTTTGAGTATATTTCGCGGACTTTCGAGCAACGAGTAATGTGCTCGGACTTCCGAGTACGTAAACTTCATTAATCTCGTGCGCTGCGTCAACTGAAACTATTGGCTTCACCCTAAAGACGTTGCTTGTTGGGATGCCATTCATGAGCATAACTAAAGTGCTACAAGCCCTTTAGGGCAACTTTTATTTTGTTTTCTGCTAGATGACGCTTGAATTCTCTATTAGCTTACTCACGTCCGCATAACGGAATTAATGCGTTACTTCCCCAGATACATTCACATTGTATCTCTTCCTCCAGCCTGGTTTAAGGTGGCGATGCCGGGCGTGGTATCTTTCCTAAGACACATTATGTGGAATTACTCAGAAGTCAATGAACTGTACTCACAATTACGTAGCACTCGTTGTCGAGTCCATATTCCATGTGTGCATCAGAGCAATCTAGTGCTGCTTAGTTTGAAGAGATCATGGTTGGTGTAAAGAAGAAGACCTTCGTGTGCAAGTCAGCTTCCGACAAGAAAAGAGCTCGTTTTTAGTTTAAGATAAATAGTTAAAAATTGTCTAACTCCACAAACATGCAAGCCAGCTTCACAACACACTAACAAACAGTTTGCAAACGCTAGTGTTAGCTATACAGTTAGCGTTTGAGCGAACACTACCTAGATTCCATGACACTAAGTTGGTGAATTTTCATCCCGCAGAATGTTGGCGTAGCCAGGCAAATTCGAACGTGAAATCCGAGCCTATTATAGCATGCATCAGTAAACAAAAACAAATAATCTGAAGGAGTTTTGGTAGTAAGCAGCAGTACTTCGTACCTGCGTGGTCGAGCGTGCTTACCGTCAGGTATATCAACCACGTCAAGGCTTTGTTTAACGCTGTATCCCAGTGATACCCCAGAACAAACGCCACCAGATGAATGCCGGACATTCCCAATTTGCGACTAACGAGAAAGCACATGATGCAGAAAGCAAAGGTTTTCAGCAGGCAAAAAAGCGTGACGTTGAAGATAATACTGGAGACATCGCTTGAAGCAATCGAGGCGAGCAGGCTGCTGTATTTCCGATTTGGCGAGTTGTACGCGATTGCCACGAAGACCCCTAAGAATCGACAGGGGAAAAAAACTTTAGCAATGTTCACACCACCAGACATCAGTGCAGAAATATTACGCTTACCGTACTTAGTAGATGGCTGATACCATTGCTTCAACGAGCAGTACAAATTCAGCTGTGAAGAGAACTTGTGCTGACTTCATATCAACTTTTTCCAGGTCTTTCTTTGGACAAGACTTCAGGTAATGATCTCCTCGATGCACGCTCGGTTAGCTACCCGATGTATTAGCAATGGTGCTTCAAAGGTTCATCTGGGGAGTTTAAGGTCGGATGAATTCGTGGTACCAACTTCGTCGAAGACTGCTGAACGTGCTTAAGCAGAACCGGTGGGGTCTGTAATTTGCAACTTCGAGGATACCGACTTAAGTAGTCGAATCGCATTGTGGGAACTAGATCGCTCTCTTCCTTGAGCTGGTTGATCCACTTCGCTGGGGATCATCATATAAGCATTGGCAGTATACTGTGCCCCGAGAGGTCCACAGATCCGATTGATGCCTCTCGTCATTTTATCGATATCACGGAGAGCCACAATCGACTGGCCGATATCTACGGCGGCCATAGCGAGTGTTGTGGTAACTTTTGACGCATTTTGGACGGCGACGACGGCGTTGAGAGCACTGAATACCTCGACGTTGAAGATCACAATCGCCGTCTCCTATAAGATAGCTGAAAACATTGCGGCTTGCTATCTTGAGGAGAGGGAGCAGACTGACGTAAAACACTTGGCTGACCGAGTCGAAATGCTGGAAGCCGTAGACGTAAATCGTGTAGAGCACAATTGACAGCACGAACCAAACCAACATTAGCCAGCAACGAATGAATTTTCTCCGTAGTGCCGAATCGTCCCGAAGTCGAGCTTCATACGCCACTATTACGGCCGGAACCGTAGCCGCAAACCACGCGGGGGGGGGCTGGCGATCAACGTGAAAGGCACCAGAAAGCCAATCAAGAGCGAGATGCCGAAGGTAAACCCTGCCGATGCGACTCCCGCAAGAATGCTCAGCATTATCGACGCTTTAGTGGCAATTTTCAGTTCAGGGAGAAACGACTGGAAGGTTGACATAATGCCTGGTATGAGCGCAGCCAACGCCAATACATAGCCAATCCAAAAGGCGTAGTTCGCAGTTGTTCCTGCGTCCAGTGGCGCCAAGGGGATGGCCTCCATCGCAGCCAACAGGAGCACAAATGGAAGTGGCAGCAAGACGCAAAGTGCGTCGCCTTTCTGATGCTTGTTTGAGCTAGAAACGACCGCATCGCTCGAATGCGATCGGCGCTGAGTTGACCGTGAAGCTCCACTTGCACCAGCTCCCAGCAGTCCACCACAAAATCGATAACATGTCGGCAATACGACATTCCTTTTCTTTTCTGCGACGCGCGAAGATAGTGAGAAGTTGATAAACAGTCGACTTCAGGTTGATTTCGTTGTGGGACGTGAGAACACCGCCTACAACTTAAGTGTTTAACTCATCGGTGAGTGACTCTTATCCAATGAGAGCCCCTTGACTTTTATTTGGAAAACTTCAGGTTCTGCCCTCCGAACTGGGTCAACGGACATATATCTTCGATCTTGAAAACCATGCACATGCAGGTCACATTCCTCCGAGGCTTTATAGCTAAGAGAACCTGTAGTCATAGATAGGGGCTAGAAAGTCTCCGCTGCTCGGACACAAAAGTGCGGCAAGCGTTCAGCTCAGATTAGCGCAAGTTAGGAATGCTCACCCTTTGTGCCTGGGGGGGGGCTGGGATTGTCCTAAGGGGATTGGCCAGTTTAGTAGAGCAAGCTGAATTTTTGACTTTGAAAAGTATTTTCTTGAAAACTACTAATCTTTTGGAGATAAAACGTGTACACAATGAAAGCCCTAGATTTGCTCTAACAATGTGCACCAATCCAGACACAGTTAGCAGCTATGAAAGTGCTATTGTAGCGCGCCATAGAATACATACCTACAGTATGCTGCGATCTGTTTAGTAGAGCGGAATAATACTGGTCTTTGTATCGAACTACCATATGGAAACGCGTGGTAAGAGTTTTATAGCCAGCCAAAGCACGCATTTCATTATTTCTGCAATATTGCTGGTTCTGCTAAACTGGTCAATTCCACTAAACTGGCCAAAACACTTATGCTGAATCTTGATGTGATGCACTTACAGACAACGACTTACAAAGCCGGCATGCTTAATGCCATCCTCCTATATAAAAACAACGATAAATTCCCTCCCGTCAAATCTGTAAAACTGTCATAAAACACACGGTGTGTTGCATAAAGTACACAAGAAAGCATATAAAGTACACAAAACCAGATGGTATACAAAGATGAAGTCGATTGATTGAATCTGATTGGCTGGTTTGCTCATGTTAAGCTTTGCTTGACTTCGTCTGCCGGCATTTTGTGTCTGCCGGCTTTGTAAGTCGTTGTCTGTACTGCAGTCCAAGGGCACAAGGTGAAGCCATTCATGCGACGTGTGCTAATGTGTGTGCACCACACTACATACTAAATTATCTCCCCAAATTTAGAGCTTTTTCCTCACTTCACATTCGTCCACGTACCCGCAGCGACGATGAACATGAACATGGATCCGAACGCCATGAGCCCGTGGTTCACGGCGCCCGAGGGCGAGTACCCGCCCATGAACGCGCAGGCTCCGCACCCGAACAGCAGCGTCGGCGGCTCGGGCTTTCACGTGCCCGCTCCGGGCTCGTCCAGCGGCCTCAGCGGCACTGTCGGCTCCTCCTCCGGCTACTATGACGACGAGGACGACGAGGACGAGTTCGCCAATGAACCTCCGCTCTTGGAAGGTATGGCATATTTATTTTCTTATTTGCTCTCTAAGTGTTTTTTCTTAACACATTTTTTTTTATTTTGGCAGAGCTGGGCATTAACTTCGAGCATATCTGGGCCAAGACGGTGTCCGTGCTGCTCCCGACCAAGCAGATCAACGAGCACATTCTGGACGATGCCGATCTGGCAGGACCGCTGGTCTTCTGCTTCCTCTTCGGCATGTGTCTGCTGCTGGTGCGCGGCTGAAAAATATTTTTTTTAAAGGAAAAATATCCTGTTAACCTTTAGTCTGCTGCTGTTGGTACAGGCTGCCAAGGTTCACTTCGGCTACATCTACGGCTTCGGAGTGCTCTCGTGTCTGTTCATGTACCTGCTGATGAACTTGCTGTCTCCTGAGCGGACCATCGACATCTACCGCGTGTGCTCCGTGCTGGGCTACTGTCTGCTGCCGATAATCGGACTGGCAGCTATCAACATCGTCATTTCCGTCAAGGACCTGGGCATCGCCGGCTTCTTGCTCGCTAGTGTATGCACGCTCTGGAGCACGCACACGGCGTCGCGGTTCTTCGAGAAGGCGCTCTACATGACGGAGCAGAAGTACCTGGTCATGTACCCGACCATGCTGGTGTATGCGTGCTTCGTGCTGATTGCCGTGTTCTAGACGTCCTGTAATCGGAGACCGTTGCATTCTCAACATACACATACACTTACACGTTTACCTGCATGAAAGACGCTGTTGAGTGTGTGAAATGTGAACGATTGCTTTATTTCCTGCTCTCAGCTACGTTACGTATATGTCAAACCTACCTATATCCATCCCAATAAATCAACTTTATGGAGCGGAGCAGGGCTTGCTTGCGCGGCCTCGTGATGTCTTACAGGAGGAACTCAAGCGAATAGTCCTTGTAGAACGCTTGTACGGCCTCCTCGTTGCGCTCCGCCTCGGCCAGCAGCACCATGAAGTCGACGCTTTCCGCGGCCAGGAGCTCCTGCACCTTGGCCTCGTCCTCGCACGACACGACGGCCGCCAGGGTCGATCCGATCAGCTTCGCAGCCTTACCGTTGTACTGCAGGTGCTCCGTCATGGCCACAAGCTGAGGGAGCGTGATGCTGCCCGCCACAACGGAGGGAGCCACCATCTCGCTCAAGTACGGGAGCGTCTTGGGGATATCAATCTCGATGTCCTCGGCGAACTCCAGCACATCCTGCAGCGCGCTCTCCAGAGCAGCAGCAGTCACGACCTTGCGGTCGTACAGGCCAGCCAGGAAGCTCGCAATGGCCTCACGCTCCTTGTCGCCCTTCTCCAAACCAATGTTCAGAACCTTGTTGGGGATCAGCGCGTAGTGGTTCGGCGCGTTCAGCTCCGTGAAGCTGGTGTAAGCCTCCTCCAAGTCCTCCAGCTCCACGTACTCGTCCAGAATCGCCTTCACCTTCTTCTCGAAGGCTTCAGCAGTCAGGGCCGGGGCAGCCTCGGCCTCAGCAGCCTTCTCCGGCTTCGCAGAGCGGCCGTTGCTTGACTTGGCCGACGACGGCGTGGGCGGGCGACCAGCATCCTCACGCCCACGAGAGGAGCGCGACGACGAGGACGTCGAGCTGTTGCTGCGACCGCGCTCCTTGCGTCCAGAGTCCTTGCCGCCCAGAGACGCGAAGGCGTTCGCGCTGAGGCGAGTGCCGCTCGGGGGACGAGGAAGACCCGACGAGGAGCTAGGGAATCGGTCCGAGTTGCTGCGGTGCTTCAGACCCTTCGGGCGTGCACCGCCCGTCACAGTCTCCCAGCCATCCGCATCCACGGTAGGGGCGCTGTTGTTGCTGGATGACGACGTCGATGAAGAGGCCGCGGCGCGAGCCTTCCAAGCAGTCGATGCGCCACCACCGCTGCCGCGTCTCCGGTCGTTCGAACCAGTGGAGCTCGTGGAGTTCATCGACTGGCTACGCTGCAGACGGGAGTGGCCGCTGGGCTTGCCGCTGGAGCGCTCCTTCTCCTTCGCTTCACGAGCAACCTCGGCGTGCACCTCAGCGATGGTCATGGCCTTGGTCTCCTTGCGACGAGCGACCCATCGGTTCGCGCGCAGCTCAAGCAGGTCCTGAAGCATGAAGCGCACACGCGTGCACAGCAGCTTGGACTCGCCGCTCAGCTTCTTGATGGTGGCGTAGTAGCCGTTAATGTGATTCAGCTCGGCCTTTTCGCGAGCGTTGCCCTCCAGAGCCTGGCCAATCGTGCTCAGCAGGTTGCAAAGGCACTCAAGCGACTCCTCATCGGGCGCCGTGATGTCACCGAACAGGATGCTGACACACTCGTGCATGATGCGCGAGCTCAGCATGCGCTGTTTGAACAGCTCACCAACGAAGCGAATGTGGCCCAGCGACGCGCGCTTCATGATCAGCTCCTTCTCCAGGCGCTCGTCCTCCGGGAGGTTCTCAAGTCCCTCCACGTCCGGCTTGGCCTCGAACTCCTTCTGACACCGCTGCAGCAGCAGCTTGCGAAAGAGCTTGTGCGTGTCAGTAACGACCTCGTTGTCCTCCAGGGTGATCGCAGGCATAGCAGTCTGAGCAATCTTGGCGCACAGCTCGGCGTACATCGTCGAGAAGTGCCACTCCATCTGAGCCTTGGCAATAACCATCTCGATAACTCCCTTCAGCACCTCCAGGCCACGGACAGCAACCTCAATCAACTGGTCCGACAGCTTGTCGAACTTCTCGATCGACAGCTTGTTCAGGATGGACTTGGCCTCCTTCAGGGACGCCTCGGCCGTCTCGACAGGGTCGTCCAGACGCGACTTGGCGTGCGACGGCTTCCACCGGGTCTCCTCGTTGATCTCAAGGGGGGCACACTCCTCAAGAGGGGGGGCAGTCTCCTGATGGTGACGACCACCGCGGCCGCCACGGCCTCCACGGCCGCCACGCTCACGACGTCCACGGCCCTCATTGAAGTTGCCGCTGCCATGGCGTCCCAGCGAACGAGAGGAGTCATTGCGACGCATCTTGCCCGAAGACTCAGGCGCCGGGGCGGACAGAGCCTTGGTGGTCTTGTCGGCGGCACAAACCATGCCCTTGACGCTCTCCGGGATCGGACACTTCTCAACCTCGGGCTCCATCTCGAGTAGCTGCTTAATGGTGTAAATAATACGCTCGCCAATGGCAGCCTGCTCGGCCACAACCTCAGGCTTCTCAGCCACTTCCTCCTCCTTGACAGGGGGCTCCTCCGTGACGACCGGAGCAGCTTCCACCTTGACATCAACGTCCTGGTTCTGCTTCTGCTCGCGCTCGGTGGCCTCCGCCTGCGTCTCCTCCACCTTCACCGTCGTGTGCTCTTCGACCTCAGTCTCCGACGCACTCGACGAAGCCGCAGAGGTGGCGGGCGTCGGGGTCTCTGATGTGTCAGTTTCCTTCACCACCGTCGTGGTAGTGGTGGTAGTTGTAGTCGTGGTGGTGGTCGTCGAAGTAGAAGCAGACTCCGCCTCCACCGTCGTCTCCACCTTCACCGTCTTCTCCACGGCCGGAGCAGCAGCAGCGGGCGCCTTCATCGACGCCGGCACGAAGGCAGGCGCCATAACTACAGTCACACCAACACATGAAACAGTCTGTCAGCACTCCAGCTCCACACAACTCACACACATTCACTACAGCCTCCAATGCAGCTTACAGGAAGGCACGAAGGGCTTGGCCGACAGCTTGAGCTGGCTCTTCTTGGGCGCGGGGGCCTTGGCCGGCGACGCCACCGCAGCGGGCGCGGGCGAGGGAGAGGGCGACGCCGCGGCCGACGGCGTCCACACGGGCGCCGCCGTGTTGAAGACGAACTCCTTGGCAGTGGGGCGCAGCTTGGAGGAGCTGCCGGCCGACGCGGGCTTGGTCTTGGCGTCCAGCGTGGCGCGGTTCTCGGGCCGCGCTTCTGTCATGATGATGGCTCTACGGCGGTGGCTGTGCGCGCAGTGGGACTGCGAGGGCTGTGCGGGGACTCAGACGCTCGGAGCGGCGTGGGGAGATGCAGGAGACGCGGACACACACGCACGACTTGCGCAGGTGCTCGAAGGTCCCGGAGATGGAGAGATGCGGCGGCTACGGGAGCGGAACGCGTTGCTCTCGGGATGATGCGGCGATAATGTCTGGTTGGCTGCGGCCCCAGGCTGCGCCACTGACTGGCGCAGCGCCAGGCAAAAAAGTGCACTAGCTCGGTGATTGGCTGAAATTACGCCAATCAGAAAGTGGCGGAACCAATGATTGACTGGCCGAGACACTGGAACCTGCTGGATCGCAACAGGAGCGACGTCTCAATAGGACGAGGGGTGTCGAGCTCAGCGTGACGAACGTGAACGGTGTATGCAAGGCTCGGCCGCCAGTGCATTGTCATGCGTAGTGCTGCAACGCTGTGCCCTTTCCGCCCAATCCGGAGCCAACGCCTTCGATTGGTCATAAATCCAAAGGACGTTGCGCCAATCAGCGATATGTTGAAGTGGACCGTAAGTTACGGGCCGTAACCTTTCACGTCACGGTCACGTAAACTTTTTTCAGTGTTCACTTCCGCAACGCCCATTGCTCGACGCGCGCCATGGCCTCCCCCCTCCCCGCTCAAGCCTCGTGCCTGCAGGGCCAGCGCTACACGGACGGCCACTTCCTCAACGCGCGCGGCCAGAAGCTCTTCTACTGCGCGGCCTTCCCGCCGGCCTCGGTGCCACTGCGCGGCGTGGCGCTCTTCCTGCACGGCGTCGGGGAGCACGCGCTGCGCTTCACGCACGTGTACAAGCACCTGCGCCTCAGTGGCTACGGCGTGATCGCGTACGACATGCTGGGCCATGGCCAGAGCGAGTGCGAGGAGCCCGGCCTGCGGGCCCACGGGTCGGAGTTCCACTACTTCGTGGACGACACCAACGCCTTCGTGACGGCCGCCAAGCTCTCGGTGTACAGTAAAATGCTGCCGGAGGGCGCGTCCGAGCCGCCGATGATCATCATGGGCATCTCCTTCGGGGCTCTCGTGGCCCTAAACACCATCCTGTCGGGCAAGCACCACTTCAGCGGCTGCGTGGTGGCCTCCCCAGCCATCGCCGTCGAGTACACGCCCACGCTCCGCATCATGGAGACGGTGTCCAAGCCGCTTGTGTGGATGTTCCCGAAGGCCAGGTTGGTGGCTGGGGTGAATTTTGAAGGCCTGACGCGCGACCCGGAGTTCCTCAAGGACTACATGGCAGACCCATTGAACGTCACGGACAACCTGACCACGCTCATGGCGACGCAGATCGGACTGGGGATGAAGCAGTTGCAGACCAGTACGCAGATCGAAGACGCGAACAGCACGTTCTGTAAGGTCCCACTGCTGGTGCTGCAAGGAACGGAGGATAAGGTTACCAGTGTGAAGGTCGTGGAAGACTTTATGGGCCGTGCGGCAAGCAAGGACAAGGAGCTCAAGCTGTTCCCCGGACTCTTCCACTGCCTTTGGAACGAACCGGAGAAGCAGCAGGTAATGAAGTATGCAACCAATTGGCTCAACGCGCGGTTTGCCTCGCCGGCAGTACCCCATGAGATGGATGCAACCTCCCTCGGTGCCTCGAAGCTATAGAGGGGAGGTGCTGCAACGGAGGCGAGTGTGTAATTTGTCGATCAATTAACTCTGGTTTCTAAGAGAAAATGAAGATAAAATATATTGTTGCGTCTCCAAAGTTGTACCGTACAACTTGTACGAGCAAGCTTAGCTTTAAAAAAATAAGGTCGAAATACAGGCAGCACCAAAATTACTTGCAGTGCAGGGCTACAAAACGTCATGTGCACTTGATTTCGTCGCGCCATTGCGTATTAGCGACGTACTTACGGGTCCAGACCGTTGAGCTCGACCTGAAGCTGCTTCGGAATTGTCTTCAGATGGTGGTGACCCGTGCTTCTCTCTCTGGTCGTGGCCAAGCATGTACGCAAGGATCCAAACCTCGGCATCGAAACTGAAGCAACTCAGCGCCAACACATAACGCAATACATGTACTGCAGTAGATGGATTTGGTGGACTCAGAATGCACGTCAGATGCACAGCCTACTACCTGCCTTAATTCCTACCCTGCACGAGCTCAGCGCGTGCTGGAGTCAGAACAGGTACGGTTGGATATTGAGTTGCTGCTCATTGATCACAGTTGAAAGAGACGCGTATTACGCAGGTCGGAAGCATGCCGAAACGAAAATCTCACATCCACCTAGCAAGTATTAATACAAGCAGTACCAGCAGCGTGCTGCGCGGGCAGCCGCTGCCGTCCACACTGCGATACCAAGAGGGCATGTTCCAGAACTCGCGCAACCAGGAGCTCTTCTTCCTAGCAGCATTTCCAGCCGCCACGAAAGCAAGAGAGCGAATTGGCGGGGTACGAGCTGTGGTGCTCTTCTTGCATGCGCTTGGAGATCACTGCCGACGGTACTCGTTCCTGTACGAGCGGCTGTGCGAGCGAAGATTCGGCGTCATAGCCTACGATTTCGTGAGCCATGGGGCAAGCGCTTCGTGCGACGGCGTGAGGGCTCACACGACTCGGTTCCACCACTTGTAGACGACACGAACGATTTTGTGACGTTTGCCACGAACACGATCTTCCCGTTGATGATGTCGGCCTCCGCAGCAGTCTCGCCCCCTATCGTGATCGGAGCTTACTCGTACGGCACGCTGGTGGGGTGTTGTCGAGACAGCACCACTTCGCTGCGATGTGCTTCATTGGCCCCTCGCTCTTCATTCGATTGACGCCATTGTTGAGGCTTCAAGCGGCGTTCGCAGGTCCTCTCTCGACACTGTTCACAAAGGCGAACATCGTTCCAGCAGTGAATCGCGACTGGCTGTGCAGAGATCCAGGCTACTTCGAGGATTTCGACAACGACCCGCTGACGACCGACACCAGAAAGGTAACAGCGCGTATGGGATCGGAGACTTTGCGCGCTATGCGAGCTCTCGCCATCGATCCGCAAATCGCCCAACCAGATAGCGCCTTCAGCCAGATCCCCGCGCTGTTCCTCATCGGCTCAGCCGATCGCGTGGTGTGTCAGCGCCAAGGCACTCGCTTCTTCGACCGACTGGCAAGCCGCGACAAGGAGGTCAAGGTCTTCCACGGACTGTATCATTGCTTACTGGAGGACCCGGAGAAGGACGACGTTATGCGGCAGGATAGAGCGGCGCTTCCCCGCCAGGGTGTAGCCTGCTTCACCGCTCCTTGGTTCCGATGGTGCGAGAGCAATCCGTGACGAGGCTCGTCGTTGACGCCGTCAGCGAGTGTAGCCATGTTTTTCCAACGCGATGTGCCCGGCTCGCCTCGAGATTCATCCATGGCGTTTGTGACTACGCAACAGCCCAGCCGTTGCTCCCCCGTATCTCGGTTCACGCGCGCAAAGTGTTCGGGGGTTATTGGCGCCCATGGTGACATGCCACCATTGGTGATGGCCGGGGTGTACCACTCAGTTTGCAAGCTCCGCGACATCGATGTCCCCTGTGTTGTAGAATCATCTGGTCAATTCGAATCTGGGCCTGGAATACCCGCCGCCATCTCAGTCGACCCCGTGTCGACCGCACTCGTACTACGAGTCGTAGTGCTGGTCGACATGGATTCAAGCCCACCTGGCAACTTGCTTGCGCCCGACGCGACAGCCAGCTCAAAGGCTTCGTCGGAACGCGATGACAAGTCTGCAGTCCTCCTCACGCCGGACAAGACTGCAGGCAGCAAGCCCAAACGCAAGATGAAGCGGCTCGTCTGGACGAATGACCTGCACCTCAGATTCGTGGCGGCCATCTTTGAGCGTACGTAGCGCACTAGCATGATAATGAACGGTGAACAAATGCGTTGTGACGGGCGTCTGCTGTGTCTTGATGTAGCAGTGGGGGTCAAGAATGCGTCCCCGAAAGCTCTGTTGGCCGTACGTTCGCTCTCGTGTCTTTGACTTGCGAGACTACCACTAACCAATTGTCGAGTTTTCGCGTATTGTGGATATGTCATTCTGGCACTATCAGCTAATGGAGACCAAGAATCCTAAGACCGAGGGGCTCACAGTCGAGCATATCAAGTCTCATCTACAGAAGTATCGGATCAACTACAAGCGTTCGAGATTGGAAGTTCAGCGGTTCAATGAAAAACATGCTACACGGAGCTCGAAGCGGCATCAGCACCGGCACGCTTCAGAGCAGCACGGCAGCATTGATGCGAAAATTGGAGGCGAGGGTGCTGCTGAATCGATCGAAGATACGGTAGGGCTCACGGCCTCCGCGGGAGTAGCAGGCACTGCGATATTGCAGGACCCAAACCAGCAATGGAACGTGTGCGACGCACTATTGCTCGAAGACGAGGCGTCGGAGCAGCACATGCATGCAACGATGCAGCAGCGGATGGATTTCCACCGGGAGCTTCTTCTCACTCGCAGCGTCGAGTTTACGTCGGGCAGTTCCTGGGCCAGTCGAATGGATAGCGTGGATGGAAGCCAGGCCAATCTTAGCAGGCCAGCGAGCACCGATAGCAATCACTACGAGCAGCACGAGCAAGATACCTACAACTCAAGTTTTCTTCAGGCATGGGCTAAGGCAGAGCAACTCCGACAGCAGGAGGCGCAAGTCTATGGCCGTCTGCACCAGCAACAACAAAACCTCTTTTGGCAGCAGCAGCAGCCGTCGGTGCAGGACGCAGTGGCTGCCACCCACGTGTCGGTAAACAGCGTTCAAGCCGCAGCGCAAGCATCGCTAGAACGAACTGCTGTGAGGCAAGACAGCACGGGCACAACCGATGACATGGACCTAGCCAGCTGGGGCCGGCTTAGCCTCACTGTGGACCCCGACGACGAAGACCTCTTTGGATTCCTAGCGTAGAGCTCGTGTGTGGCTTCAAATATGCGACTGGCGTGTGTCGTCGGTAACCTAACGCCAAGAAACTAACATGAACAGCACAATATCCATTGACGCTCAATATCTGCATCTTACGTCCGAAGGAAGTCGAAGAGATCGTCCCCATCCAGATCCACGCTAAAAGGATCCCATCGGTTGAGGTCGTCGCCGACATCGTCGGTCCTTGCGTCGGTTGCCACCTTGGACTCAGTTGCTATCAAAGATGAACACGAGCTGCTCTGGGCGGGTGCCTCGAACGCTGGCGGGGGCGAAACCTGGACGTTCAACTCCGATGAGACCAGCGGCTGTTGGAGTTGCTGCGGAGAGGTGGCCCATCGTTGCTGAAAGCCTTGACGGTTAAGCTCCAGCGTGCTCGAATCGAAGCTGCTGTTGTTGACCGGGTAACCACCAGCACCTAAGGCCCCCATGTGGCTCAGATGGTGCGATAACTCCACCTTACGCGTCAGCATTTGCCGGTGGAAATGCATTTGCGCCTGCATGGCTCGGTGCATCTGAGTCTGCAGCTCCTCTTGGACTTGCGCTTGCTGAGGGAAAGACGGCGCTGCCTCTTGTGGAATCTGAATGGAGAGATTCCCGACGTCACCGCTGAACGTCTGTGGGGTTGCAGACATCAGCAAACAAAACGTGCGCCATTGAGCGTCCGTGAGCTCAGGCGTCATGGCAGGTGCTTGGACTGGAGTCTGCTGAACGGGTCGGTACCGCGTAGGATAAATCGGCGCTGAGATTGAAGCTGCAGCGCTTGGTCCCTGTCGCTGCTCTTCTGCATTAGCATTGCAGCTGGTACCTTTGTCACCTTCCGAGTCTGAATCGGTCTCGTTCTTGCTGCTGTCGTTGCGGTCATTCGCAGTATGGGTCGGGAAAATGTAAGTACGACCCGTACTCTTCTCTCTGCGGCGGCGTTTCCGGTTGCGCTTGACCTCGCGGTGGCATATCTCTTGGAACTCCCGACGCGAGCGCTCGTAGTTGATGCGGTACTTCTGCAGATGAGACTTGAGGTGCTCCGTCGTGAGCGCCGAGTCTGGGTCCGATGCCTGCATCAACTGCAAACAAGGCGTCAATATACGAGATCATGCCACATCCCTTTAATCTTAAAAGAAGGACACTTACAGGCAGCAGCGCCTTTGGAGATGCATTCTTGAGACCAACTGTGTTAACAAGTAGACAACACCATTGACCCCGTGTTAGACCAAATTGACTTCCGATGTCTCACGACCAATTTCAACTTACGATCGAAAATAGCCGCGACGAAGCGCAAGTGCAGGTCCTCATGCCACAGGAAGCGCTTGGCTGAGCGCTTGTTGTTCTTGCGCGTACGCTTGGCCGGCGGGAGCTCCTCCACAGCCTTCTCCATTGCAAGCGGTGTCCTGAGAGCGTCGCTGCTGGTGGGACTCGGGGATCGCTCCTGGTTCATATTTCGACTTGTTCTGGACGGCGACGCGATTCCTCCTAAATGTGGTCTGCAGAACCTGCTGCTGGCCGAATCCCTTCCCTGCCTCGCAGTCCCTCGCGTTGTGGTGGGTGGAGCATGTTCCCGCTTGCTCGACACGCAAAGTAGTGGCCGAAACGCCGCGATGGTGTGACTCGTCATCGACTCGTTTCTGAACCATATGATACCGAACCATACCCAAAAACCTCCGACCCTCCGACTTTCTCCGACTCGTACACAAAACATGCGGATAGGAGGGGGGTCACCTTTAACTATCACCCAGCTACGCGCAACGCGCGAACCTAAAACCCTTAAAGGCTCGCTGCGCTCGCTGGGCCAGGACCCTAAGCCCGCTGCGGCTCGCACGCATCGCCTCCGCTTGCTAGGTAGAGCACTGCTGGGTCCTGGGTTTGCAGCCGCGTGCTACGCACACGGACTGTCAAACCGCAGGCGGGGGCTCGCTACGCTCGCTCCGTGCCAGCCATCCCAAGGCTCCGACCAATGAGCAAACGGGACGACTAATCTATCTTGGACTGTGTATGCATAACACTTTGGGAAGGGGTAGGGTAATACTGTTATTTGACTGGGGATTTATATACCTATCATCTTAAGTGCGGTCGGAGATTTGATGATATTCTACCATACAAAGGTTCGACGCGACATGCGTGAAAGCAGGTTAGACGAAGTATATCGACGACTTGAACTAATTACCAGGATGTAGTCTATAAGCGCAATGTATGCGTTTGCGCAGTTTTCAGTAGATTCATGTGTATACAAGTTTTCCAGCCTCAGTTAAACGGCCCGACTCAGTAGGAGCAGGATTCATATCGTGCAACTGGAGCACGCTGCAATGCTGTAGAGGTGTAGACCAGCAAAGAGCAAAAATGCTAATACAGACGCGGGCGTACACGTGCGAGCCATATGTACCCAAAATCGAATTCCTTTTTCGGATGACTGGCAGCGCCACCTCATTGATGTGCCATCACTGGTGGCACATCAACGAAGTCTGCAGGCAAACGATAGAAGCTGGCACAGCAATCGAGATCATACAGTTTAATCTATTTAACAGGTGCCGTGACCCGCCTCCAGATCTAGGACGCTGGGACTTCGCGCTGCACTCAGCCCGAGTGCTCAGCGCGCAGATCAACGCCTGTGAACAGATGAGTAGCCCTTCTGGCAGAAGTTCTGCGTCCATGTACAGCTCAATCGCTCTATTGTGTAAATAGCCGACCTACTAAAAATTCCCTCCGGCATGTTAGGCTGGCTCCTGACCGGTGTTGTATCGTGACAGAGGCACGTGCGCTGCACTGCTCGGTGCAGAGGACCGAAGGTCGCAAGGTATTCATGAGTTGTTTAACTATAATACATTATGCCTATCTCGTGTATCGGCTTGAGGCTTACGTTAATATTCTCGAAAGAAAATCTCAACGTAAGACTCAAGCCAATACTTGGTGCTACACGATGTAGCCACGCAGACACGTGCCGATAGATGCATCTTTTCGAAAACTTGCAATTAGTGATGCACTACAGACAACGACTTACAAAGCCGGCAGACACAAAATGCCGGCAGACGAAGTCAAGCAAAGCTTAACATGAGCAAACCAGCCAATCAGATTCAATCAATCGACTTCATCTTTGTATACCATCTGGTTTTGTGTACTTTATATGCTTTCTTGTGTACTTTATGCAACACACCGTGTATTTTGTGACAGTTTTACAGATTTGACGGGAGGGAATTTATCGTTGTTTTTATATATAGGAGGATGGCATTAAGCATGCCGGCTTTGTAAGTCGTTGTCTGTAGTAGTGCCTCGAGTTGATCAGTGATGGAAATTGCGTCGGCTAAATTCATTAATTGGCTGTTTTTCGTAGGAGTTGCACTGAATTGACGATTGCAGGGTGTCGGATGCTAGAAGTAGTATACGGTATACGCAGCAACAAGCCTTTCAATCTTAGACGGCGCGATAAGTGTCCGATGTGCCCAAGTGACTGGCTGCAGTACTTGTAGTCTGTTGGTTGCCGTGGCCTGCAGGGCTAGAGTGCAGAAGTCCAGAGGCGGGTTCACCCCTTCGGTTGCGGATAGGAGGCCGCTCGGCATGATGCCGCAATTCGTGGAAGATATCTTGAAGCGCCTCCAGCTATGGATCTGGTAGACTTGACGCAAGGCCCGCTTGCCGATTCTTTCGTGGCGGCGGACAAGTGCAGGTGGCGAGGGGATGCCTGCAATCGGGGGCTGCCAATACTAAGCCCCGTCTTCCTAGCATAGGGCGACTGCCTGGTAGAGGCGAAGACGCCTTCGCTGCGTTCAGCACCGAGCTGTGCCTAAGCAGCCAGCACCACGCCGAGCTTCTCCGCCGCCCGACAGTCTCCAATTTGCCTCCTGGCAGGCAGGACGGACTCTCCTGCGAGGTGCTGGCGGACTGGCATGCGAGCCCAGCTCCATGCGCGGAACCTGACTGCACGCGTCCCTCCGGTTGTACGCAGCAAGCACCGCGGAAGTCTGCGACAGCGCCCCAGCTACACAGCGGTGACGCCGCCGTCGGCCCACTCGGTGGCCAACCGGTCGACTTTGCGACGAGCAGTTCGCGTGGACGACAGGGAGCTCTTTCGCCGCACTCGAAGGGTGCAGCGCTGGCAGGATCTGCCGCGCACCATTGGCGACCACACGCCCGAGAACTTGGCAAGTCAGGGCTGGCGGTGGCGCCGACGCAAGAAGAGCTTCGATCTGTACACGAGGCAGTCGCCGATGGTCAGCATCACTGGCGCCCCGCTGGGATCTCAGGAACTGTCGTCGCTTCAGGACAGTGAAGTCTTGGCGGTGGGGAACATCCTGTGTTCTATCGGTCAGTTGGCATCCCCGCTGCGCTCTCCAAGCGAGAGCAACTACAACTCGCTCATGCACGCGCTGTATGGCTCAGACTTCATCTATGGCTCACTGGTCCACAAGGCAACTTTCCGCCGCAGGTCTCGCAATGACAGCGCTGATGATAGCCAGCCAAACCCTGTACCAGGCCGACAACAAGGGGAAGAGCGTAACAACCAGCTACTGGTCAAGACCTGCGCTTTCGTGCACACCTCCATGTTCGACAAGAAGAACGAGCAGATGTGCTACGCCGAGCTCTTCTCGCCCACGTCCAGCGGAGGGTTCAGCATTTCGACCTGCTCGCTGGCTGGTCGAGAAGTGATCGCGGGCAAAGTGCGAGCCCCACTATGCAGAGCGCTGCACCAACTGCACCCGTTCAGTGCTTGGCTTTCGGCTGAGCCTGCCAGCTCCGGCGTGCACGTGGTGTTCCGTGCCCGCTTCCACCGCTCCGAGAGCGACGGGTTGTGCCCACCCAAAGTGATGAACGCTCGCCTGTGGAAGCTCGCGAAGGGTATGTGCAAGCTCGGCAAGGTGGTGGACACCATGGCCCAGCAACCCCGAGGACTGGCGAGCAGCTCGGGCATCAGAACCCCCGAAGGACCACGAAACTCGCGCTGCATTGTGTGCACCCGCTCGCTGCACCATATTTTCATGACGCGAGCCTGCAGCCGCTGCGAGTTGTGCTCCTACAACGTGTGCGACGCATGCTGCTCGAAGCAGCACGTGGCCATTTACAATCGGCATGTGGCGCCACTGCTGGTGTCTGCCCGGTGCCGCGAGAGCCTCGCTCGCGACGAGTTCGACAGTCAGCTGCGAGCCGTGAACCCCGACGCGGCGACGTCCCTCTCAAGCCCAGCCCTCGTGTGAGGCCATTTTCGATCGCAAGAAACGGGCTGCACGACAGGAAGAGGCTGGGCAGTGTAGTCTAATGTTACCTGTTGATCCGCGGTGTGGCAGGCAAGGCGGATAATTGTAGCAATGTATCTGTGACGTGGTCACGATACTTGGGAGCTGGGACTCCCACTAAGCCAACGTGTACTTATGAACTTAGATGCAAAATGCAAAGTGAACCACCTTAGCTAGTTTGTGAGCGCTCTCTCCTGCCGTCGCGGAAGCCCAGGGGGAGCTGTAGGTGCAGTTGCTGGATACAGATTACCAACTTCAACGCGTTGAAGTGTTACAGGTTGCAAGACAGTAGCGCTGCTCGAGTCTCTTCGAGGCTCTTCGCGCACGAGGCCTCTCTCAGCCTTGTGCATGCCCAAGCCAAACTTGCGTTGCTCTCATTAGATTAGCCCCGTAGCAATTGCATCACGCGAGCACACTAATCCATGCGCACAACTCTACCTCTGTTGACTTCCACAGCTAAATACTTCTGCTCTTTCTTTCAAGGTGCTACATGCCTCCGTCACTAAGAAATTGCAGAGTTATCTTGGATCTCAATATGTGAATTTTGCTTTTTCTCGTGCATATGTGCACTCTTCTTTACCAGAATTGTAGTGGTTTTACTGCAATTGTTTCCGGCCGGAGGAAGTACTCGCCTCTTCCGGCAGCTCTATTGGTCACCAACTTGGTGCTGCTCAATGCGAAAGCTAATCCCTCTTTCTGCAGGCTGCCCAATGCAAGAACTGCTTGCCTCCCCGACGGCGAGTGTGCGGTACACCATGTTTCTAACTCATTTAAAAATGGCTGGGGTGTACCAATTGAAGCTCAAGGGCCATAGTGAAAGCCTCTCACTTCTCTTCTCAGCTGCAACCGGTACAGCTCCATATTCATCTCATTGGCCGAAAGGGCCACTTAAACGAGTGACCTGTGTACTTTAACAAGTGAGTTGGGCGTACCGCAGCATCCCGTAAAAATGGTGCAATCCACAATGACGGTAACAAACCCTTAACTTAAGCCGGGGTAGCGCCGTACCTTGCTGAAAAAATATTCAAAAGTAAATGGCTTCAAAGCGAGAGTCAATCGAGAGGTGGAATTTCTGAATCTGCCAATTCACATATATGAAGGGTCGTCCCATGGAAGTCTTCCTTACGGGCAGACCATACAAACCTCAAGACAACGAAAGAAACAGTGTTCACATTTTCCGTATTTACACGTCCAGGTTTCACAAATATCCGAAAAACATCCTCAAGTTGAAGCAGGGCACGTTTAGAAACGAAAAGTGAGCGGTATACTCTCAGCCTGAAGGGCTGAGAGAATTTGCAACGATTCACCACTAGCCAATCATAGACCAGAATCTGGGGTTTTGTCCAATCACATGACCCGAATTGTTTGATTGCATTGCCGCAACGATTCACAACTTGTGACTCACAAGTAACGGATAGCGCCAAATAGTGTACCCTTCCCGAATTGAATACCTCCTCTCAAATCTGATAGAATGTGCTCAGTATACAAAGCTATTGTAACTGAGTACTTATAATTTTCTTGAAACTGCAAATTTATGTGAAGTTTAGCATGTTAAAATCTTCTGATTGGCTAAGAGATGTCTTGAAATTGAAATCACCTTTTATTTTACCTGTAAGTATTACTTTGTCAAATACGGCAAATTGTTTTATCTTTTTGAAGACCACAGTTTAAAAACTGACACTTGTCTTCGGTACTATTTGCAATGTTTGGAACTTTACGCAAAATTACCGTAAGGCATCCAAAGAAAAACAGTTTTGGTTGTTGGTCTAAGTTCTGCTTATATCTAACGGCATGACAGGCGTTGTGAACCAACTCTGCGCAACCTATGGATGTCTCCATGGTTTGAAGACTGGTACATACATTACCAGGGTGTCATCAAAGAGGGTTTGCAGAACGTAGCTAGCTCTACAGTATATAAAATATCCAGACTTGTATGCGTCGGAGCTACTTTGGTAGTATACCCTCCTATTTGTATATTTTTCTAAATTTGACAAGTGTTCAATTCAACAGTATGCGGTATACAAATTGGCGTTTTCCGTTACTTCAGAGCTTCATACGTACTTAAGTATTGTATTCCATGTTATCCACGCATGTTCCCATTGCCAACTCCATGTGAGGCATATAAGCAGCGCCGATAACCTTCCAAAACCGATCATGAGGTTGCAGAGGTTCTTGCCATAGCTCAGACGAGTTGGACGAGTTGAGCGTTGGGACTGCTTGTAATCGATAGCAGCCATCATGGCGCATAGGAATCCATCGTCACTTCTAGCTGTTAAATACTGTAGCAGTAGTCGGTGAACATCCTCCCTCATCATCTTCAGGGGCTCCCATGAGTCCTCGATCGTCTCGAGACCCAGCCACTTCACCTTCACCTCGTAATCGTGCATGTCTGCGTTAGTGTAGGGCGTTTTGCTGTTAGTAAAATTTACTAGACACTAACTCACTGTTAGCTGTACGTTTGCTGACTGTTAGTTGACGAGTTAGTAGCAAGAGAATAATCATGATATATATTAATCTTAAGGCTGATTGCAGTTAATGTCTTTCTTACCTACTGAAGAGATCTAAACACTCTGCGTCCTTCAGACCCGCCTTCTAGCGAAATATATTCGGGCCAGGGCGAATTCAGCTCTGCGTCTTTAACCTCGTCGATTATCTCGATCGGAGTGTGACGGGCCAGGTTCCAGGTCGGTCTTTCCCACCCTACCCATTTTATCAGGAACTGTCGCTGCATATCAACAGTCTTACGTGCGTAGATGCTTTCTGTAATGGGCCTATTTTGGCTCACTGCTTTAGCTTACACGTGCGCGCGTGTATGTGAGGAAGCGTAGCTTAGTTTAAATTAGAGTTAATTATACTCGGGCCTCCGAGTATAAATTAATCTAAATAAACGATCCAAATAATGTTTTTGGGTTAAAATGAGAACTGCTATTTTTGTTTTATGTTTCTGACTTCCCCTAAATGTAATATTCTAAGATAGGAATCTGCCAACGGCTGGTTGGCAGAATTCCAATGCTATGCATGTCGCTCATTGGCTAAGAGATGCTGCTCTCAGCCAATAGGAATCCTAAGTCTCTATGGACCACCCGTCGTGGTGGTCGTAAATGTATGTAGCCTTTGGTGTGTCTACACCAAGGTCGAGAAAGTCTTTCGAACCTCTAACAGACGTCGTATCTGTTAGAGTTACAAGTGACTGTAGCCACTTGTGCGTGTAACCCTCCCCCCTCAAGGTTAGACGCGCCGAGTCACGGCACGTCAATCAGGAAATTGACCATTCGTCAATTCTTCACGTTGCGAGAAAGAAAACTCGAGCTCATTCCGCAATGAGCTCGCCGCAGAAGAAGACCGCCGCCGCAACAGAGGGTAACCTCTCTGTTGCTCAGTACCGTGAGCGCCAGCAGGCAAAGCGCGACGCGCTCGCTGCAAAGGCCGCGTCGGAGACAACCCAGTCGGAGATTGTCCTCGAAGGTTCTTCTGTAGTCAACGACGCCGTTGACTACGAAGACGACGACGTGGAGATGGAAGTGGGCGAGGTCTCTTCTAGCAAGCGCATGGAGTCTATCGACAGCGATAGTCTCGACCCGCATGCCGGGTCGAGACGCCCTCGTGAAGGAGACGACTCGGACGCTTCAAGCTCGAAGCGTTCGCGCGGCGAGAGCGAAACTCCGCTCTCCGCTGCTGGTCCCCGCGTGAGATGGCGTCTTCAAGTTCTCCGCGCGCTGCTCAGGCAGCGCGCGATCCGTGGATGCCGTCTGCGTCAGAGATCGCAGACCGTGTGGGCAACACCGTGCCTCCAAATGACATTCCGCTGTACGTATGCAGCGGGATCCACGATGATGCTGTGGCGGAGGAGCAGCACTTTGATCCGTTAACGAATCAAAGGCGCGATTACTATATCGGACTTTTTCACGAGCTCCGATACTTTTCCAGCAAGAAGACCTCTTCTCGCAGCAAAGTGCCTGAGTGGTAGGCACATTGTCAAAGTTGGAATGCTTTTGTTGAGAACTTCAACAAGAAGCCGGCTGCTTACTGTGAGCGGGTTAAGTATGCCCGTGAGCGCTTCGAGACATTCTCGACGCGCGGGAGGCTGGAGCATCTCCACAGATCCTCTGGGGACGCTGGTATTCCCTGCGCTGTGCCCGAAGGCCATCAGTGCACGTTGTGTCTTCCGGGTGCGGCGCGCTTAAGCGACCGCGACCTAAACGGGTACACGACGATTCGTGTACCTGCGAGTCTCAAGGATCTCCGTGCCAAGTTCTTGGCACGTGAGGAACGCGACGATCGTGGGACCTCGGGCGCTGTAGGTGACCACAGCGCTCGCACTACCTTCGCGTCGGCAGTGCGTGGTGAACTTCGTACGCCCTCACCATTTCCGGAACGTCCTGCAGCAGGACGTCCCGTGGCTCCCATGTATGTTGGTGGGGCGGAAACCCTCTCCAACGAATACGATAACGAACCGGCTGCGGGTTCGTTTTCGGGATACTATGGTTCACAATACGCTCAACAATCCAGCGTGTTGAGCCGCGGGCGTCGCGGACGGAGGCGGCGGTGGTGGGAACACGCCCCGGGTATGGTCAACCTGGGGTTGACCTTGGCCCGACGCTCGAGGAGCGGGTCGCTGCTGTGGAGCAGCTTCAGAACCGGATGTTTGCCGCTCTGAAGCAGGAGGTGGCGATCCTGAGGGCTCAAGTCGCTCAGGGCTCGCAGACCGCGTCAGACATTTCTGCCGACGTGGGAGGTCGTGTCGTGCGCTTGGCCCAGCGCGTTCACGCGCTGGAGCAGAGGTTCGCTCCCGCTGGGGCTTCCGCTTCGGGCCAGCCGAGCTAGGTGGCTCGTGCTGCCGGTATGGCTTCAGCCGCCCGACGTAAAAGGTCGGATGAAGGCGCATGCTAGATGGAATATCTAGCGCGTAGGCGTTGCCATGCCGTGCCAACACCGTGGACGGCCCGATGAAGCGCGGAGCGAGCTCGCTTGCCCCGAAGTCGGAAACTGCATATTTAGGCAGGTTTTGAGTTGCTAACAAAACCAATGAACCCTTCTTGAATTCATTAGTGTTGCCCCTACCAACATTGTCTACGTTCAGCTTCTGTCGGTCGACAGAAGCTGCCATAGCATCTTGGACAAACCGAATGACGGCTTGTCTGCGCTGCACGATGTTGATTGCGTCCGAGCTGAACAACACGTTCAGCTCGTTTCTAGCAGTAGGCCCGGCCTCTGCGTTCGTCTTCGCGGTGTCTGTGCCCTGCACAGACCCGTTCTTCTTCTTCTTTTTGCTCTTGTCGGCGTCTGTGCCCTGCACAGACGCGTGCTTCTTCTTCTTGTTGCGCGTAGTCGCGGCTGACACTGTGCAAGTGTCAGCGGCATTCTGCGGCTGCTGTGTTGCAGTCGTAGATCCTCCCCCACTTAAGGAAGGAGCCACCATCCCGAGTAGACTCGGGAGGCGTGGGTGCCTGATGGCATTCACGTAGAACGGTGTATGCCCGGTCGAGGCATGCACCGAGTTGTTGATGGCGAAGTCCGCCATCGGCAGGCACTCGCTCCAGTGTTGGAACGAGTGAGCGTAGCTCTTAAGCACGTCTACGAGCACGCGGTTCACGCGCTCGGTCTGCCCGTCCGTCTGCGGATGGTCCGCAGTCGACATCGAAAGTTGACTCCCAAGAAGTGTAAACACTTCTTGCCAAAGGTGTGCAGTGAAGCGCGGGTCTCGATCCGACACAATGTCGATCGGCATGCCATGGTGTTTGAACACTATGTCATCGAACAGACGCGCCGTCTGTTTCGCAGTCACTTCAGCGGGTACTGCAGCAAGATGTACCATCTTGCTGAAGCTGTCAACAAAGACCACAACGCCCGTGTTCCCCTGGCTGTCCGGGGGAAGACCGAACACGAAGTCCAAAGACATGGACTGCCAACACTCCCGTGGAGTTGGTAGTGACTGCAAGGGAGCCTGCGCGAAAGGCGCAGGCTTCACACGTTGACAAACCTCGCAAGCACGGACGTACTTGCGCACCCATTTATACTGGTGGGCCCAGTAGAAGTCTCGCGTGAGAAGAAGGTATGTCTTTTCACGGCCCGGATGCCCAGAAGTCGGTGCATCGTGATACTCATACATGATCCTGAGTCGCAGGTCATGGTCATTGGGCACGACAACGCGGTCCGCGTTGTCGTCGACTGCACTGTAGAGTAATAACCAATCGTGCACCCGGTAACGGTGTGCACGAGCACGAAGATGCTTCGGCAGCTTCTGACGAGCTTGGTCAGAAGGCGCTGAGCCGTAGGCCAGCAAGAGCTTCGCGTCCGCGTCGTGCGCGTACGCGACCTTCACGTCGTCCAACAGTGACGACGTCGGGGTGCTCGATCGCATGGCGTCAATGGCATTGACGTCGGCATCAGCCGTGGCGTAGTCAGGTCGACCCGAGAGCGCGTCGGCCACCACATTGAGTCTTCCGGGTTTGTACTCAACCCGGAAGTTATACTCTGCGAAGAATGAGAGCCATCTCGCCATCCGTTGCGAGATGTACGGCGACTTCACAGCCGTCCGCAACGACGCGTGGTCCGTATAGACCACGAACGGTTTGCTTCCGAGTAGATACACTCGGAACTTCGCGAGTGCGTACTTCATGGCAAGGAGCTCCTTGTCATGTACCGGGTAGTTGCGCTCAGCTGGCTTCAGCTGACGCGATTGGTAGTAGACGACACGATCACGACCCTCGTGATCGTGCTGCATCAACGCTCATCCGATTGCGAAGTCGGATGCGTCACACACAACGTGGAATGGGCGATCTTGGTCGGCCACCGCCAAGATCGGCGCCTCAGTCAAGCCCCGCTTGACTGCATCGAAGGCCTGCTGACACTCAGCAGTCCAAACCCACTCGGCGTCCTTCTTCAGGAGCTGTGACAGCGGGCGTATCATGCCCGCGTAGTCCTTCACGTACTTGCACAAGTACGTGGCCAAGCCAAGGAACTGCCGCAGTTCCTTGACGTTGGACGGCGTCGGCCACTCATTGATCACTCTGACCTTCTCAGGGTCAGGGTGGACACCGTTCTTCCCAACGAGACACCCGAGCACGGGTATCTCGCTCGCCCCGAAGATGCATTTCTTCAGGTTCACATAGAGCTTGTGCTTGCGCATGAGCGCAAGCAGCTTCCGGAGATGCACCTTGTGCATCTCAACGTCGCTCATCCCGTCCGCAGCTCGACTGTGGACGAACACATCGTCGAAGTAGCTCGGTGCGAAGTCGCGCACCGAGCGCAACAAGTGCGTCACGCACCTGTTGAAGGTCGCAGGGGCGTTCTTCAGCCCTGCGGCATCACTAGCCACTCCCAGAGCATGTCGCTCGGTGTGCTCACAGCCGTGAGAGGGATATCGCTCTCACGCATGAGGATCTGATAGAATCCATCGCGCAGATCAAGAGCACTGTAGATAGTGCTCCTGGCCATCGAATCGATGATTACATCTTTTCGCGGTATCGGTGTCTGCGCCGGTATCGTCGCATCGTTCAGCTTGTTGTACGCATGAACGATGCGCCAGCCGCCCTGTGGCTTCTTGACACAGAACGTCTGAGCACTGTGCGGGGACTTCGATTCCCGCACTTGTCCAGCTTTGCGACGACTCTCAAAGAAGTTTTCGATCGCCTTGACCTGCTCTCGCGGCAGTGGCCACTGCCGCGTGACACAGTACTTCGTACCGGGAACGAAATCAATCTCGTGCAGGATTCCCTTGTCCTGCGGAAGCTCCGCAGGAATCTCTTCCGGAAGTACGTCCGCGTACTCCCGTAAGATCAAGTAGTAGGGACTCGTTTTCAACGAGTCCCAGCTCTGCTCTTCAAAGCGCTCCTTCTTCGTCTTCGCACTGAGAGTGCCGTCGCTCTCAGTGGTGGTCTCCATAATGAACTGCCTCAGTTCTTCATTCTCGCTCTTCGTTCTCTGGGCGTCCGAGAGAATGCATATTTGCTCGATGCGTCCATCGTGCAAGTCACGCGCGAAGCGCTTCCAGCTCATGACTGGAAGCGAAGTCAACTCCGAAGCATGCGTCGGAGGGTTAGCGAGAGTCATCTCCCTGTACCGGAACCCGGCACAGGTACGCGTCAAGACGTTCAACGTCTCGACGTCCGGCTTCTCAGCCTCCGTCTGCCCGGCAGACATTTCTTGTAGCGTCTCGGCCCCGGGCCGAGACTTGCGCAGCGATTTTCGCATGCGCCGTCTTCTTGTTTTGCAGAGCCCCGCTCCGCTTGGTTCTTGACCTCGTCCAGGCCCAGCCGTGGACGGATGTTCTTCTTTAGTACCGCCGGTGGGTTCATCCCGCGGGCGAGCGACTTCAAGCCCGGCTTGGTCGCCAGGCGCTTCGTCGTGCAGCCCGGCTGCACGACAGCATGCAAGTTTTTCCGGTGCGGGACGTTTGCAACCGTCCGCACCGCCTGCAGCGTCGGCTACACGCCATCTTCACCTCGACGCCTGTTATTGGCGGAGCCTCCATTACGGAGGGTGCGTCGGCTCCCCGAGCCGACAAATCAAATTCACCCAAGCCATCGACTCCCGGAGTCGACGGCGTTACGTCACCTTGGCTCTTATTATTGGCCAGACCTGATCCAATCAGATTCGCGTCAGCCTCCACGGCTGAGGCGTGTGACTCGTCTGCGTCATCCGTGCTCGTTGAGGTCGGAGACTCTTCCTGATTCGCTGAAAAGCGGGTGTCGATCTCCGAGATCAACACATGTTCTCCTTCAGCCGTCGGCGGCGACGCCGACGCTTGCTGCTCTTGCGCGCGTGCTCGCGCGCGCCCAGGGCGTTCCGGGACAGCGGCATTAGGCGCTGTCTCGAGTGGGGAGTCGTGCGCACCTGTCGGTGCGTGCGTAGCGGCAACAGGGCCATCGCTCACTGTTCCGCTGTCGCGACCGAAGCGCACTCTCGTGCGCTTCTCCCAATCGATGATCGGATCATGTCGTGCAAGCCACGGCATGCCCAATACAATGTCAAACTTATCGTCCAGATCCAGGACGATAAAGGTCTCGAGAAACTCTTGATCTTCATACGTGAAGCGCACGCGTACCATGCGCTTCTCGGTCTTCCCGACGGCACCCGTTGCCAGTCGTACTTCCAACATATTTCGAGGTATCTTTAAATCCTCGAAGTCAAGCCTTGATAGACTTCGCAGTCGAACAAAGTTCTTCGACGCGCCAGAATCTACCAAAGCACGGAGAGAGCCGCTTGCTCTCATCGAGTTCACATTCAGGATGCCAAGGTCAGGCTTGTCATCTTGGTTCTTGCAGTGAGAATGAACCTCACTGGGGGCTGCAGTCCTCAGTGTCGCGTGTGCAAGGTTGACACGCGGAACTGCATTACCAGTAGGGCGCCCCGCGCCTACTGGCGTCCAGCGTTTTTTGTTTGGTTGCGACGGTGCCCGGCACCGCCGCGATAGCCACCCTGCTGGTGCACGGGGGCCGTGCACTCCCGAGCAAAGTGACCGATTCTACCGCATCGGTAGCATCGCACATTGTTTCCTTGCGACTGCTGGGGTCCAGCAGTTGCAGCACTCGAGAGGTCCATGGGTTCTGGGCCTCCCGTCCTCACTACCGGGTGTGGCTGTGGCCTCGGCACATGTGCATGCAGCTTAGCCTGCCGCAGGCTAAACTCCTCCTGCATTGCAAGAGTAATTGCAGCTTCGAGAGTACTCGGGTACTCACGGAAGAGATAGGTCTTCACAGGCCCATCTCTCAGCCCCTTCATGAACGTGACGACCTTGGTCGCCTCGTCGATCGGATTGGTCACGATGTTCGAGACTAAGTACCGTGCTCTCTGAGCGTAAGCATGGACATCATGCTTGCCCTGCTGCAGGTCGAGGAACTCCGACCTCGACCGGAACTCCTTTTGTGGTGGCTCAACGCTTGGCTGAGCTCTTCCTTGAAACCCTCGTACGTGCTAAAGCACGTAGGATCCGAGAGTCAGCGTCCATACGCCTAACTTCTTGTACGTCCGCCAAGACATGACATGGCGAACGCGACCTTTGACAACGGGTCGACGATGCGTCGAGCCGCAATGGCAGTGTCGAGTTCGACAAGCCAACGGAGGAGAGGCTCGCCCTCTCTTCCAACGTAATTGCTCACGCTGAGCTTCACCGATTGCGCGCGCGGTGTCGTCCCCGACGACACCGTGGTAGACGAAGCAGCATCTCGCTGCTCCCTCATGATGAATCCCAGAGCAACACCATGTTGCTCTGTCGGCGTTAGCGTACGCAGCATCGTAGCTACAGCCGCCTCACCAATGACTGTTGACAGTCGGTGGAGAGCTTCCCACTCTGGGTCCGACAGGTGGGGACAGTCAGCGCGTGCAACGTGAGTTGCAGGCGTAGTGGAGCTTTCCATGGACACCTCCGTATCCATGAGAAGGTTCTCAGCTCCGCGTTCGTGCGTTGACGTTCGAACTCAGGTAGTCGGTCGTTGGACGGACTACAAAGTGCTACCAGATGTAATGGGCCTACTTTGGCTCACTACTTTAGCTTACACGTGCGCGCGTGTATGTGAGGAAGCCTAGCTTAGTTTAAATTAGAGTTAATTATACTCGGGCCTCCGAGTATAAATTAATCTAAATAAACGATCCAAATAATGTTTTTGGGTTAAAATGAGAACTGCTATTTTTGTTTTATGTTTCTGACTTCCCCTAAATGTAATATTCTAAGATAGGAATCTGCCAACGGCTGGTTGGCAGAATTCCAATGCTATGCATGTCGCTCATTGGCTAAGAGATGCTGCTCTCAGCCAATAGGAATCCTAAGTCTCTATGGACCACCTGTCGTGGTGGTCGTAAATGTATGTAGCCTTTGGTGTGTCTACACCAAGGTCGAGAAAGTCTTTCGAACCTCTAACAGACGTCGTATCTGTTAGAGTTACAAGTGACTGTAGCCACTTGTGCGTGTAACCCTGTTACACTTTCAACAACAAATACAGCACCACCATCGCTGCTAAAAGAGGATCTCGCCTCACTATCAGTTCTGTCCGCACGAATTGGTCCTTAAAAATAAATCACAACCTAACGGATGGGACTATCCGTTCTAGACTGGCACTTCAAGTAACTACAGCTCTGGCGCTGCACTGGCATCTAGAGCAGACTTGGCAGCATCTAATGTGACAGTACCGTTGAGTTGGGACAATGTGGGCCACAAAATCGAATTAAAAGCGTCTTATCTCTTAAAATATAGAAAACCAGAAGGATCGGAGCGGCTTAGATAGAGTTTTTGAACTGTGAAAATCTTTAGTAATTTCCGTTTTTGTGCAAACATTAGTGATGCTCGTTCGTCAAATACATGCTTGCAAAATTTACTAGACACTAACTAACTGTTATTTACACATACAGCTGACTCTACAGTTAATGTACTTGGGATTATGCGGGCGAGGCTTGGTAGTCGAGTGTTGGTTAGGAAGGAAATCCGAAAGTGAATTAGAATGAGTTAGGCCAAACTAACTATCATATCCTAGCCTCCTATGCTTAAACGTGAATCATACCAACGCACACCTCCTACTTCCAAGTATTAGAGGCTGGGAATCAAAACGTAAATGTTGCAGATCGTATCCAGACGGCAACTTCAACTTGCCTTTCTCTCAGTCAATCAGAAGTGTCAAATCTTGGGGCTCCGCCAATCAGATACCAGTATTCCACCACGTGTACCACAATTGCCTACCATCGGCAACAACTTCACAGCAAGCACGTGCCTCGATACGGAGACATACAACTAGACTGCGAAGTGTACAATTGCTACAAGTGTATAGGGAGAACAGTCTGGGTTCATCCTGTGCTCCTCAAGAGCAGGTTAACATGCACATGCAGGAGAAAGCTGATAAATCCGAAAAGGAAAAACGTGATGCAGAGCTGCGTGATGCCGCGTCAGCTGAAGTCGTTTGGGATGCGATAGCGGGGCTACGCCGATCCCGCTCGAGCGACTCGAGTAGCGAGTCGCCTTCAACTTCAGCACCAAAGCGGCCAAACCGAACTAGCGCAGAGATGATTGCAGACTCTCTTGAGGCGAAGGTAGCCCCGCGTAGCAATAGGAAGGAAGAAAAACAGAAGCAAGTAGATCTGGAAGCGCGTCGGCTTGATTTGGAGGAGCAGCGTGTGCAGTGTTGAAATGTGAAAGCAAGCTAGTGAGCGTCCACGCTCAGCACGAGAAACAACAACAGGAATTCACGGCACTAAACGTCACTTGTTATATACTGGGCAGATTCGAGACTGAGACCCAGTCTCGATCTCCCTTCCCTATCCTACTAACAGATACTGCTGCCAACGACTCTCTGCAGCTCTACATAGCCGCAAGATCTTTAGGTGGCAAAGGCCACGACCCCTTGCACAAGATCGCTGGCCAGCTCGACGATGCTCCAGCGTCACCCATATTTCAACATGCAGCATAATCGGGAGCGCGGCGAAATGTTCATGGAGATGATGTCAGCGCAGATGAGCATGGTGGCGAAGATGACGGAGACGCTCACTCAAGCAAACAAGTAAAAGTCGTGTTTTTTTGTTAACCCACCGGCAACCGCTCTTATCCTGATTTTGCGGGGATAAGATTAATATAGAAATTTGTATACTGGCGGGATAGGGTAAGCGAGGTCCCCTGCGGCCTGCCCCGACTTTTCGGGTTTCACCGGCTGTCAATCTCATTGGTCAGAGTTATCCAATCAAAGCTTGGATACGGCCGTAATATTAAGCTCTGTCGAGATTTCGATCGAAAAAACCTTGGCGTTATTCGCAGGATAATGCGAACATTCGCAAAGTGAGTGAATTGTTCGGAGCAGATCATCGCGGTTGATGGACGTGCTCGGCAATCGCTGTGACACTATCCCAGGGCAAGCACGACACGGCACCTGAGGGACGCCTTCTACTGCAACGACGAGACGTACGAGGCACAACCGAAAGCAGAACAACTCAATCTCGGTACGCTTCTTACTCTAGCCAGCCTGTCGCCCCATTGCTGACGTGTTTCTCGACTGCAGGCGAGGCGGGCGCTGGCGGCACAAGCCCCCCCCCATTCCATCGGCAGTACACCCGCCTGACTTCCTCCTCCCTCTTCGCCATGCAGGACTACGGCTACTCGCAGTACCACCAGCGCAGCGGCGAACTTTCCAAGCTCTACTACAAATCCCTGGACCACGGCACTAATAGCGGCGGCTTCAATGGCCCGGTGTGCATGAACTACAGCAGCACGTGAACCCGACCAGCATGCAGGCCCGGCTCCAGGCCCGACGCCGCAGCAGGGGGACTTCGACTACGAGCCCATCAGCACCCAGGCCAATACTACGCGCTGTCGCCCAAGGTCTATCGATACAACTGGGGTGGCTCTCAGAGCCGCTCTGTTGGGCGGCGGTCATACGTCAGTGCACACGGACAAACGTTCGCGTGAGGCGCTCTAAATGAAGGAGAAGAAGCGCATGTTCAAGCTAAACGAGGGCACCAATCATCACAAGACGCTGCAGGACGAGGCCGGACGATCAAGCAGTCCGTCGTGTGATCTCGAATCAGAGTGTGGAGCGCGCCTAAAAGCAGGCGGATCGCCGAGGACCAAAATGGCGGTGGCGTCAGCGATGAGGGCTATAATACCCAATGGTGCTGCCAAAACAAGCTCTCACTGCAACAGCAGCCTTTGCAGGCGGATGCAGTGAGTATGTGTTTTAGTGTAAGGGTCTAGTATAAAATAAAATAATGGCATTCCATAGAATCGATCGACAGTCAAAATCTATTCGGACAACCTGTCAAAAGTCGTGGTCGCTCCTCAGTGGTACAGTACACATCGTGTTTGCGAGGGGGGGAGAGATCTCTCCGAGAAGATCATGGCCGACGCTAGTATGTACACCGACGACACGGCGGCCGGCAGCAGCAGCACTGTGGGCGGCAGCAGCAGCGATGACGACGAGCGCTCGAACCAACAGGAGCTCACAGCGCGAGGACGCTCCGAGAGCCAAGGGCAGATCAGCGATCAAGATACCGACTTAGACCGCTCCTCCTACTTTGTTCTCTCGGACCCCAACTACATCTACGAGGCTGTCTCGGTGCGCATGTGTAGTGGCTATTTGATATCTTACCGTCCTGCCTGCATACAACAGGCTTTCACACCAGATGTCAACCGAACAGCGTCAAACAACAAGAAAATTTATGGCAAACCGATGTCTGTCGGGGAGGTACGTGCACGTATCTTTGGTATTTCAGTGGGCGTCACGATGGCTCAATTCCGATCTATGCCTAGTTTCAATGTCACCAGGGGTTGAAAGGAGCAGGCAGGCTAGCATGTCGATCGGATCGCTTGCTACTGCCAACAGCAAGAAGGCCAGGACGACGGCGATCAACTCGTTCACGACGTTCCTGGCCGCGTAGAGCATGCCACTCGAAGCCACCCACCAGCTCATCGACGGGGATAAGACAGGTAAGGTATTGCGTATTATACTAGACAAGAATGCATATTCGTTAGCCACATCAGCCGAAAAGGTAAGAGCGACCAATACGTGTCTAGCATACTAAGGCAACGTCAAGAATTGGCTAGTAGATAAGTACCCACTGCAAGGAGCTTTAGTTAAATCTCAGCTCCAAAAAATTCTATCTGGGCCGGGTAAGTATTGTAGCAACCGAGAGGAGGTCGGCGACGAGAAGAAAGCACCTCCGTGCTCTAAACAAGACTTAGAAGCTATGGTGTCTCTACTGTACTCAACGGCTGCAACGGAGAGTGAATACCTCCACGCGGCCCACGTCGTGATGATGTGGTACCTTTATGGCCGTAGCTCGGGCGCAGAAACAGTCGAGAAGAGTCAGCTATCCATCTTGCCTGGTAAGTAATTAATGATCATGGTCTTAACAGAATTAATCTAACCGTTATTGCATTTATGCTAGGCGGAGTCTTATTTCTTCGTTTTAAGCGAGTTAAAACAGCTTTACTACAAGGCATCTCCTTATTCAAGGACCCCACGAATTTCTTGACATGTCCTCTGCAAGCTCTGGCTGTGGCGCTGGTTATGCAGATAGCACCAAGTCACCGTATGTTCCCTCAATTCATCGCCAAAAGGCGCAGCACGGATGATATTGACGATGTACAGAAGCTTACACTGTTGAGCTGTTAGAAGTTGATGACGACCAGCCTTCTATGGAGGAATCCGTAGCTTCATCGACAAAGCGGGCCGTTCCTGGTGCACAAGCATACGTCAACAGATTGCTGGTTAGAGTTAACAAAAAACTCGCCGATTTGCGAAGCATTCGTATGACGCCAGATCTTACCTCTCATTCTTTTCGACGTGGTGGAGCCATGCATGCCAACGACGGTACCTTGTCGGAAAACTGGATTATCGAGCGCGGGGGCTGGCAGCTGGACCGCGTCAATATGGCATTCGGGTACATGCTTGGTACAACCCAAGCAGACCAAAAGGTGTCCCGCGTCCTGAGTGGCTGGAAGCCCAAGGACGGTGCGCGGCTACCAACGCTAGCCGCTCTGGACACGCCAATCTTGGCCCGCGCTCGCAAGTTGCAGCAGCTTCTCTTTTCCAGCACGATGGTGTTTGCTGACGCCGCCTTGAACCTCGACGACGACGTCACAGATGTCCTTACGGCTACCCTGTTCATGCATTACCCGGACATGTGAGTGCTCTGCCCAAGCAGCTCGCCCATCACGAAGATTCGTGAGCTCCTAGCAGAACGAGTCATTGGTGAGTCCGAGCTGCTGGCGTGGAGCGTGACAATTAGCAAGGCATTCGTGACACCTTCAGCTTCTGAGGCTTTTGTTAGTGCTGGTGAAGGGCCGTCGCCTGCGTTGATTGATCTCATCAAGCGCCAGTCTGAGCAGATCGATGTTTTAATCCTACAGAACAAACGGCTCGACGAGCGCATATTTGCTGTTGAAGCACACCTCAAGACACTTACCAGCACAGCGGCAACTCAACCAGCAAACGCCGACGCCACGCTTCCTGCCTCCGAACAACCACCGCCAGTTGGGTCTAAGATGACACGCCCGAAGAAGAAGGGAGCCTAGTTGTTGTCGGCGATCTGGTTCGAGTGGTTTACTGCGGAGCCTCGCGTGTATGCGTCGCGTTCTGTAAAGAAGACAGCGTTGTACGAGTACAGGCACATCGCAGGGTATCTCATGCTCTTCTTACCTGAAGGGTTTGCGCTGGACATATCGTCGCCTGCATACAAAAGCGAGGTGCTCGAGCTTGGCGATAAAGCACAACAGAACGCACTCACCTTCTTGAAGTCGCACGGCTCCTCCGCAGTCGCAGCAGGTACAGCGTTGAAGGCGCTTCGTCAACTTCAGAAACTTGGACAACTTGACCAGCTCATTACACAGTTTCATGAACTTGTCGTCCGTGGCTCCGTTGTCGATCCAACTCCACCTTCAGCATTGCCGTCCTTCATTCGCCTGAAACCCAAGCAAGATTAATCTGCCGCTGTAATACATAGCGCAAAATACGCACTAATAAAAACCAAAGTTAAGGTGACCTCGCAGCACTGATCAAGCAAGGGTCAACGCCATTAAATACATAGATGACAACAGCATAATAGGGATAAACCTCTTCGTATATTTACTCGCAGTTGACTGCCACTATAATACAAACAACACTGCACAAATCATAACGTCAAAAGTGGGCATTCATCAAACAAAAGCGCATAACAGTTTACCTTGCGTCTTGTTGGCTCGACGGATCAGCCGCAGTCTGCGTCGTCGCAGCCGCTGTCGCCCCAACGTATCCTGCAGCTAGCCGTCACCGCGTGTTAGGCCAATCAGCCGGCCGTCACGCCACGATCACACGAAGTGCTCCTGCTGCTGCTGGCTCCGGCGGCCATCGCCCCGCCCAAGGCCATGCTGCAGTGCGCGTCGCCGCCGCTGCCGAACTGCTCCTGGTGCTGCGGGCCCCGAGGGCCATCACCCCTCCCGAGGCCAGACTGCAGTACGAGTTGATGTCGCCGCCCGCGCCCGTGACATTGTTTGCTGCCGATGCTCGCCTCGGAGGCCGCCACCCCACCCGAGGACAGATCACAGTCCGTGTCGCCGCAGCCGCGCGCACTCCTCATGTAGCTGCTGCTGTTGCTGGTCTCGGCCCGAGAGTGTCATCACCCCGCCCGAGACCCACCGCACTCCGCGTCGTCGCCGCCCCCTCGCCTCGCTGCTGCATTTGTATTTGTATTTGTTGCGGTTATGGCGACTACGCTGCTGCAGCTGCCCACGGGGGCCATCGCTCAGCCCGAGACCAACCCGCACTTCGCGTCACCGCAGCTGCTGTTCTGCTCCTGGTGATGCTGGCCTCAAGGGTCACTACCCCGCCCGGGACCTTGCACCGGTCTGCATCGCCGCTGTCGCCGCCGTCTGAGCTTGTCTTGTCTGTCTGTCCGAAGGCTGAAGGAAAGGTGTAGAAGTTTAGGTGTCACTAAAGTAATACATGTCACTAAACTGATTCACGAGTACCGGTACTGGTTGGACTCCTCGGTCGGACAGTTGGAATTTTGACGGTATGGAGCTGCGCTATCCGTTGCACGCATAGCCGTTTAAGTATCCGACAATATCAGTAAACTTAGTTGGAGGACTGTAAAAGTATCCAGCCAATTGCAATCGATGACAACCTCAAGTTCCAAGCCAATTTGGTTCGAAGGTGCAATATCAGTGGGGGGGGGTAAGCAACACGGGGACCATGAATGCTATTAGTATACGGCTATTAACACCGCGGAGGTAAGTGAAACTTTGTTCTACGAACTAGTCTTGTGCTTTGTATGTTTGTTGTAGTTTTCTTATCTGACGGTGTTGATATTAATATTAATACATGTAGCGAGAACGCAATGCGCCGGCGACTGGTGCGCCGCAAGTGCGGCGTACCTAAGTCGCCCGCCCATTGCATTTGTAGTTTTGTTTGATTAGGCTATCTCAGCCCCCGCGAAGCCCTAGTAAAATACATGTGCTGTACGTACAACCACATCTTCTACGAGCCCGAGCCCGTCAACTTCAAAAGTGGGCTCCCGTAATTCGAGAGCCAAAAGTCGCACAAAATGGGCTCCCTCATGGTAAGTACGAGATCAAGGAGCCCTGGTTCGGGCTCGGCTCCCCTCCAAATTTAGCTTCAAACCTACGACGGGCTCTTTATAGTAATATCGGATTGGCCAATTTTACCTAGACTTAAGGCGAGCAACTTCGCGTGATCGATGCGCCACGCTAGAAGATCGAGCTCAAAGATCACCACACTAGAAGATCTCGCGCCGCTCATATGTGTACAGCCGCTCCGAGGCCACCCCAGCGTCGCCGATCGTCCTTCCTTCCCCTCAAGGAGAAGCCCTCTTTCCTATGCCTTTTCAGGTTAGAACCTGGAGATACTTCAATGACGGCCAATCATCAGCGAGATATTTAACACAGGTGACGGGGGAGTCCTTGACGAGGGCTCACAGTTCTGGAGGGCTCCTTTCACTTACCGGAACTCAAGAGCCCAGGAGCCCGAGCTCGCGACTTTTTGGGTTCACCCAAGAGCCCAGGAGCCCGGCTCCGCAGGGCTCGTAGAAGGTGTGCGTACAACTACCAATCAAGTTACTTTGCAGGATGCCCTAGTTTGGTACAGGTTCCGCTCCTGATGAGCTCCTTCTGAGCTTGACAGTGCAAGGTAGGCCAAGTATGGTGCAGGGTTTGATTAAGTTCTCCTCTTCATTCGCCTCCCTCACTGGGTGCGCTCTGCGTAGTGCCCGCTTCACTTCTCGGACAGGTCAGCTAGTAAAGTGATCCCACTGCAGCCGCTGTGGAACCCTCGAATTGGTGCCTATTAGCCTTACGCTTAGGCAGTGCCTAAGCGTAAGGCCGCTTCGATAAGAAGAAACTACTGGTAGCAAAAAGGTGGTCTGGGCGTTGCAGTCTTGTGCTTCCCACTCGATCTCAATAACGAGCGACCAGGTAAGCGACCATACTACAGTGTACTAGCTACGCAGCAGACTTGGGTGTTGGCCTGCGCTTCAACTTGAAGTTGTCTGACCGAGTGAAAATATCCTCTGAAGCCACAGCCAGCAGCGCCAAAACTTGCCTTCTACTGTCCGAACCGGCTCAGAAGGACGCGCGGTCTTGCACCAAGTGGTAGGCAATGGCCGAGTGGATAAGACCCTCATGTCGTAAGTGGCGATTGCTGAAGGTTTTGCCCGCTCAACCGTTTGGTCCGTTTTCTATACTTGATTTCACTAAATCAGGACGGTTCCACATTTTTCCTTGACGTGTTCCTGGGATGTGCGCCTCCGACTCGAAGGTCGTCACCAAGGACTATAAGGAGACCTCGGCGCCAAGGCCCCAGCCTGAGCTTACCTCCGTCCGGCCGGCGTCTGCCTTTGCCTGCCACCGCATTTGATGGCGCGAGACTCGCAGTCGCCGAGCGCCTGCACCCGCGTCTTCCCGAGGCCGCCAACGAAACTTTCGGCGGCGCACGCCCCTCGTGGCGCCCGTGGTCAGCATCGCCGCCCTTGGCTCTTGGCGGCACAGCTGACGCGAGGGACCGGCACCGTGACTGCCGGGGCTTACCAGCGCGAGCACCAATGCAATCGCGTCGCAAGTCGAAGCAGCAGTTGATCCTGTCGCCTCCATCACTCTCCGATTTGCAGCGTCCTGGCCGCCATGCGGGTAACCGATAAATTAGGTCAAATGGCATAGTTGGTCACGTCGTTAGGTCACGTGACCTAATTACAGTTGGTCACGTACGTAATGAATGATATGTATTATGTGTTATGCTCACTGCCCTCTTCATACTGCGCGGTCGCGTCCGTGATGTAGGTGTCGGAGGCTCTCTACGTCTCGCCGTCGTATGATCCGGCTGAATGTACTCGCCGGGTTCCACGTTCTCGTCACCCGTCGAGGACATAGCGCTGCTGTATGGTTCCGAGTCCGCGTCAGCATCGACAATTTCACCCTCACCGTCGCTGCTGGCTGGCGAGTCGACGATGTCGCTCACCTCTGGCAGCTTTGGCTGTCTTGGTAGGACGAATCCTGTACGCTCAGGTGGCTTGGCTAAGCCTGAGATGACAGTCGTCCGTTGCGCAACGTACTCGCGAGCAAGGTTCTCTAGCGAAGTCACGAAGGTTTTCATGGGCGGATGAGCATTAAACCGCTTGTTTAGTTCACGGTGAAATCGCTCTAATGGGTTGTTCGTCCGGCTGATGATGTCACGCCTCATGCCGAACACATTCCAGTATTCCGGCGGGTATGTCTCCAACCAAGTCCGCTGAAAGTAGCTCCAAAACGTTCGCCACTTGCTACGAGAGTACTCCAGACCTTTCACCTCACACACGCTGCAAATTTTGGCTTGGCCCAAGCGATTCCCTGCACAGCAATTTTGGTGGGACCAATGACGGTAAGTATGTCAAAGACATTACGCAACATAGCAACCTTGATTTCACCAACTGGTAGCCCAATGCTTTTCATCTTGCGACGGCATGCCTGTTTAAAATGAAACAGGCACCCGATAATGGTGACGTCAGGAAAGAACTCGCGAAGTGCTCCAATCAGTGAACTCTCAAAGTCACACACCACATCTTTCGGAACCAGTTTGCTCCCCACAGCATCTTGTACACATTGCAGCAGTCGGACGTAGGATTTTCTCGTCATAGATGTAGTTGCCGCATGCAGGACAGGGAGAAACAGCTTGCTGGAAAGATCATAGATCATAATTGTGACACACTGCTTATAGTCGACGGGGGCATATCTAAACGTGCCGTCGATAAACCACGACAAGTTTTCGAAGCAAAGCAAATTCAAAAGCGTAGGATGAGCCCACGCAGTTATCTGATCGATGCCATTTGCATCCTTTGGCGGCTTCTTCAGCGCTTTGACGTCATCGTGCCAGGCATACTGAAACTGGAAGAAGCCTTGGTGCGATCCTTTAATCTTGGTCAGTCGGGGGTTCGTCATGATACTGGCTCGGCCGTGACTGGAATCGTGGCCCCAAGCTTCTTGCACACGGTTTTTGACGGTTTTCTCCGATACGCCGCGAACCGGAGCCCCATCGTTCATGTATAACTTGTCCACAATAGCCATCCATATTTGCCTCTGAGTGAGAGTCGTTTGAGTAGCAAGTTTGTCGACCTCCTCCATGATGTCGTTCGAAGCATCTATGGCGTGATCGCCTGGGTTCACCGTTGCTCCTCGGAGAGCAGGACCAGCACGGCATGTATGAGCCTCCATGCTGCTGAAGTCAAACGCCATCGTACTCGCGTAGAATGCAAACTGCGCAGGGCAGGGGGAACGATATGAGCTGCAGCGATACAATATCTTGTTTGAAGTTCCGCTAGCTCGAACAAAAGAGTACCCCTGATAGTACAGTTTTGTACGTCCGTCCCGAGGCTTGGACGCTTGTTGCGAACGTGACACACTCGTCGAGGTCTGAGTGTCCACATTGGACAGTGGCATGGATAGCGCTGGTCGTGGGATGCCTACCAGCTCAGGCGTGTCTGGTTCAGTATCGCGAATCCCCATCAGAAGTCCATGCCGAGTCACGACGGCTGCGGTCACCTGACGTCACTCGATGCGTGGTTGTTTCGGCGTGTTAAACGTGACGTCGGCGCCTGTGTTCCTGCCCGTAACTCTTGGGAAGCCAAGATGGCGTCGGACAGCTCTCTTTCAAGAACGGCACTCGTCGCGCGACTGCTCCGACGAGTCGGACGCGAAGTCGGGGCAAATCGAGATTGCCCACGACGACCAGGAGAACGAGATGGGGCTGGGTCTGGGGAAGACGTAGAGGCTCCTCCACGACCGCCTCGGCGCCGAGCCATCTTGGGTTACGTTAGTGGTTGGCGCGTGACTTGAAGGCTGTGTTTGTGAAGGGAGAAGTCCCAATGGCCCACTGTTCGCATGCTTTCTATTGGATCATGTTGGTTTCAAAAACCCCAGCGTTTAGGACAGGTACAACGGCCAGAAATAGCTACTTGGCATGTTGTACTTTACCGTAGTAATAAAGGGAACGACTTGGGTGATGCTGGGGCGCTAAAGCTTGTTCTAGCAGCTTCACGTGACCAAGTGGTTTGGTCACGTGACCTAAGTGCCAAATGTGTGACCTATCCGTGATCAATCTTCAAGATTTGGCCTTGACCAAGTTTGCGATTTGACCTAATTTTGTCGCTCCCGCCATGCGCCAGAGCTCGGGCGGTCCGACGCCGGCGCTGCTGGGGGCGTCGGCGTCGTCCTCTAATCTATCCGCTCTGCCCAGGAAGGTGCGGCTCAGCGACCGCAAGTTGCTCCAGCGCGTGCAGCGCGTGGTCGTGTCCAACGGACCCGTGGATCTCATCAGACTCTCGCCGCGCCGCAGCTGGAAGCGCGTGCGCGTGGGCGTCTCCGCCGGCATGGACATGCACTACCGCGTGCGGCGCGCGCCGACGCCAGTGGCTCCGTTCGAGACGCGGCAGTGCCAGGTGGTCGTGGGCGGCGAGATCCACGCCCGCGCGTCCGAGCTGCTGTCGCTGCTGCGCGCTCCGACCGAGAGCGAGAGCAACGGCCTCCTGCGCGCGCTGTACGGCTCGCGCTTCATCTACAGCTCGCTGCTGCACGCGGTGCCCAACTCGGAGCGGGGGTCGCTGCTGTCCCTTCCGGCGCGGCGGAGTTCCATCACGGAGGGCGCGGCTATCGGCCAGCAGCTCATGGTGCGCACGGCGAGCTTTGCGCACGCGGGACTGTCCAACCCTTTCAAGCAGCGACCGTCGATTGCTTCCGGTCCCTCGGACTCTATGACGTCAGACTCGCGCAGCTCATTCCCGCAGCGGCAGACGACAGGGTCCAAGAACGAACAATGCTGCTACATCGAGCTGCTGACGCCCACTCAACGAGGTCTAAAGATGGCCTTCTGCACGCTCGACGCAGCGGAAGTGACAGCGGGGAAGGCCCCGCCCGAGCGCGTGATCGCGCTACACCCACTCTCCGGCTGGCTCACAGCCGAGCCCAAACCCGACAACCCCGACACACTCGAGATCACTTTCCAAGCCTCGTTCACAGGGAATGTACCAGGAGGATGCGACTCTCGAGTGGCTCAAGCCCGACTACTTTTTATCGCCAAGGGCGTTTCTCGACTGGAGAAGGTGCTGCGTCGACGTCGCCGCCACCACCAGCAGCAACACTCTGCCCCCGGGAGACTGTGGCAAACGATATTGAACCCGTTTCGAGCTTTGGGCGTGACCGACGATGAGACTTCTGGTGGCACGCACCACAACTGGCACTGCATCGCCTGCACCCGATCGTTCCTCCCCACGCTGCGCAAGAAGTGGACTCGCTGCGACCTGTGCGCGTATCGAGTGTGCTCCGAGCCGCCATGCTGCTCTCAAGAGCAAGTGACCATCTACAACCGCTACGTCGCGCCGCTGCTCGTGTGTGCTCGATGTCGAGAGTGCATGGATGAGCGTGACAGTGCTAATCGTGGAAGCGGGAACCAATTGGGGGACGTCCGCTACACCGGCGTCAGTCTCCGCTTTGCCGATCGAGAGAGCGAGCTCGAACCTGAATTGGAGCTCGACCCGGCGGGGCACTGCCACGACCGGTGGGGATCGATATGTACGCCCGGTATTACCCGGCGATCTAATGGAGGAAGGCGATTGAAGCGAAGAACCCAGTCGGACCCTGCACCAGTCCTTGGGCTTGCCTTCTCAAGCTCAGAAGAAGACGACAGCTCCTCAGGAGGGGCCGAACCTGCACCGAATGCGCGTACAAACTACAAAACACTGCAAGTGAACCAGAGTGAACCACACATGTGAGATAGTGTAATAAGCAAATGAAAATAAATAGTCGAGTATTTGTAGCTGTACGAAGGTGCTTCGAAGTCCGACAGCCAGTTCGAACTTCGAACTGGCTGTCGGTTATCATTTCTAGGCGGCATTCGCCTGGGCTGAGCGCGTGCACTCGCTCGCTGTGGTCTTGCGCGTGAATGATGACCGTTGATACTTTGGAGACGAGCGTTCGTGGCGCACGGCGGTGCTGACGACGAGCGAGCGGCTATCGCCAAAACCTGTGGCTACATCGCTCCGAATGTGGGTTTCAGAGGCCGATTGACCAACGTCGCCGCGCTCAGTTGATTTATTGGTTCGACACGCAAGGCCAGTATGAGCAACATACAGGCGATGTGTGATTGCAGCCAGGTCTCGCTCAACCTGCGCAGGCGATTGTCGTGCCTCAAATGTCTCCTGTTCGTAATTGGCAATCTGCACTGCACTCTGTACTAGGGAGTTCACTTCAACTTGATCCGCCAATCCAAGGCGAGATACGGGAGATTCATGAAGGGGATTGGCCAGCCACTTCAACTTGGCTACGTGTTGATGGCGTCCAAATGTGGTTCCAGTGCGCTGCGTTTCGAGCGTGTTTAACGCCCAGCGCGCTTGTGGAGACCAAGCCCAACCTGCAACAGGATGGTTGGCTCGAGCCATGAATGTTGGTGGCCACGTAGGAAGGCTGGTCGCCATGTATTCTCGGCACTGATGCTCAAACAACGTTTACTATACGCGAGCGGGGGTGAAGTTGCCATGAGACTTGCCAACGCGACAACGCCTGGGGGTTAGCATGCATCCGTCCGGCAATCTCGCGATCTCGCTTCCCATGGGCGAGATAAGCTGGCAGTAATGCTGCCGAAACGCACTGCACGCCAGGGTTCGTGCCTGTCGGCCTCAGCATCGACTTGTTGGCGCGCCAAGCCAATCGGAGTGAAAACTATTTCCTAGAGCGAGGCTGCAGTCTCTCCTCGCTTGAGCAGTGCTCAGAGCACGGGACGGCACTGAAAGCTCCCGCCTCTTGTTGTAATCCTCCTTCTGTGCGTTCAGAGCCCGACGTTACGCGGGGACTGCAATGGCGCACCAAGCTGAGGCGGCCCAGCACAAATCACCCGCTGCTTGTTTGCGAGGCCTGTGGGGATACAGTTCCTGGCCCCCACGTGCTGGATGGATGCACGCGGACAAGCAATGAGATGTCCGGCAGAGCTTTAGCTACTCGTGCGTGTCTGCGGTGCCGTGCTAGCAGCTCTGGCTGGCCTGCATTACCGAGATGTCAGGTACCATAGTGCTAGGCCGGTCGTACTAACCTTCGAATGCATCATCATGCCATCAACTCCTTGAGCTCTTTGGCGATTGTGTAAGGCGTGAATATGTTCATCGCCTCTTATGCCAGAGATTGACCGACAAAAAGATGGCAGCTCACTCAGGACGCGACACTGTTCGTAGCAAAAGCCTCGACAACACGGGAAACCTTCGCCGATAAGTGTTGAATATCCCTACACAACGCACGACTCGTTTCGTGAAGACGGGCGAGTCTCAATCTTCAAAATTGACCAGCACATTTTCCTCAAAGTGTTCGCGTCTGAAGCTGCCGAACGCTGTTCCACCGCCTATCGATGACAGGTCTCGAGCGTGCATGAACGCTGCCGAAAGAAGGCCGCGCTGCATGCATGAAAGGCAAGGCGCTGGTAGCTCATGAAGGAACCGGGAGGAATTCGTGCTCGATAACGGCGCGGAGTCATACATTTGGCCGCCGTCCACGGGGCCCAGTGCCGGCACTGGCCAGACGCGGTTTCAACACGCCGCCCTTAAATTTCCCCCGTCATTCCTTCGACGTTTGCCTAGTGCGCATGGGAGTCGGTCCGGCGCCGGCTTTGGCGACGAGCAAGCGCGCCTCCACTCGACTTGATCTCCTGCCGTTGCCGGAGTATTCCCCAATTTGCGCCGAGCAGGCCACCCAGCGAGTGAGTCTCTAATCGCCCAAAATGGCTGCGTCGGTTCTGGGCGGCGGCGCCAGAGCGTTGTTCACCTCCGGCGCCTCGCCTCGAGCCATCGACATGCTGGAAACCGCGGGTCTGGACGGGCAGATGATGTCCGCTCGGCTGTTCGCAACGCCCGACTGCAGCATCCCCGGGTGCGCGCGGTTGGCCCCGAACGCCATGGCCACCACACGCAAAGTCGCGGTTAGCGACGCGGAGCTGCGACGACGAGTGGAAGGCGTGCACGTGACCACGGACTTCAACAACGCGCTGGCCAATGTGTCGCTGCACGGCTGGAAGTGGCGGAACGACTGCCGAGCCTTCTCCATGTTCACCAACAGCGTCGCGACTGTGGCGGACGCTCAGGTGCTGGCCATGGGGACGGTGTCTGGCGGCCGCGCGCTTGAGCGCCTCGTGTCGCTCTTGCGGACGCCCAACGAGAGCGACTTCAACGCCGTCATGCAGGAGCTCTACAAGCGCGACTTCATCTACGGCTCCATGGTGCACGCCACCCCGTCGGACCCCGCAGCGCTGGGTGACGGCAGCCTCTTGGCCGTCAAGACGTGCTCCTTCGTACGCTCCAAGAGGTTCTCGCACAAGAAGAACGAGCAGATGTGCTACATCGAGCAGTTCCGACCGACCAAGGAGGGCTTCTCCCTCGTCTTCACGTCGCTGCCTCAGCACGAGGTGCTGGCGGGCAAGGCGAGCGGCAAGCACGTGGCCGAGCTGTGCCCCTTTCGAGGCTGGTTGCTGGTCGAGAGAGCGCCGGAGAGCAAGGCGAGTGTTCGAGTGCTCTTCCACGCCAGCCTCGACCCCGACTTCGTAGACGCCGACAAGAACCACAGCCTCGGGCTCTGCTCAGCCAAGACGACGGCCGCTAGACTCCTTCGCCTTGCCAAGGGAGTCTGCAGACTGGGTGAGGTCCTGCACCAGCAGCGCCAAATGGACAGCGCCAACCGTAAGGCCAAGAAGCCCAACAACAACTTCCGAGAGGTCAACACGGACGTCTCCAACTCGCACTGTGTGGCGTGCACGTCCAAGTTCGATCTGCTGAGACGGAGACGACGCTGCGGACTCTGCGCCTACAACGTCTGCGCCAAGTGCTGCTACCGCGAGCCGATGATCATCTACAACCGCTACGCGGCCACCATCCAGTTTTGCGCCCGATGCCGAGAGTGCATGGTCGGAGGCGAGTACCCGCACTTGCGGCTCGCAGCTCGACGCCACAGCTCGCCCGGCATCGAGATCCCGTTCGGTACTCCTCGGTAGCACACCAGCTCAGAGGTAAAGCAGGTCCCGGGAGCAAGCGCTCCTCTTGTGAGTACTATTTTATTTTAGCGAAAGCTTAGAGGCAAACACGCATACAACAAAGCCATGTTGATTTTTCTACGCTATGATCGATCCACTAGCCGGTGTACGAGTGCAACTTGTAGTGCTCAGCGTAGATTCCCCAGATCCGGACGCTGACGATGTCCCAAATCTGTTGAACGATCTCGGAAAGCGTTGGAGCTCATTTCAGCTCGGAGCTCCCGGTCTCTTCCGACTGCTTTTCTCCTCCATTCGTGCCTTGACTCAGAGGGTTCAGCTCTAGGTATCCTGATTCAATCGAGTTGCCAGCGAGCAAATCCATGAGATGTGAAAGGCGCAGCTCCTCGCTAGCTGCACTTTAGATTTTTATCTTGAAGTATTTACATTGTTCCTATGATCGTGCTAGAGTTTTTTAGCAGCTTATTATCAACATGCATTCCCTTCATCGTCCAAGAAGTAAGAAAAAATCTCACAAACCGACTTAGCAGGCGACTGCTGCAGTTGCGTTCTTCTGCGTAGTAGCTTCGGCTCCGACCACGTTTTGGACTCGTGGATAGTTTTTGTGGTCTTTACCATACTCCTTCGCGTTTTTCTCGAGGATACTCGAGGCCGCATCTGCGAGCTTCATCATCCGCCAGTACTGCGACCTCGTGATTTGGTGCGGCTTAGCATCGAGGCAGCACAACGCTCCAACGACGACCTTGTCAGGTTCACCTGGCCTTCCCGACTTCATCACGGAGCTAACGGACACAGGAAATCCTGCGTAGAAGCGCAAGCTTCGCATTGTCACGGGCGCGATGTGGTAGAATCTCATGTCAGCCTCGGCGTGGCGCACGAGCAGCGGCTGGTCGTCCATGACAAAGTGCTGGCAGAACGTTTGTTCACGGGGGGTTCCACTACCAAGGTCCCAATTTTCGGGGTCATTGGTCGCAAGTAGCGTCACGACCTCGCACTCCACGAGAGTGATGACGCTGTGTGGGCAGCCCATTTCAGCGGCAGCAAGCGCGCAGATGACGTTCAATTCGGGCACATTCAGGACTTCGTGAAGCTTGAAGTGCTCAATTGCAGCCAAGCGAACATCTTCATTTGCCGGGATGGGATAAATAATTGGCTCGGGTGGATCGCTCGAGTCCGTATCGCTCGGAATCACAGCGGGTACCATTGGATACGGACGACTCTCAGCACTTGCGAACTTGCACTCGGCAGGATCTTCAGGGTACGCGGATATATCCAACGCCTTATGGGCAGCTTCTGCGTGCGGCGACAACGGGATAGCAGCATTCAGCTTCTTTTTGTTCTCATCTGCCTGCACTTGGGCCTCTTCTTGGTCCGCCGTTAGAAGCTGGTTGAGCACCATGAATGCCGCTTGCCGCTTTCCAGATGTGACGTCGTCCGAGTCGCTATCCACGACCAAACCGAGCAACTCGGCGAGCATTTGGCTTGATGAAGAATCCGAGCTCACCGTCGAGAAGGATGACAGGTCGGACGTCCGGCTTGACGTTCTGCTCGATCGACTTGATGAAGAGAGCGGCTTGATTAATGCCGAGCGCGGGGATGGATCTGGTAGCGCACGCTCGGGGCCTGGAAGCACCGTCAGCATGTGATTGTAGTCGCAAGAAGTGACGCTCAGTCGGCACCGAGTGCAGACGATGATGGAGGCGAGGCGGCCGTTGTGGGTCTCCATCTTCTCGGACGAAGTACAGGTCACGCACACGTAGTAGCCGCAGAGGTAGCACCGAGTGCGCGGCATGAGCATCAGGAACGAAAGTTTCCTCGTACAACACGTGCAGCGAGGGTTCTGCACGTCGAAAGCCGAGCAATCCGCGTACACTTGAGCTCCGAACCGACGACGACGCACCAGTTGCGAGAGTTTTGCGACGCCGCGTGCAAGACGCAGCAAGCGCGCGCGCACAGCCTTCCGCATTACCACAGGCGCTTCTCCTTCAGCGTCGTTCTTCTCGCCACCGATACCGCCAAACTTGTAGATTGCATGGAAAACCACTCGGATCCCATGGTTCCCAGGCATTCGCTCCACCAGATAAGCTGCTGTCACGTCTCGAAGCTGTGCCACACGACGCGCGCTATCCTTCAACGCCGATCGCGCAGGCAATGAAAGGGCTTGGCTTACAGACAGCGATCCCTGCGTGAGAGTGAAGCTGCCGCCTTCAGGTTTGCAGCGGAAGTTCTCAGCGAAGCACCACTGCTCGTTCTTACCCAGTATATCGGAGTGCACGAAGCTGGTCGTCTTCACTGCGAGATGCTGGTGCACTGGGTCGTGCTCGTAAGTGTTTGGTCGTTGAACATACGCCACGCTGCCGGAGATGAACGCGTCGCCGTAGAGTCCCTTCATCGCAGCGGCGTGTAGCGGATCCGTGGTGGCTGCCAAGATGTTGGCCACCTCTTCAACGCTCGCGTCCAGTCGAGCTAGAGCCAACACCTCGTCGTCGCGCTTGAGCAGTGTGAAGGTAGAGGATTTCTCAACGCGCTTCCACTGGGGCTGGCCGTCGCGATAGTGCGGCAGGCAAGGGGACTCTGCCAGGTCGACGAAGGTGGCGAAGTCCAGTCGGTCGTGGAGCGCTTCGGCCTCGGCCACTAGATCTCGTAGAGTGATAGACAGAGTCAAAGGCGGTGCCGGCGGCTCGCCATCGGTCCAGGAGCTCGCCACTGACCCGGTAGTCGCAGTGGAAGTCCCAGAGTTCTCGAGGTGGCTGCTTACCGGTCGTTCCAGGCGCAAGCGAACGCTCCGGACCCGCATGTTTGAACAGGCGAAGTGGAGAGATCTCGACGCGGTGAATTGTCGAATGGCATACAGCCCGTAGTCGCCCAGTGAGTGCCGTGGAAGGCGCCGGATGCGGCTAAGGGGTGGCGTTGGGAAACACGTTACGCCGGACTGAACTTTACCTAATATTCGTAAAGCGGCTTCATGGAGATCGATCGAGTCGCTTCACTCCCCTGATGACCGTCATCAGGTGCCGGTGCCCAGTAAAGAGGTTGACGCCTTTCAGGTTTGATGGAGAGAGTTTTGATCAGGGCGGGGGAGTGAGTGCTGCTGCAGTTGCTGTGGCTGGAAACACGTAGAGTCCACCTTGCAGACTTGACGATATCGTGCTGGCGGAAAGCGCACCACAACAACGGCTTTGCGTTCATCGGAGGACTTCACCCCAACGGGTCTTCAAGGGAAATCGCGCGGCGCTGGGCAGGAATCGAGCTGTGGGTGTTCTCAACGGCCCAGTACGCGCACCAGTAAGCTAGCTGGCTTCGAGACGGAACGGAACAGCTCGAAACCGGACTCGCCGAAGGCCAGGGTGGTCGACTTGCCTCCTCTTGCCACCAGGGAACTGCTCGAGGTCGAGGAGTTTGAGCATCTTTCCCAGCTCTTGCCAATGATCTACTCGCCGCTTCCCGCTGCAGGGTCATCCCTCTTGCAAAGTGTGCACATGTCGAAGGCTCCGTACGAGCTGGGGACCCCAGTCCATCGTCCTCTTACAACCGACTCGGTGAAACGTCGACGCACCATTTTCGAAAGCAAAGGCTGACAGTGCACTGGCAGCGTCCAGCTTGTTTCGAGTAGGGCGCACCACCGGTCTGGAGAAGCTGGGTATCGCTTGATTCGAGCCTCGGGACTGGATGCACAGGCAAAAGTATGTCTTGACATGAATATAAAGCAAAATGGAGTGGAGAGATTACACACCATCACTCAGTGTTTTGTGTAACCATAAAAAGTGTAGCAGCACCTAGAAATTGTGTTGGGATACCCACTGTATAAATAGGAAGCACCACCTAAAATATAATGGAAACCCCCGACTAAAATAGAGCAGCCACCCACTTGTTGGCGACGGGACACTACCTTTTAGCAGTTAGCAACTTGCCATGGAGGGCCGTGAGGAAAACACAGCCGACACCCTGGGGTCTCTACCTTCTTCGGACTCCGACAGCGCAGATGAGGTTGAATCACCAAGGTGGACTAAGATCTGGGCATCGGCGACCGCCTCTGAGGCGTTTGAAGCCTTTCGTGATACCATCCCTAGGCGAAGCATCAAGAGGAGTGACCGTACGAACTGCACAATCGACCATCTACTCAACAAGAACTACGCTCTCGCTACTGCCATGCACAAAATGCGAGTTCAGACTACAAAGTGCCGATCGCGGCGATGCCATCCTCATCGCTCTGAAGACGATGACGAGAATGACTCAGCCATTGATGCCCCGGGGGACTGTCCATGCCGATATAAGTTCAAGATTTGCCAATCGTCCGATGTGCAGGAGGTCTTTCAACAGGACGCCCACCTGGCGGACGTCGACGGGTCCTCCAGCCCCATCGTGTGCAAGTTAACGCCTGAGATGAAGGTCCGACCTTCATAGTGGAGCAGCTCAGCTCGGGTGTGAAAACGACGGCTTCGCGTTTGTTTGCCGTTATCTGTAGCATGGTGCACGAAGGTGACATGCGTGGGCCCCCGCCCGAAGACCAGCAGGTTGTGGACTTTGTGAAAAATTGGAGACGGAAAAATCCTAAGAACGAAATGGCGCCTACAATCGAGATTTGCAATGGCCACCTCTACGAGTAACAAGATATAGCGACATTAGACGAGTTTGAGATGATGATCCTTTGCGACACGCAACCGGATGCGCGACCGGGAAGCACAAGCATTGTGTCGCGCTTAGGAGATGGATCAGAGGCATTCCCGTTTCGTGTTGGGATGACGTGCATTCGTCAAATCCGCGATTACATCTCGGTACAGAATCGCCGTGACTGTACAACGATTCTGCACCTCGATAGTACCCATAGCATGGCCATCCATGGCTACTCGGTCTTTGCATTTGGCTACTCGGATCAAAGTTGCCACTTTGTGCCGCTAGCCTACTTCTGTACATCCCAGAAGCGGAAGCTGGATATCGGTTGGTGTCTTCGCTACAATAAACGGGTCTGTGTGGATATCTGCAATGTACCTTATGCCCCTCAGTACGTGATGATGGACGCTGACAAAGCCCAATTCAATGCATCCGTGCCATTCTACCGTTCTAATGTGTTGGTTCCATGTCACTAAGAACGTGGGGAAGTACGCAGCGGAGTTTCGCGTCTCCTACGACGACACGGCAGCTGTGTTTGAAGATCTCTATGACATGCACTATGCACTGCGGCCGGATTTTGAAGCTGAAAAAGCGCGGGTTTTGGGGAGGTGGAGGGGACTAGCTGCAGGATCTGCCGTCCGCAAACTTACAGACCATGAGACAAAGCAGTGGATTGAGACCCAGCGCTTTGCTGAATGGCAGGCGTTCTACACCCCGCGAGGATATGCTGCGACCAATAATCCGCTTGAGCAGTATCATCGGCGCTTGAAACTGGAGTGCCCAAGCAATGAGCATACGCCCGATGAATTGATCAAGAGTCTTAATGGTGCGCGGCTTGGTTTTCTGCATCGAAATGTGGTTTTTTGCAATTTTCCTACAGCCTCAAAAAGGCTCATGCTCCTGTACCGGCTTTTGCGCCGCCGAGGTTGCATTTCCGTAGAGCGTCTGCCTCCGATTGGGACTGTCCAGGCCGATTTGTACCGCGTCCTGCATCGGCCTTTGGCTCTAACCGCCACAGAGAAGAAGTGGTGAAGCAGTCAATTAAATCAGCCAATACAAGGCGCAAGCAACTCGAAGGCATGCCCGCTGCGGGCTGGGTTATTGATGTCCGCAGCAAGGCTTGCCCTTGCCCATATTTCGAGAAAAACGGTGCCTGTTGTCATCTTGCTGCATCGTGTATCCATGCAGGCGTGCATATGCCAGGCGTAGGCAACAATGGCAGGCAGTTCGTGCACCCGCCTTATCGCGCAGATCGGGTGCGCGTGGAATCTGCAGCTGTCGTTGACGCGAATGCTCTGCATGGTGTCAGAGCGGATCCCGCCGAAGATACCCCCACTACACGCGTCCAAGGACTGCAACAAACCCAAGAACTGGATCAGGTTGCAGGCAGCAGTACGATTGAACCCGATACTGAACGGCAGCTTCTGCAAACTATTTATCGCGAACCGGCCCCTGCTGTACAGCAGGTAGAACAGAACGATGGGCGTGATGACGACAGTACGCAGGATGCGGTGTCGGATTTGCCATGTACGAGTACTCAGCTATCGCTTCCAGCAGCCCCAATTCAACTTTCGGTCCAGCTCTCTCAGGACGACCGTGAGCCCGAAAACGTCCGAAGCGGGCTTACTATTTGTCCTGTTGTCGAATTGGCAAACCAAGTCGAGCGTCCACGTGGTGGTGGGCGCAGCACTACATCGGAGGACCCTATGAACACAAATGTTCAGGTCGGCGTTCGTCGCTCTCGTCGCGCACCAAAACCAACGAAGCGATCGATTGAGTCTCGCTTACAAAATGATAAGCGGGCACGAACAACTATCGCTAAGCGTTAGAGGAATTATGCTTGCTCGCATCTTTTATTCATTCTACTTATCTCTCAATATACCGTTGCATTGATATTCACTAAAATTTAGGTTAAAGTTTTACTGACGACCAACCTTACAAGTGTGACCTCGATGTTCGCCTGACCATTCTCATCTATTGTTTATTCCAGGCCATGTATGCGCGCAGGATTGTCTACACGATGACGCTCAGGTGCGGGTTGATCCCGCTTTAGTCTGTGTGACGACGCTCGTACATGACAAATTCGTGGACGTCCTCAACCACATCCCCGTTCAGTCGTTGAACGGATCCTCGTCAAATGTCGAGACGCCCGCCAAGGTGTTCACATTCTGCACGACAAGCGACGCGTGAATGCGGGTGAGATGATTAAGATACTCTAGCGCGTGACGGCGGAAGTTGGTTTTCATGATAGGGAGATGTTGCAGCAGTTTGTTACGGCCACATCGCCCGGGACTGTCGGGTCCTCGAGCTTGGCCAAATTACCGCCGTACCCCCGTCGGTCATGCGGAATTGCCGTACTGAGCGCTTAAAGCGCAGAGGGATTGATGCGTGGTGGCAATCGCGTTGAATCTGATGAGCTAGTCGACCACTTTTCTATGTGTACATAGGTAACGAATATACGTGCTTGAACCCCTTCCTGTCGGTGTTATTACACGTGAGTATGATGGCGAACTCCTATTCCATCCGTGGATATGCTATATTTGCTATGTCGGTGTTTTTTTGTATTGCTGTGGTGGTGTTCACTTAAGTGTAGGTGCTACAGCCGATTCTTTCGGTGCTGAAACACCCCCCTCAGCAAAATGTAATATTGGCCAGAACCATATTGAAGATTATTGACGATTTCAGGGTATAGAAAAACACAGTCAAGCAAGGTGTACAAAATTGAAATATTTAATTATTTAAAATATTTATATTAGTATTATTATTGACACTTTAATTCAATATATATAATAATAATGACCAGCAATGCCCCCTCTTTGACCCGCAGTGCTGCGCTCGTCCTACCTCAGTCCTTCGCCAGCTACGTGGCATGAGTCGAGTTGCGCTCGGTCAAGAGCGCTAAGTGGACTCTGCCAGCTGGAGTCAGCGTGGCACCGAAAACTCCAACTTCATCTTAGTCCGCGTCAGATAGCGCCGCGCTGCTTTACGTCGGCACCTTGGTTGTAGTACTGTACCAGCTTCTGCTCTGCTCGACCGTGTTCACTCTGCAGCGCTCTCATACCGACGCCGAAGCAGTTTGTCAACCGCTGGCATCTCGTTCCGTACAGGTCTTGTCATCACGTCGCTGAACGCACACAGGATAGTCTCGGTGGCGTACGGGTGAACAAGCTCGTGGAGCAACGTGGAGCCCTGCAGGACGCCACGATAGAGAGAACGATGGAGTGCTCGCTCACACCACGTACGCCGATTTTCGGCGTGCGGCGGTGCTTTAGTCAGTCGCTAAGGAAACGGTCGAGATCAGGAATTGGAGCCAGCGGTGCTCTGGAGCGCGAGCTCGAGACCAGGATATCCCCTCCCGCGTCAGCGCAAGCTCCACGCTTCATTGGCGCTATGCTAGCGAGCTTGCCAGGTCGAGATTCAGCGGGCGCGTGGCGGCGTGGTGCTTGCGTGTAGCCATCTTGGCAGCGATAAAACAAAGTACTGGTGCTGGGGCTTAGCCTATTGTATCATAATTCAATACTATTTATCAATAGGTAGTCTCTTACGCGCTACGATGTACTATGATCGATATGATGGAATATGTTCACACTGCCTACGAACGTCGACGCGAGTATGCGTGGAAACAATGTAGCAAATGCATGCCTGGAAACGATGCTGCGAGGCAAACGGAGCGTGCATTAGTTGTTGTTTGAGCATCCACAGGAAAAAATGGACCATGCAAGTTGTGTCTGGCCTTCTTTTTTGGAAAATCCGCCCCAGAATTCGGCCTCGAAGTGCTCAACTGCTACGCGTTTGAAAATCCCGCCACACAAATATTGCGAGGCCAACGCTGTCGGCCGCCTCACCTCTGCCGTATGACGCTGCGATAACGCTCAGCGGTGTGGTGCTCGCTCAATAGTCCCACGTAGCCCCACAACAACAAGGCGTCGCTTTCCCAAACTTTTTCTCGCGCCGACAAAAACCACGGACCGTTTCGGGGAGAGAATCGGGAGAATTTTGTAATCGAAACGCGCGCAGCAGGAAAGCCCAGCCAAACAGCCGCAAATGCAAAAGCCGACGCCACCAAAGGCAGCAAAGCGTCAGCGAAAGCCTGGACGGGGCCTTGTGGCTGGAGCTGCTTGTGTCTGGACTGTTTCCTGGCCCCGCCGAAGAATAAGGTTTACGCGCAGAGAATGGCGTTCGATTGGCGCCGCGCAGACGCCGCCGGTGGAAGGAAGTTCATTCCCGCATTGGTCGCGTAGATCACAAGTCAAAGCAGCTAAACACACAGAAGTCATGCCTCTCAAGTGGTTCCGAAACCACCGCAGCAGTAGCGCCAGCTCGGAAGACGAGGCCACCCGGTCATCAACGGAGACCGCGGCCACCAAGCAGAAAACCAGGCGGAACAAGTCCGCCGTGACGCAGCGATCCCGCCGGTCCCACTCGCACGGCTCCGGCCTGCGCGCCATGTTCGGGTTGGGCGGGTCGGCGCAGCGTGAGCTCGACGCTGCTGCCGCTGTAGCGGAGGAGCAGCGCCGCATTTCGTACCAGACCAAGAACCGACGCCGATTCACGATCCACGGGATCTCCCACCCCAGCAACATGGAAGCAGCAGGCTGGAGCTGCCACACCACGCCCGCGGGCTCCCCGCAGCCCATGTCCCCCAGCTACGAGCACTTGAGGCACTTTGGCCTTGCGTCAGGCCGAGGCCAGCAGATGATCCCGCGTGCATCTTCGTCTGAAGCTGCGCACCCGTCGATCATTTTCATCGACTGCCCGCCGTAAAGGGCCTGAGCACTACACCCTCTGGACGTTCTCAATGAGTTGGATGGATATGGTGCGCGTGGCGTGCAATGCAGTCGAGTTGTGTAAGTAAGGTGTGTATTGTATGAATGCGGTTCCGACGGAAGAACTGCAGTGGTAAACTTACTAATAAAGCACATGATGCCAAAGCGATACTTGGAGCTGGCCTTGGGGCTGGAGTGTTGTCGGGGAAACGAACCATTGCCAGGCACGACAGTAGCACCGTTTGTGGCCGAACATGAATTGCTAGACAATGGTTTGGTCATGAGGTCTACAGGTTGCGTTGTTTTGGATGCATCTATACAGTTGTGTGAACAGGGTCGCGCTGCGATGATAAGTGATCGCTTCCTTTATTTCGATCCCGGGCCGAGAAGAAGCTCAGGGCCCGACGAGCTGTTGTCGTCGCCTGAGCTTGAGAACGCCAAGGCCAGCAATGGCGGTGGGTCGGACTGCGTTCTTCGCTTTCTTTCTCCCCCTCCACTGGAGCGTGGAGCAGTACTCGAGCCCGCCAGTCGATACCGACTCCGGCCGGACGGGTCCAGTTCGAGCTCCGGCTCAAGCTCACTGTTTTGGTTAGTAAAGCGTAGACTAACTCCTGCGTAGCGAATGTCGCCCGCCACGCCTCCGACTCGATTCGCACTGTGAGGATGGGGGCTATCTCGCTCGTCGATGCATTCGCGGCAGCGGGCGCAGACTAGCAGCGGGGCGACGTAGCGGCTGTAGATAGCCACTCGCTCTTGCGAACAACACGATGGCTCAGCACACACTCGATACGCGCACAAGTCGCAGCGACGCCAGCGTTTGCGCAGCGTAGGGAGAAGAGAACGTGTACAGGCAATGCAGTGCCAGTTGTGGTGCGTCCCGCCCGAAGTATCATCGTCTGTCACGCCCAAAGCTCGGAAAGGTTTCAATAGCGTTTGCCAGAGTCTCCCAGATGCAGTGAGTTGGTGGAGATGGAAGCGACGGCGTCGACGCAGCACCTTCTCCAGTCGACAGAGTCTTCTAGCGATAAAGAGCAGTCGAGCTTGGGCCAGTCGCGAGTCGCATCCACCAGCTACTTCGCCAGGGAACGCAGCTTGGAAGGTAAGTTGAAGTGTTCCTGGATTACCAGGCTTGGGCTCGGCTGTAAGCCAGGCCGAGATAGGGTGCAGCGCGATCACGCGGTCGGGTGGGGCCTTCCCTGCCGTCACCTCCGCTTCATCCAGCGAGCAAAACACCATCTTGAAGCCTTCTTGGGTCGGCGTCAGTAGCTCAACGTAGCAGCACTGTTCGTTCTTGGTGCCTCGAGTCTCGCGTCGGTGGATGGAACTATGAGAATCCGCTGTCGAGATGGAGCTCGATGGGATATCAGGAGAGGATCTTCGCTGCTTGAAGTGGTTGAACACCCCCGAGTGCACGAAGCTGATGGTCCGCACCATGAGTTGCTGTCCTGTAGCCACCGCGCTTCCTCGAGACAGAGGCGAAAACAGCGACCCCCGCTCCGAGCTGGGACTAGTAACAGCGTGCACAAGTGAACTGTAGATGAAGTGAGAGCCGTACAATGCACGCAGCAGAGCGTTGCTCTCGCTCTCCGTCGGAGCTCTCAAAAGCGACACCAGCTCCGACACTTGAGCGTGGATGTCCCCACCAACGACCACTTGGCACTGCCGGGACTGCGCTTGAGCTCCGCGTAGCACCCTAAAGTGCATGTTCATCCCTCCCGAGACTCCAGCCCTGACGTGCTTCCACCCACGCTTCGCCGATAGTCCTCGAAGGTTGACGGGCTCATCGGGGACAACCATACGCTGCGCGCGCTGGAGCAGCTCCCGGTCACTAAGCCGCACCTTGCGAAGCCCCGCCGACAGGTTCGAGGAGGACACCGAGGCCCCCAGCACTGCGGTCACAGTGGCAGACGCCGTCGCCGGACTGTCTGCACTCGGATGCATGCCAGCCAGCAAGCGAATTGGAGAGTGAAGACCCGCGTCAATTCTTTTGGCATGGCCGTCGACTGCAAGAGAGCCAAGGGAGGTGGGATGCGCGGTGGAAGAGGCTCGGTGCGGCGCGGTGCCTGCATTGAGGCTTCAAGTCTCCGGTCAGGCGGCGGTAGGTAGATAGGTAGCTTTCGGAATCGAAGACGCACCCACCGCGTTGCTATACGGGTTGACCTATGCAGTCGCACTAGGATGGTCGGATAGGCTGCTCAAGCATCGTTGTCAGGGCCAGCACCATCCAGAGTACACGTCGGATCGCCTCGGTGTGGGGGCACTGCTGCGGAATATTAGGTCAGGTGCTACTTAGGCACTGCGGTGCTATCCAGCCAGGGGCCTATCCGTGTGGTCGTAAGTGCCCGTCCATTGATAAGGTGTCTGCTGCTGGACGGATTGAAGCGCTGGAGACACCAGGTTGACCTCAAGTCAGGCCACTCACTGCGTAGGATGGTAGACTACATCCAGGCAGAAGACCAGAACATGTTCACTTCGTTAAACATCGGGGGCGTCGTATTATCCCTCACTCTCCGCTGTACGGGATGATTCGAAGAGGACACGCTGCCCCCTCTACTAACTCGTCGTCGGGCAATTCGACTTTCATCGCACCAGCGGTGCTCTCTTTGCCTCGACGCGCCAGGTCTGCTTGGACCCGAGCCCACGGGTCCCACCACCTTGAGTCGGCGAGGTGCGCGAGCTGGTCTGAAATCTTCTCCGACAGTAAGAGCGGCCAATGCGTCAACGAAGTCTCCAAGCCGCAGATGCCCTGGAGACTCAACAAGTACGAGTTTCCTCTATCTGAGGCCGTTGCCTTGTCATTATCGATGAGATATGACTGCGGCGGTAGATTCGCACTGCACTCCCGTAGTCCCATGGATATCCGGATTACCTTGAAGGTCGAATACTCGGACAACTCGTTCTTGATCTGGTTCTCTTCCTCCACATCAAACACGTTCGAAGGCGTCAGCTCATTCACTAAAGCCGGGTCGCATCTCTTGGCTTTTACCAGGATGAACGAGACCTCGCCGGTATTCTTGCGAAGGATCGGGATGATCAGATCAGCTCGCTTGTGGTTGCGCGGAAACACGCCCGCCGCACGTCGACCCAGCAAGAACCACAGCGTCACTTCAGTAGGCACCTCCATCAGCTCAATAAAGTGACTGAAGCCAACGCTCCATTCCTTCCAGGCATTCCTCCAACACTCGAACTTAGTCGTTTGATCTGCTGACGCATCGTCTGTGAGCCCTATCTCCGGTGTTGCTACGGCCTTGGTGCTGTGTTCCCTTTCCCGAACAGCGTTGAATAGCATGGGTCTTTTGAACTCAGCAGAAGAAATCTGTGAGCCGTCGAGATGTTCCAGCAGACTCAAAACGGAGCAAAGCTGGCCTCGATAACAATTCTCGTCACTGTACAGCGTGAACGCATCAACCGACTGGCCGTCTCTGGTGGTCGCATCCCTCGTCAGAAGCAGCACAATGCGTGCCACCTCGACATCAAGATTCCCTTTCATCAGCAGATGTTGGAGCTCAGGCAGAATGTACGCTTCCAGGGGCAAACAGATACGAAACTCGCCCTTGTAGTCCACATAGTCGAGCACCGCCATCAACTCCGCGACAAGTTTCGGCGCCAACACTGAGTTCGACTGCGGGCGCAATCCAAGACGACACAACATGGACGCGACGCCGTACAAACTCTCGTTGCCGTACGTTCTCAACGGGGGTAAACCCACACAGCAACGTCTGAGCAGCCAAGACAAGCACTTCATGACTTGGATAGCTGCGCCACAGGGACCGACCCATCGAGACGAGCGTATCCCAATCCTTTCCTCCGTCGCTCTCAAGTTCCAGCGCTTTGTAGTCGACCCCGACGGTTTCTGACGAGCGCATCCTGTGAAGGATGACGTCCATCGTGTGAGTGAGCACGAACGGAGGAAAGGATCTCGTCGTTTTGGGTAGACTGTAGTCTAACTGGAGGTGTCTGGTCGATGAAGGGGGGGGGGGCGTTGATAATTTCCGGGTTGCTGTCGACAAGTACGGCCAATATCATGGTCTTGCGCTTCTTTACTTGCAAGATGTTGCTCGCCTCAGTCAACGCCTTGCGCAGCGTGGAGAGATGATCGCTTCCATTGCAGGTCTTCTTCTCCAGCAGAGACGCAGCCTCATCAATCACCAACACCAGCACCTTCACGCTCCCATCTCGCTCCACAGACCCGGAAGAACCTCGAGATTTCTTAGAGGACGGTTCTTGATTCTTCACTTCTCCAATAATGATTCTTCTCAACTCGGACGCCAGAGTCTCATCGGTAGTAGCACCTGGAGAACGCTGGTGCTTCTTGCTCGTAACTTCTTGACCCTCTTCACCCACGCCAAACAATCCAAACCAGTCCGTCTTCACCGACTCCCAGTTTGCGCACGCGTACTCGAGAGTCGTCAGCAACCGAGGAGCGATTTGTGTGTCTTGGAAAAAGAACTCGGACAGATATGGAGTCGCAACCGGGAACTTAGTCGAGGTCGAGCGCTCGACGTTACGTGCACAAACGTACATGAGCCGCATGCCGAAATTCTCGTGCTCTGTGGTGGTTTGAGCTAGTTTCTTGGCCACTTCGAACAACATTCGCGTCTTCCCGAAGCCCGAGCTCTGTATCAGCGTCACACACGGAGCGGTGTAGGCATTTGGGTGCTCGTAGAATCTCTTGCAACATCGCAGTAGATGCCGCTGGAATCGGACGTCGGCGTCACCAAAGTACGTGCTGCAAAACGCCTTCTTGAGGTGCTTCTGTTCGTCCATCTCGGCGCTGGATTGCCTATTCTCTCTCAGGATTTCCGCCACGTTCGCTGTGATGTCGCTCCGAACTCTATCGATGTCCAGGCTGGGCCAAGCACACTGGTAGGCCAGGATAGCATTGACCAGTGCGTAATTACACAGGTCGTCAGGGCGGTGCTGGCGTTCTCGAAGTCCCCTCTCGGAGATATCTAGCTGCTGGAATTTCGACAACTTCGAGTCCTCGGGGAGATCCGACCTGAGAGACTCCCACACAACCCTGGATACCCTGCGGACAATGCACTGCTGCTTCCTCTCCTCCATCCGTGCCGACAAACAAAGTGCACGCCATTCTACCCCCATCCATCGCTTGATTTCAGTTTCTATCAATCTGAAAGTGGATGTACAGTAGTGCTCCCGCTTTGGATCTAGGAAGACAAAAAAAAAGATCGGATAGCGGCGAAGATTGCCAGCACAGCGACAAGGAGGCCGAATCCACCATAGAATTTATCGAAGACGCGTCATGTTCACTTTGGGTCTTCGCTAAGTTAGTTTCACCTACGGCAGCGGCAACAGCGACTGAAATATCGCTGGTGGTTTTACTAAGGGAGGTGATCATCCTGAACTACTGCGTTCAAGTGGAAGCACCGACTCGGAAAGTTATCCCAGGAAAAAGATATCGAAATGTTGGAAATCTCTCGAGAATTGAGCCAAATCTATGCTTCACGATTGTGCCAGCAAGTTTTAGCATTCCCATGGCGATCAAGCTTGGCAAAAAAAGAATCCTCAGCCGAGCTAGATCAGTCGGGCCAGAATCAGTCGCTGAAAATGACGATTGTTGCGTGGCTAGTGACGAAGTGCTCCTAAATGCGCGCTATCGGCCGCCTTTCAGAGGAACTTGTGGGCGAATGAGCCGCCACCACCGAACACACGCCGATGTGCGACTGTTGCAATGGCGTCGAGAGCTATCTTGATGTGAATGGTGCTTGCATCGACGGTGCCATATCACGAGCGTGAGTGGTGCCCCGTGTGCAAATGTTACCAACAGCTAGAAGTGCTATTACCTATGGCCATTGCTCACAAGTCTAAGCAGCTTCTGTGTGTCCCGCACCACGCGGGAAATGAGCTCGGTGCGTTGTGCGAAGGTTCTGCTAGAAAAATACTTGAGGGCTTGCACAGGAAGAGCAGGAGGCCGATTTCCTGAAATCCAGACACACTGCTACTGCACCCGAACCGACAGTCTGTGGTCAGGTTTGCTTTCGGTGTGATGAACTATACGCGCAAACTTCTTCACCACATGAAGCTGCAGACCAACCTGGATGCACTCTTCGGTTGCTAGAGCCACTACCGTAGCTTCTTCTCGCACTTCAGAGCCTCCGGACAGGAGCTCAACACGCACTTCTCGTAGATGGACAACTTCAGCTCCTAGTGGCCCAGTCTGTCGCGCTAGCCAACACCACAATGCAAGCATGACTCACGCTAGTGTCCTTCCTGCAAGTCGCACGCGGTGCTCTCCATGGGCATCACTCACTCCGTCGATCATTGGCTTGGCGCTCGTGTCCGTTGACGTTCCTACGCGCGTTTGTTGGGGTCAGCCGCGCTCTGGAAGCGTACGCTGTGGTCGGACCACTTGAGGCCCTCAGAGCAATAACTGGGTCAAGCTTCAACTGGGCCATCCAATGCAACGTTACAGCGCCGACGAGCGTCCAGCAAGTCTCGGGCCTCTTCCTCACTCCCGAATCTACCCCATCGATCGAAAGCAGATAATCCAGCCCCCTACAGCGAATGGCAACGACCACGGAGCCGCCGCCAAAGCATGTGAAGCTCCGGTACCGGGCATTGGCCTATGTCCGTCGATTCGGTCGGCACCAGAAGAGATCGCCCCGCCCTCGAGCTTCCAGCCGACGAAGCTTCGCGGACACCGGCGGAGCTCGCCCCCCAATCCGAATCACGAGTCCACGACGATTTTCCGATTCAGGTGGAGCTCGCCCCGTAGTGCGCGTGGCCAGCAAACGAAGCTTCACCGAGTCAAACGGAGCTCGTCCGGTGGTCCGCGTCGGCAGTCGAAGGAGTTTTGCAGACTCGGGGGGCGCTCGTCCGGTAGTCCGAATTGCCAGTAAACGGAGCTTTGCCGACTCAAACCCGGGGCCGCGCAGCCTTGTCGAGTGTAACGAAGCACCCGCTGAGATCAAGGTCACTACTCGGAGCAGGAGAGCAAGTCGAGCTCGCCGTCAGAAGCGAGAGAAGCGTCGACATCGCTTTCTTCCATCGCTGCACAGTCACGGCGGCCACCGGTTCCGACTCTTCTGCGGGTGTTGCGTGGAGCAGGACGCCATTGATCCAGCGGAGACGCCGTCATCGTTCCATTGGGGCGTGGGCTTCGACGACAGCTACTACCACAGCTCCAGCTACCAGCAAAACCTCTCGAAGGGCACTCGATTCCGTCTCGAGCTCTGCGGATTGCACGTGGCGACTCGCGGCAAAGACCTCAGCGTCGATATCAGCACGGTCGGAGCTCGAGCCGCCAGCTTGGACAGCGGATTCGGCTACACCTGTGCCAGTCCAGTGTCGTGTCCACCGCCTCATGGCCTCGTACCAACTCGAACGTTCCCCACGACGCTCAAGCTCCGCTCGAGAGATGGAACCGGCAACGGCAAGTTCACGCTCCACACAGGGACCAGCGGCTTCGCGTCCACTGGGTTCAAGCGCAAGGCTCCGTCGTCCTCGTCGTATCCGTCCTACACCCCCACGACGCCGCCCTCCCCGTTCATGAACGACTTCATCCCAACCGGAACATTCAACAACACCCGAGCTCGCTCTCGCGTGTCCGTCGGGTGCAACGGGTGGTTCTTGCACGACGATGACCCGTCCATCGTGGGCTTGTACCGACGTCGCAGCAGCGGCGGCGAAGTCCCGAAGCCTATCATCACGCACCTCTCGCAGGTAGCCGAAGGCTCCCAAGACAGCGAAGCCGAGTACGACAGGGAGGGCTCGCCCAAGAGATACAAACTGAGCCCTCGCGGCTCCGAGACGACCAGTGGGGTGACGACTTCACCTCCAGCCTCGTCGCCTTCGGTGGTGACGTCGCCGAAGCCCCCACTCGTCCCACGACCGAGGACGTCCAGCCCCGCCAGCTCTCGCGTCTCCATCGTGCTCCTGAGTCATGACGGCTCCATCTCGTCGTCGAAAGGCGAGAACGACTGGAACACCAGCAGCGGGATTGCGTTGGTGCCGCTGCCGACGTCGCCCCCGCCAGGGACTGAGACTCATCTGTCTTTCGCCATTACCCCTCCGCCTCCATTCGCGTCGTCTCGGAGCTCGTACAGCTCGGGCTTGGTCTCTCAAGCGTTCGATTCAGCGCTGCAATGGCAGGGAGAGAGCAACGGCGTGGGGGGCGACGACTACGAGCCTCCGACCAAGCGACGACGCAGCACCGGGAGCTCGTCGAACAGCAGCGGAGGCTTCGGCTTCGGGAATTTGCCCCGAGACTCCACGGACAACGAGGCGGATAGTCTTGAGATTGACAAGAGCGCGAGTGCAAGGGGGAGCGCGAGTCTCACGGCTCGATTCAGCGCGAGTCTGCGGCTCACTCGGTCTCACTCCCCGCAAGCGCTCAAGAAGACGCTGTCGATCGCTGGAACTCACCGCAGAAAAGCTCCCCGAAGCCGCAGCCAGAGCAGCATGTTCCATTTTGGCTCAAGGGCCAGCACGACCAAGTCCGCGTCGCCACCATCGACTCCAGCGTGTGCGGCGGCGAATCCGTCCATCGTGTTCATCGACTGCCCGCCGTAAGACTTACGGTAAGTGCATTTCCTTGTGATTTTTTCTTGCTCTTGCTATCTATTCCCCCAGGCAGTCCCAGCAGTTCTGCTTCATCAGCAGCCCAAACGAGAAGGAACCAGGCACGAGTTGACACAAGGAGCTTCATCGGAAGAGCTCCATCGCAGCCTGCACCACCTCCAGAGAAGACATGCATATCCATCGTGGAGCGAGCAGATCCAATCCGAATATCACTGCGGTTTCTGTCGATTGCTCTATCCATTCTGGTTTGTACAGTACATGTAGCTGCATGTTTCGAGTCCTTCGTGATCATCTCCTTGTCAGGTCAACAGCAGCTTCAAGCTGACACGAGGAAGGATGCCGCAACTCGGGCAAGGAGCTGCCCCTTGAGCAGGCGCTGTTGCCTGCTTGCTCGAACTTTACAGTCTGTACAGACTACAGCACGCAGGGTTAGTCGGCGCCCGTGGTACCGCACATCCTGGTGAGGGGATGCTGTCGACGAGAGATACGGAGCGGCTTCTGAGTCGGGGACGCGTATGAGTAGAACCACCTCACGGCTCGGTCTCCGAAACATTTAATCGCGTTGCCCTTCGCCTGCCTGCAATGCAAGTCCCTGAGTACAAGCCGCAGCGGTGGCGTTGGGCACTACATGGGCAGGAAGCCTTGTGGCATCGGCCGCCACTTCAACGTGGCAGAAGACCGTTCTCAGCAGTTGAAGCGCCTCAGAGATGCGGATCCCGAGATGGTGATGCGTCAAGGATGGCTGCATCCTAGACTTGGATTCCCACTCGGCGCCAACAGAGGAAACGTACACGTAGCCACCTCTTTCAGCACATCCAGAGCTTACCGCACTTGCTCACTGATACGTGCACAACTGTGGTAACCGCGGACTTTTAATCCGCGCCGACTCTATTGGTGGTATCGGCGTCGCGGATTCGCAAGTGTACCAGCTCACGTCGGGATCGTCATCCAGTCGCCATCATCGTCTCCGCCAACGCCGAGGCAAAGCTCACTTTTCAATTGGCCTCTTCCCACTCAAGTCTCAAGCCTTCAAGCCTGCCAAGCTCCCCGTCTCAAGCCTTCACCACGATGGCCCGGAAGCCCTTCTTCACCTTCGAGGACGCCAAGACGTCCTTCAACCTCTTCTGCTGCATCTACGGCATTGGTACGCTCGGTATGCCCGGCAACTTCGCGCGGGCCGGGCCGGCCATCGCCGTGGTGGCCATGGCCTTCATGGCCTTCGCCAACATCTACTCGTCCGTGGCCATGTCCAAGGTCATGCTGCTGGCGCCCAACTCGGTCAAGACGTTCGGCGACCTGGGCGAGTGGGCCATGGGCCAGTGGGGCCGCTGGCTCTGCGTCATCTCGCAGATGGGCTCGTGTCTGCTGATCCCGTGCGTCTTCCTCGTGCTGGGCGGCTCGCTGCTCGACGGCCTCTTCCCGGACGCCTTCGGCCAGACCACGTGGAGCATCTTGATGGCGCTCATGGTGCTGCCCGTGTGCCTGGTGCCCACGCTCAAGGAGGGATCGGGCGCGGCCTTCGCCGGCTGCCTGGGCACGATCCTGGCCGATATCATCGGCGTGGCCGTCGTCATGCACGGCATGCGCGGCCACCCGAGCGTGCCGTTCCCGGAGCTCAAGTTCTCGCAGGTGGCCGGCGTGTTCGGCAACCTGTCGCTCGCCTACGGGGCCGGCATTGTCATCCCGGACCTGCAGCGCCAGCACAGCGACCCGACCCGCATGCCGCGCGTAGTGGGCGTCACGGTGGGGCTCATCTCGTGCCTCTTCCTGACGCTGGCCAGCACGGCCTACTCGGCCGTGGGCTGCCAGATCACGGGCAACTTGCTGTTCACCATCTACCCGGACAAGACCACGGGGCTCACCACGCTGGGCTTCGCGCCGCGCTGGGGCGTCGTGGTGCTGGCCTACATATTCATGCAGCTGCACATCACCATCGCCTTCTCGGTCATCCTGAACCCGGCCTTCTACATCGCCGAGCGGCTCGCGCTGGGCATGCACAAGAAGAAGCCGCGCGACCTCGAGAACCCCGTGAGCTACATGGAGGCGGCCACGCCGGTAGGCGACGTGGCCCAGGGCGAGCCGCGCCGCAGCTCCAAGATGTCGTACGTGTCGGTGGCCGACGCCGAGAACGAGCACAAGGGCGACGTCGAGGAGGAGATGGCCGAGTACCGCGGCGGCCTCAACACCATCAAGTACATCGTGCTGCGCATCGTGATTATCGTGGTGCTCGTGGTGCTGGCCATCATCTTCAAGGACCACTTCTCCGACTTCGCCGACTTTGTGGGGGCCTCCTGCATCACGGTCAACTGCATCCTGCTGCCGATCGTCTTCTACCTCATCAAGGCCTGGCAACGCATCCCCATGTACGAGAAGATCCCGGCCATCGTCGTGACCGTCGTGTGCTTCGTGCTCGGCTGCTACGTGACGTACACCACCGGCAAGAGCCTCTTCGCCCCCACGGACAACGACGCCGAGTTCCCCTACTGCTCGCCCACGTACGAGAACCACGTCTACTACAACTACACCGCTGAACACGAGTCGTAGGAGGGGGGGGGGTAGCAGCTTTGTCTCAATGTTCTGACCTGTTAACCCATTCAAGCATTCAAACTTTTGTTGTGCTCAACTATTTCTGATGCACTGGTACTGTCTCAGTCAAGAACTCCGGTCTTGGCTTCGTGTGTGCAGTAGTTTCTTTGAAAATGGTAAATTCACGCCCCTGGCATGAGGACGAGGCAGTAGTGCCCTGGACAGGTATCTCGCCGGTGGCAACGTCTCACCACTCAACTGAAAAATTCGTGCTCCCCAGCACGAGTTATCATCCGGTAAATTCATTCAACGACTCTCCTCGAGGGCGACATCAACACAATGACCCACTTGCAGTCCGACCGCAACCTCGTCGAGAGCTCTGCTGCTTCGTCCGCAAGCACAGATTCCGTGCCAAGCTCGTGGAGCGGCGAGCCTTCCCTCGACCTGTCAGCCTTGCCTTGCGCGCTGAGGTCGAAGCGCAACGTGCTGGAGTGGATTTTGCCGCCTTGGTCGAGCTGGCGCAGTCGCCCAGCCTATCGCAATGGAAGCGGCTCCAGCACTCCTCGACGTTTACGATGCTCAAGCGTGAGGATGAGGTGCTGGTCGTTGCTCACCTGGATGCAAGTGTTGAGGAGGTGGGCGTTATACTGGGAACCACCACGGAATCGCTACACAACGCCGCTATGAAGGGATTGTATGGGAATGCATTCATCGCCGGCTCCGTGCCTCACATCCAACAGTCTCAGAGCTCGCATTTGGCTGTGAAGACGTCCAACTTCGCTCGCACCGACATTCTGGGCAAGAATGAGCAGTGGTGCTTCGCTGAACTGCTGCAATGGAGGCTTAACTCCAACTCCAAGAGCTTGACCATTATCCAGAAGTCATTATCCGCCCAACAAGCACGATCTCTTCCAGAACTCGTCGATCGCAAAGGTGTCGCTCAACTACGTGACGTGACTGCTGCGTACCAAGTCGAGCGAATACCAGGAAGTCGGAACCTGCGCGTCATCTTCCACGCATGTTATCACTGCAACACGGAGAGCGTCAAGCGCACTCGAGTTGTAGCCCGTAAAGCCACCCAGGCCCGCTTACTTCGTCTCGCTCGTGGTATCTCCCAGCTTTTGCATGTTGTCCGTTCACGTCGATTTGGACTGCAAGAACCCGCAGATCATTCAGCCATCGACGTGCGTAATACTCGCTGTACGTGCTGCACTCGAAGGCTGAATCGCTTCGTCCAGCTCATTCCACAGAGTAAATGCTACCTGTGTGGCTACCGCGTGTGCTTGTCGTGCTTATCCTCGGAAAAGATCGCGACTCATAATGGTCGGATGGCCGCCATTTCGACCTGTGCTCGCTGTGTGGAGAGTGTTGTGGCCTGCAACTACGACAATATGCTTACCGTGCAGCCTGGACCGGAAAGAGTTCTCCCCGATCCAGCCTCGACGGAAAAACTAGCCAAAAGTACCATCTTGCGACAGGATTTCTTCAAGACTGGGGACTCCACGGCCTCCACGGCAAAACTTGCCGAGTTGTTAGGCCAAATCGTGGGGAACGAGCCAATCGATGCCGCATCAAACCGTCGAGCTGCAGCGCTTAAAGTGCTGAACCAACTTTTAACCACCGACCAAGAGGAGACTGGCGCCGAGAATGGGGGCTGGATGATGGCTGCACATCAAGCACTCGACGTATCTGCGTGTCCAGAGAATCCGAATGAGTGCAAACTTGCGAGTGCCGAGAGTCGTCCGTACCCGATGGTACCTGCAGTGATTCCGAGCAACATCGACTCGAGCGACCCACCCGAGTCGATTGTTTATCCCGTCCCGGTGAACGAAGACGCCCGCTTGGCTGCTATCGAGCTCTTCAAGCTTCACGAAGTCCTCAACGTCCCCGAATTGAACGCCATCTGCACCCTTGCAGCCGCCGAAATGAGCTGTCCACACAGTGTCATCACCCTCATAGAGCGCGAAATCGTGACGCTCCTTGCGACCAATGACCCCGAAAATTGGGACGTTGGTAGTGGCAATCCACGCGAACAAACGTTCTGCCAGCACTTCGTCATGGACGACCAGCCACTGCTCGTGCGCCACGCCGAGGCAGACATGAGATTCTACCACACCGCACCCGTGACCATGCGAAGCTTGCGCTTCTACGCAGGATTTCCAGTGTCCGTTAGCTCTGTGATGAAGTCGGGAAGACCAGGTGAACCTGACAAGGTCGTCGTTGGAGCGTTGTGCTGCCTCGATGCTAAGCCGCACCAAATCACGAGGTCGCAGTACTGGCGGATGATGAAGCTCGCAGAAGCAGCTTCGTGTATTCTCGAGCGGAATGCCGTAACACTACTCAGTCGGGGGGGGGGGGGCGAAGGAGAACGCTTAGTCGTGGTCAAGTAAATGGAGCTCACAATCGCGACTATGGATACTGGTACGTCGGGCCCCATCCAACCACTCGACCAAATTCATGAGCTGCTAAACGGATCTCGTGCCACCAGGAAGGCCTCGATAGGACCGACTATCGCGGTACGGATATTATGGATCCCGGTACAAGAACAAGAATAGTCGCTTTGCTGCTCTGGAAGAGCGGCTTAGTATGGCGATTTCGCTCTCCGAGCAGATACTTTTGCTAGATGCCATCTAAACTCCGCTCTCGTGCATTCTGTGTGTCCATTTAACTAAACAGATACAGCGATGTATTTACATTTTTCCTCATCGATATGTTACCACCTACTCATCCGTCTCTGTCGTGCAGTTTTCGGGATATGCGCAGAAGCATTGGGCTTTGCACTGTAGCCATCCTCTTCATCTTCGTTCAGTTTCGCAAGATCGGCGATCACTGAGCTGCGTCTATCACCGATAGATAGACTACTGGATCGGATTTTGATAGACGGTCGAATTGCTTCACCCACGGGGGAATCCGGCGTGGACGTTGTACGATGGAATTGAGATAGTCGAGGCTGAACTTTGAATGAGCCAGTGAACTTGGTGGCTTGAGATGTAGCCGTTATACTTGGGTCGCCGGGGAGAATGCTTGGATCCACCACAAATCATGAACTTTAACTCGAACTGGCAATGTCGGCAACGTCAATGTCGGCAACGTCAATTCAATTGAGTTTTGATCCAAACCAGGTCCATGCAAATTCATTTTCTCTTTGACTCCCTTGATTTCTTCTTTGACGATACCGAGCTCACTCTCCAGTCGTCGAACGGATTTGGTCAGCAATGTCAGAAGCTGCACAATTTGATCGCCAACTGTCGGTGTAGGCCAGTTCGGGATGTCGGGCCAAACCTTGCTATTATCTGCTTGCAAGGCGTCCCTGTTCGGTAACAGCTCTATACTCTCCCATGGACCTTTGTCGAGCTGCATCAAATCCACCAGCATTCCGGCTGCATCGCTGCAACTCAACTGCGTCTCAAATAGTCCAGACTCAACTAAGCTCAGCACATCCCCGTCAGACTGGTCGGCACCACTAGAGCTCCGCTCTGAGAGTTGTCTGGCATGCTGCCAAAGCTCCGGATGTTCCTTAGAGCGAAAGCCTGCAGTTAGTAGTGCTACCACTAGACGCCGTCGGGTACCTGGGTATCGCGAGATGATCTTGTAAAATTTGCGGCGACTGAGCACGCAGCTCTCCACAAAGGTGACAGCGCGAACGCAAGTGTCTCGATGGTAGTTGAGTAGCAACGCAATTTCACCGAACGCTCCGCCCCGTGTGAGTCGCTGAACCACATTCTCAGCGCCAGTCTACTCAACAAAACCGCGGTGGATCATATACAGCTCCGACCCAATGTCCCCTTCGCGCACAATGTAGTTGTCCGGGGCGAAAACGCGGATATCCATGCTGAGAACTAACGCCGACAGAAAATCCGGACTGCAATCCTCCCAGAATTCGAGTCCACTAACGAGATCCAAGTACCGATGAAGTAGCACCTCCAATGCCAAAGGACGAGGCAGCCGACTCGTGAATTCCATGATGTCTCCATCCATTGAGTCGTACTCGTTCCAAACGTGGTCATAGTATCGATGTATTCGACCCCGAAGTTCTGACGGTAGTTTCAATTTGTCCATTCTGCAGGTGAGAAGACGCAAGTTTTGTGTGTACTTTTTGTCACTGGTGAATTGCAAATCCATGACCACGGCAGCCATTCTACTAACGACGAGGGCCATGATCAGCAGACCCACAAGCACGAGGAAGATGCAGAACGAGTCCTTCACGCAGTGGTCTCCCCCATCGCCACCCCCAAACATCCCCACCATAACATGCCGGAGGTTTGTTGTGTAAAGCGCTGATAGGGTACTTGATTCAGCCAAAAGGTTGAAGTTGTCCGCCAAGTGAAGTCCTCGCAATAGACACGCTAAGTAGTGAGCCACGACGATAACTCCAGCGCCGAGCTTTACTGTCGTGATAATTACTGGTTGGAATGCGCCACACCAGGCCCCGCTTCTCGACTTTACGGCCACCATGATGATTCGCATCCAGGAAGATTTTCTCAACCGGAAAAGCTGCGGGAGACGCAGGAATCGGAGCAAATGACAGACGATGTAGATGGTCGGGCTGAGCTCCAATAAAGATCGAGTGTCCCCATCTTCTCGTGCAATGTACGAGATGCACTCCACTGGCAGAGAGCCGAGTAAATCTACGGCGAACAACCCGCTCAGATACCGGCGTATGATTTGCCGCCTGGATGTAACGAGCTGCGAGTGCTTGGAAGGTTTGTCGTAGACGGCCGTGTTGAAATTCAACGCGATGCCCGTTACCAGCAGAATCTCCACTGCAATGTTGATCATCACTGCAATACGTTGATAGCCCGCCGATTCCTCCGGGTCGGACAGGTAACTCAGCGCGAATGGGATGTAGAAAACCTCAAACCCCAATACTCCCGTCAGCACAATCTCTTGGACTCTCCGCGCCCAGCCCTCGGGCGACATCGGCAGCTTCAAAGCGACGAGTTGCCAGTACAGTCGTCGTCGGAAATGTTTCAATGACCGCGCGAACGAGAACCTCGTGCTCTGCTGGATCTGGAACTGCTTTTGTCCGGACAAACTCGGTCGACGCCGGCTGTTGGCCGATCGAGCGCGCTGTTGTCGTAGCTCCTCCAGAAAGTCATCGTCAAAGATTCGGCGACTGTCGTGCTGGTGGAAACCGAGCGAAGCACGGGGCGTCGCTGCGTAGCGAAACGAGTGTCGAGGGTCCGACGTGTTGAGTTTGATCGGGCTGGTACTTGGTCGGGGGTGGGCCATATTGCTCCAGTCGCCGGTGAATCGACGACGCTTTTCATTCATATTTGACTTGGTTTGGTGGGATATCATCGGCTGTATTATGTGCGTATCGATCGGTAGAGCTGCGTCTTGGGGCGGGGTTGAGGAGGCTGTCGGAGGCATCTTTTGTTCGACAACGAGGCGAATAGGAGAGAGGAAAACGAACTGACAGTCGCTGCAGGGCGAGGACGTGTGGACGGACGGTCAGAACGAACTTTGGTGCACATGTGTTTCTCGTTGTCCAAAATAGTTTTAGCACAGATTCTTGATACAGTTCGTACGTGGAAGTTGGGATTGAGTCAAGCTCTCCAAGAAGCCTAAATAGCTCAGCCGCTAAATAGATAAACTACAGAAGTTAAAGTGGTGAATAGCTCGTAGATATTTTCGGGGCTGCCGTATCGACTCCCGATAGGAAAGGCAAGGTGCGCTATGAGCGCCGCGTGTTGAAAACGTTGACGTATCCGAAACTGCGCGACCTCATTTAATGGAAACCTACAGTACGGACAGCAGACTCTCTCTTACATGGACTCAATCAAGCCTGACTCGCCGGAATCAGGTGATGCATTCTCGATCGATCGATGCATCTCGCATCGCCACGGCTCTGCCGTTGATTTTCAGCCACAGCACCATAATCCCACGCGACGAATTCCCCGGCGGAGACCGATAGAGGCGCGTTGACCCCGGTGGTAAGGTGGCGTTTAACGGGCGGGACTTCCCTTCATTTTCTAATATTTACAAAAAATCCTAACATACTAAACCTCAGTACAAAGACCTCCAATCAAAGATACCCCGTCAGACTAGACAATGTTGAAGTGGATGGTCCGCCCCCATCCCTGATCTGCGAGTGTACAGGGCAACCGTTGCCTCCTTTGCCTCCTTCCATCCATCGAGCGCCGCCAGTTCCGCTCTCGCTCGCCCTCATTTGGCAATTTGCCGGCTCGCGCGCAGGTCGTCCCAGTCCCCCAGCGTCGGCGATGGCGTTCTTCAAGCTCCGCAAGACCGAGGCCGAGAAGGCGCAGCAGCGCGTGCTCAAGGAGCTCGAGCGCGTGGCCAAGGCGCAGCGCAAGCACGCGGCCAAGGAGCACAAGGCGCAGCAGGCGCGCCTCAAGCAGCAGGACAAGGAGGCCAAGCGCGTCGAGAAGCTGCAGCAGAAGCAGCAGAAGGAGGCGCGCAAGAGCCACCAGAAGGCCGTCGAGACCGCCAAGAAGGCCTCCAAGACGCGCATCCGCCTCGCGCGCAAGGCCGAGAAGGCTCGCGCGCGGCGCCACCGCCGCCAGATGCGCCGAGCTCGCGCTGAGGCAAGGCGCAACGTCGCGGTTGCTCCGGGGAGCGTGGCCGTCCCGCCCTTCTCGAAGAGCGCCGGCTGCTACGTGTGCGGCAAGAAGTTCGGCAAGGCGCTGCACAGGCGTCGCCACCACTGCCGCCAGTGCCGCGAAAGCTGCTGCCTGCAGTGCACGAGCCGCACGCGCCGCCCCGTGCTGCGCTACGGCCTTGACAAGCCGCAGAAGGTCTGCGTCGTGTGCGAGACGCTGGTGTTCAACAACGAAGCAGTTGTTGAAGTTGCTGCGCCTGCGACGGCCTCGCAGCCGCGGGAGCCAGCGGAGGCCGTCGTTGCGCTGGCCGCTATTGGCCGCGCGTCACGCCGACCGCACTCGGCCCCGTTGCCACCCACTGAGGGGGCGACGGTGACCATGCCTGTTTCGATGCGTGGGAGTGGCCGAGGCCGCGCGCGCTCCACGAAGGGCAAGGGCGGCTCGATTTGGACGCTGCCGATCCGCCCGCTGCTCAAGAGGAAGAAGAGTGCGGAGCAGCTCCGCAACCGCAAGATGGATCTGGACTTGCAGATCGACAAGCGGCTGCTGTTCAGGGGCCGCGCCGTCGAGCTGCAGCCGCAGTCGGTGGCCCCACCGGCGCCGTGAAGCGGGGGAATCGAGCGAGCTCGGAGCAAGGAGCTGGACGGGTGGTGATCATCACCTTGATGTGTGCGTGTTTCCCCGATCGACTGTATCGCAGCAGGCCGCAGTTGCCTGCACTGCCTCGAACGTTCGCGGCCAAGGAAGACGAGAGGAGGCGCGAGCGGTGTATAACTATATTGCAGAATCCATTTCCACGTGTATCCCTCTTGCCTGCTTCCACTTGCGTGCCGGCAGACCATCTGCGAGCATGGGTTGCTCCGAGCCTCGGACACATCGCGTGCGATGCCGCGCCAGGATTCACGTGCGCCGTCAAACGAAACGCCCTTTAAATTTTGATGTGCTCGAGTCACCCAGTTCCACCGGCCTCCAACGCTACGTGGCGACGCCAGCCGCGCTTGGGAGTCCCAAGTTGGGACTCTCAATGCGAGTGGCCTGCCACGGACATGCTAAATCTGCGCGCGCTCGTCAGTCCCCGCTTGTGGACGGCAACAGCCCCGCCGCAGCCGTCACTAGCATCATTTAAACTCGACCAGCTCCAAGCCATTCATGGTGGCGGACCCATACTGGCTGGCGATCTTGGCCGGTCTCAGGTCACGCTGCATATCCCACTTCAACGCTGTGGAGTGCAGCCATTTCCAACTGCTAAGTTCGCACAATTCCCTGTTAAACTGGATTAAGTCCACCTCACTGCCATTCACTATACGCGACGCAAACAGTGCAAGTGCACCTGCCAGATCCCATTCTCGCGGTATAAGGTTTCGAAATCTTGGCGTGGTCCACACAGCTCGAAAACGACTGGCTTCGGGCCTTGCTGGGCGCCGCGCCGCCACCGCCTGTGCGGTCATTCCATCAGAACGGGAGATAGGAACCAGAGCTAAAGGCATCCACGATGGTCAAGAACGTGCGCATCACCTACCGCCGCCGCCACTCGTACGCCACCCGGTCGAACGGCATCAAGGCCGTCAAGACCCCCGGTACGTGCAGCAGCAGCAGCAGCAGATAGCAGCGGCGCATTGCAGCACAGGAATCAGCCCCGCGTACGCATCGGACGCAATAGCGGAGCCGAACGGACAGAGAGAGATACAGGAACCTCTGGCCGGGGCTGGCCAGTGCAATGCCCAATGCCCCCCCCCCATCCAACCCTATCCAGGAGCAGCACCTTATTGACCGTCTATATTGCTGTGTGTTGTTCATCGCCACCAGGTGGCAAGCTTGTCGCCCAGTACCGCAAGAAGCGTGCTGCCGGCCCCAAGTGCGGTGACTGCAAGCAGTCGCTGAAGGGCATCAAGCACCTGCAGTCGAAGGAGTACAAGAACGTGAGCAAGACCCACCGCACCGTGTCGCGCGCCTACGGCGGCTCGCGTTGCGCCATCTGCGTGCGCCAGCGCATTGTGCGTGCCTTCCTGATCGAGGAGCAGAAGATCGTCAAGAAGGTGCTGATGGAAAAGCTCAAGAAGAGCAAGTCGGCCTAAGCGTCCTGTCAGCTTCGATCGTCTTCACCTGCGCTTGAGGGGAACACTCGGTTCCGAGGTCCTTTCTTCCCGTGTGGCTCGGTACTAGCTTAATGCAAGTTTCAACGCCGCGTTCTGCTACGACCCGTGCCCCCAATTATCCCATTTTGTTCAGCTTCAGCTTCAGTGCCCATGCGTCGTCTTGCAGGGCAATTTTCTTATTGTGCTGGTGCGCCGCAGGCCGTGCCTCGCTGCGTGTTGGTGCTGCTGGTGGTGATACAGGAGTAGCAGGTTGTTGGTGCGCGTGCACTTTTGCAGGTTTCAAGGCTCAGGCGGAAAGTGTCGACGAGAAGCTGTCGGACCTAGGATGTATAGCCAGGATGAAGTAACTGCAGTTGCGTTCAACTTGGTTGCTTTAATGCAACGTGGTGCATCCACCGCGCTGGAGTCTATGTTGCCGCTGAGGACACCTCGGTATCTGTAATGCGGCTCGGTGTCCTCGTTGGTCTTTGGTTTATAAGCTCCTCTCTTCGCCTCTTCATTCGTAGATTCTCTGTGCTTTGATTCGTCCAAAATGGCACCTGTGCGTTGTATCCGCTTCTCCATCCGGCCGCATATCACGTCCACGGCTGCCAAGTTCCTCTCGGAGGAAGTGGAGGCGTCGTCTTCGGCGCTGCATTTCCCCCTCTTCCCGCCGCTTCTCGTCCCGTTTAACCAGTGCATCGTAAAGAGGAGACGCTGCGCTTCCACCTCCGCGTCTCGGCCGCCTACAAACCCCTCTACAGCCCGCGTTAGAGCATGCAGTTCCAGCCGACACAAGACCGAGAGCACGTCGAGGCGCTGCTCGCGTCCCTCGTGCAGCGCCTGGACGTGGCCGACGCCTCCGTCCGCCGCGCGCGCGTGGCCGAGCTGTACGTGGCCGTGGCCGCTCTGAGCCGGCAGCTGTCGGCCGAGCGCTTCGCCAAGGCGCTGGGGCAGCTCACGCCGCAGCTCTACAAGCTGCTGCAGAAGGGCTCGTCCGAGGGCGCGCAGCTGGGCGCGCTGCTGGCCATCGAGCGGCTCATCGACGTGTCCAACGAGGACCAGTTCATCCGCTTCGTCAACTACCTGCGCTACTTCCTGCAGCAGCCGCAGACGAGTCGCAACGCGCTGCTGGCGGCCTCCTCGGCCATGGGCAAGCTGGCCGCGTCCAGCGTGAGCGGCACGCTGGTGGCCAGCTTCGTGGACTTCGAGGCCAAGCGGGCCTTCGAGTGGCTTCAGGAGGGCCAGCCCGGCACGCTCGCGGCCCGGTACGAGGCGCTCGTGAGTCAGCGGCGACTCGCGGCCTGCTTCGTGCTCCGAGAGCTGGCCCAGGCCGCGCCCACGCTCTTCCACGTGAACCTGACCACGTTCTTCCAGAGCATTTGGGGCGCGGTGAGGGACCCGCGAGTCGAGATCAGAGAGGCCGCCACCAGCGCGCTGGCCGCATGCCTGCAGCTGATCACCAAGAGACAGACTAGGCATCGCGTGCAATGGTACTGCAAGGTGTACGACCAAGTGTTTGAAGGCCTGGCCCTGCGGCCCAGCAGCTCATCGAATTCGGGATCAAGCTCTGGAGCGCCGACGAGCAACGGCCAGGCGTTGGCCTCGTGGGAGTGTGCTCATGGCTCGCTGCTCGTGATCGGAGAGCTCATCGCCAACACGGGCAGGTTCATGGTGCCGAGATTCCGAGAGGTGTGCGATACGGTGCTGATGTACAAGAACGCCAAAGAGAGGCTCGTGAGCCGCGCGGTGTCGAGGCTGCTGCCGCAGCTGGCCGAATTTTGCCCCGGAGCTTTCGTGCAGTACTACCTGGACGTCTGTGTGGCCCACTTGACCAAGCGGATCCTCGAGTACTCGTCGCCACCTTCAGAACGCGGCGTGGCCTTCTTGGCAATGGGGAGACTGTCATTGGCCGTGGGTGAGGCCTTGCTGCCGCACCTCCCTCCTATTCTCAAACTCGTCAAGGAATCACTGGCACCGCATACAGGGAGCAAGCGCAAGCGAGCAAGGAACAAGCTGTTCTGCGTCCAGACTCTCACGTGCGTGGCCAATATGTCGCGTGCATTGGGGCCGCGGTTCGAGCCATTCCTGTTCCAAGACGGAGTATTAGAGACCATGATGATTGGCGGCTTGAGCGACGAGCTGATTGATTCCCTTGCTGAAGTGGTTGCCAGCGTCCCGAGCGCTCTTCCGTATGTGCAAGAGCGACTACTGAACGAGATTTCGGGGATTCTGCGGGGCACGCCGTTCTCACTAGGCAGTGCTGGGACGGCGTATCCTCCTGGAAGCAGTGGCGGAGCAGGTGGCGCGACGAACGGAGATGGAAGTGAGCTGGGACTGGATGCACCATACTACGATACTGCAAGCGAAGCTCCTCCCGTTAAGCAGACAGCCGTGCAGGCAATTTTGTCTTCGATGAAGCGTGGTTTCTCGAGTGTAGAGGACGACCCAGCGAGCACGAGTGGGTCGTTGATGATCAAGGGCGAGACTGGCGACGAGATTGATACTATCCTGCTATCCTTGCGGACTCTGAGCTGCTTCGACTTCAGTGGCAGTTTCTGTCTCCTGCCGTTCGTCCGCGACTGCGTCGCGCTGTATCTGAAGAACCCGGACGCCAGGATCAGGAAGCAGGCGGTGATCACGTGCAGTAAACTGCTGCTTCCGTCGCCCGACTCACCCGACACAGCACTGATGTCTTCGTGGAGGCACGTGAAGAAGCGTGGACCAAGTGGCCGAGTCATCGATCTTGTACTCACACAGTTGCTTCAAGTTGGTATCTCGGATATGGATGTGGCAGTGCGAAGGAGTGTTGTGGAGTCATTGGATGCGCGATTTGATGAGCTGTTGAGCCAGGAAACCCACTTGAAGTTGGTGTTCTTGCTGCTTAATGACGAGAACGCCAACATCCGCGAACGCGCGATGCAGTTGCTGGAACGGTTAGCTCCACGTAACCCGGCTTTTGTGATGCCATCGTTACGCCGCGTGCTGATCCAGTTGGTCACAGAGCTGCAGCACACCTCCGACCTACGAATGCGCGAGGACAGCACTCGTCTCTTGGGCCACTTGATTCGTGGTGCTCAGCATTTGGTGGACCCGTACGTTGTGCGTATCCTGGAAGTCCTGCTACCGATTCTTGTGCGTGGAAATGCCCCGTTGACGATGGCGGTCTTGGTGACTCTGGGTGAATTGGCGTTGGTATCGCGGACACAGATCGCTGCGTACGAACGGTATCTTTTCCCGCTTATTATCCACACCCTGCAAGATCATTCGTCGATTGAGAAGCGCCAAGTAGCGTTGCAGACGTTAGGCCAGCTTGCTGGCAGCACAGGTTGTGTTGTCCGTCCGTACTTGGCCTCACCCAAGTTGTTGGAGATCTTTCTGAGCCTCCTGCACCACAGCGTAGGCAGTCCGTGGTCCTTGCGGCGCGAGGCGATGAGAACAATCGGTATTCTTGGAGCGCTGGATCCGTACAAGTATAAGCTCTGTATCTCGCGAGCATCACTGCGGCAGGCCAACGAAGCTGCATCCACAGCTGATACCTCAATAACTAAGGAGGACGAGGAAAAGAATGCTGACAGCGCGACGCTAGGTGTATCAAAGTCGATGGCTGGTACGCTAGTTTCCCAGTACCCGACGCTGGATCTGGACCTAAAGGCACTCGGCGTGACGATCAACCTTGCAAGCTTCGATCGCAAGGCTACCAGTGACGCCCTGGATGAGAAGCAGCAGATTGAGCTGCAGCTATTCACTGCTGCGCCCATTGGCACCAGAAAGATTGATGCAGCTGCAGCCGCTGGGACGTTAGGAGTTGGATCACAATCCTCCCACCCAGCGAGCGGTGCCACTGGAGTCTCTGCTGGAGCCTCTTTGTCATCGTTGACGTCCTCTTCGCGCAAGAAACGCCAAGTTGGCTCCATCGGAATGAGCCTAAGCGACGAAGCGTTCGACTTCGAGAGCTCGCTGATGGACAGCGAGTTGGAGCTTGATCCTACGGAGCTGTCCCCAGCTTCGGAGGCGTACTTCCCGACGGTGGCCATCCACGCTCTGCTGCGCATTCTTCGTGAGCCGTCGTTGAACGCTCATCATCACGGTGTTATCCAAGCCATCATGTTCATCTTCAAGAGTCTCAGCACGCAGTGTGTGCCGTTCCTCAAGTACATCTTGCCACCTTTCCTGCGAGTGCTGGCACGCGGCGAGCCACGACTACGCGAGTCGCTGTTCTTGCAGCTCACGACGCTTATTTCCATCGTTAACGCACATATGAAGCCATTCTTTCCGCCGATTATGGTGCTGGCGCTGCGCTTCTGGGGATCCCACCTGCCGCAGATTGTGCGACTAGTGGAGAATATCTCGCAAGCCGCGCCGCACGAGTTCCGGACGCAGTACTTCCCAAAACTGCTGCCTAAGCTGCTCGAAGTTCTTCAGCCTCAATTTGGTTTGGGTGGCGCTGACGGAGAACTGTCTGGACCAAACTCAGGTAGTGCGACGACGCAGAGTTCTGTAGATGGGGCTGGCGGAAGCGCGGACCTCCACGGACAAGGCAATGGCAGTGCATCCAGCGGGACCAGCGACCACACCCTCGTGTCCAGTACGTATGATATCGTTCAGAACGGCAGCACGGATGGGAGTACCGCTGTAGCGGTAGCAGCGATCCAGGTGCAAGTGGTTCAGTCGCTGATTGTATTCGGCGACGCTGTGGAGGATTATGTGTACTTGCTCGTGCCAGCCCTTGTGCACCTGATGGAGAGCTTGGATACGCCGCTTGAAGTGAAGATCACTACGATCTACGCGTTGGCACGCATCTGCGTGGTAGCCAACTTCGAGCAGTATGCGGGGCCGCGATTGCTGCAGCCTCTTGCTCGTGTAGCTTCCCAGGTATCAGCCAAGGGAGCGTTCTTCTTCAGCCGATCAAGTAGCAGTACAGCTATCAGCGTGGGTGCTGGCGCGAACGTGTCTGGACCACCTGGAAGTGGAGCTGCTGGAGCGGCAGCAGCTCGAATTGCGACTACGAAGACGGAGGCTACACGTTTTTCTGAAGTGATGCTGTATGCGCTAGGCGCTCTGGTCTTTCAACTGCAGGGCGAAATCCTGAGTTTCGAGCCTTTGCTGCAGCAGATCATCGCATCGCTCCCATTCTCTCACCGGGGCAATCTCACCACAGCTGCGAACGTTCCTGAAGGCAGCAGCCCTTCGTCGGCCCCTCAAGCTATGGTGCAGCGGATCGCGCAGTCGCTGGAGACTTTGCGTCGCGGCGCACGAGTGCCTCGTTCATTCCTGGACGACTCGGCATTCATGACGCCTACTCTACGGAAATTCTCAAGCGAGCTGCAGGCACAGACGGCTGCGTCGACGACCCCAGCTCCGTCTCCACCGACAAATGCACGGCTGCACGTCAACCAGCAGAATTTGCGGCGAGCGTGGGAGGCCTCCCAGCGCAGCACGAAGGAGGACTGGTTAGAGTGGATGAGGCGCTTCTCCATTGAGTTGCTTCGTGAGTCTCCAAGTGCTGCGTTGCGTTCGTGCTGTGCGCTTGCCCAGGCCTACAATCCACTGGCTCGCGCGCTGTTCAATCCGGCGTTCGTATCATGCTGGAACGAGTTGTACGAGCAGTACCAGGACTATCTGGTTCGAGCGCTGGAGACCGCCTTCCAGAGCGACACGATTCCGGCCGAGATCTTGCAGACATTGTTGAACCTGGCCGAATTCATGGAACACGACGTTGAGGCATTGCCCATCGACATTCGCGAGCTAGGCGAGTTGGCCCAGAAATGCCACGCGTACGCCAAGGCGCTACACTACAAGGAGCTGGAATTCCACACCTCGCCTAGCACGTGCATTGAGGCGCTGATTTCGATCAACAACCAGCTTGGCCAGCCGGAGGCTGCAGTGGGAATTCTGAAGTACGCCCAAGCGCACCACAGTCGCGTCATCCAAGTGAAGGAGACGTGGTTCGAAAAGCTGCAGGATTGGAAGGCAGCGCTTGCGTTATACGACAGGCGGCTTCAGTATGCGCAGCAGCACGGTGGAGAAAACCAAGGCCTGGATATCGAGGTTTGCATAGGAAAGATGAGGTGTCTGGAAGCACTTGGCAAGTGGGAAGAGCTGAGTGCGCTGGCCACTCAAGTCTGGAGTGCTCTGCGCTCACCAGAACGCAACGCAAACAGAACCAGCGCACCGCCCTCCCGAGCCCGTCCGTTGTCTGCTGGTCGTGCTGCGTCCAGCAGTTCCATTACCGGTTCCAGCCGAGGCAATCCGGGCCTCCTACGTCGTGGTAGCAGCGGCTACGGATCGTCTTCATCTTTGGCGTCAGCTGGAGGCCCCCCGTCTTCTTCTGGTTCAGCTTACCAAGCTGGAGACGACCGTGGAGACGAAGCGACTGCGCTCAAGCGCGTGGCGATGCTAGGCGCGCGCGCTAGCTGGTGCCTATCCCAATGGGACAGCATGACTCAATATGTGACCGAGTGTGCGGCACAGAATGACTCAAGCAACGTCAATAGCGCCGTCATTTCTCGGGCTGCTAATGGACACGGTTACAGATACGGCCACAGCCATGGTCATGGGATGTTCGGTGCGGATGAAGATGTTACCGAGCTCTCGTTGTATCAGTCAGTGCTGGCGGTACACCAAGGCAACTTCGAGCAAGCGGCGACACTGATTGATGCGACGCGGAAGACGCTTGACACGAAGCTCGGCGCTCTTGTTGGCGAGTCGTACAGCCGCGCCTACCGCAGCATGGTGACTCTGCAGCAGCTGAGCGAGTTGGAGGAGGTCGTGACGTACAAGAAGCTCCGCGCGCAGATCTCTAAGGGCGAGGAGGCAGCTCGGTACAAGCGTCACCTCATGCGCATGTGGCGCGACCGGCTTTCCGGCTGCAAGCGTGTGGTTGAAGTGTGGCAGCAGTTGATCGTCGTCCGCGCTTTGATTTTGTCTCCGCATGAAGACATCGACACTTATCTGCAGTTTGCCAGTCTGTGTCGCCAGTCCGGAAATCTCTCGCTCTCGTTGAAGGTATTCACGAACGCGCTGCACGTGCACGGCGGAGCTGGATCCAACGGCACTGATATCTCTGAGATGCTCAGCGTGGCGCCGTCGAGCTCAGGAGCGGCCCCATCCTTCGGATTCGGTGAAAAGGATCACAACCGTGTTGCATTTGCCTACCTGAAGCACCTGTGGGCTGCTGGACAGAAGCAGGAAGCTCTGTCGGACCTGCACCGCTTGGTCGTCCGTATTTCGTCAATGGCGCGCCACCGTTCGCAAGTTCCAGGCGGAATGGGCGGAATGGGCGGAATGGGCGGAATGCCGTCCCCAGCACCAGCAATGATGCCGATGAGGAGTGAAGAAGAGGAGCTGCTTGTCAAGTGCCACTTGAAGATGGCGGAGTGGCAACTGGCCGTTCATGACCAGCAGATCGAGCACGTGCCTGTGGAGAGCGTCTTGTCTTCGTTGCGGCTGTGTACAGAGCTGGAACCGCGCAGCTACAAAGCGTGGCACGCCTGGGCGCTCATGAACTTCCAAGTCGTGGAGCATTCGACACACAGCCAGCACATCTCAGCCAATGCAACGGCCTCAGCAGTCGCAGCGTCCGCATCCGTGGCGCCGTACATCGCGCCTGCAATCGAGGGCTTCTTCCGGTCGGTGGCGTTGGGGCGCAGTCGATGGGCTGCCAATGTGCAGCAGGATATTCTACGCGTTCTGACGCTGTGGTTCGCCCACGGCCACCGCACGGACGTGCACGCAGCCTTGGAGAAGGGCTTCCGCGCTGTAAGCATCGAGACGTGGCTCATTGTCATTCCACAACTGATCGCGCGTATTCACACGCCGTACCCGCGCATCCAGAAGCAACTACATCGGTTGCTTGTGGCGGTGGGTAAGCAGCACCCCCACGCTCTCATTTACCCGTTGTCTGTGGCGCTGAAGTCGTCGGTGAGCGAGCGACAACAGGCCGCCGAGGCCATCATGAGCACGATGCGCACCAACTACGTGGAGCTTGTGGATGAGGCGTTGCTCGTGAGTCGCGAACTCATCCGCGTCGCTATTTTGTGGCACGAGATGTGGCACGAAGGTCTGGAGGAAGCTTCGCGCCTGTACTTTGGTGAGCACAACGTGGATGGCATGGCGGAGGTCCTTCGGCCGCTGCACGCTATGATGGAGCGTGGCCCGGAGACATTACGAGAGGTGAGCTTCCACGGCGCGTTCGGCCGGGATCTACGCGAGGCCAACGAGTGGCTGCAGCGGTTCCTGAGTAACCGGCGCAACGAGTCGGACCTGAATCGCGCTTGGGATCTCTACTACCACGTCTTCCGGCGCATCAACAAGCAGCTACCACAGATCACGACTCTGGAGCTGCAGGTTGTGTCGCCTAACCTGCTGTCAGCAAGGAATCTACAGCTCGCCGTGCCAGGCACGTACCGTGCTGGCCACGCTATCGTGAAGATCGGCAGCTTCTTGCCGACGGTGGCGGTGATTACAAGTAAGCAGCGACCGCGCCGCATTACGATCGTTGGCTCGAATGGACTGGAGTACATGTTCCTGCTCAAGGGCCACGAAGACTTGCGCCAGGACGAGCGCGTGACGCAGCTCTTCGGCCTGGTGAACGCGCTGCTGATCAACGATCGTAACACTTCCAAGAAGGACCTGAAGATCCACCGATATCCTGTTATCCCGTTGTCCGACAACGCCGGTATTGTGGGCTGGGTGCCACACTGTGACACTCTGCACCAGCTCATCCGCGACTACCGTGAAGCTCGTAAGATCTTGCTGAACATTGAGCACCGCCTGATGCTGCAGATGGCCCCGGACTACGACGCACTGACGCTGCTGGAGAAGGTGGAGGTGTTCCAGTACGCGCTAGAGAATACGGCAGGCCAAGATTTGTACAAGGTGTTGTGGTTGAAGTCGGAGAACTCGGAGGTGTGGCTGGATCGGAGAACGAACTACACCAGATCACTGGCCGTCATGTCTATGGTGGGCTACATTCTCGGCCTGGGCGATCGTCACCCGAGCAATCTCATGCTACACCGGTTCACAGGAACCATTGTCCACATCGACTTCGGTGACTGTTTCGAGGTCGCCATGGATCGTGAAAAGTATCCGGAGAAGATCCCGTTCCGCCTAACGCGTATGCTGACGAATGCCATGGAGGTGAGTGGCATCGAAGGCAACTTCCGCTTCTCGTGCGAGAGCGTGATGGCGGTGCTGCGCGAGAACCGGCACAGTCTCATGGCCATGCTGGAAGCCTTCGTGCATGACCCGCTGATCAACTGGCGCTTGCTTTCAGCGACTAATGTGCCAGCGTCCAGCCACGCGAGTAGCTCGGTCGCATCGAGCATTGCATCGTCGTCTATGGTGTCGAGCATGGACAGCGATAGCGACTACGAACCCTCTGAAGCTTCGTCTCACGGCCCGTCTGAAACTTCATCTCACGGCCCCTCGGAATATTCAACGCACGGTCCGTCCGAGGCCTCAACTCATGGTTCTGATGCCTCCAGCCACGGCCCGTCCGAGGCCTCGACTCACGGGCCATCAGAAGCCTCGACCCATGGTCCTGCTGAAGAGGAGTTGCCGCATCGTCGCAGCGAGAGTATCTCGATTCCAGACCCGGTGCCTTCATCGACCGCCACGCTGCTTGACGATCGGGACGAACCATTGCCGCATGCAGCCGCGGCGTCGTCGCAAGAGCAAGGCAGCAAGGAGAACGTTGAAGAGAAGCAAGAGGCGAACGGATCGACGGACGCTAAGGATGCTGAGCAAGAAGACACTGGCGCTACCGAAGCCCGAGCGGAGACTGCTGCTGCAGCTGCGGCCGCAGCACCGCAGCAGCGTCAGCTTCCCCCGCGCGCCAAGCCTCCGGTGCCCCGTCAAGTCAGCGGAAGTCTGGCTACCCCGCGCCAGCTTCCGCCACGTACAGGACCCAAGGAAGCCGAGCCTCCACTCCCGTCGTCTCTGTCGTCGCGGCCCATGAGTCTCAGCAAATCCATTCCTCTCCCCATGCGGAAACTGCCGCCCCGCGCACCGGCAGCGAACCGAGTTCGCGAAGACACCATCGACGAGAACGAGGAGGCCAACGTCGTGGAGAAGATCGACTACACAACCACGAACCTCCACGCCGAGATCTCGTCGCTGGCGGCCAGCGTGTCCAGCGTCGGCCACTCGAGTTTGAGTCGCAGTTTCTCCGTCACGCAGGCCCAGATCCAGGCGCAGTCTCGTGCAGCGGAGCAGCAGCAGATGCGGCAACGGCAGCTCGCTGAGAGCGGCCAAGGTCAGCAGCCAGCTCCGCCCGGTACGCCGCTGGGGCCGCCACCTCGGATGGCCCCGGCAGCGTCGACTTCGTTCGTGTCGGTGACGGCTGCGGCGCAGATCCCGCCGGCGTCCGACGCGGTGCCGCCGTCCGTGGCCAACGACCTGCACGCGAACCGCAGCGTCCGCGAGCGGGAGCTGCTGAGCGCGTTGGGACCCGAAGGCATCGCGGCGCCAAGAGTGGCGCTGAACGAGAAGGCTGTGGCCGTGATTCGCCGCGTGCAGGCCAAGCTGTCCGGACGCGACTTTGAAGGCGAGGGTGGTGAGCCGCTGGACGTGAGCGCACAAGTACAGCGCCTCATCTCACAAGCCACTTCGCACGAGAACCTGTGCCAGTGCTACATCGGCTGGTGCCCATTCTGGTAGAGGGTAGTAGGTAGTTGAATCAATATAAAGTGCTTTGTGATGTTAGCTAAGCTGAGCTCGCTGGCTGTTTAGAACTCGACTTCTATTGTCCAAGGCTGCCTGTTCACATGGCTACTCCTGAGGAGCAGGTATGAATGCCAATGTCACTCCGAGCAGGTACTGGTGTCGGATGCCACCGACAATCCATACAGACCCGACTTCTTCGCTACGAGCTGCTCCCGAGCAGCTTCCAGCGTGTCCGTCTGCGTGGCTCCAACCACGCACTTGACGCAGAACGAGACCTTGCGCTGTGCTAGTGTCGAGTCTGGCGCGATGAAGCTCAGACTGTTCACGACCTTGCATGAACTGCACACGGCGCCGAAGCAGAGCTTACAAGTGTGCACTGCCCCACTGAGCTTGGAGCTCTTGACGCCCCTCAAGCAGGTCACGCAGAACGGCTCAAACGCCGGAGTTCCCCTCTCCCGAGCTTCAGCTTGTTTCCTCTCCAGCAGCCACGCCAGCTTCTTCATCTGGCCGCAGTACGAGTACTTCAAGCCCGCCATCGTGGCCTGCACCATGCCCATGACTGCCATCACGCGGATCATGTCACCACCCGGGTCCATGATGCCCGTACCGCGGCAGTCCGTCCTGTTTGGCCCTTCTTGGTGGAAGATGCCGCAGAACAACATGTTGCCGCGCACGCGGTTGGGCAGCTCGTGGATCTGAGGGAACGTGATCGAGTGAAACAAGTGGTAGCCCACCCGCTCGCCGTTCTTGAGGGCAACTTCCAACAAGAGCTACGCAATAGTCAACAGCGCACAGTCTCACTTGCCAATTTGCGATCCGCATACGTGAGCATGGACAACCAGCGCTTCACCGTGAACCCCTTCGGGGAGTTGACGCTCTCCACCCACGACCGCGCCCAGTTGTTGGTCGAGATCACCGACGCTCTCGTGATGGCCAAGTTCGACGAGTACGAGCAGCACCTGAACAACGACAAGCGAGTGGATCTCGGTCGCTGGAAGAAATTCACCTAGTCGGGCCCGACGACCATGTACCTGGAGCGGATCAAGTCGATTCCCAACTCCAAGCTGCCGGCGGTGCTGATGGTGGGGCCGCTGCCAGGATCTCTGGACGAAAACATGTTCGGCATCGTCAACGCGACGATCGAAGCCATGCGCATCAAGTCGTCGTACCTCAAGGACTTCAGTGCTGCTGCGGTTCTCGCCTCGATCGTAGAGCCAACGGTGGACGACCCGTTCCGCTCCGTCGTGGTGAAATGGATGGAGATCGAGCCTCCTTCGGTTTGGTCCGCAACCGCGACTTCGTGTACGTCGAGAGCACGGGCATCCTCCACGTCACTACGGTACTAAAACGTGCCCAAGTCACGCAACTCGTGCTGATTCAGCTGCTTTTCACGTGGTGTGGCCGCGGGTTTGTATCTTGTCTTATCCTTTTGACAGGCACGTAGACTGACTGACCACTAGCCACTTCAACCGCATGCTGGAAGTTAATGCATGGAGGTGTGACTTACGTGTACGCTGGTAGCCGATCCACTTGTAGAGCTTAGTCACGCCAAGAAAAGCAAATGGAGCAACATTGCTTCGGCAGCTCTCGGTCAGATCGACGGTGGACTGAGTACTCTCGATATACCGCATACTGATTTAAGTTGGTGAACAGCCAATCAAATCAAACCATTCGCGTTAGTTGGCTCGGAGCCGCCAAGTGAAGGCCATGTGCGGCATCGGACTCGTGCTCGCTCCTGCCTGCAGCAGCGACCCCCCGTCGTCGCCGTTAACAGCATCTTCTTCAGCGTCTTCTCCCGACTCCAACCATGGTCTGCATTCCAGCAACGCTTTCGTAGAGACCGAGTTCGACCGGAAACTCCAGCGGCGACTGTGTCAACGCGGGCCCGACCACTACCAGCGCGTCATTCGACGCGTTGCAGCGGATGTCGAGGGTTACAGCCACCCCTGCGACTGGGTGATAGCAATGCACAGCGCGGTGCTGCATCTCCGAGGGGATCATGTGACTCCCCAGCCAGTTTTGGATTCCGACGCCAATGTGCTTTGCTGGAACGGAGAAGTGTTCGGCATGGATGGAGATATCTCAGCCGATCGAGAAGAAGAAGATAAAGTGTTGATGCATGGCAGCGACACGCTTTTCCTCTCGGAGAAGCTGCAGGCTGCAGGGAGAAAGTTGCAGGAAATGACGACGGAGGAGGTGGAGACCGAACGGGATCCGATGGTGGAGCTGCTGCGACGTGTGCAGGGGCCTTTCGCTGTGGCGTGGCTACATGAGAGCACAAAGAGGCTGTATTTCGCCCATGATCGCTTTGGGCGGAGGAGTCTGCTGTACAGGAAGTGGGGAGTGGATGGCTTGGATGTGGTGGCGAACCTAGCTGGGAAGGAGAAGAACTCGGCGGAGTTGTTGCAGACGGACTTGACCCGATTTGTATTGAGCTCGGTGGCGATTGGAGATAGCGAAGATGAACTGTCGAAGTTCCAAGAGCTGCCTGCGTTTGGAGTCTATGTGCTGGATCTTCATGCGCGGTCGTTGACGACTGACGGGGGACTGCCATCTTACCGAATGGAATTCCATCCATACGCACCGCTAGTACCGAAGTCGCCAGTGCTCACTCCGGTGGAAGAAGCAACCAATTTTGTCATCGATCGATTTGGTAGCAGGGTGCCTCGTACAGTTGCAAGCCCAGAGGTTTCCAAGACATTAGAATCATCAGCAAATGCCTTGATAGTTGCGCTCAGCAACGCTGTCGGTGTTCGTGTCCGCTCCATTCCTGCGCGTCCACGTTCAGATGATTGCCCTCGCCCCGCTCGTGTTGGCGTACTTTTCTCCGGGGGACTGGACTCGGTCGTGATCGCAGCGCTGACTCACTTTCACGTTGCGGTCGACGAACCCGTCGATTTGCTTACTGTCTGCTTTGATGAAAGCTCCGCCTTTACCTCTCCCGATCGCCTTGCTGCTGAGTTGGCGCATGCTGAGCTCTGTGCATTATTCCCCTCACGCCAGTGGAATCTTGTCAAGGTCAACGTGCCACGGGTGGATCTCTCTAAGCAGCAGAGTGAGGTGTTGACGCTGATGGCTCCTTGCGATACCCACATGGATTTCAACATCGGAGCTGCTTTTTGGTTTCTCTCGCGCGGTCTTGGAGAGCTGAAGCAGACAGCGCAAGCACCGGAAAACGCGACGATGGAGGAGTTGAACGCGTTCCTCAAGCCTCAACGAGCCGATCTCCGTGAATTAGAAACAGAAGTTGCTTTCCTTGAGCTTTTTGGTGGGAAAGCTGAGAGTGACAACACTCTTCTGTGCCCTGTGGATCGATGTGGACGTAAACGCAAGCATGGCTGTATTGTGGGTGTCTGCAAGAGCTGCTGCTTCAAAATGCAGCGAGCAGTGGAGAAACTAAATCCCGACAAAACGGATGGTGACGTGGATCTGCGTGAAGTACAGGGCTGCCGAGCCAAGTTGCTGTCCATGCGTGTGCAGTCGGAAGACCATCTGAATCTTCTCTTGGATCTCCTCAAGTCAAAACAAGAAGAAGAACAGAATGAGTCATCAAACTCCAAGCTCAAGCCTGTTCTTTCTTGTCGTGTTCACCGCGCCAAGCGAAAGCAAGCAGAACCTGAGCAGTCAACATCTTCATCTTCAGCAGCCACTTTCGCCACACATCCGGCAGCAAATACCTATCGAACAACTGCCCGAGTGGTGCTCGTGGGTATTGGTGCGGACGAGCAGCTCGCTGGATATGGGCGTCATCGTACAGCCCTGATCAATGGAGGAGAAGACGCTCTACGAGCCGAGCTACAAGTAGATCTTGGCCGGATCTGGAAGCGCAACCTTGGACGCGACGATCGCTGCATTGCGTCGCACGGACGGGAGGCGCGCTTCCCCTTCCTTGATGAAAGCGTTGTCTCCACTATCGCAACATTCCCCGTTTCCAGCCTCTGCGACGCCGATCTACCGCGTGGCGTCGGTGACAAGCGAGCTCTACGGGTAGTCGCAAGGTCACTCGGACTCCGAAGCTGCGCTGGACTGGCGAAGCGTGCCATCCAGTTCGGCTCGCGGATCGCCAAGGTCTCGAACAGCGGCAGCAACCGCCAGACACAGGGAATGAACAAATTTTCAAGCGTGCAATGAGGACGGGCAGCCATACTCTGCAGTAGTAACCAGTATTGAGAAACCAATACAAGTAATACGCGTCATGAGCGGTCGATGGTTGGTGCGAAGTAGCTGCAGCCTCAACTTTTTGCCTCCAGCGTTTTACGATCACCTACCTATATATGTAGAGCCACTGGAGAAGGACATGGGTCATCATCCCGTAAAATAGTTTCGATAGAGAACTCGCTCCGCTACGCAACGAGGCTCGCGAAAATACTCGACGATCTGGTCTGGCCTCACACAAACCACAGCGAAATGTATGTATGGATGTCCACGCACTGCGTATTGCGCCAAGAGGGTAAGTTTAGCGCGAGTAGACCTTACGTGAAGCCTACAACATCATCTGGTCGAACTTGTCCTTCCTTTCATTTCTCGACTTCCTGCCCACCCAACAAGACCTTACCATCATGCCTGGAAACTGCTGCAACGACTCAATTCATCCTGGTCAAGAGCCGGGAAATGACAACGCATTGAATGATGAGACTGCACTCAAAACTCGACGGTCATCGGAGCGCTGGGGCAGCGGCGAGCTTCAAGAAGGCGCATTTGACGGCAAGACACGAGCAGCGCGCAACTCGATCGCGTATATTCCCACACCTCGAGCCTCCAGGGGTTTCCACGAACATGACGGGCGGATGGTCTTCGATGACGAGTTCTTTGAGCAGGTGAGGCTGCACAGGCAGCGATCGAGACTCGGCAAATCGGCCAAACGCTTCAGTCTACGCAACCTGCTTGACAGCTTGAGGAGACCGTCTTCAGCTGCACCTCCAGTACGATTTTCCTTCTCACGCACGGCGAAGCAGCTTCGACGGCGTCTACAGTGGCGCATCGGCAACCTGTCTCAAACGATATCACCCGACGGAGAGCTGAACTGCTTTAGAGAGCTCGTAGTCTTTGGCGTCCTAGTTTTCCAGGTCTTCTACATCCCGTTTGCTCCGATTTACCTTAACCATGGTGAAAACTCCCAGCAAAGCATCAATATTACGATGGAGCTGGTACTTCTCGGGCACACCCTGCTCAACTTTAACACGGCCATCTTCGATCCAAGGCGCTTGAGCTTAATTGAGGATCGCCAGGACATTGCTCGAAGATACTTGGGCAGCTCCTTTCTACCAGATTTACTTGGCTCTCTTCCGCTCGAGTTGATCTCGTGGCTTTCGCGTGCAGACGGAGACACTCAAACTTTGGCTGCGGTTCATCCCGGCGCTTACATTGCTGAAAATGTGCTCCGGTTTCTCTGGATTCGGCAGCTTTGCCGACTTGGGAGGTCCTCTTGGGTTCGTGGGACCCAAGAGACGGTAGGCAAAATATGCCAGACATTGTGCGGAGCGCAGATCTCTGTACTCGCAGTATCAGCGCAACTATTTGGCAGGGTTTTCATCGCAGCGCACTACCTCGCGTGCGTGTTGCGCTGCATCTTGAGTTCTTTCCAAGTCGTCGAGGCAAGTTCGGAGACACCGATAGCTTTATACACCCGGGATCTGCTTCAAGTCGTATCAGCACTGTTTGGGGGTGGCTGGGCAACGGGACACCCACAAGCGGACGCGTTCAGCGCCTTCCTCGTGCTTATTGGTGTGATGTTGACTGCTTACATCACGAGCAGAGTGGCGATGGAGGTGCTTCTGGGCGCGTCCAGGAGCAACAAGCAAGCAAACACTCCACCGAGCTCGGATGTGGCTACACTGCCACGAAAAGGCAAAGGCTTTGAGCCCGTTGTCACCTCGGTATCGCAGCGCCGGACACTTTCTCGAAAGCCAAGCAGGCCACTCGGAACGCCTGCTGATCGCATTTCGTTCAACACGCAGCGCTCCGCTTTCTGCGAGTCAGCGGCTCGAACCGATGAGTCGACTTTCTCCAAATGGAGTGAGGCACCACAGGAACCATTGGCGCCTAGTGTAGGCAACATCAGTGAGTCTCCCACCGTTAACCCCAAGCTGCTGGATACAAACACTTCGCCAACTGCAGCGGAACCTGAAATCCTGCAGCTCTTGAAGACGTTCACGAAGACTGTGCAACGCTTGGAAACCAAAGTCGACACGCTCTCGCTCAACAGGACCAGCAAAACTGCAGCCACTACTGTCCCGAAACTGCATCGCTCCAAGTCCGTCCAAGGCGACGGCGGCATGTATCTATCACGAAATCCTGCCGTCTACCCGAGATCGATCAGGTACCAGAGCCAAGAGCGCCAAGTCCCCACGTGATGCCCGAGCGAGATCCTTTCAACGCCCACTGCCCTTATCGATGAAAAAAAAAACTTGAGATTCATTTAGTCATGGTACAAAACCTTCAGATCGATGCCAGGTCTTGCTTTCACTATCCAAAATCTACGTTCCACACATACACACACAAAAACGCATGCCGTATGCCGTATCATAGGTTGACGTGGCGCACCAAAAATAGATGCTTTTCACGTTGCGTAGCCATCATAGCCATCACATTCTGATGCCGCTGCGTCTGCTGCTGCTGTCGGGGCTGCTGCCCGCCCGCGACTGCGAGTCGCTGCTGCTGGTGTGTCGCTCGTGGAGTGCCATTGCGGCCGCGTTGGTGCTCGGCCAGCGCAGCCTCTTGCTCAGCAGCGACGTGTGTCTGCTGCACCGCGTCCCGGGCCGACCCGAGCGTCCGGAGCGACTGCAGGCCGTTCTGCGGCGTCTGGGCGACCGCTTCCCTCGGCTGGAGACGGAGACGTCGCTGCCCGCAGCCACAGACGAGCAGCTGCAGCGCGCGCACGGAGAGGTGTACGTGGACATGGTGGCGCGCATGAGCAGCAAGGTGGAGCGCAGCATGACGGCGCTGGACGCGCTCAGGCGCTGCGAGCTGCTGAGTGAGGACGGAGAGGCCTACGCGGCCTTTGTGGTGCCCAGTCCCAGAGCCAGCAAGATCCCGACGCTCGCCGGCAAGAAGGAGTACTACCAGCAGTACGAGTTCGTGGAGCTGGGCGACGACATGACGCTCATGAGGCACACGCTGGCGGCTGCGCGGGTCGCGGCGGGCGGCGCGTGTCTCGCCGTGGACCAAGTGTTGTCGGAGAATAACGGTTTCCGCAACGCCTTCTGTGCCGTGAGGCCGCCTGGACATCACGCGGAGAGATGCAGGACCATGGGGTTTTGTGTCTTTAATAACGTCGCGGTGGCTGCGCTCCATGCGCTGGAGAAGCACGGACTCAACCGAGTGGCGATCGTGGATGTGGACGTGCATCACGGCAATGGGACGCAAGACATGGCGGACAAGGAGCCGAGGCTGCTCTATGTGTCGATGCACCAGGCCGCGCCGTGCTTCCCGAGCTCGGGCTTTGCCAGTGAGAAGGGGAAGCACGGGAATCTACTGAATGTGCCGCTGCGAGCACGATGCACGGCGCAGAAGTACCGAGAACAATTCACTGCGACGGTGATTCCGCGTGTCCGCGAGTTCTGTCCGCAGTTGATCATCATCTCAATGGGCTTTGACGGCTCGACACGAGACCCCCTCGCCGATTTCCGCCTCGAGGCCTGCGACTTCTACTGGATCACGAAAGAGCTGTGCAAGTTGGCGTGGGAGTGCTGCGATGGCAAGATCGTATCGGTGATGGAGGGAGGGTATCACCTCGGAGCACTCGCAGACGGCGCGGAGCAGCACATGCTCGCACTGATACACAGCTCCTGGCGTCCGGACGGTGTCATCCCCATTGAGGTTCCTCTTTCCGAGAGGCTGCCGAACTAGAAAACAACAACGATATAGAGGACATGTTGCCCGCGGAGAAGCGCATATAGAATCCTGATAAAGTGCATAATAGACGAAGTAAATAGATAGCCACAAGCAATCTCAGGAGCACGTTTGAGTAAGAACGAACCATACATTCACTGAAAATGCAGACATTGATGGATGCAGCACAAGTAGCACAACGACGTCAGGTCACAAGAGCCCAACGCAACTACCTCCGCTCTATGGGCGCGTGCCTGTCGACACCTTCGCGACGCTTGGATAAAGCCACCGCCGTAACAATCGTAAGCCCACCGAGAGCCACTGCCAAGAGCGAGTACTCCTGGGGCAGCCCGAGCCAGTGAGCGAAAAATCCGTTGAAGTCATTGGAGTACATCGCTCTCGTGTGCTTCTTGGACACCTGCAAGCTCTCGATGTCCTTCTGAATCATCTTCGCGGCGATCGGGTGGTACAGCGACTTGCAGTCCTCGAAGATAGTGGCACCCCGCACCACGCCCAGTGTCGCGCACAGGTCACGGAAGAGAGGACGCACGAACTTCATGCGGCCCTGCTCCTTCAAGAAGTCGACGGTGCGGTCCAGCACGCGCAGGTCGCCGGAGCGCAACGCCAGCGTGAACCAGCGGAAGCGCAACTCCGAGTTGTGTGTGGTACTCAAGTGGTGGTGGCCAAACGCATCGATCGCGTCCAAATGGGTCGCTGACAACCGCGCGTGGCTGCCCGTTTGCAGCAGGAGCAAAGTATCCAGCAGCAAAATCCACAGAGAGGCTGGCCACTTGCGGAGCACGCGCGGGTCCGTGACCTTCGCCCACTTCTTGTCGTCCGCTGTCGTCATCATTTTCTCGCCCAATGCTCGCACCTGGCTGATCATCGACGTGTCGAACTTGTTGGTGATCAGCGGCATGCCAATCGAGTAGTACCAGCCATCCCAGTCAATCTGTTTCAGCAGCTCGGGCTGCGCGGCGAAGTGTTTCTCGAAAAAGATGCGGAAATCTTGGGAAGTGAGCGTCTGGAACTTGAACTTCTGGATGTAAGCCTGAGCGAATAGGTCGAACTCCTCCGAGCCGACAACGGTCGACAAGTAGTGGAGGAAGTTGAAGCCCTTCTCATACGGCACTCGAGAGAACACGTCGTCCGGATCAACACCTTCCGACTTAGGAACCAAAGCCGTGTACGGGTGCGACGGTCCGAAGGACTGCACCGCCTCAACCAGTCCACGCATGCCCAAAGCCGCCTTCAAGTCGTACGTTTTGGGGTCATTGTGGATCTTGGCTACAATCTTCCGCTCGAGCCACACAGTCCAACCTTCATTCAACCAGAAGTCACTCCACGTCGCGTTGGTCACCAAGTTGCCCGTCCACGAGTGAGCAATCTCGTGGGCCACAATGTCGGCCAGAGAGCGGTCTCCCGCCAGCAGCGTCGGGGTTACAAACGTCAAACATGGGTTCTCCATGCCTCCGTACGGGAACGACGGGGGCAGACACACGAGGTCGTAAGTACTCCTGGCCCGTGATCTCCTCCGCCGCCTTGAGGAACGCTTCAGTCTGTGCGAACTCATGTGCCGCTCTGGTCACGACCCTCGGCTCCGCCCACACGCGGCTGCGAGGGCTCAACTCCACACTCTCCATCTCTCCGGCAGCAATGGCTAACAGATACGACGGAATGGGTACATCTTGTCGGAAGCTCCACTTCTTGGTCAGCTCGTGCTCGTTGTTCTTCACGTGGCCGTGGGCGATGGCGCTCATGAGCACAGTACACCACTGAGGGACGGTAACAGTAGCCGAGTACGTGAACTTGGCCGCCGGGGTGTCGGGGCACGGCACAACGCTGCGGGCGTGGATGGCTTGGCACTGCGTGAACAAAAATGGATACATTTTTCCGGCTGTCAATTGCGGAGCGAGCCATTGCAGCCCGCTGGAGCTCGATGACGTGCTGTATGTCACCCGCACGGTCGTCGAGAGGATTGAAATGGGTACACTTAATGCACTGCCGAACACCGGGTGCCGCTCGGCCAGGCTGAAGTTGTGTACCGCCACACCATCGACCGAGACGCCCTCGATACTGAGGTGGTGCGTGTCGAGGATCAGCACGGGAGACTTGGCTGTGCCCGTGTAGGCGAACGTGTACTCGGCGAAGCCGCGCAGCTGCTGGCGCTCGAAGTCGATGGCCAGCGTCCACTGCAGATGCCGGTACAGCACGTCGTCCAGGCTGGCGAAGGACTGCGAGCGCAGCGAGGGGGAGGGCTTCGCATCCGGCTCAGGTGCAGCCATCTTGACCGCGATACTCTCGTTTTGACTGGATGACTAAATTTGGATTGTTTGGTGTGGTGTACATTAACTAGTGTGGCAAACGTGAACTGTAGCCAAAACGAAGTGATCTTGAAGCGACGCGAGACTGCTGCACTTGCCGTTGAAGCTTGCTAGAACAATGATTCCGCCGCAGAGTTCGCTGGTGAAGTACAACAACCCGATCCTTGTGAGCTCTAGCAAGGACAAGGCTCTGCTCAAGGGCAAGAAGCCTGCCAAGTTCGGCAACCAAGCTCCGAACGGCGATGCCAACGGGTCGGGGGCTCCACCAGCGCCCAAGCCGACGGTTTTCACGGGCAGCAACACGCAGAGCGGGAACCCGACGGAGGACATCCTGAACTCGATCCTGCCGCCGAAAGAGTGGACCGAGGACGGGCAGCTCTGGGTGCAGTACGTGTCGAGCACGCCAGCCACGCGCCTGGATGTCGTAAACCTGCAGGAGCAGCTGGACCTGAGACTGCAGCAGCGGCAGGCGAGGGAGACCGGCATCTGCCCCGTCAGAGAGGAACTATACGCGCAGTGCTTCGGTAGGTGGACGGACCGCGGAGCTCAGTGCTAATTGCTTGTATTCTATCTAACCTCTCACTGCCCTATCAGACGAATTGATCCGTCAGATCACGATCAACTGCTCGGAGCGTGGGCTGCTGCTGCTTCGGGTGCGTGATGAGGCGCGCATGACGATTGCCGCGTACCAGACGCTGTACGAGTCCAGCATTGCCTTCGGAATGCGCAAGGCGCTCATGGCGGAGCAGAAGAAAATGGAGGCGGAGCAGCAGATCCGCACCCTCGAGGGCGAGCTGCGTGACCTGACGTCGCAGATTGAAGAGCTCAGTACACGATGCGAAGCGGTAGCGCGACGTGAAGAGGAAAAGAAGGCGCAGGACGAGAAGAAGCACCAGGAAGAGGTGGAGCTGCTGCGAAAGAACAACGACCAGCTGAAGGCCAGTCTCGAGAGCATGCTTGCCGCCCCCAAGTAGGCCTCGTCGACTTCGTTTCAGCAGCTTCTCTTCATCTATTCAATATATTGATGAAACTTATCAGACTTTCTATCATGCTCATCGTTCCACCTGTTGCCAAACGGTCTCTATCGCTCGTGTCATGATTCGACAGCACCCGAGGGGGAGGGAGGGAAGAACGTATGACCAAGAGGGCCACTACAGCACGATACTCACGCTGCCATTAATCATTGCAGCGGTAAGGTCCCTCTTTCAGCAAAACTAATGCAGTAGGAGACGTCGACGTAGAGGTCCTTGGTCTACAGCAGTCAGTTGTCAACTGACTCAGTTGACAATATTCAAGACGACCAGCACGGCCCAATGGGCAAGTGCTTCACCGTGAATCCCTTCGCGAGGCTGGAGCTCACAGCGGAAGACCGAGCGCAGCTCGTCCAACTCGCGGACGAGCTAGTGCTCGCCAAGTTCGAGGAGTATGAGGAACACTTGAACAACCAGAAGCAGGTGGACCTCAACCGGTGGAAGAAGTTCACCAAGTCCGGCCCGACGACGACGTACCTCGAGCGCAAGAACTCCAACCGGGACTCGAAGCTGCCCGCCCTCTTGATGGTGGGCCCGTTGCCTGGCACTCTGGACGAGAACATGTTCGGACTTGTGAGTCCGACGATCGAGGCCATGCGCATCAAAACCTCCTACCTGAGCGACTTCAGTGGCGCGGCTGTACTTTCGACCATCATTGAGCCGACAGTGGAGGAACCGTTCCGCTCGGTGGTGATCAAGTGGATGGAGATCGACATCCCCGGAGCGTCCATCGGACTCGTGCGCAACAGAGACTACGTGTACCTCGAGAGCTCCGGCATTTTACGGCTCAAGAACGGCGAGCGCGTGGGTTACCACCTTTTCCACTCCGTCAGCTTCCCACAAGCTCACGAGCTACCGAACCGGGTTCGCGGCAACATGTCGTTCTGTGGCATGTCAAAGACATCGTCTCTTGTAATGCAGTCGACTTGGGCCTGGACTTCCACCGACCAAAACGCATCTGCTCCGACTGTTTCTTCAGCATCCGATTCACATCCTGCCTTCAGCAATAGATTTTTAAATCTCGTTTAAAAACGATCTCGACCCAATTGGGAATCGGATTTATTCGGCGTCGCGGGGTGTGAAGCTCTCTCGATCAGTTGACGAGTTTCTTCCGCTCGCTTACGATCCCGTTCGCGAAGTTCTTCCGCCAGATTTTGCCACATTCGACGACTCTCTTCTTGGATCCTCGTCAGAGCATCGTGTAAGCGCTTATGTTCGAGTTCCTGATCGCCACCAGCCCTCTTCGGGACCACCACCAGCACGTGAACTTGGCCCTCATCCGGTCGAAAATTCTTTCCAAAATGCTTGTCATTGTTGATCCACAACGTGGGCTCCATCTGCTCAAAGCCTTGGAGGCGTCCTTGCGTATCGAGCGTCTCAGCTGCCGCTCCAGCCGCCGTCAGCCACGCGCCGTCCGCCGTCTTTGCCAGGAAGAGCAGCAGCTCATCCGCATCGCACGTGATCTCCTTCTTTATCGCCTCCATGCTCCACCGACTGATCCGCGTCGATGTCCACAGAGAACGCGCTCCTCCTCCCCAACGATACAACAAAAGGCTTTACTATCTTTTCTTCAAGCCTGCAGATTCTGGAATGAGGAAAGCGGATCGTATCGTGTCGGACTTTACACTCAACCAATGGTGCGTGGACGGTTGATGGACAGATACAGCAACACCATACTCATTTGTGGTACAGAACAACTTCGAAGAACAGTGCCACTTCAACGCATCCGATAGATAATAAGTATTCGACGCCTAGAAGCGCTCAACGCTACCCGAGTATCCTGTCATGGTGCTTTCCGAGCACGTGCTCATCTCGGAGCCGACCGACATGCCGTACATCGGTGGCGCGATGGACTTCTTGTAGACAAACTGCTCTCGTGCTGCCTCCTGCGTGTCCATCTGAGTGGCCTCCACCACGCATTTCACGCAGAACGTCACTTTGTGCTGAGCGAGCGTCAGATCCGGCGCGATGAAGCTCAGCTTCTTGACGATCTTGCACGAGCTGCACACGGCGCCGAAGCACAACTTGCACGTCCTGACCGCGCCTCCAAGCTTCGACTGCTTGACTCCCTTGGTACACGTCACGCAGAACGGCTTGAAGGCTGGCGTTCCCTTCTCGCGCGCTTCGCCTTGCCGTTGCTCCAGCAGCCACGCCAGCTTTTTCATCTGCCCGCAGTACGAGTACTTCAAGCCGGCCATCGTGGCCTGCACCATGCCCATGACAGCCATAGCACGGATCATGTCACCACCCGGGTCCATGATGCCCGTACCGCGGCAGTCCGTCCTGTCGGGACCTTCCTGGTGGAAGATGCCGCAGAACGACATGTTGCCGCGCACGCGGTTGGACAGCTCATGGATCTGGGGGAACGTGACCGAGTGGAACAAGTGATAGCCCACCCGCTCGCCGTTCTTGAGGTGGAGGATGCCCGTACTCTCGACGTACACGTAGTCGCGGTTGCGGACCAACCCGATGGACGCGAGGGGGATGTCGATCTCCATCCACTTGACTACGACGGAGCGGAACGGGTCGTCCACCGTCGGCTCAACGACCGAAGCCAGCACGGCCGCGGCGTTGAAGTCGTTGAGATACGAAGACTTGATCCGCATGGACTCGATCGTCGGGTTGACGATGCCGAACATGTTTTCGTCCAGGGACCCGGGCAGCGGCCCTACCATGAGCAGCTGCGGCAGCTTGGAGTTGGGACTCGACGACTTTCGCTCGAGGTACGACGTCGTGGGGCCCGACTTGGCAAACTTCTTCCAGCGCTTGAGGTCCACCTGCTTGCCGATGTTCAGGTGCTCCTCGTATTCCTCGAACTTGGCCACGATGATCTCCTCCGTGATCTCCACGAGCCTCGCGCGGTCTTCGGCCGTGAGCGTGAGCTGCCCGAACGGGTTCAAGGTGAAGCGCTGGTCGTTCATCTGGAACTTGGTCGAGGTGTGAACGACAGCGCGAAAGGATAAGTGACCGGGGAGATGAACGGGTCACGCACGACACAGTAAGTTAGAGCTGGTTGTGTTGCATGTACGGAAGAGGACCCCATCCTACAAGTGAGCCCGTGCATCCCAGCTGCTGGCTGACTTTTTCCTCTGCGTTTTGCTTACCATGGGCTCCGTTGCGGGGGCAGTCAACCTCGGTTGCCAGCGCCCTCAGCTGCGGGACCAGCGGCGCTGGATTATCTTCATAGCAATAGAGGGGTTCTTATGACGACCAAGATCAGAGTCACGAACTTATCAGCCACGTGGAGAGGGCAGAAGTTTTAGCTGGACCAGGCCGCTTAGTGCAATTTTTGTCATCAGTCTCTGGCCTCAAGCTGAAGGTGAACTCGTTGAGTCTTGAGCATCTCCGTGGGCAAATGTGAACCAGCAACTTCAAGGCACAAGACGCTCCAATGCCTTTATATTTTAACTACCTACCTAACCAATGTGCGCTATAAAAACAACGTGAACACTGCCCTCCACGTATCAAGATAAGCTCACAGTGCTTTCCGAGCACGAACTCTGGTCCGACGCGACCGACGAGCCATAGGCACTTGGCTGGACAAGCTTCTTGTAGACGAACTGCTGGCGCGCAGCCTCCTGCGTGTCCAAGCGGGTGGCTTCGACCAGACACTTGACGCAGAAGTTCACCTTGCGCTGCGCTAGTTCCAGATCTGGCGTGATGAAGCTCAGCTTCTTGGGGATCTTGCACGTGCCGCACAGGGCCCCGAAGCACAACTTACACGTGCTGCTCAACCGTCGAAAGTCGCTCAACTTCGACGTTTTGATCTGCTTCATACACGTCACGCAGCCAGGTCCCGCGACGGGGGTACCTCGCTCCTTGGCTTGACCATGCTTCTGCTCCAGCAGCCACGCCAGCTTCTTCATCTGCCCGCAGTACGCGTACTTGAGCCCCGCCATTGTCGCCTGCACCATCCCCATCACCGCCATCACGCGGATCATGTCGCCACCGGGGTCCATAATGCCCGTGCCACGGCAGTCCGTCCGGTCCGGACCTTCCTGGTGGAAAATGCCACAGAACGACATGTTGCCGCGAACCCGGTTCGGTAGCTCGTGAGCTTGTGGGAAGCTGACGGAGTGGAAAAGGTGGTAACCCACGCGCTCGCCGTTCTTGAGCCGTAAAATGCCGGAGCTCTCGAGGTACACGTAGTCTCTGTTGCGCACGAGTCCGATGGACGCTCCGGGGATGTCGATCTCCATCCACTTGATCACCACCGAGCGGAACGGTTCCTCCACTGTCGGCTCAATGATGGTCGAAAGTACAGCCGCGCCACTGAAGTCGCTCAGGTAGGAGGTTTTGATGCGCATGGCCTCGATCGTCGGACTCACAAGTCCGAACATGTTCTCGTCCAGAGTGCCAGGCAACGGGCCCACCATCAAGAGGGCGGGCAGCTTCGAGTCCCGGTTGGAGTTCTTGCGCTCGAGGTACGTCGTCGTCGGGCCGGACTTGGTGAACTTCTTCCACCGGTTGAGGTCCACCTGCTTCTGGTTGTTCAAGTGTTTCTCATACTCCTCGAACTTGGCGAGCACTAGCTCGTCCGCGAGTTGGACGAGCTGCGCTCGGTCTTCCGCTGTGAGCTCCAGCCTCGCGAAGGGATTCACGGTGAAGCGCTTGTCCATTGTCTCGGAAATGAGCAATTGGTCTAAACCGCTTGTCTTGTCGATGGGAGAGGTACTGTACTGTGTACGACAGGATAGGGGAGGCAGGTATTTACCAGCTGACGGTTGCAGTTGCTATGGCATTAGCAATGCAACCACGACCTGGAGATTGACAGGATAAGGGACAGATGCTGGCGACTGGAGTCTGCGTCACCTTTTGACCAGCGCCAGCGATCTTATCGCACTTCGTCCTGGTCCGCCTCAACCACAAAGTCAACTTCAACGCTGATGACCAATGAAACCTGTCGAGCTTCGCACCAGTCGCCATGGCCTGTGCCTTGAGGAGGTCGTCACACAGTTTGCTTTAAAGTGCCTACACTACAACAATGGGTTTCATTTCAACGGTATCCATGAGTGGCTGGGTATCAAGGTAATGCTAAAGTGAACCTTGAGATCAGGACGAACTGTCCGAGCTCACACTCATCGTGGAGGTGAGTAGAGTTCCACAGTTCGGCGGCAACTCAACGGGCTCCTTGTGTACGAACTGCTGTCGCGCAGCTTCCAGTGTATCCATTTGGTTGGCCTTCACCAAGCACTTGACGCAGAAATCCACCTTCCGTTTGGACAACTGTAGATCCAGGGTAATAAAACTCAGCTTCTTGGCCACCTTGCAAGACCCGCACAATGCTCCGAAGCAGAGTTTACAGGTCGTGTTGGTTTTGCCCAGTTTCGAGCTTTTGATCGGCTTGGAGCACGTCACACACGTCGTGCCGACCTCTGGAGCCCCGCGTTCTCTTACCCTCGCGTGCTTCTGCTCCAACAGCCACGCCAGCTTCTTCATCTGCCCGCAATACGAGTACTTAACCCCCGCCATTGTCGCCTGCACCATGCCCATGACCGCCACCGAGCGAATCATGTCACCTCCCGGGTCCATGATCCCCCTGCCACAGCAGTCCGTCCTATCGGGTCCCTCTTGGTGGAAAATGGCAGAACGACATGTTGCCGCCGATCCGGTTGGGGAGTTTGTGCGTCTGTGGGAAATTAACGGAGTGCAGCAAGTGGTAGCCCACTTGCGGGGGGGGGGGGCTTGACCGCTATTCTCGGGATTGTCCCGCGACCAATCGTCACCAAATGCCAGCATCGACCAGCTGTCCTTCATAATGTCCCGTGGGTCCCGACTTGTCCTAAAGTGACACACCCTCTATTAATAGTTAAACTAAATGAACCCACACGGGGAGGTTCATGACATCTATCCGCATATCTGAAGTGGCGGACTCGTCAGCATGCCCCACAATACGAGAGGCGGCGCGTGCGTACGCATGCAAGCTAAGGAGAAGACGCTTGTCGCGACGAGGAAGAAGGCGGGCCGAGGGTAGCAAGTCTTTGAAGGTGAGAAGCTCACTGTTGCATCGCTTTATTCTGCGGCATCATGACGTGTGTTACTGTACTATTATATGATGTAGGCGCATGGCCAAGATAACGATGGATAGCAAAACCTGGTTGGAAGTATCGCTACAGGGCGCCTCCAGCCTAACGACGGCGACTGTGAGTACCGTCGCTAGCTGCGGCTAATGCTGAAGCGCAAGCACTGTCCCGTGTTGTACCTCGACTCAGACGAGGACTTCAACACGTACACCAAGCAGCTCCAGACGTGCGCGCTCGGCTCCTGACGCCCTGACGTCGAGGTTTGCTCGCTGCACTTAAGGTACTGTGATATTTACTACCGTAGTCTAATAGTTCTAAGCGGACTAATTGATCAGTTGTATTCCTTTGTTCTGTGTTGTTGGTCATGTAGAGCCTTCCTAAGCTGACGTAAAATATGCACTGATTGATTTCCCACTCTGAGCTTTGTACTTACAGTACTTGTTGTTGCCTGATGGACCGCATCTTCGTCTCAACTCGTAGCAGCTCTTACACGCTGACTGTTTTGAGTGCTTCGCAGGGACGTCGCCCCTGTGCTGATCACTGCTGCGGGAGTCTTTTGGTGCGTTTGGCTGTGTCTGGATTGTCATCTTCTTGCGCGGAGAGGGTTCTTCGGAGTAATCGGGAGCAGCTGCATCGGACTGAGCTGCTGGTGACACCTTCCGCTTTTTGGACCGATTTTCAAGGCGACAGCGGAGAGCATTGATGGACAGTGCCGACGCAGGTTTGATACGCTGAAATTTCTCGAAGATCATCCTCCATTTTCCAGGTGTATTTTTTTCAAACGAATCCGCAGAACTTCGCAGGTGCTGTTTGGTCCCAGCATCCATGACTTCGGGCAGCACACGAGGGGGCCCTGGTACTGCAGCGACTACAGACGCAATCGTTTCACCGTTCGTGACAGCGCTTTTAGAACTAGTCTCTGGAGCCAATTGCGCGTTGGCAGCGAGAAGTACAGGCTCGCGCAACGCGGTACCACTCGCCTCGCTGTTCGACAACTTCAGGCCTACTTGTAGACGAGGTGAAGGTGCATTCGCCACTTCGGTCGGCTCTTGACCTTCATTATCACGATTTCGGCGCAACTGTCGTTTACCTAGTGACTCCCAACGCTTTTTCAACCAGGCGTCGACTTCGGTCTAATTTCCGGACAAACACACGACGCCAATTGGTACACATTGTAGTACACTTGCTTCACCTTCTTAATACCAGACGAGTAGCGTAGCATCGTGAATAGCTCCTCCTGCAACACTCGTTCATCTCCGGACGAGGGGCTGTCATCAACAGCTTTCACGGTGATAGGGATCATGGCTGTACTTGCTTTTGACGCGGGGCTTCGTGCTATCTGCTCATCAACGACCGACAGGCGACGAGAGATTGCTCTAAAACTTCGCTTTCGAAGATCGAGCGCGGGATTGTCGATCTGGTCGACAGCACAGTTAAATATTATAGTCGCGACCACCTCGCACGTATTCCACGGTTGACTCGACGCCAATTGCTCCCCTCGAATCTCCTTCAGCAAGGAGAACTCGTGTGAGGAGAATTCATTTGTGGATTCGTATTCTGGCTCCAAACGAAGAAATGTTACAAACTCAGCTCGAGAGGTCTGCTTTCGATTCACACGTGAGCGCACGAGAAGCCGCCGGATATCTGTAGTCGGAGCATGCTGATCTAGCATCCTCCCTTCGGCTCTATCAGTTCGCAGGCGGATTAGATCACTCAGTCTTTCCCATGGTCTGTTCTCGTAATTGCTGGATACTCCAGCACGATACGACGGATTACACAAACTGGAACCTTGGCGCGTAATTAGCTCGTACATGAACTCCAGCTGAGGAGAGGCAGGAAATTACTCGCGACCCAAAACAGCAGCAAGGCACATCGTCAAGAAGTCAAACTCAAAAAATTCAGGATTTCTTCCGAACTTGGCCCCTACTTTCAAATTGTGCTAGACACCACAGCATTAGATACGCATATAGTAGAATATGATCTGCATGCAATTACCTGCAAGAGGAAGATGTCGAGTATACGAAGGCCCGTTTCGTACGATACAATACGATCTAAGAGCTTGCGGAGTTTGGAATGAACTGCTTCGAGCTGACTAGTCGAAAGTACTCGTACCCTCCCGCCATTCTCGACGTATTCAGCCTCGCCAACAAATAAATCTCCTACTCGGATCTGGTTCAGGTTGCTAGCTATGCATCCTTGCCACTCAGGCTCTTTGACATTGAGGCTTGAAGCTGGAATCTTGCCCAGAGCGGTTGAAAACAGTGTAGCCATTTCTTCGGGCTCTCGTATTTTGTGGTCGGCCGTGTAAATAGCAGAGGACAGCTCAGTCGCTAGCCATCCCCGCATGACGTGATCCTTTACCTTCTCTGTGAACCTTTGGATGACGTGGAAAGGGTCTTGTTTGACCACCAATGCACCGTTGAAGACCTTGTCAATGAGGATTCGTGTGCCGTTGGCGTGGTCGGTTATACAGAAGCGAGATTCAAGTGGTTTTGACGCTAATTGCGCGGCCACAGGTTTTAGAATTGCCGCAGTTTCAGCGTGATTTTCTGAGTACGTCAGGCCACGAGCAACAATTTGACCTATTTCATTTTGGGCAAGTAGTAGCATACGTACCCGCTTGATTGATCTTTCTTACCTTGAGCACCAAATACTTTGAGTTTGCTGCAAAACTTTTGCGAATGATCTAGACGAATCACTCGCTTGATTTTGCACTGTGTCATATGGGCTTCAAGGAAACTTCAGACTGGGTCAGCCATATCTTTTGAAGAGCCTCATCATCAAGACATGCATTCGCTTCCATGTATTGCTCCAATGACACTAGCATAGGAGGCGAATAGTTTGCTTCTTTTTGCCTTCGCTTCTCCACCTCGACACCTGCAACAGATAAGAGAGCATAATAGCGTCTCTGACGACAACGGGTGACGCTGCTGCTTGCCCCAGATATGCCTCTTGTCGTTAGCATGCTATCATAAACAAGGTTAAACAGCTCGCGTGATACACCCGTTTGATAGGTTAGAAGGTAAGGGAATGCTAGCAAGAGTTCTGGTGATGATGCTAGATACTCATCGTCGATAGTTGAAAATGTGCGTGTTGCATGAGGCCCTGTACAGCGATACCTTGCATAATACAAAACAGTCTTGTGATCGACGTCGTGTACGTACCGCTGCAAATACTCCTTCACTTTTGGCTCACACAGACACCCCTCAACAACGCATTTTGGAACGCGGCTAGTGCGAAGGCACTCCGGGGCCCAGGCGAGCGTAGGGTGGCCGTGCCATGAGGAGAAAAGTGAGTCCTTTTTCTTCTCGGGAAGCTGCAATTCAGGAGGGAACTTCCTCAGGGCGATGGCGTCCCGCACAGCAACGAGTGCTGCGGAGGCCTTCTTGCCCATGTGAAAACAAATAACGACTGTTCCCAATAAAAAAAGCGGCGGCCCGGGAATAGGGGTTAAGCCCCACTTGCTCGCCATTCTTGAGGGTCTGGTGCCCGTACTCTCGAGATACACGTAGTCGCAGTTGCGGGCGATACCAATGGACGCTCCGGGGATGTCAAACTCCATCCACTTGACCACGACAGAGCGGAATGGCTCCTCCACAGTCGGTTCTACGACGGAATCGAGTACAGCCGCAGCACTGAAGTCGTTTCAGTAGGACGACTTGATCCGCATCGACTCGAGCGTTGGGCTCATCAACCCAACCATGTTTTCGTCCAGAGTTCCAGGCAGCGGGCCGACCATGAGCAGCTCTGGGAACTTGGAGTCCGGGTTGGAGCTCTTTTTCTCGAGATACGTCGTCGTGGCGCCTGAAGTCGCGTGTTTCTTCCATCGCGTGAGATCCACGCGCTTGTCGTTGCTGAGATGCTCTTTGTACTTCTCGAAGTTTGCCAGGACGAGGGTGTCGGCGATACCCACGAGCTTTTCTCGGTCTTCGGCGGTCAGCGCCAACTCCTCGAAGGGGTTCACGGTGAGGCGCTTGCTGCTCATTGCGCTCGACGTGCCGACGTCGACGTCGATGCCAGCGCACGAATTGAGCAATCTAGCTGGCTGCGGGCTGCACGCCAGTGCTGCAGGAGGGAACAGCAAATCGCGGATGGCACTCCACCCGGTAAGCGACGTGACAAACAACTTGTTTGTCACGTTGTTTGAAACAATGCATGCGCATTGCGCGCATCCAGCTGAACCATTTTCAACGTTGATGCCGCCGCGTTACAGACTGCGCTCAAGGAGCGTGAGCGGACTCTAATTCACAGTCAGTAGCAGGAGCTGGGTGAACTGGGCAACAACGTACAGCATCATTCGGCATCAATGCGCGTTGCAACATCCATTCAAATGCTTCAGGGTTGTCGTACGTGTGCCCCCATCGGAAGCGTACTTCTAAGGTGACGAAGCTAGCTTCCCACGCAGCACGACCACTCCTTCGCCCTTCAGCAGCACTCGTCCAGCCCCAGCAGCCACCAGGTCTAGCGTGATGAATCCACCGCGAACGGGGGTGAATTGCTGCGCCCTGATCGTGGTCTTCTTGAGCAGCGGGGCCCAATACGGACCGAGCGCGCAATGCGCGCTACCCGTCACTGGGTCTTCGTTCACGCCCACGCGAGGCCCGAAGAACCGGCTTTGAATGTCCACGTTCGACGCGCTGTCCTGTACCATTTCAGCCGTGACAGCGAAGCCTCGTACGTCGAATTCCCCTAGCTGCACGAAGTTGGGCTTGATGGTGGCGAAAGCTTCGGGCTGAAGGCGAACGAGGAGGTCCGTCGTGGCTTGCTTCACATCGACGATGGCTTCACGCTGCACTCCTAGCGCCGATGCTACCTCGTCCATGGGAAAGTTGGGCTCGACAGGCTCAGCTGGCTGCTCGGGGAAGTCCATCAGCACGAGTAGCTTCTGCGTGTCCGGCTGCACTTCGAAGCGACACACCAACACGCCACTCAGCGTGTGGAAGTGGAGAGTGTGGCTCGTGGTCACATGACCGGCGTCGTGCAAGGCGAACGCCGTAGACAGAGTGGCATGTCCACACAACTTCACTTCAGCGCCTACAAAACAAACACAGAACAAATTCACCACCTTTTTAGCAACACAACCATAAGCGAGATACAATCTGTGCAAGTTTGTTACCTGGCGTGAACCAGCGCAGATCGTACTCAACGACATCCTCCGAGCTCTTGGCATCGCGACCACGAGGAGCGGCATACGCTGTCTCGCTCAAGTTGTTCTCAATAGCCACTCGCTGCATCCACTGCGTCGCCTCGGGCTTGTGGAACGCAGCCGGCGACAGCAGCACCACAGCCGCCGGGTTGCCCTGAAACGCCTCGCTCGTGAATGCATCCACCTAAAGCACGCATCACAAGTCAGCAACAACAACACCTTTCCACAATGATCCTTATCCCTCACCTGGATCATTGGCGGACATCTCGCCGCTTGGCAGTCCAGCTCGAGCTCGAACCACGGGTCTTGGCCGTGCACCACAGGCGACAGCCTCGTGACGGAGAAGCCGCAGCCCACGTAGAACTTGACTAGGTACGCCTTGGCGATCATCATGATGCGCGTCACCTGCGGCTGCAAGTCGCACACGAGTCTCACGTAGCGCTTGAGCATCTGCGCGGCCAGTCCGCGACGACGGAAGGCCGGGTCCACCACCACCGAGTGGATGCACAGCAGCGAGCCGTGCGGGTCGTGCTGGCTCATGGACTCGTCGTCCAGCTCGTGCCTGGCGGTCAGCGTGCCATTGACGAAGCCCACGAGGGTCTCGGAGTCCCCATTAGTCGGCAGGTACGCGGCCCAGAAGAAGGCGCCGGCGTTCTGCTGCCGGAAGCGGATGCCCGACTCGCTGGCGGCTTCGTCCGCGGGGTACGAGGCGGCCTCGAGGGCGGCGACGCGCTGGATGTCGCGCTCTTCGGTGAGCAGAGCGAGTCGGAGGTGGCTGGGAGACGGCATTTGGTCAAGTGATCCTATGGTTGATCATCATGAGTGACATGCTTGTGAAGTAGCGTTAGACGACTGAAGTGACAGTTTGTTGTCACTTGAATAATGTATGAGGAAGGTGGTGTGGTCTACACATGTGTAAAACTCAAACGCTCGCAACAAACGACCTAACCGGCACCACGAATGTTTTCTGGTGGCGAGGGCGGAATGCTGTCATGGTGCGGCGACGATTCTAATGGCTTTAATGGGGTATGAGTGGTGGCCCCGCGTATTAATTTCCGACATGTGGCCATCACTTGGAAGCTTCGCACAAACTTTTAGAACTACACTGTACTATCCTGTCTCAAGCTCTGGTGGCGGGAAGCAAATGCTGAGCGCCTGTACTGTATACTATCATCTTCCTCCTACACGTACGTTGAAGACCGATGGCGCCATTGTATCGCTGCTCAATGATTATACTGTACTGTACACATTACATATTGTACAACGAAGTTTGCGGGATTTGTTCCAGCATGGGTCAGGAATGGGACGTGGGTCAAACTAATAGGGGGAGTCGAACCTGGAAAATCCCTCCCAAAAAGTAAGCCAAGGGATTCCCAATATCTGAGCAAGAAAATGACCAAAAGATAAGCAAAAACTGAGCGATACGGGGGTAGTCAGAAATTGCTCAATAAATGTGAGATCGCACTTAGAGAGATACGATGGCCCTTCCCGGCGTAGGTGGCGAAGCCGAGAGGGCGAAGCAGGAAGGGCTACGGCTCGGGCGCGCTAGAGCAGTATCCACAGCGCAAACACCCGCAGTAGCGTGCGCGCCCTCGATGGTATTCTCGGAGGTGGTGTTGGCGGCCGCTAGGGAGAGCCTAGCGAAGTAAGCACGCGACAGCAGAACATACGCAACACTCATGCTGCGGGTCTCGTATAGCTAGCTTTCATGCCCTCGCAGACAGCTTGGAGAGCGCCCCACTGTCTACGAGTCGACACCTAATGCGCACACACCTACGGACAGTCCTTGCATGTTCATGCCTGCGGCCGCCTGCGGCTATGGCGTCGCGGACGAGAGTTATGCTTCACCTAGGCGAGCTCGCAGCACCCCGATCCGAGACCAGAAGGTGTGGGGGGCTAAGTATGCTTTCGCAACGTCGAACTTGAACTTAGAAATAAGCAGCTCATTGCACAAATAAGCCACCTCTGGAGGTGGCTTACTTCGGAAATGAGCAGAAAATTCCCAAAAAGTAAGCACCGTTTTTGCCAGGTTCGACCCCCCCTAATAGTTTGACCCTGTATAGTTTGAAACTATACAGATTCTCTGTACGAAATCTACACTTTTGGGGTCAAAACATACAGGTAAAATACTGTCACCCTGCTAGCGCTCCAACCAACCCTTCCTACTTGGGGCACAAAACCCTACCGCGCTTACGCGCGGGGATCGGCTCGCTGCGCTCGCTTAGGGCGACCCTATTAATACCGCGCTTCGCGCGGGAATCGGCACGCAAGGTGTTATGTATATTCATGGCAGCTGAAAGCGTTCGAGCTGCTCGACGCTTGCACGGACAACCGGGATTAGCGAAAGGAAGTGCTTAAAGCCGTAATCTCGCTTATCCAATCTCCGCTAAATCGTCATTTGTGACTGTACCGTATCCAAACTGCAGTGCAGAGTTCGGGTGTCCTCAACTCGTGTACTGTAACCGACCGACACCAACGTGAAAATGCTCGGTTGTACATGTAGTTATGCCCGCCAACGTTATCTGCCGCTGTCGGACCTTGGCCCCACCGAGAGATCCCCTTCATAATCAAGAGCTACGTAAGGTAACCTTGGCCACGCAGCACTTGGTCAGTGAGCAAGACGACCGAGCCTGCCTATCCAAGATTACAGCGAGACACCTTCCTCCTGCCTCCTCATTGCTGGGCTCGTTTCCCGTCTCGACAATTCCGGAGCCGCTACAGTGTACTGTACGGTAGCGTGGCCCTGTGGTGCTACGTACAGTAAACTTCAAACTCGCCTTACCACTCGAAGTGAGTGGCGTCACTTCTCAGCGGAGACCGCATAAATTAGCGGCAGCTCGCTCCTTCCTGTTGTCGGCTTGCCTTACCGTCCACCCACCAGAGCCCACCGACTGCTGAAACGGCAGCAACAGGCACAATAGACCTTAAAACGAGTTTGTCAGCGCTCTATCAGACTCTTAGCACTACACGATTTTGCTACGATACACTTGTCGAAGACTGAGGTCGTTCCAACCGAGATTAGCTACTCGCTATTGAAGGTGATCTTCGTTAAATACTTTAGCAAGTCCGAATAGCTTAGCTCGGGGCGTAGGATTGATCTAATCGGTAGTTTGGCGCTATATCGGAAATTTCACAATAGACCTGGGAAAATGCTCAATGACTTCGCAACCACCCAGTACGCTGTACTTGTCGGTCAAACTGGACACTTCTGGCCTTACTTGGCGCCGGTCTCGACATCACCGGCAGTGGCGCCGAGTCCACTTGTGTACTTAAGTAGCCTGGTTAACTAACAAACGACATGCATGCATACAGTGGAGCTCGAAGAAGCAGTCGACAGTTGCCTGGTTAATTCAGCTCAATGAAGCCCAGCCTGCACGGCGTGCGTCTGCTGCTAGCCTGCCGCGAGCTTCGATGCGAAGAAGCGTGACCGCAAGCGTTGCGGTCCCCATCCGCAGCATGTTCCGCATCCGTCGCGACATCGAAGGAGTAGGTGCAGGAGGGGTGATAATGACGCGACAGTGTTTAGCATCTTAAATAAGTGAGTCTAAGTAGTCTACCCGAAGAGATTAAGCGACTTTATGTGTGCCATGCACTCGATTAGAACCGAGTATAGTCGTAAAATACTGAGTGACTTCGGAAATATCAAATCTCCGTTGCTTTGTGGCTTTCCCCACCATTTCACTTTGCAACGAGCCAAATCACTGAGTGGGCACAAATACAACAACGAATTTCGCAATAGATCACCTACTCGGTTTGAGTTCTATTAGAACGGATGAGGACCGCAACGCTTGCGGTCACGCTTCTTCGCATCGAAGCTCGCGGCAGGCTAGCAGCAGACGCACGCCGTGCAGGCTGGGCTTCATTGAGCTGAATTAACCAGGCAACTGTCGACTGCTTCTTCGAGCTCCACTGTATGCATGCATGTCGTTTGTTAGTTAACCAGGCTACTTAAGTACACAAGTGGACTCGGCGCCACTGCCGGTGATGTCGAGACCGGCGCCAAGTAAGGCCAGAAGTGTCCAGTTTGACCGACAAGTACAGCGTACTGGGTGGTTGCGAAGTCATTGAGCATTTTCCCAGGTCTATTGTGAAATTTCCGATATAGCGCCAAACTACCGATTAGATCAATCCTACGCCCCGAGCTAAGCTATTCGGACTTGCTAAAGTATTTAACGAAGATCACCTTCAATAGCGAGTAGCTAATCTCGGTTGGAACGACCTCAGTCTTCGACAAGTGTATCGTAGCAAAATCGTGTAGTGCTAAGAGTCTGATAGAGCGCTGACAAACTCGTTTTAAGGTCTATTATTGAACGCTGTACGAGGCTTCACGCACTCGCACCCAACAGAGTTGTGGCCATAAAATACCAGGAGAAGGAGCACCTCGCTCACGCTCTCCTCTCCATGCGCAGCCAGCCATCGTGATGGACTTATCCATAGTATCCATGGAGAGGCTTCAGTCTCTATGCGCTCGCCTCACTCGGCTGTCCTGCTTGAAGCAGTCTGCTTGGCCATCAACCGCAACGCCTGCAGTGATTGCAGTGAGGCGAGGTGTCGATCTTTGCCCGTGCGACTTGTTTCTGCCATGCAGCTGGCGCCGCCGCGACTTGTTTCTTGCCTGCCTCAGCCTGGGGTCGTGCCATCCTGGCGTTCAATTCACTTGCCGTCACTATGGACCAGCGGCGTCACAACCGTGCCATGCCGATTTGGGCCCAAATCGGATGGCGTTGCGTGCACACATGTAATGGACCTCTTCGCCAAAGAACCGAGACCTGCTCCACGTTTCTCCCCGAAAAGTGCGCGCGTCCGATGCCTGCTCATCAGTGTCGAATTTGCGCGTGCAGCAGAGCTCTCAGTCGCAGTCGAGCGGAACGATGGCGGGCGGCAGTCGCTTCACCGTGAACCCGTTCCCGGAGCTGGTGCTCACGGCCGAGGACCGCTCGCAGCTCATCCAGATCGCGCACGACCTGGTCGTGGCCAAGTTCGCCGAGTACCAGGAGCACATCAACAACCAAAAGTACGTCGACCAGGCGCGGTGGAAGAAATACTCCAAGGACGGCAACACGATGATGTACCTGGAGCGCAAGAAGTCCAACCCGGAGTCCAAGCTGCCGGCGCTGCTCATGGTGGGGCCCCTCCCCGGATCGCTGGACGAAAACATGTTCGGACTCGTGAGCCCGACGCTCGAGTCCATGCGGATCAAGTCGTCGTACCTCAAGGATTTCAACGCCGCGGCCGTGCTGGCCACGATCGTTGAGCCGACGGTGGAGGAACCTTTCCGTTCGGTGGTGGTCAAGTGGATGGAGATCGATATCCCGGGGGCCTCGCTCGGCATCTTGCGGAACCGCGACTACATTTACCTCGAGAGTACCGGTATCCTGCGTCTGGACAATGGAGAGCGTGTGGGTTACCATCTACTGCACTCGGTCAGCTTCCCCCAGACCCACGACCTGCCGAACCGCATCAGGGGCAACATGTCGTTCTGCGGCATGTTCCACCAGGAAGTACCGGACAAGACCGACTGTCGAGGAACGGGCGTCATGGACCCGGGAGGTGACATGATCCGAGCGCTGGGCGTTATGGGCATGGCCCAAGCCACGATGGCGGGACTCAAGTATTCGTACTGCGGGCAGATGAAGAAGCTGGCGTGGCTGCTCGAGCAGAAGCACGCAGAGGCGAGGGAACACGGCACGCCGGCATTCAAACCGGTTTGCGTAACCTGTCAGAAACAGGTGAGGGGGAAGAAGTTTGGCGAGTTTGGCAGGTCCAGCAGTACGTGCAAGCTGTGTTTCGGAGCGGTGTGTTCGTCGTGCAAGATCCCCAAGAAGTTGAGTTTCATCGCCCCAGACCTTGAGATGGTGCAGCGCAAGGTCACGTTTTGTGCGAAATGCCTCATTGCAGCGACCCACATGGATACGGAGGAGGCAGCGCGAGTGCAGTTCGTGTACAAACATACAGTCACGTCCAGCGTCTACGGATCTTCAGGTCGCTGCTCATTCGAAAGTACGCGCTCGGATAGCACGATGGGTGGGTTTTGAGCGAGGAGAAAACCGGATGGCGACGTTTTTTCAAGTGATGTACATATATATAAGGAATTACAAGGAGTGTTGGATGTAAGACGAGTATTTGGCTGCGTCGGGCTTTATTGTCGGGTTGTATCGTGATTTTTAGTGATTGTGCGTCAACATCAATTGACTAAACTAACAATCGCAGCTTGATGAGGCGACAAGCTTACACGTGTCCATTATTGTATGTAGCGCCATGTATGAAGCACCGGATACAACTATATATTTGTAACTTCTTCAACGTACAACAACATGTATTATAACTTACATTCCCCCAGGGCTTCTTTGATCGGCTGGGTGAAGCGTTTCGCTGGTATCAGAAGGATATGAGGGACGACATCGCTCGGTTTATCCCTGACGCAGCAGCGAAGTGCTGGCGGCTCGGGGTTGCTACGACACTACAAGTGATCTGGAAATGGCGATCCGAGTATCTGAATCCAGATCCCAAGCCCCACGCTCATCGATTCCGTGCGCTGTTACGGGTGTGGCTACGTCAGAGCTACCTCACCATCGATGCGTCCTACGCAACGAATGCCAGCTCTTCTGCAGAGCGCCGGGCCGCTCGGATAGTTGTGAACGCGCTGGCCGCGAACTATGACCCACTTCCCATTCCTGTCGTCGCGGCTGATACGGTCTATGTGCTGTTCTTTGACGGGGGATCGCGTGGAAACCCAGGCCCAGGGGGTAGTGGGTCTGTGATTGTTCGGCTTGACCCTGGTGCGAGAGCTGGTGTGCCCGTATGGTTTGCGAGTATGGCGTATGGAGATATACGCACTACGAACAATACGGCTGAGTATCGTGGACTCCTACATGGCCTCAAATACGCGAATAAATGTGGGCTGAAGCCGCTACATGTTGTCGGCGACAGCATGATGATCATCAAACAATTGGACGGACGGCGACCGCCTCTTGCTGCGCATCTTGCGAGACTGTACTGGCACTGTCGGGTGCTAGCCGACTACTGTCGAGTGGAGACATGGACACACCACTACCGCACCTACAACAAAACTGCTGATGCCCTCGTCAACATGGCGATGGATACACACGCGAGCAAGCAGCTGGCCGACACCGGGCGGGGTTTGCCGCCCGGGCACTGGGACATCGCCCTTCAAAACGTGAATCGTGATATCGGTGAGTGGCAAATTGGGAAGCCTCAGCTACTGGAACGAAGTGATAGGACTGGTCATCCTCAGGAGAGACGGCACAATCACAGCTAACAACGCGTATGGATGTTAGCTTCGGATATTGTTGATCGTTAGTACCTAGCTCTAAATGAACACAATATACCTCACCATGAAAATGAAATGAAACTTACATTTCGCAATTATTTTTTACTAATGTATATGTATTTTAGTACCTAACAATTGCTGACATGTGAACCTTCAAAACCAAAGTTACCTCAACGCCTTTGGCCCAAACCAGCGTGGGCGTGAAGCGTGTGAAACCTCCATATCTGCGATCAAGAGGATTCCGCGCATGGGCTAATGCCGATTACTAAGTAGTGACATCCAGCCGGGTTGGTTTGTAATGCGTCTTCTGTTGGCGTGAATAAATATCCGGTGTCGAGAAGTGGCTCACTGGCCCGCTCACATGTAGTACACGATGTACTGTATGCTTGTTGCTTGACTGTGTAGTTTTCAACGACTCTTGCTGCCTGATAAGGCAACATTCAAAACATTTTGTTAGTTGGACACCATGCCGAATGTGGTTAATTTTTTATGATTATCTTGCTTGGTACCTAACGTTATTTGTTTGAATCATTTTGGCTACTTGACGCTTGAAATTGTTGTTACAGCGTATGTACTTATAATAAACAAAGCTTGGATGCTTTCGTTTGTACAAAATGCTGAATTGATCCCAGTTGTCGTCTCTTGTGTGTTTATTTACAAGTTCTATAAAACCCGGTAAGTGTGCGCCTGGTACTGCGCTTTTGTATCCCATGGTCTGAAAAAGTTTTATAATTTTTGCTGTATACTCAGACCAAGTTAAATACGGAGCACTAAATCTATTTGATCAGATATGACAGGGGGGCCACAATTGATTTTCCATGTATTATTGAAGTGCATGTAAAAGGATTTTTCAGGTTGCCGCTGAAGCTGAAAAATCCTTTTCAGTATTTCTGGTTTGAACAGGTACTACATTAACATAAAACATACATTGTAATTAACTTCACAAACGCATTGTAATGAAAAACGGTTCGACTATTATTTGTACAATACTTCTCTGGCCCACATAAGAAACAACACTTCGGTTTTCTGGACATAACTATTTACAAAAAAATCGTTTGGCGACTCGCAATACCTCAACCGAAAGCATTTGCTCCGTTTTACGCTATGATTTAAAAAAATCTAGCAGCAGAAAGAAAAGAGAAACAGCCTTTTATCTGAAGTCCGTTTTAGGCAACATTAGGTTTTTTAGCGAGGTGCCGTCAAAAATTAGCGATATTAGAAAATAAAATATCACCGTAATCGCGAGTGACTGCTGTACCCTTATGTTCGGTTGTCGATGTTGTAGCGCCTGTTGGAGACGAGTTAGAAGGGCTACAGGTTTGAGGTTTTTCTACGCGATTATCTCGACATGCGCAGACCCATTTATTTTGGCCAATAGTAAGCTGAAACAGTTGATTATACCCAATCATATGTGACATGTGGTCCACATCAAATTGAGGTTTAATGCCGAATGTTGTTTCTTAAGTGGGCCAGAAAAGTAATATTTAAGATAAAATGCGGAGCAGCCGCCACCAGTTGTGCGAGCACCATGATTTGCACCTCCTGCTGTTAGAACAGAGTCTGCTCGGCGTTTGGGGATGGTATTTCGGCACTTCACAACTTGCCACGCATCACGCTTCGTACCGGAATGAACAGCGAACGGTTCCCTGTAAACCCATTTGGGGAGCTGTCGCTCACGGCGGAAGAGCGATCGCAGCTCTAGCTATCGCCGAGTCTCTCGTGCTTGCCCGATTCGAGCAGTACGAGGAGCACCTGAACAACAAGAAGCACATCGACCCCATGCGGTGGAAGAAATACTCGAGCTCTGGAGCTGTAACGATGTACATTGAGCGGAAGAAGGCGAATCCGGAGTCCAAGCTGCCTGAGCTCGTCATGGTGGGGGCACTACCCGGCAGTCTACACGACAACATGTTCGGTCTCACCTGCCCCACTATCGACTCTATGCGAATCAAGTCGTCGTACCTCAACGACATAAGTGCTGCTGCCGTTATCGCGACTATCGTCGAGCCTACAGTGGACGAGCCGTTCCGCTCGGTTGTGGTCAAGTGGATGGAGATCGACATCCCCGGCGCTTCTATCGGACTCGTGCGCAACCGCGACTACGTGTACCTCGAGAATACAGGCATCTTGCAGCTGAAGAACGGCCAGGAGGTTGGCTACCACCTGCTTCACTCCGTGAGCTTCCTACAAGTCCATGAGCTGCCGAACAGAGTGCGCGGCAATATGTCGCTCTGCGCTATCTTCCACCAAGAAGGGCCTGACAAGACGGACTGCCGTGGCCTAGGTGTAATGGACCCCGGGGGCGACATGATTCGCGTGGTGGCTGTGATGGGGATGGTCCAAGCGACGATGGCGGGGCTCAAGTACTCGTATTGTGGGCAGATGAAGAAGCTCGCGTGGTTGCTGGAGCAGAAGCATGCCGAGTTCAGGCGAAAGGGGGTCCCGGAGACGGGATCTGAGTGCGTGACGTGCTCGAAGCACATCAAGGCCTCGAGATTCGGGAAGTCGAGCAGTTCGTGCAAGTTGTGCTTTGGTGCTCTGTGCGGATCCTGCAAAGTGTCCAAGAAATTGACCTTCATTGCGCCGGATTTAGAGCTCTCCCAGCGCAAAGTGAGTTTCTGCGTCAAGTGCTTGCTGGAAGCAACCAAGATGGACACGCTGGAAGCTGCTCGCCAACAACTTCTCGGCAAGGATTCCGTTCAAATGAATGCCTACCGTGGCATCTACCTCAACTCCGAGGTGAGTTCGTCGTCTGACAGCACTGCGGTTTGATCTAGCTACGAAACATTGATTTGTCTCCAATGAAGTCAAGTTTTGATAGTCTGTCGGACGTGTAGGGTATTTTGGACCTTCTTTTTTTTTCGGGACGACGTACGGAGTCGCTCGAGGTTTTCGCAATCCCGACTCCGGCACAAGTCGCTCGCAATCGGAGATCAGGCGATACAACACTGTACATGTACCTACAGTACACAATCGCGCGCTGCGCGGACCGGAGCTTGGTGGTCGAGGTGACGACGCTGAAGACGAGCGTGTGCCAGATTTCTGACGTTGACCCCCGAGTCGTGCTGGGCGCTACATGCCTCCGTGCATACTGTATACGGTATGACCCAAGTGCGGCAGTACGTGTAGCTTTCGACTAAATGGAGCGTTGGCCAACTTGTTGCCAACATTGTTGGCGGTACAGTACGCAGCGCTACAGCTGTCCAACTTGAGTCAATATATTGTCTTCACAGGGTAGAGCATCTCTCTGCAGTCAGAAACGTTATGAATATAATACAAGAACTTTAAAGAATTTAAAAATTCTGGTATTGGTATCAGTGATACCGTATCACGAGTGAGTGCGTCATTAACCGAAATGTTGCGTTGTTGACTGTACTTAAGTAAGCCGGGAACGTCGTTCGAACTCTCGACTCCGGAGTCCCGAGGCCCAAGCTGGAGCGAGCGATCCAACGAGGCCCAGCACGCCTCCAGCTCCAAGATTTGCTGTTCCCTCTTAGTACAGAATCTGTACCGCATTTGGCGAGTGTACCGCTACGTAGCGGTCCGCTACTTTCCCACACCATTTCTCGATTTGGTTGGCGGCGGAGAGGAAGGAATGAGCAGCAAACGCTTCACCGTCAACCCCTTCGGAGAGTTGTCTCTCACCGACCAAGACCGAGCTCAGCTCCTTCAGCTCGCCGATCAGCTGGTGCTCGCCAAATTCGAGGAATATGAGGAATACCTGAACAACGAGAAGAAGGTCGACCACAAGCGCTGGAAGAAGTTCTCAAACGCAGGCTCGACGATAATGCACCTGGAGCGGAAGAACTCCAACCCGGAGACCAAGCTGCCCCAAGTGCTCATGGTGGGGCTCCTACCCGGCACTCTGCACGAGAATATGTTCGGTCTCATGAGTCCGACTCTCGAGTCCATGCGGATCAAAACCTCATACCTCGACGACTTCAGCGCTGCGGCTGTACTCGCGACGATCGTGGAGCCTTCGGTGGAGGATCCGCTCCGCTCTGCAGTGGTCAAGTGGATGGAGATCGATATCCCTGGAGCTGCTCTCGGAATCGTGCGCAATCGCGACTACGTGTACCTCGAGACCACGGGTCTACTCCACCTCAAGAACGGCGAGCAGGTTGGTTACCACTTGCTGCACTCCGTGAGCTTCCCACAGGTGCACGAGCTTCCGAGCCGGATCCGCGGCAACATGTCGTTCTGTGGCATTTTCCACCAGGAAGGACCCGACCGAACGGATATTCGTGGCACGGGGATTATCGATCCCAAGGGGGATATTATCCGCACGATGGCGGTCATGGGGATGGTGCAGGTGACCATGGCCAGCGTCAAGTACTCGTACTGCGGTCAGATGAAGAAACTCGCGTGGCTGCTTGAGCGACAGCACGAATACGCGAAAGAGCAAGGCCCTCCAGTGGCGGAGAATGTGTGCGTCACGTGCTCCAAAGAGATCAAGAACTCGAGGCTGAGCGAATTCCGGAAGACAAACAGCACGTGCAAGTTGTGCTTCGGGGCTCTGTGCGGCGCCTGTAAGATCTTGAAGAAGCTGCACTTCATAGCCTCTGATCTGGAGCTCGTACAGCGAAAAGTGCACTTCTGCGTCAAGTGTCTAATGGAGGCGACTCGCATGGACACGCTGGAAGCTGCGCGCCACCAATTCGTTTACAAGGTCCCCGTGAAGCCGAAACTCGGAAGTTTCTTTGCTGTCGAATCAAGTTCATTCTCCGACGATACGATGGGATCATTTTGAGATCAAAGGCAGACCCATTAATTACGCTGAAGTCGTACCGAGGATAACTATCGCTAACGTGGCGTTCCCTTAGTTTACAGTTAAAACGACAAAGCATTCGCTCATTACTTGAGATTTGAATAGAGTTTTCCTACTAAGACATGCTTTCTGCGGACGCGGAATAACGGGGTGTATACTTTTACATTTCGTCCCCGATACCGGCACTCTTCTTCTTGAAATTCGAATACTCATACTTGTGTCGTACAGATTTGGACATCACAACTGTATGAACTAACTTTTGCGAACAGTTGAGGTGAAACGCAACTCATCGTGCTGATATTAGAATCACATTTGAACATGCTGCTCTGCATTGAATGTTTTCGGCAATTCTCACCACAGTAGCGGCAATCAACACCTAATCTGCATAGCGCAAAGATCTCGCAAGCGTTGCACTAGACTAATTCTGGGATAGCAGTAAAGCTGCTAGCGCAACCCACATCCGATTATTTGAAGCCGATCAGATGAAGCCCTCCCGTTGAAGTTAACATCAAAAACAATTGGAATATAGTGGAATCAGATATTTTGATACTTAAATAGCTAAACCCGATCCGAGTTTTCGGGTCAGAAGCTCTCAACTCCAACAAGAATCACCCAAAAAGCGGTTCATTCCCGAATTTGCTGTAGCGGGCTTTCTTTCTGTTTCGATTGCGCGCTATGGACGTTGGACATGCACAAGGAGTTGATGGCGATAGGCCGTGCTGCTCTGCCTGGCGAGCATGCTTATTGGCGCAGGTTGCAGGTGCTGCAGTCACCGCTGTGGCTTTGCCAGCGCTCGCTCGCGACGTCACCAGAGCTTCATCTCACGGATAAGGTGCCGATCGCTAAGAATTATTTATTCTTTTAAGAGTGGTTTAAAAAGCCATTTTACTTACATTAAAGCACTATTTTATTATAGATTCTGCAGACCGTTCCCATTTCCACATCAAGGCACGGGCTGTGCTGCAGAAACCGAAGCTCTCCATCTTTTCGTACACCATCGTCCTGCCCCTCATCGGTGAGAGATCAGAACTATCGAAATATTTTTGGTAAAAATATGGAGCTAACATATTGTCGTAGTGTAAGTAAGACCTTTGAGATGCGTCGACGGAGTAGCAGGCGACGATCTTGGCCACAATCGCCAGCCCCCCCCAAAAAAGAAGAAGAAGAACACGACGGTGTGTAGCAGTCGAGAAATACTCGATACCCGGGCCTTACCACAGCGTTTGCTGTATTTACTTGCATTTGCAGCTACCGCATGCTGTCGCTAGTACCACCAGACGAATGAAATGCGCGAGGTCATGAAGGAGGAGTTCATGATGGAGACTCCTGACCAGCAGGGTTTTACTGCAAACTATGGATGGTCGGAGCCAATCGTCATCATGGTCGCGTGAACTGTCGGGTGGCGGATCGTGAGAAGCAAGACGTGCTTAGGGCATCGCGTACGTGGAACTGTTCATTCGAGCTATTATTTTGTGGGGTTTATGCTGACAGCGTTGTGTTTTTTGCTGTTCGTGCAGCAACTTCGGCGAGCATGCCCGTTTCGCAAGACGACGTCGAGGGCTCGCTGATGAACTGGATGGTTTTCATGGCGGTGCTGGCGTGGGCATTATCCCGATCCTCGTATTAGCTGCACGCTGTCAGTGGTCAAGGTGGTTGGTGCGAGACTGCTATTCTTCTGCGGGCAATGCCCGCAGAAGAAGCAGTCTTCGCGCATTCAATCGAAAAGGTGGTACATGTATTTGGTAACAGTACGGTGACTGCATGCTTACAACGCAATGTTCCATAGAATTGACTTTATTGTGGTCTTGTCGAGGGTACAGGTTACTGTTTTGACAAAAAAGTAATTTATGCGTGTATAGTATTATTTCGGAGTGTTTTCTGTGAGTGTGCAGTTGGCCAGAGTATTTGGCATGCGTCAGAAGTAACCTATGGCGTATTATGTACTCCGTAACGTTAGGATTAACAAGCAAAACGGATACAGGTATGTTAGCTCCTGCGCGATCAACAGAGCCTTTTGTTGTTGTGCATTTTTCCCGCTTTTGTACCAGTAATTGTAAAGTACAGCTAGTCGCTCTGACGCTGCGACTTGCTACCCTTCAACTCGCAGCGCAATTTTTTGTGAAGTTGTCATGCAAACTACCAAGCTATCCCAGCCTACGCAAAGCTCTAGTATTAATTGTTCTGCAAGGTCAGCGGGAAAAAAGATCTTATAGCCCAGTTGGCAAACTTGGCCAACTTGGCTGCCACAACCATTGCAGCGACGATAATAAAAACAGTGATGGCAATTCTAGTCTATGCTGCGCTGCCAAACTACAGTCTTTACTCAGAAATCTGTCGAAGCATGTTCGTGGAGGTCGAAATATCACAGTTTGGCGATTAAGTCGATGTGATCGTAGCCTCTGATCCTGAACTTCCAACCGACAGCCCATAGCTTCGTAGCTGCACATTCTCCCTAAAGACTAACTGCTGACGAGCAGCTTCCAGCGTGTCCACCTTGGTTGCTTCCAGCAAACACTTGACGCAGAAACTCACTTTGCGCTGGGAGAGCTCTAAATCCGGCGCAATGAAGGTCAATTTCTTGGACACTTTGCAGGATCCGCACAGAGCACCAAAGCACAACTTGCACGAACTGCTCGACTTCCCGAATCTCGAGGCCTTGATGTGCTTCGAGCACGTCACGCACTCAGATCCCGTCTCCGGGACCCCCTTCTCCCTGAACTCGGCATGCTTCTGCTCTAACAACCACGCGAGCTTCTTCATCTGCCCACAATACGAGTACTTGAGCCCCGCCATCGTCGCTTGGACCATCCCCATCACCGCCATCACGCGAATCATGTCACCTCCAGGGTCCATGATGCCCGTACCGCGACAGTCAGTCTTGTCGGGCCCCTCTTGGTGGAAGATACAAGAGAGCGACATGTTGCCGCGGATTCGACTCGGAAGCTTGTGTGTCTGGGGGAAGTTGACGGAGTGGAACAAGTGGTAGCCCACGCGCTCGCCGCTCTTCGTGTGCATGACGCCTGAACTCTCGAGGTACACGTAGTCGCGGTTGCGTACGATCCCGAGGGAAGCTCCAGGAATATCGATCTCCATCCATTTGACCAGTACAGACCGGAAAAGCTCGTCCGGTGTTGGCTCGATAATGGTGGCGAGCACGGCTGCTGCGCTGAAGTCGTTCAAGTAGGACGCCTTGATCCGTATGGCCTCAAGTGTTGGGCTGATCAGTCCGAACATGATTTCGTCCAGGGAACCTGGTAGAGGACCAGTCATGAGCGTCTCGGGCATATTGGACTCCGGGTTCGACTTCTTCCGCTCGAGGTACGTCGTCGTGGCGCCGGAGCTCGTGAACTTCTTCCAGCGGTTGAGATCCACTTGCTTGTCGCTGTTAAGGTACTCTTCATACTCCTCAACCTTGGCCAGCACGAGAGCATCGGCGATATCGATGAGCTGTGCGCGGTCTTCGTCTGTCAGCGTCAACTCCTCGAAGGGGTTGACGGTGAAGCGCTTATTGCTCATTCCGACGCAAATTCGAGAATGTCCACGCGGCAAGGACCGACCTGACAGCCGCAAATCTTGGAGCCTTGCATGTGCCTGGCTTCTAACCAGCCCAACAAGACGACTTGGCTTTCGACAACCGGCACACCACATCGACTTTCCGACTTGCGACGCTACAGCACAGGGTGTCGTAGTCACTCGCATCCTCGACACGGCCCAAACCGTTCACAATAAGTGTACATGTAAACGCTCACCTGGTAGACGAGCTAACTTGTATGTAAGACAGATGACTTCGTATTGGCACGTCAAGGGTTATTGGTACAGTACATCGGTTGAGCAGTTATTTAGCGGGACGTGGGTCAAACTATACAGATTCTCGGTACGAAATATACACTTTTGGGGTCAAAACATAAAGGTAATAATACTGTCACCCTGCTAGCGCTCCGCGCGTACCCAACCAACCCTTACAAAACCCTACCGCGCTTCGCGCGGGAATCGGCTCGCTGCGCTCGCAAGGTGTTATGTGCCAGTGTGTGTTTCGTACTGAAAGCTGTATAGTTTGGACCTTTCGCCTTACCGGTACAGTATTTAGCGAACAAGCTTGTTGACAATATAAACGTTCCGCTCAACATAATCACTATCCTACATGTACAGTACCAAACCTTGAACTCAAATCGCGCTTTTTTAAGCGCATTATTAAAATACGGTAACAGGTATATTGTACTGTACGCCAACGAGGGTTGCTTCGACTGCAGTGGCCGGGTTCCTCCAAGGGGACGTTGGCCAGTGGATTGACCACAATCCCGATTCGGAGGACGACCAGCGGGCCTCCTCACTCATTGGCGCGGGCGCATTTGTTGGCGCTTTTGGAGCCAGCACACCATCGCCTGATGTGTACTTAAGTACTTAAGTAAGCATGAGATGGAAGGACATTGTTTTTGGTCGTTAGCTAGCCTAAAAGACTGAAATGAAACCTCACTTAAAACGAGGGTTGCTTCGTGCATTTACGATTACCACTGCAATACATGTAGAGCACTTGGATTTTGCCATGACAAGCAGTTGCCCCGCGGATTAGTGGATGCTTATCACCACAAGGTTATATATGCTTTCGAAGTCGTTTCATTTGGTGAAGAATCCACAGTACATGTGTATGTACAGTATCTGTACAGCAAATGCTGCTGGCAGCGATGCCCGCCTCAACGTGAATCTCAATCGTTCGCCAAAATGAAGCAAAATCCGTACCTGTCTTCTTCAGAGCCATGTGGGACTACCAAACCAAACCTATTTTTCATTGTGCACACGGTATTTAATTAAGCGCTTCTAAATAAGGAATGTACAGACGGAGTCCTTTCAAAGGACACCAAAGGACTCCTTTGACTTTATTCGGTTGATCTGGCTATCATTGAGCAAATGACTTCGTAGCGCGCTGTCATCCAGAGTGACGACCTCGATCAGCAATGTAAACACCATGAATTCCCACGAGTAAATCTATGTCCAAATTGGATGTTATAAATTGACATAGATTTACTCTGGATGATCCAAACGTTAAAACCGCTCACCATCTGTTTTTGATGAGCTCAAATTTAGATCGACCACTTTTGGTTCTACCAGATATTAGAACAAACTCCCAAAAACGGACCCAATCACCCCGCCCATAATTGTTTTCTGCCCATTTTACCACGACTTCAGCTTCAGCCATGGCGAGCAGCGTGGTGAGCGCGCTGTTCGGGTCGTACGACCTGCGCAACGCCAAGCAGTGGCGCGACGAGGACATGGCGTTCCGCGAGCAGGAGGTCCAGTGGCTGAACGACGACATCGTGCGCGCGCACCAGTGGCGCGTGGCCGACATGGAGCGCTCCCTGCGGCGCGAGAAGCTGCAGAGCGAGCACGTGGTGTGCGAGGCGCGCGCCGAGCAGCTCTCGACCGTCTCGGAGCAGTGCACGCTGCTGTGCGGCTTCGTCGTGAGCGCCATGTGCAACGTGGGCGTCCCCGAGGACGTGCACAGCTACGCGCTGTTCCTGTACACGGTGCCGGGCACGGCCGTGTGCGTGGCCATGCTCATCTGCGCCGTCATGTGCACCAACCTGCAGCTGGCGGTCACGCGCTACGCGGCGCACTCGCTGGAGGACAGCGTGCGGCTGCTGGACGTGGGGCAGCTCGAGTGGGAGTCGCCCTTCAGCGCGTGGTGGCTGCGGCGCTGCGAGAGGGAGCAGATGGCGGCCTACAAGTTCCTGCTCATCGGCGTCGCGCTCTTCTTCTTGTACCTGGGGGCCGTCTCCTGGATCCAGTTCTACATGTCCACGGGCACGTCGCTCAGCATCTCGACGCTGTCGCTCGTCGGCTTCTTGGTCTGGCAGCTGCGCATCGCCAGCAAGTGGCGCTATCTGCTCACGCCGCCGTCGTCGTCCTCGGGGAGTGTCGCTGCCAGCACGTCGTCGGCGTCTGTTAGCGGCAGCGGGCGGGCCTCCATGTTGTCGCAGTCGTATTTATCCATGCCCCGGTCGCCGGCGTCGTTGACGTTGAGGAAGTCAATGGTGGAACCCAATGCCGCCGCCTCCATTCCTGCGTCAGCGTCGAGCTTTACCAAGTCAATCACACCAAGTGAGAGTTTGAACATGCAAATGTAATATATCACTACGAGCTTTATCCGTGCTGACGACGTTTATTGAGAATCGAGGAGATGCCAACAAAGGCCTCCAAGTTCTGTCAAATTGCTGACTAATGAATCCGAAGGTTGTTTTTTTGGTATCTAAGCGCTACAAACTTGTTTAAGTAGAAGCGATCGTGGCGTCTGAGCCTGAGCTCAACAACGAAAACTCGATGTTTCGTAGCTGAATGTTTTCCGAGTAGACGAACTGTTGGCGGGCAGCCTCCAATGTATCCATGTTCGTATCCAGTAGGCACTTCACGCAGAAGCTCACTTTGCGCTGTGAAAGTTCCAGGTCCGGCGTGATGAAGCTCAGTTTCTTGAAAACCTTGCACGACCCACACAAAGACCTACAGCTAAGCTTGCATGTGGTGGTCGACTTTCCGAATCTTGACGCCTTGGTTGACTTGGAGCAAGTCACGCACGCAGATACGGTCACAGGTGTGCCCTTCTCCCTGAACTCGGCGCGAGCTTTTTCATCTGACCGCAATAGGAATATTTGACACCGGCCATCGTCGCTTGAATCATCCCCACGACAGCCATCACGCGAATCATGTCACCTCCTGGGTCCATCACACCCGTTCCACGGCAATCGGTCTGTCCAGGCTCAGCTTGGGAAAATACGCCACAGAGCGACATGTTTCCGCGGACGCGGCTGAGCAGGTCACTCGTTTGGGGAAAATTCACTGAGTGCAACAAGTGGTAACCAACTCGCCTGCCATTCTTTAGACACAAAATTCCCGTGCTCTCAAGGTACACGTAATCACGGTTGCGTACGATTCCGATGGAGGCTCCGGGAATGTCGATCTCCATCCACTTTATCACAACGGACCGAAGTGGTTCGGCCACTGTTGGCTCGACAATGGTAGCGAGGACGGCCGCCGCACTAAAGTCATTCAAGTAGGACGCCTTGATTCGCATCGACTCGAGAGTCGGGCTTACGAGACCGAACATGTTTTCGTTCAGCGTACCAGGTAGTGTGCCGGTCATGAGTGTCTCGGGCAGTTTAGAATCCGGGTTCGGTTTTTTCCGCTCAAGGTACGTCGTCGTGGCGCCTGAACTTGTGAACTTCTTCCAGCGAGTGAAGTCCACGCGTTTTTCACTATTGAGATATTCGTCATACTCCTCAATCTTGGCAAGCGTGACGGAGTCGGCGATCGATGAGCTTGGCGTGGTCTTCGGTTGTCAGCGCCAAGTTCTGGAAGGGATTAACGGTGAACCGTTTGTTGCTCATTCCGCGGTAAGACGAATTGAGGAATGCCTACGCGCCTACATATCTCGCTGCTGTCCACAGCACTTTTCGAGAAGTCCATCAGATGATTACCTAGTTTTCTAGTCCAAAAAATGGTCGTAATTGTTTACTTTTTCTACCCCCAGTGACGCTTCGAATTGTACACATGTACCACAACAAGCACTGGGCGTTACGAATGCACGAAGGAGATATACTGTAATCGGCCATGCTGTCATTCTGTATACTAGAATATGCAACAAACGGATCCAGTGATACTACCGATTGGTACCTCTGTTCGAAAATGATGGAGGGATTCCCGGAAATTTTCCGGCGGAAAATAATCATGAAAATCGAACCTAATTAGACCATAAGATTCGCTTTTATTTGTTTTATCCAATGGTGTTTAGAGTTGCAGTTAGGCGAGCTAGGGCTCCGCGAAGGCTGGGATAGGAGAATTTTGGTATACATATCTTCTTTTTATTTTATTTTTCTCAATTTTTTTCTTATTAGCTATGTTATCTCCTGCTCCTGCTTCGTAGCCGCAGCATCCGCCTGGAGGTTTGCCATAAAACTGTAGATGCAAGATATCAACCGGTAATACTCATAAAACTAAAAATGGGAACCTTGGTTGAGATCTGTTTGTAGCTTGTAGAAGTTTTCTACTTGAAAATGCAAATTCTTATCTCTAGTGCTATTACAGTCAATCGTTCTCTTTATTTTAATTCGTTCACTGCTCAATATATGTACTGATTCATACGTCGGTAGCACACCGGTTCAATCTGCTCACGTGGGCAGATCCAACGGGTCTGCGATAGCAGCACTAACGTTGCTTTCTATCCCAGTACAACATTGAATTAAACGCGTCAAGGTCCTTGACATTACAGGAATAGTAAATCACAATTATTGTGGCTTTCATCCGTTTTGGCAAATCGGGTGGTCCAAGATCCGATATATCGGGCCCGATTTGCTGGAGGGCTCCGATTTAGCAGGAAGGGCTGAGGGAAGCAAACGGCTGCGAGTTGCGAAGCAGGGGCCAGAAATGCCGCTTTTCGCCGGCAAAAGGGACTGCCGCGAAAACATGTCTGGGGCCCTCTCAGATCGGCGTGGCACGAAGTTGTAGCGGCCGTAGATGTTCACGCAGGTGATTTAGATCGCCATAGTGCTATGAAGTGGCTATATACAGTGTAATATTGTCCCCAATGTCTTGCAGTTCTAATGCGTCATGAGAGGTGGGGAGGTATGTCCAACTTGGAATGCCTCCCCTTTGAGCCTTATGCTACTAACTCAGGTCAGATACAGCTAAATTGGACTAACCGATCATGTGGGAGCTCCATTTTATATAAATCGGACTCCGAGATAACACGTCAAATCGGGCGGCAAAATAGTTGAAAACCACAATATTTACAAATTTACAAATAATATGAAGATTAGGATAAAAACATCATAGTAAAAATAAAGACAATAAAGGAGTAAAAGGCAGAAGAAGATCAATTTCAGTAAATTACTCTTGTCTAATTTGTAACTTGAAGCGAGCAGATATATCTGCAATGTCTAAAAAAAATGAATACAGCGTGAAAATAACAAGATACCTCCGCGTACTACTTAAGTAATCTCCGACTGAAGCGAAAGTACTTCGAAGTAGTAGAAAAAATGAGGCACCAAATCAGTGTGCATCTTTTTGTATTCGTTCCTTATTTGTAGAATGTACGATGCGCTGAAGACTGTGCACTCGTTTTCGCAAACTGGCGAAGTTTTCTGCATACTATCTAACGTTAATTGATCACAGCAACACCATGTACAGACAACGACGGATAAATCCGGCACCACTGAATTGCATCCTCCATAGTAAATGTGCCAGAATTCTCTGTCAGGAACGATAGAGATTGTACAAGGCAATGACATAAAATACACGTAACGGAGCATAAAGTACACACAAATTTAGAGAAAGTACTTCAAACCATATGAAATACAAATGTCAAGTGTAAATCTCGAAGTTGATTGGCTATCTGAATTACTTATTGTAAAAAGTACAACATATGTGTGCCGGGTTTTGCGTTGCCGTATTTATCCGTCGTTGTCTGTAACCTAAATGGATGTGTATACCTGTAGCACGCACGGTGCGACTGCGGAAGTATCGTTAAGCTTAGCTAACAGTAAAGTTGCGTCCCGAAGTAGGACACATATTTAAAGAAAGCAACTGATAAATATGCAAAAAGTAGTGTCCAAGTACTATGGTGCAGCATTGCAGATTCCTGCGAGCTAAATCGTTCTCCACCACTCAACAGATTGCCTCACGACGACGTCGGTGCCCCCACCTGGTATCCTCTAGAGAATGGTGTGGTGCACTCCACGCACTTTTCTGAGAAAATCATCCAAGAGACAAGGCCGCCGCAGTTACAGTACAGTACAGCAGAGCACTTGACACGCCGAGCTCTGCACCACTGGGCACTATGGGCAAGAAGGCCAAGGCGCCTTCCTCTGTCGGGGCGCTCAAGCCGCTGCGCATCTCGCCGCCCGCCGTGAGCTTCGACAAGCGCTCGTGCAACGCCGAGTGCAGCTACGAGTACGACAACCTGCTGGCGCGCAGTCGGCTGGGCGTGCGCCCCTTCCCCGACGTGGAGCGCGGCCAGCCGGCGGCTGTGGACAGCAGCGCGAGCGACTGGCAGCCGCTGCAGGCGCTCGACGGCCTGCTGTGTCTGGCCACGCACCACGTGCTGGAGCTCGTGCAGCTCCGGCGCGCCAACTTCGGGCTGCGCTGGCGGAACACGCGCGTGGGGCGGGACGCGGACGTGCCGCCGCCGCGCTGCATGCTGGGGCCGCACTGGCACCTGATGCTGGCCACGTGGTGCGTCTTCTGCTTCCTGGCGTCCACGGTCAACGTGCTGACGTTCAGGAAGGCCGCGGTGGTGGAGCTGGGCGCGGGGATCTTCCTCTCGGGCATGTGCCTCACGTGCTACGCGCTGGTCGGGTGCTCCAACCCAGGGATCGTGAGGAGGTGAGAGGGCAAGAACGAGGAAGAGAGACGTGGGTGACAGAGGCTGACTGGGTGGTGGTTGGTGTTGCAGGATTGAGCTGCCGCCGGACGACACGTACACGTTCTGCGACCATTGCGACTCGTATCGACCGGAGGGGTGCGTCGCCAGAGGGGTTTGTTTACACGGCCTATTTGCTCTGCTCCTAATGCTATTGGGTGTATGTGTGCGGTTTGCTGTTTTTTTGTTGTTGCAGCGCGCTGCACTGCATGGACTGCCGGGTGTGTATTGAGGAGTATGACCACCATTGTCCGTGGACGGGCAAGTGTGTGGGCAAGGGCAACATCCGCTACTTCTACGCGTGGCTGCTCTTCCTGGTGCTGGCCTTTGTCTACGAGGTGATCGAGTTCACGACCTACTTGCTGCCGCCCGAGGGCCAGGACCTGCCGGACTCGTCGGACGACTCGCTCGAGATCGTTTTCCCCGTCACGATGCCCGCCCCACGTTTGTGAGGAGGATACAGCTTGCACCGGGTGGCAGTCAGCCGCGCTGCGACAGCAGTTGCGCCGCGCCGAGCGGAGCGCACGCGAAGGAGCTCCAGCCACCGACTCGGGATCAATCAAGCTGCTTGCGTGCTTGGACATCGAAGAGAGGCGATGTGATGCGATGCGGGCAGGATTTGCGGACAAAGGGCATGGACCACCAGAATCAGCCCATGGACTGAACTGTTCCGAAAGGCGGCGCACCACGAGAGATTAAATTGACTGAATACTGTAAGGCGGTTTGCCCGATCAAGAGCTCGGCTGCGCGGCACCTGCATGACCAATGTTCAAGGCGAGAATATAAGCAAGCTCAAGAATTATGCTGCCGTCGGGAAGCAGCAAGCGCTGGCGGATATTTTATTTTGGTTCGCATTCAACATGCGTGTAGCGAAAGTGTGAAGTCTGGAATTGTTGATCACAAGTTGTAATGAAACATATTTACATTTTCTTTCACGATACCGGTAGTGTCTGTTCGACACGTTCAACTTAACTTTCGCGTGGCGTGATTGACTTGGTAAAGCTCGACGCTGACGCAGGAATGGAGGCGGCGGCATTGGGTTCCACCATTGACTTCCTCAACGTCAACGACGCCGGCGACCGGGGCATGGATAAATACGACTGCGACAACATGGAGGCCCGCCCGCTGCCGCTAACAGACGCCGACGACGTGCTGGCAGCGACACTCCCCGAGGACGACGACGGCGGCGTGAGCAGATAGCGCCACTTGCTGGCGATGCGCAGCTGCCAGACCAAGAAGCCGACGAGCGACAGCGTCGAGATGCTGAGCGACGTGCCCGTGGACATGTAGAACTGGATCCAGGAGACGGCCCCCAGGTACAAGAAGAAGAGCGCGACGCCGATGAGCAGGAACTTGTAGGCCGCCATCTGCTCCCTCTCGCAGCGCCGCAGCCACCACGCGCTGAAGGGCGACTCCCACTCGAGCTGCCCCACGTCCAGCAGCCGCACGCTGTCCTCCAGCGAGTGCGCCGCGTAGCGCGTGACCGCCAGCTGCAGGTTGGTGCACATGACGGCGCAGATGAGCATGGCCACGCACACGGCCGTGCCCGGCACCGTGTACAGGAACAGCGCGTAGCTGTGCACGTCCTCGGGGACGCCCACGTTGCACATGGCGCTCACGACGAAGCCGCACAGCAGCGTGCACTGCTCCGAGACGGTCGAGAGCTGCTCGGCGCGCGCCTCGCACACCACGTGCTCGCTCTGCAGCTTCTCGCGCCGCAGGGAGCGCTCCATGTCGGCCACGCGCCACTGGTGCGCGCGCACGATGTCGTCGTTCAGCCACTGGACCTCCTGCTCGCGGAACGCCATGTCCTCGTCGCGCCACTGCTTGGCGTTGCGCAGGTCGTACGACCCGAACAGCGCGCTCACCACGCTGCTCGCCATGGCTGAAGCTGAAGTGGTGGTAAAATGGGCAGAAAACAATTATGGGCGGGGTGATTGGGTCCGTTTTTGGGAGTTTGTTCTAATATCTGGTAGAACCAAAAGTGGTCGATCTAAATTTGAGCTCATCAAAAACAGATGGTGAGCGGTTTTAACGTTTGGATCATCCAGAGTAAATCTATGTCAATTTATAACATCCAATTTGGACATAGATTTACTCGTGGGAATTCATGGTGTTTACATTGCTGATCGAGGTCGTCACTCTGGATGACAGCGTTAGCCGATGCCGTTCGGCGCAAAGGCATTTGCAGTACCCAGAGAGAAACATCGGGTTTGAATCCGTGGGAAAAATCCTTTGACATGTATGAAAGCAGAAGTCGAGGTGCTCGATCTGTACGCCGCGAGCACACATCTACGATATTAATAGAAGCCCCTTTTTCTTTTAAGAACAAAACACACTTAGTACGAACCAATAACAAATCCATAATTGCGTATTTGAACGCTGATTGGTCAGCCCTTAATACAGGCGAGGTCACCCGTGCCAAATCTATCAGACTTTAGCGGTAACCTGTTTGGTAGTATTATATAGCATAGCTTATTATAGAGTAAGCGGAAATATGGATGAGTTGTTTGGTACGGAATTGCTTATCTTTGTTAGAGCCTTTAAGAGGCGGTCAGAATCTATTGAGCTCATTGAAGTGGATCTATAATGGATAATAAACTCGCTACAACCCCAGAAGGATTGCTTTCGGTCATTCTCGTTTGGCACTAAAACTACCGTGATTTTCTTCAAAGACGCAATTTTTGTTGTAGTTGTACGCCTAAGGGCCCATCCATGCTTTCTGTGGGTACGGTATGTCCTTTTTGTTGTTTTATTTAGTGTTGGGCTGACGACAGTACAGTATGTATGTGATGGCGGTGCGGTAGGAACGTGAGCTGCTGCTCATATTTGTTTATTTGGCAGTATATTGAGAAATTTTGGGCAAGTGTACCCACCCCCTAGTGTGCTCGGTGCCCTACTTGAGCTTGTGATGTCAAGCTCTGCTTCACGTTCGGTTCAGCAGGAATAAAGTAGTACAGCTCCAGCTTCATCCAGCACCACTTACGATATGAGAAATCGATTTCCCGTACATCCGGACCTCTCCAGGTTTTGTTTTACTACTGCACGAAGACCACGTCGATTACTCTGGAGCCACCGAAGTGGACCTGAACTGCAGGGATAACACCTCGGTGTTCGCCAAATACATGTACTGCTCGGACAAGCTCAGGGTCACAGACCGGTAGCTTTTTCGTTAGCTTTTTCGAGAGCTGAAAGCAGTCTTAGTGCACAGATGGCGGTGGAGAACAGACTGTACATTCAGCTTTCACACTGTATGATACCGGAGGTTGTCTGTATGTACTCGCCGACTACTCTGTTTTCGTGTGTGCGTTAGCACTTTGTAGTACTTTTTTAAAACTCAAAGGCTATTATAATACGATACACTCCATCTTCTATATGTATAATAGTTCGGATCATTGATCTACCTGCATTTCCATGCCGGCAGCAAGTATGTACGTTGATGCTCTATACCAACCAGACCCACTTGAGTTAGAATATGAAAAGTGAGGATTTGATTAGGATCCTTTGTGCGGAGTCAGAGCCTGTGTGCACCCAATCACAAGTCGTAAAGTCGTTCCGACTGTCCGACATATACGATCGGTAAGGTTAAGTCGTCTTGTTGGACTTGTTCCGACCTGGCAGCTGGTAAATCTCCGAGCACTGCGCCCTGCTGACGCAAACTGTTCAGTCACTATTCAATTTGTCCTCTCCGTGTCGGAATGAGCAATAAGCGCTTCACCGTCAACCCCTTCGGGGAGTTGACGCTGACAGCTGAAGACCGCGCCAAACTGCTCGAACTCGCTGACTCCATCGCTCTCGCCAAGGTCGACGAGTATGAAGAGTATCTCAACAACGACAAGCAAGTGGACCTCAAACGCTGGAAGAAGTTCACGAATTCAGGCGCTACAACGTCGTACCTCGAGCGGAAGAAGGTGAACCCGACGTCCAAGATGCCGGAGACGCTCATGGTCGGCCCGTTACCCGGTACTCTGGACGAGAACATGTTCGGACTCATAAGCCCAACTCTCGAGGCCATGCGGATCAAGTCGTCCTACTTAAACGACTTCAGTGCAGCAGCCGTTCTCGCTACTCTAGCGGAGCCGACGGAGGACGAGCCTTTTCGATCCGTAGTGGTTAAGTGGATGGAGATCGATATCCCCGGAGCCTCTATCGGAATCGTACGCAACCGCGACTACGTCTACCTTGAGAGCACAGGCATCATGCATACAGCGAGCGGTGGTCGCGTGGGGTATCACGTTCTCCACTCTGTCAACTTTCCCCAAACTCACAAACTACCGAGCAGAATTCGCGGCAATATGTCTCTTTGCTGTATTTTCCACCAAGAGGGGCCCGATAAGACGGACTGTCGCGGTACGGGCATCATGGAGCCGGGAGGGGATATTATTCGAGTTGTGGCGGTGATGGGGATGGTTCATGCGACGATGGCGGGGCTGAAATACTCGTACTGCGGTCAGATGAAGAAATTGGCGTGGTTGCTAGAGCAGAAACACGCCGAGTATAGGGAGAACGGGGTCCCCGAGACTGGACACGAGTGTGTGACGTGCTCGAAGGTGACCAAGACGTCGAGGTTCGGCAAGTCTCGCAGCACATGCAAGTTGTGTTTTGGGTCGTTGTGCGGTTCGTGCAAAGTCTCCAAGAAGCTGACCTTTATTGCACCCGACTTGGAGCTCTCTCAGAGGAAAGTGAGCTTCTGTGTCAAGTGCTTGATTGACGCAACCAAGTTGGATACGCTGGAAGCTGCGCGCCAGGAACTAGTCGACAAGGAGAACATCCAATCACGAACGTACGCATTTTCCATGATGAGCTCAAGCTCAGAGTCGATCGTCTCGAGTAGATCGTACCGCTAGTTGCTTTAATTAATATAGCCTTGCGTCCACGAAATGCTTCGAAGTACACCTTTTCAACTTCAAAACCGCAAATTCCAAGTTCAATTCTGCAAAAGGTAAGTTCAAAACTGCACGAGCAGAGACCAGGCTAGCTTCGTACTTTTATACACAGCTCATTGGTTGGCACGCAGCCCAGCTAGCCAATAGACAAATTGTACTCTATAATCGTATACGATGATAGATATCATACAGTTTGTAATATACATTTATAGAGTATTGTTGTTTTGATCTTACCTTTTGCTGTTTTGAACTTACAATTTGCAGTTTTGAAGTTGAAAAGGTGTAGTTTTTTTATCGATGCTTTGAACGAAGTACACAGCATATTATACTGGGAGGACAGTTTTAGCTGGCTGAACAGCCTAACCAATTTTATTTCAGTGGGAGCTTCCCCCCAACTTTTTAAAGTATTGTGCTTTTCAGTTGTTTTGGCAAATCGGACGTGTAAAACAGCTACCTACTAAGATGGGGCTAGGTTATCGGAGCAGATTAGCAGGTCCCATTAGGACCAAGAATTGCTAGTCCGATGGAAGCACTTGCGCAGGTCCTACAAACAGCCGAAAGCCCGAATGTCGCCCATTTTCACGGCATTCGGGGTTTGAGGTCTTACGAAGGGCTCCTACCAAGTCTTGTGGCAGGACTTTCCTACGAGCTGACTCTAATACGGTGTATGTCAAACGCAGAATAAACCTATGAAAACACGATGCAGTCGATACGTTAAACACTCCAGTCGTCGCCATTCGCCTTCGCGGGTTCCGGCATTGCTTGCTTCCCCAAACAAAGATTGCTTGACTTGGACTCCAACCGGAGTCCATTGAACGGAGAGACTCCAGGAGACCACTCATCGGACTCGTCCGAGATTTGCATCTCAGATTTAGAGACCACCAACCTCAGATTAACTGACCTCCAAAGTCCTACGTAGGACTCGGGAAAATGACCGAAAGGCACAATACATGTATTTGCCAATTAAAATTGGCAAATGTCGCCTGAGTCCATAGTCCACAGATTATGGCTACCGTAACATCACAAAGCTTGTACATTTCGTGGCTGGTTGTTCCCAGAATGTTGACTGTATCCGTAGTGTGTACCACACACTGTAGTGAGCAGTTATTGAATTTATGAAATTTATTTGAAAAATCATAACTAGGATAGCAGTATTTTCTCTTGTAAGTTAAAAATAACTCAAAATCAATGAAATAACAACTGACGGATTGCTCTCTTTCCTGTGTCTGTTCGCGCCAATGGCTGTGGCTTCGTTGAGACTGACTAAATGCACTGAGTGGGATCGTATTTAAAAGGAGTGACACAGTACGAGTCTGGTAAATTACGCAAATTTATTACCGACGATTTTCAATATTTTAAAAATCGAAATCTTGACACCCCCTCTCCCCACTTTTCTCCCATCCTCCAAAACTCCACTGGCTCTACTGGCTCTCATTTGGAGTTTGGCGCGTTTGGAGCTCAAGTGACTGGTTGGGCAGCTATTCGTGTACATATAGTGAGCGAGTCCCCCCCCCCTCTTCCTCCTCCTGCTCCTCCCCGTCCTGCTCTCTCATGTGTATGTCTATCGCTAGCAGGTTAATACACGGAATGGTACAGGCGGCTTTGAGAGAGAGAGAGAGCGGACCAGAGCTGCGCAGAACGGCAGTCGGTGTCTCAGACTAAGCGAGGGCTGGGAGACTACGCAAAGGCTGCACGTAGACTGAGCGTCTGGGGCGAGTGTCTGAGACTGGGCGATGACTAGGAGACGCGCTCAGGCGCTGCTCAGCGCCTGGGCGTCTGCTCGAAGGTTAACGTACACGAAGCTGGAACTGCCAGACCATGCGGCGTTTGCGTGAGATGACAGGTGCGTTAGTGCTATCGCTATAGCTACGATGAAGGGAGGGGGGTTCTTAAATGTATTACTGCCTATCCTTTAGACGTGGCGCTCCGAGATGTCCACAACATGATTTCAAAAATGCTTGAAGAGCGCCGCGCAAGCGCAAGGGCCGCCCAGGACCTGCGGCGGGATAGATTGCGCTAGGCTGCACGGACGTGGTGAAGCTTTGAGACCAGGGATACCAAGAACATCAAGGGTTGACGCGGTGGTGCTTCCTCGAGATGTATACGTGGGCGCAGAGTCTAATTCAAGCTGTTCAGGGTGACGCTCGTATCGTATAATGCACACGTGTACGTTCCTGATAGTCTGTGTACCTGTAGATGCCGACAGGGTACATAGTGTGTGTGTCTGTAGATACCGTACAGGTACCTATAGGTACTATGCATACTCGATTGATGTATCTACAGGCACTTTAAGAATGGTATGCGTACTTGCCTTTTCAGGGTCGATTTGACAGTGTGTGAGGCAGTCGGATGCCTGGTCAACTGAGCGAAGATCGTAACTGAGCGCTTCGGTGCGTCGTTATATAGAAGTTGACAATACGCGGGTTTTGCGTTGTCATGGCAATGCTGCAAGTCTAGGCTCTCTCCATTAGTGTATCGTGCAGTTTGTAGAGTAGCACAGTATTCTCAGGTTTATAACGTGGTTTAGTAGCTACGTCGATGTTGCTAGCGCAACTCTACACCCGATTGGCGCGACCTAGTCCTCAACAACTCCCGTACTAGCAGGCGACAAGGTGACCATACTGTTTTCTTGGTCAATACGAGATTCGCTAAGTGCTTTTTACATTCGAACGACCGTTGCCACCACTTCCTATTTCCTGCAACATTCGTGTAACATAGAGCTCTTGAAGCATTCAGAGCCACACAACAAAATCTCTACATTTGGTGAAATTTATGAAATCTATTTGAATAGAATACCCCTCTTTTCCAACCTCGGTACCAATATTACCTGACTCAGTGCCATTTGGTACCTAGAAACAGACGAGTGCCTGCAGGTTCTGTACCCATGTACCTCGATGGCCCGGTTATGTGCTTCTCACTCAGTGCCTTTATCAACGCTCGGCTTCGTTTTGGCCCCGCTCTAAATTGACTAAACCCCATGAATCCTTCTTGTGTACATTTGTATAGCTGGAATGCGCCTTTAACTTCTTTCGTGTCTTTTGCACGGCAACTTCGCCATTTTTTAAAAGGCGCTACACCAGGGTTGGAAAACTTGCCACCAATTTTCATGTTACATTATTCTTGCCTACTCCACGTTTGCACACAAATGAAGTCTACACTGTCCTCCCAGACCAAAGCTTTGCCTCTAGTACGTTTTTTTTCGTTCCTTACAGCGTATCCACCGGTGCACTTAGCAGCTTCATCAGTTTTAAGAAGTCTAGTACGGCGTCGTTGTGATCACAGGATGTCAAGAGATTTTGCTACGGCGTGGCTTGCCTAGAAGGCAAGATCAAAAAGCGTTGTAATTCAATGCTCAGGTAGATGGCTCAAAGTTCTAATGTACAAGTGTGTCTACGGGACCCTGACAGCGAGAAAGAGACGACAGAATGCACTATTCAAATATTAATCAAGTAAAAATGGATAGTTCAGGAAAGATCTTAGCCAGTTTGGCCCCCATTCACTGTCTTCTACCTACAATTGCGCGAAAGGTTAGCGCGAGAAAGAGGATATCGAGACGCAATAAGTTCACATTATTTGCCAAAAATTATTATGCCCATCGACTGCAGCTCCTCGCCACACGCTGGTACGCTACGGCTGTTGAACTCTCATGCAAGCCGAAGTCACGACCAATGACCATCTACAGTCCATAATGATCCCGTGTTTAAGAAGGAAGGACAAAACGCAAAGACTCCATATGTAGTATTCACATGCACATTAGCTGCTCATACCTGGTCGAAAGCACCCCATTCATCCTAACTAGGTCCGTGGATAACAAACTAGTAGGCGAATGATCCGATGGAAATCTCCGAGTCTGAGCTCCACGCGGAAAACGCGTAGCTTCCTAGCTGGATGGCTTCCTTATACACTAATTCGTGGCGCGCAGCTTCCTGCGTGTCCATTTTGGTTGCCTCGAGCAAACACTTGACACAAAAGCTCACTTTCCGCTGAGAGAGCTCTGAATCCGGTCCAATGTAGCTTAGTTTCCTCGTCACCTTGCAGGACCCACACATAGCTCCAAAGCACAACTTGCACATACTGGTTGACTTGCCGAATCTCGAAGCTTTGGTCGGCTTGGAGCACGTCTCGCACTCGGACCTGGTCTTCGGAGGTCCGTTCTCCCTCAATTCAGCATGTTTCAGCTCAATCAGCCAGGCCAATTTCTTCATGTGGCCGCAGAAGGGTTTCGAAAAAGTTAATGGTCATGGACCTTTAATTGCCATAGTACCTCTCCGTAATGGATGGAATCGTCGGCGAGGGATCCTTCCCTATCTCCAGTTTACAAACTTAAAGTCATTTTGAGGCGCATGTCTCCGCAGGTCCCTCCATACTTTCGTACGCACTGCCGCAGTGCCACTGCGTACTACGCAGGGGCTTTGAGCGGCGCGGCCTCAGCACGCATTTGCACCACATCAAACACACGCTTTTCTTCTCCCATGCCGCACAGGTCGCGGTGACCGTCACCCCCGCCATGGCTCGACAGCTCGATGGATCGTCGCCGAGTCAACCACTACGTCTACGTGCGGCGATTCCTTAACAAACGGGTGCGCGAATTCTAGCGAAGGAAGGTGCCGTACTAATATTGCTTTCAGCGCCAGAACTAAGCGACCTAGAGAACAATCAGATGCAACCACTGGCGCTTCAAGCTGTATGGTTAGGGGGCGGGATGCGGCAGTGAATATAAGCTTTGCCAATGCCGCTTAACGCTTTACGCGAGAGCCCGGGAGCCTCAAGTGCGCATCCACGGATACAAGTACCGATTCGCTGAGATCTTAGCGATTAGTGCTCCTTGCTAAGGGCGCCGGTATACACTAACTTAGCCTAGAAGCCGCAGGAAGTCATTTGTTGTGTAGAGTAACACACTTTTTTATTGAGGGACAATGGTCCATTGTGCGTCGTGTATGGGAAGTGGACGGTTCACTTAACCGGTTAGGGCAGGTGAACCGGCGTTTTCCGGCGCCGCGGCAGTTGCGGTCTTCCCCTCGAGAAGCACAAAAGCCGAGCACAGAGCTCGTTCAAGATCTACCGACGAGCCCGGCTCACACTTTGGACCATGGCGCGGCAGCCGAACCCGCCCACGACTGTCTCGCTGGCTGACGAGTTACGCGGGCACGTCGTCCGCTTGGAGTGCCCGTACGAGCTGGCAGCGCGCGACTGAGACGGGCCCATCTACGCTGAGTTGATCGAGCCGAGGCAATTGAGTCCGGGCCATCGCAGTCCCTTCGTCGAGGACGACTCTGTGCGCCGCCCCGGGTGGCTATGCAACCTCATCTACTACAGATTCGACCACGACGCTGCGCGCGAGCGCCGCGGCGACGACCAAGATCCCGATGACCGTGCAGTGATCCCATTCGGCCGCCTAACCCGACCCTTCGAGGACTTGAAGGACGAGTGGCGCGACCGCCCGTTATTAATGCTATTTCGGTTTGTTCGCTTCAAAATCTGCTTTCTCGCTGCAGTTGATGACCGTGGTGCCCGCGGCGGCACCACTTTCGTTGAAACTCCCTTGGAAGTGTACCTCGTTGGTCAGGTGGTGGCGTACCGACCTTGTTCCCGTTTGACTTTCACCACCCAGTCTGGCGCGCGCCTCCGCCTCACAGCGAGCTTCGCGTGTGTCGTCGCAGTACGGCAACCAGCTACAGCTCCAGCCGCTCATGTCCTCATCCCATGCAACGTGGCATGGGAGAACCAGATCTCTCGTGATGAATTTGTTGTGGGCTGGTGTCATGGTGTGCCGGCGACCTCCAGTCCAAACCGGCACACGCCTCGTTTTCACTCGCGTTGGAGAGAGCTGGAGATTGGATCTGTGAACAATGATGAACTACAACGACAACTTCAAGAGGTCCTGGTTCCCGCTGGCTCCGACACCACCTTTGACTTCAGCTCGGCCTCCATTCCTGTCATTTCGGAGTTTGGGCGCATTTTAACAGTGTGTCCGCTGGATTATGTTCGCAAATACATCGGGCCTTCGGGTTCCAATGCCCGCCGCCTCGACGGGGATGAAGATAGCGACTCTGATGCCCCTGCAGATGTGCTGGCGGTGGGTCTTTCGCGTGGACGTCCCCTGCCTCGTGAATCGCCGGTGATTGTTGGCATGAGATCGCCGCTGCAGTTGGCGCCCCCTGTTCCGGCTCAGTGGCTTCCTGGAACTCTATTGGCCGGCGACGATGCAGCGGATATCTCACGGGCTCAGGACCGTGATGAAGGCACTGCGGTATCCGCCGTCACTGCTCCGACCACTTCCAGTTCGTCACCCACGGCACCAGCTCCTGGGGCCCGCCCAGCAGCGGACATGCAACCTCCTTCGCTGGGCACATCAGATGCTGCTTCGACCAACGCACAGACAATGACGGTAGTGTTAGCTATGGCACCGTCTACTCAAAAGCTCGTGGAGCCAACCTAAAAATGGATTCAACAACAACTTGATCGTCCTGCTTCGACGGGGCCGGCGCCCCCTTCGCATCCAATTCAACCTGTTTCCTCGCCTCCGGCGGCGGTGAGAAGAGAACCGGCGGTTGATCGGCGGTCTCGGCGAGCACAGGAACGTCCGCATATCCACCGCGATCGACGCAGTCGAAGCCCGAGCCCGCGACGTGGCCATGCACGCGATGGTCGCGACCGGCGGAGCCGCAGTCGCCACCGCGACCGGAGTCGCTCCCGCAGTCCGGGCCGAGCGCGGTCTCGCCACACCAGCATCCGGCTTCAACGGAACTCGACTCCGCCCCCTCGTCGGTATGTGTATTCCCCCCACGCCGACGGTCGGGACGGGCAAGGCCACAGTTCGCCGCCCGAGCCATCTCGGCCTTGGAGTCAGCATGAGGATTGGCAATCAGGGCCTCCCACTGGGCAGCACAGTGGGCACTCGGATCGCGGGGGCGCGGACTTTCAGGACCGCGCTGACGGAGATTACGACTTGCACCAGTACTCTGGAACCCGCCGGAGCCGAGCGGATCCCCGCCCAGAGGGACATGCTGACTACGAAGACACGCAGGAGGAGCGTGAGCTCGTGAACGTTTTTATAGTTCGGGAAATCACAGTCTTTCTGGGTCTGGAAACGAAGGCAAATCGATGTCGAGCCCTTCTTGGGCACCTAGGCCAAGATGTCAGAAGGCACTGTCGTTCGGCTCTGGTGCTGCTGCGTCCCTCGCTGTGGACCACCCACGCGTGAGCGGGCTTCGATACGGCGAGACGCTGAAGACCCGTATTCAATCTGCCGCGCCCAGGTATCCACCAAGGCTGTGTCGATGACTTGGCGGACGAGTCGAATGTTATCGGGCGACGAATGCGAGAGTGTGGCTCGAGCCTCGTCCGCCAGTACGGATGGATGCATGGTGGTCATCCTGGACGGATTGAAACAGCCGCGTGAACACAAGTGTGTACAAATTGATCGTGGCATAGACCAAATCCCGCGGGGCATTGTCCAATGTATCCTTGGCCGCATCGGCGTGGACGATGGAGAACACCTCAGCCACGGGTCGAGGGAACCATTCCACAGCGGCTTCATGAATGCGAGAGAGCACTCTGCGCAAATCCGAAATCGAAATGATGTGAGCCACAGGTACCGTGTCACCAGCGCCTCAAGTGGCGGAGTCATGCGTCACCGAACGCCTGCCCCCGCTCTGCGCAGGAGGCGGCAAGAAGTGGTCGAGAGGCCTCGTGCCAAAGTTCACCGCGAATATCATTTTTGCAGTCACCTTCGTTACCCGGTAACGATTGCGCAGTGTTTCGTGGTGCTGGATGGCCGAAACGCGGTCTAGAATGGGCAGCTGCCAGTAGCGGCGTAACTCTCCAATACTCTCCTTACCTTGTGGTCTTGGTCCGACATGCGCGATCTGGTGAACAGCGAGCTCGGCCGCCGGCGGGCGGAATGAAGTCGCGCCCGACGTCAGCGCCTCGATCGTCTGCTGCAAGGTGTGCTGTCCAAAGTCGTCCTGGTCAGGTAGGACGCCTTGATCCGTATGGATTCGAGTGTCGGGCTAATTAACCCGAACATGTTCTCGTCCAGAGTACCGGGCAGCGGGCCGACCATGAGGGCCTCCACCATGTTCGACTTGGGGTTCGCCTTCTTCCGTTGGAGGTAGCACGTCGTGGCGCCTGAATTCGTGAATTTCTTCCAGCGTCGGGCGTCCACGCGCTTGTCGTCGTTGAGATACTCCTCGTACTCTTCGACCTTGGCGAGCATGATGGAGTCGGCGACTTCGATAAGCTTGGCGCAGTCTTCGGTCGTCAGCGTCAACTCGTCGAAGGGGTTTGCGGTGAATCGTTTGGTACTCATTCGGTCGACGCCCGACAAATTGGACAATGTCTGTTCGAGTCAACAAAGTCCACGTCTGACTTCCAACAAGACGACCTGGAAACGACGCCGCACTCCGAGTCGGAGTGGCGTCGGAAAGTCAGATATTCCGACTTTCCGACTTGAGGACGTGCTGACAGAGTGCAGCGGACATGTACCAGTCAAAACCAACTCTCAATCCGCTTTGACGTCATACCGCCACCATGTCTGGTGGCTTCGTGTCGGTACGGTATCTTGGGCTAGAGCATGACCAGTACTTCAACGTATCTACCAAAATACATTGTACACAAACACATTTAGTCGAGTAGAAAGCAGGCGGCAAAAAGTGTAATCGTTGGTATTCTACTTTGTGGGCGCAAAGATTTTTCTAAACTAGACTATACAAAACTATACAAAAGCCTTGAGTACTGTAGAAACGGTTAAACTCCATTTCGAGTAAAAGATTGCTGTCAAAAAACTAATCGCATCGGGTAAAGCGGAACACCCTCAGATCTACGCCCTTATTTGTTTTCCACCAGCAGTCAAACACGTCGAGCTCACTTCTACATAACTTTGCTACACAGGTAGGTGGAAATGTCGTGCCGTCTTCAACCAGGTCAGCTATCATACCGCAAACTATGTAGAAGAATCGGACGCATGAATGAATGAATGATGTACGTGTTCCAACCCGCTTGGAGAACTCCACACAAGGGTAAGCCCGACGACAATGGGCTTCCCAAGAACGTTTCTTTTCGCGAAGTCCTACCGAAAATGGAACTGGATAGATTGCTCATTCTGGACTGTGCTGCTGGATGGAACAGCGGCACCTCATCAAGCAAGCACAGCGATGAATGTACTGAATAATACATGTAGTCCTCTTTCCTAAAAGTATTTGCGCAGTGAGGCCGTCGGTGGTGGCTGACGAACAAACACCAGCACAAGTGGAGCGGCTACTATGCTAATCAGCTGCGACTTCAGTCTTACAGTCTTCGTGGGAGAAGAGCCGCTTGCCTTCCCAGCGCGTGCTGTGCAGTACAGTAACGAGTTTGCACAAAAGGGATAACATCGCTTCGATTAATTCTCGGTGGATAAACTAAGCAATCCGGTGGAGGCTATCTACGTTCCAGCCGCTAGTCCAGCGTTTTCGTCTAGCGTGGTCAATGAGCAGCAAATGCTTACTCAAAGTGTACGCAACTTTAGGGGAAACTTTTTTTCCAACAGCGAACACAACTTGAAGATTATCTTACGCTGGAACCCAACGCTTCAAGGGCTCGAGTCCAATTCTAAAATTTAGCTCTCAACGCTCGTACTTGACGCACTATCATGCAAGTTGACCAAAACGCAGACCCACAAAATCCTGAATCGGACGCGTTCCTTTTACTAGCAACGTTCGACTCGTACCCGAGCAGTCGGGAAGCTGCAAAGACGTTTTACCTGTAGTCTTCGGACTTTTTGGTAATGCAAACGTTGGCGGTAGTGAATGTTTTTTAGTTCATTTCACTGTAATCGAACATAGTGACGCTGTTTGTCTAGCTTGGTGGCCAAATAGAACTGACCGTGCTGTCAGAATAAGCACTTGACCCGGAAGAGCTGTAGTTACGTGGCTGGGTGTTGTAGACAAATTGCTGGCGAGCAGCTTCCAGCGTGTCCATCTTGGCTGCTTCGAGCAGGCACTTCACACAGAACGTCACTTTTCGTTGAGAAAGCTCCAGATCCGGCGTAATAAAACTCAACCTCTTGGAGACCCTGCAGGAGCTGCACACTGCGCTGAAGCACACCTTGCACGTGCTTTTCGAGCTCTTCAACTTTGAGCTCTTGATCTGTTTCGAGCACGTCACGCACTCGGGCTTCACAACGGGCCCACCCTGCTCCCTTAGCTCAGCGTGTCTCTGCTCCAGCAACCACGCCAACTTCTTCATCTGACCGCAGTACGAGTACTTCACACTTGCCAACGTTGCTTGCACCATCCCCATCACGCCCAGAATACGGATCAACTCACCTCCCGGATCCATGATGCCCGTGCCTCGGCAGTCCGTCTTGTCAGGCCCCTCTTGGTGGAAGATAGCGCAGAGTGACATGTTGCCGCGGATCCGGCTCGGAAGCTTGTGCGTCTGCGGGAAATTGACGGAGTGGAAAAGGTGGTAGCCCACTCGCTCGCCGTTCTTCATGCTCAAAATGCCAGAGCTCTCGAGAAAAACGTAGTCACGGTTGCGCACGATTCCGATAGAGGCCCCAGGAATGTCGATCTCCATCCACTTCACCACCACAGACCGAAAAGGCTCATCCTCCGTAGGCCACACGATCGTGTCCAGCACCGCTCCAGCACTAAAATCGTTGAGATACGACGCCTTGATCCGCATCGACTCGAGAGTTGGGTTCACCAAGCCAAACATGTTCTCATCCAAAGTTCCCGGAAGCGGACCAACCATAAGCAGCTCAGGTAACTTGGACTCCGGGTTCGACTTCTTCCGCTCGAGGTACGACGTCGTTGCGCCTGAATTCGCGAACTTCTTCCAGCGGTCCAGGTCAACGCGCTTCTCGTTGTTCAGGTACTCCTCATATTCTTCGAGCTTGGCTTGGACGAGTGCTTCGCTGATATCCACGAGCTTGGCGCGGTCTTCCGCCGTCAGCGTCAAGTCAGCAAACGGATTAACGGTAAACCGTTTGTTGCTCATTCCGACGCGCCGTCGTGGCAAACGCTGCCACTCAAATCGAGAAATGAACTGAAGGAAATTCCTTCAAGGAATCGAAGACACGTACGCTTCTGTGCCGAATCGGCAGCGCCAATTCCAGCAAATCTTGGGCTAGTCAGGTGGTGTTCACCAAAAAGACGACTGGACACACAAACAGCGACGGCGGACGCTGTTACAGCAGCGTGTCAAACACTGTATAAGCCGGCAGGGTAGACCGTTGCAACGGCTGTTGCCCTTACAAGTAAAATGCATCTGCAAGCATTGCGCTCCGGCAAGTTGTACTGTACATGTACAATCGGATCTCGGCAAGTTGTGCTCCGAGTCTCGAACTTCGAAGTTCGAGCGCACGATACTTTCCAGCTGTCTTGGATGGTGTTCACCACGATGGTGACTTTACATGTACACACAGTACATAGCAGACTTGAAGTTGATATCAGTAGGCGGCAACGAGCCAAGCTCAGTTGGTGCTTACATGTACCAGTATGATACGTCGAAGCTGTGTCTTAGCAGCGGAGCGCGGACAGATCCCCTGGCTACCCAAGACGAGGATAAATGTGGTGGTATAAAGTATGGTCTTCTACTAGGCTCTTGAACCCCGATCAAAACTCCACCCACCAGACGATAATTAACTCAAATGGTTCACTCTTTACCTGTTCCATTTGATTTTAGGTAACGGCGAGCGTGTGCGAGGCGCCACAGACCATCCGACGCACAGCGGTAGCCTCCTTCACCCATTCAACACGCCTCTCTTGTATTTCAGTTGTCGTCGATCCAGCATCGGCTGAGGGCTGTGAGAAGCTTGGGTAAGAGAGTAGCAACACGCCAGCCTTCGTCAAGAGACCATAGTGCGCTTCACCGCAGGAAACAGAGACGATCTGTCCAAAGAACTCACGTTCGAGATTCGATGGGAGTGTCAGCAGTACGGGCGACAGGTGCAGGTTGTCAGCATCCAATGTAGGATCACGTCCACAGATGTACGCAGTCCCATTCTGCAGCAGGAAAAGCGATAAATCATTCCCTCCCGCAATGTCGACCAACCCGCATGTGCCGGTAATTGCCGCCGAGATTGCCATCACCTGCTTCGGCTCACTGACGTCCATGTAGCAGCCGTGGCCCAGTTGGCCAGAGTCACCACGTCCCCAAGTGAAACCCGCTCCGTCACTAGTGATAGCTAGCGAGTGATCCTTTCCAGCTGCAACTCGACGGATAACGCTTCTGTCTCCACTGCCTATCCTGGATTTCATATCCATTGACCAAGCGGTCCAATCTCCGTCAAGCTGTCTTGGTTGCTACAGTTGCCATACACAAAAGAGTCAGAATGGAATCCCAGGCACGTCGACAATATCTATACCGGTACGCGAGCTTACCACCATATCCAGCAAGCCTTCGGTGCGACGGCCTAGTTTGCCATACTTGTTGCAGCCCCACGAGAATACGCGGCCGTCTGATGACAAAGCGAGAGAATGGTACTCGCCGCAAGCAACGGAGCTCATATATGTTCCTCTCAGATCCGCCACAACGGATGGCGCTTCAACTGTTGTACACGAGGATCCAGGTGACAAGAATCCAAGTTGACCTCTTGAGTTGCTTCCCCACGCATACACGTGCCCATTGAGATCCGTGACCAGCGTGTGGAAAGCTCCGCATGCGACCTGAACAATTGTTTGATGCTGTAGCGCAAGTACACGCTGTGGACAGCTAACTCGACGCGAATCTCCATCGGCAATATCATATCCCAAGCGACCACCACTGCAATCTCCCCACGTGAACAAGTTGCCATCTTCGGTTACCGCAGCAAAGAACCTCTGCCCACCACTCACTTGAACAACGCTGGTGTCGCTCACCAAAGTTCGTTTTCCCTCGACGACAAACTCAACCGGTTGAACAGCAAGGGAGCTAGAAGATCCCGCTTCAGTATGAGTATCTTTACTGCGGCCACTTTCGTTATCAGATGAAGACCATTCTCCGATTATGGATAGTTGCTTCATCGATGGCACATCGCCACCACAGTAACTCGGATCAGCGACGCTGGGGTGGGGGCTTTCCTGGCGAGTTTCGGTTCCAGTATCTCGTCGCGCAAGCTCCACATTTTCTACTGCTTTCATAAGATCGCGCCGAATTCTGTGAACAGCTTGCACGCACTTCGACTCTTCTATAATCTGCGAACACCGAATCCCAGCGGTCCCGCCTTGTAAAGCGAGATCTGCACAGTCCTTGCAGTCGTCTTCGTGATCTCCCCGCATCAGGAAATATTCGATCGCCACCTGGAAATTTGCGATTGTGAAGCCCAGCGCTGTCGTGTTGGAGTTGATAAAGTGATAGTCGGAGATGTACTTTATCACGGCAGCGAGAGGAAATGAAGGCGTTAATCTGGCATCCTTCACGGCAGACCTTCGTAGTACGCCATTGTATGCTTGCACCAGCACAAATAAAAGTTGATCCAAAATGTCGTCGGTTGTCAACTGGTAAACCTCTGCAACGGCAACTAAAATGTCAGTAATTCAGAGTGCAAGACCATAGACATCATCGAATAGCCCACGCATTGTACCAAAATCTAACCGGCGAAGCTTGACATTCCTTGTGATCGCGTCGCTTACTCGGTCGATGCACGCCTTGAAAATCAACAACATATCCAGGGGTGTCTTCTTTTCAACAACAGTGAGAAGCGTATCTCGTGCCTCGGAAGCAAAACACTTTCAAAACAACAATGAAAACCCAGCAGCACAATATCATTAGCCACCTCACATCCCTCCACCCTCCCCCAACACCACCTCTCACCTGAAACTCCTTCCGCAGTCCAAAATCTTCCGGCGTATAGTGTCTCATGCGGTACATGACCTGCTGCAGCTTCCGGTCCTGCTCCTGACAACTTGCCACGACTCTCGGGAAGATCAAGTCGTGCAGACTCTCCATCAAATAGCACTCCACCACCTGCTGGATCTGCAGCAAGTGGCTCACTCCTCCGCCATGTCTCCTCTGCAGCCTGTAGTCCTCTTCAACATCGTCGAAGCTGCCGGCTTGGATGAGCTCCTCCACTGCCGCCTCCCACTCCTCTCTCAGATTGGCCGGCAGCGTCTGCTTGTACCGTTCGTACACCTGCTCCTGCACGCAGATCTTGTGCACCTGGCTGATGGTCTCGTCCAGCTGGTAGAACACCAGCTCGTTCTCCGGGAAGGAGCGGAGGATGGCCGTGTACTTCCTGAAGGTGGCCACGTCGATCTCGCTGGGGTCTTCGGGCACCTCGATGCCGCCCTCCAGCGGGCGGCTGATGTGCAGCACCGTCACCTCCTGGTGCTGGATCTCCCTCTTCTCGGACAGCAGAATGCGCACTTGTCGGCGGTCGCTGAAGCCTCGGCCCGTGTGGATGTGCGAGCCCAGCACGGCAACTTGTTTACCTAATCAAGTTGAAGTGACCATCACTCCGATAAATAAGAAAATCTATAATAGTATAATAAAAATGATTTATGGTAAGGAAAATATAACACATACCGTTGAGCGTGTTGTACTCGCCGAGCCGCGGGTCGTCGCCGTCCGCGGGCGTGAGGAAGTGCGAGTACAGCACGTCCTGTGTGAGGTCTTGGTCGGCCAGCAGCGAGCGCGGCTGGGGCACGCAGAACAGGCAGAGCGGGGGCAGCGCGCGCTGCGTCTGCTGCAGGTCGGCGCCCAGCGCCCGCAAGAACGCGTCGCCCATAGTGAAGCCAAATGAGCTCGTGAGTGCGGAATCAGATCATTGGTGTGGACCACACGACAAAGAAGAAGTGCACCAATCAGAAGAGAGAAAGGATAGTTGAAGTTTGACAAACACTCTGACTCTCACAATGCTCAAGCACAGCGAAGAAGAGGGAAATGGATAACAAGACTATATGCATTATGGACGGGTGTTATATGCGCAACGCTACTCTTTTGCTACATGCACGTGCAGGTCACTAACTACAAGCGCACAGAACGGAGATGCAATCATACACAAGCGCCACCCTACCCAGTCGTCGTCATTGTCAGTCGCTTCACCAGGTCGTCGGCCTCATCCCACCAACCGAGCTTGCTGTCTCTTAGCGGCGCAGCATCGGGTGCTCGGCCGGGCTCTCGGGCTCCCACTGGTTGGCCCAGCAGTCGTTCTCGACCCATTCCACAGCGTTCTGGTAGTGCGGCGCCTGCTCGTACACGCCGTAGTAGCCGAACTGCAAACAAACAACAAGCGCAAGAGTTAGTCTCTGATCAAGGCCACGGAGCCGACAAACTTTCGACATACCTTGTTCGCCGCCTGCTCAATGCAATCCTTGAGTTGCTTCACACGGCCAGTCGTGGCAGCCTCTTCTTGCTTGAGTCGCTGCTCCTGCTTCTTCAACTCCGAAAGCTGGTCCTCATAGCGCCGAGCGATCCACTCACGGAACTCGTCCTTGGTCATGAACTTAGACTCCTCCGAGGCTTCCTCCATGATCTGCTGCTGAATCTCCTCCGGGATCTTCGGCACCACAACAGGCACGTAGCCGTCATCGGTCGGCACCACAAGCTTGATGCCCTCGTCGGTCTCAACGGCCTTCACCTCCTCGGTCGTCACCTCACCGTGCTCGTCGACCAGCTCGATGGTCACCTCGCCGTGCTCGGGCTCGCCCTCGATCACCACCTGCTGCTGCTCGCCGCTCGGGGTCACAACGTTCACCACCTGCGTGTCCTCCGTCGCGATCTCGGCAATCTCGGCCGGCACTTCCGGCACAGTCACCACCGTCATGTCGCCCTCAGCGTCCGGGACCACCAGCTTCTCGCCCTCCGGCGTCTCAATGGCCTTCACCTCAGTCTCCGTGTAGCCGCCGAAGTCGTTCAGGACCTCGATCGTCTGGGTACCGTCCTCAATGCCGCCGACCAGGATCACCTGCTGCTGTTCGCCGTTGTCGGCGACCACATCGACGGTCTGCACAACCGGAGTCTCCTCCTCAGCGAACGGGTTTCCGCCCGACATCGTCGGCTGCTCCTCAACGATCTCCTGCTGGATCTCCTCCGGGATCTTCGGTACCACAACCGGCACGTAGCCGTCATCGGTCGGCACCACAAGCTTGATGCCCTCGTCGGTCTCAACGGCCTTCACCTCCTCGGTCGTCACCTCACCGTGCTCGTCGACCAGCTCGATGGTCACCTCGCCGTGCTCGGGCTCGCCCTCGATCACCACCTGCTGCTGCTCGCCGCTCGGGGTCACAACGTTCACCACCTGCGTGTCCTCCGTCGCGATCTCGGCAATCTCGGCCGGCACTTCCGGCACAGTCACCACCGTCATGTCGCCCTCAGCGTCCGGGACCACCAGCTTCTCGCCCTCCGGCGTCTCAATGGCCTTCACCTCAGTCTCCGTGTAGCCGCCGAAGTCGTTCAGGACCTCGATCGTCTGGGTACCGTCCTCAATGCCGCCGACCAGGATCACCTGCTGCTGCTCGCCGTTGTCGGCGACCACATCGACGGTCTGCACAACCGGAGTCTCCTCCTCAGCGAACGGGTTTCCGCCCGACATCGTCGGCTGCTCCTCAACGATCTCCTGCTGGATCTCCTCCGGGATCTTCGGTACCACAACCGGCACGTAGCCGTCATCGGTCGGCACCACAAGCTTGATGCCCTCGTCGGTCTCAACGGCCTTCACCTCCTCGGTCGTCACCTCACCGTGCTCGTCGACCAGCTCGATGGTCACCTCGCCGTGCTCGGGCTCGCCCTCGATCACCACCTGCTGCTGCTCGCCGCTCGGGGTCACAACGTTCACCACCTGCGTGTCCTCCGTCGCGATCTCGGCAATCTCGGCCGGCACTTCCGGCACAGTCACCACCGTCATGTCGCCCTCAGCGTCCGGGACCACCAGCTTCTCGCCCTCCGGCGTCTCAATGGCCTTCACCTCAGTCTCCGTGTAGCCGCCGAAGTCGTTCAGGACCTCGATCGTCTGGGTACCGTCCTCAATGCCGCCGACCAGGATCACCTGCTGCTGCTCGCCGTTGTCGGCGACCACATCGACGGTCTGCACAACCGGAGTCTCCTCCTCAGTGAACGGGTTCTCGCCGGACAGCTCGGGGAAGTATCCCGAGAGAATCGGCTCCTCCGGGGCCTCCTCAATGATCTCCTGCTGGATCTCCTCCGGGATCTCCGGCACCACAACCGGCACGTAGCCGTCATCGGTCGGCACCACAAGCTTGATGCCCTCGTCGGTCTCAACGGCCTTCACCTCCTCGGTCGTCACCTCACCGTGCTCGTCGACCAGCTCGATGGTCACCTCGCCGTGCTCGGGCTCGCCCTCGATCACCACCTGCTGCTGCTCGCCGCTCGGGGTCACAACGTTCACCACCTGCGTGTCCTCCGTCGCGATCTCGGCAATCTCGGCCGGCACTTCCGGCACAGTCACCACCGTCATGTCGCCCTCAGCGTCCGGGACCACCAGCTTCTCGCCCTCCGGCGTCTCAATGGCCTTCACCTCAGTCTCCGTGTAGCCGCCGAAGTCGTTCAGGACCTCGATCGTCTGGGTACCGTCCTCAATGCCGCCGACCAGGATCACCTGCTGCTGCTCGCCGTTGTCGGCGACCACATCGACGGTCTGCACAACCGGAGTCTCCTCCTCAGCGAACGGGTTTCCGCCCGACATCGTCGGCTGCTCCTCAACGATCTCCTGCTGGATCTCCTCCGGGATCTTCGGTACCACAACCGGCACGTAGCCGTCATCGGTCGGCACCACAAGCTTGATGCCCTCGTCGGTCTCAACGGCCTTCACCTCCTCGGTCGTCACCTCACCGTGCTCGTCGACCAGCTCGATGGTCACCTCGCCGTGCTCGGGCTCGCCCTCGATCACCACCTGCTGCTGCTCGCCGCTCGGGGTCACAACGTTCACCACCTGCGTGTCCTCCGTCGCGATCTCGGCAATCTCGGCCGGCACTTCCGGCACAGTCACCACCGTCATGTCGCCCTCAGCGTCCGGGACCACCAGCTTCTCGCCCTCCGGCGTCTCAATGGCCTTCACCTCAGTCTCCGTGTAGCCGCCGAAGTCGTTCAGGACCTCGATCGTCTGGGTACCGTCCTCAATGCCGCCGACCAGGATCACCTGCTGCTGCTCGCCGTTGTCGGCGACCACATCGACGGTCTGCACAACCGGAGTCTCCTCCTCAGTGAACGGGTTCTCGCCGGACAGCTCGGGGAAGTATCCCGAGAGAATCGGCTCCTCCGGGGCCTCCTCAATGATCTCCTGCTGGATCTCCTCCGGGATCTCCGGCACCACAACCGGCACGTAGCCGTCATCGGTCGGCACCACAAGCTTGATGCCCTCGTCGGTCTCAACGGCCTTCACCTCCTCGGTCGTCACCTCACCGTGCTCGTCGACCAGCTCGATGGTCACCTCGCCGTGCTCGGGCTCGCCCTCGATCACCACCTGCTGCTGCTCGCCGCTCGGGGTCACAACGTTCACCACCTGCGTGTCCTCCGTCGCGATCTCGGCAATCTCGGCCGGCACTTCCGGCACAGTCACCACCGTCATGTCGCCCTCAGCGTCCGGGACCACCAGCTTCTCGCCCTCCGGCGTCTCAATGGCCTTCACCTCAGTCTCCGTGTAGCCGCCGAAGTCGTTCAGGACCTCGATCGTCTGGGTACCGTCCTCAATGCCGCCGACCAGGATCACCTGCTGCTGTTCGCCGTTGTCGGCGACCACATCGACCGTCTGCACAACCGGAGTCTCCTCCTCAGCGAATGGGTTTCCGCCCGACATCGTCGGCTGCTCCTCAACGATCTCCTGCTGGATCTCCTCCGGGATCTTCGGTACCACAACCGGCACGTAGCCGTCATCGGTCGGCACCACAAGCTTGATGCCCTCGTCGGTCTCAACGGCCTTCACCTCCTCGGTCGTCACCTCACCGTGCTCGTCGACCAGCTCGATGGTCACCTCGCCGTGCTCGGGCTCGCCCTCGATCACCACCTGCTGCTGCTCGCCGCTCGGGGTCACAACGTTCACCACCTGCGTGTCCTCCGTCGCGATCTCGGCAATCTCGGCCGGCACTTCCGGCACAGTCACCACCGTCATGTCGCCCTCAGCGTCCGGGACCACCAGCTTCTCGCCCTCCGGCGTCTCAATGGCCTTCACCTCGGTCTCCGTGTAGCCGCCGAAGTCGTTCAGGACCTCGATCGTCTGGGTACCGTCCTCAATGCCGCCGACCAGGATCACCTGCTGCTGTTCGCCGTTGTCGGCGACCACATCGACCGTCTGCACAACCGGAGTCTCCTCCTGGGATGGGGTCTCCATACCAGCGGCTTCAGCCTGCTGCTGAGCGATCTCCTTTTTGGCCTCCTTGGGAACATCAGGAATCGTCACGGCGATGTAGCCGCCATCGGTCAGGACCACGATCTTCTCGCCCTCGGACGTCTCAGTGGCCTTCACCTGCTCAGTGGTCACCTCGCCGTGCTCGTCAACGATCTGAACGGTCTGCATGCCGTTCTGGGGCTTGCCATCGATGATGATCTGCTGCTGCTCGCCGCTTGGGGTCTCGACGTTCAGCACCAGAGTGCTAGTCGAAGCCTGCTGCACAACCTCAGCCGGAACATCGGGCACAGTCACAACCGTAGTCTCGCCCTTGGCATCCGGGATCGCCAGCTTGACGCCGTTGTCGGTCTCAACGGCCTTGACCTGCGTCTCGACGTAGTCGCCGTGCTCGTTCGGGATCTCGATGGTCTGCACACCGTGGTCGGGCTCACCCTCAATGATCACCTGCTTCTCCTCGCCGCTGGCGGTGACGATGTCAACCGTCTGCAACACAGGCGGTACCAGGTTCTCCTCTTCGACGATCTCCTCGTGGATCTCCGCCGGCACGTCCGGCACCACGACGGGCACGATGCCGTCGTCCGTCGGCACCTCGAGCTTCAGGCCGCTGTCGGTCTCAATGACCTTCACCTCCTCAGTGGTCACTTCGCCCGACGCGTCCACGATGTCCACAGTCACCTCACCGTGCTCCGGCTCGCCCTCGATGACAACCTGCTGCTGCGCGCCGTTGTCGGGGTTCACGACGTTCACCACCTGGGTGTCGTCCGTGGCCAGGTCGGCGATCACGTCCGGCACATCGGGCACGTTCACGACCGTGGTGCCTCCGTTTCCGTCGGGAACGACGATGGACTCGCCCTGGTCGGTCTCGACGGCCGCCACCTCCTTCTCCGTGTAGCCACCCTGGTCGTCGGCGACCTCGATGGTCTGCTTGCCGTCCTCGACTTCGCCCACGACGATGACTTGCTCGTGCTCGCCATTGTCGGTGACCACGTCGACCGTCTGCACGACGGGCGGCTCAGGCTCCTGGTCGGCGTACGGGTTCGGGCCGCTGTCGAATTCCGGCACCGGCTCCGGCAGCGGCACTTGAATGATGTCGCCGTCGGGGGTCGAAAAAATGAGCTGCTCCTCGCCCGAGGGGGTCTCCACCACCTCGGCTTTCGTCTCGACGTACTCGCCGGTGCTGTCCTGGACCTGCACGGTCTGCTCGCCGTGCTCCGGCTCGCCCTCGACGATCACCTGCTGGGTCTCGCCGCTGGGCGTGACCACGTCCACGACCTGCGTGTCCTCGCTCAACTCGGACGTGACGTCCGCTGGCAGCTCCGGCACCACCACGGGGGTGATGTCGCCGTCCGCGTTCGGGATCAAGATCTTCTGCTCGCCAGTCGGCGTCTCGATGGACTTGACCTCCGTCGTCGTGTAGCCGCCCTGGTCGTCCAGGATCGCGATGGTCTGCTTCCCGTCCTCCGGCTCGCCGACGATCAGCACTTGGGCGGTGCCTCCGTCGGGCGTCGGGATCTCGACCGTCTGCTGGCTGTCAGCGGGCGCTTTCTCCTCGCTCTCGTCCTCCTGGTCGGGAGGCGTGACGGCAATGGTGACCCGCGGGCAGAAGACGTCCAGCATGTAGTAGAAGATCTCGTGGTCCTCGCGGCGCACGGCCGTCGGGCGCGAGTCCAGCGCCTGCTTGGCGCAGTCGCTGTCGCTCTGGAGCTTGCCCTCCAGCAGCGCCACGAGGTTGCTCTTGATGTCGTCGGGCAGGTCGGACTTCATGACGCGCTTGACGTCCGCCGTCTCCTTGCCGTTCAGGTCGGCCAGGATCTCGTCCTTGGACAGCTCGCCGTTCCCGTCCGTGTCGATCTCGTCGAACTTGGGGTGGAAGGCGTCGCCCAGCTTGGACACGAAGGCCTCGTTGGCCATGTTGGCCGCCAGCTTGGCCGTCTTGACGTCGCTCGAGGCGTTCGACGCGCGCATCGTGGCGTAGCCCACGCCGGCCGACGCGGCCAGCAGGCCGATGGTGGCGCCGGCCACGGCCAAGCGCTTCTTCTGGCGCCGCTTGTTGCTCGGGCGGTCGGGCGCCGCGACGCGCCGGATGAAGCGCGTCTCCTCGTTCTCACTCCCGTAGTTGGTCGGGGACTTCATGATGGCAAGAGCCCAGTGGGGGACAGACAGACAGACAGCTCACTCAGTGACTAGTGCGCTGGGCCTTGCGGTGCTCTCTGGGCGATGTTTCCTCGACAACGAGAATTGGGAAGTGATTGGAGCGAAGCGCCAAGTCCTTGAGTCGCCCAAGCTCATGAGCCTCATGCTTGGGCTGGCAGCCACCGCTTCGAAAAGATCCCGTGGCCCGGGACCTCCAAGATCGCGCGGCATACAATCATGAGGTGGGCCGAGGCATCGACGGCTGAGGCGCCTTGGAGAGGGTCCTTAGACCGCGCCTCCGCCTGGGCCGCCGCAGCCGCATACTGCGGATCCTCGCGGGTCAAGGGGCGGCGGATCTGCGCGAGTGGCCGCCCGGCGCACAATGGACGGACGCGGGTCAAGATTGCACCAACGTTGAAGCGGCACGTTGACTCGCCGCCTGATCCCTTGGCCGGCCAGCGATCACCGCACGATCGGGTGACGTGCAATCTCGGCGGCGCTCGGGCCGCGATGGACCTTGGGCGGCTCTTCGCCGAAAAGATATGACCAGGTGGACCGGGCCAAGTTGAAGTTCTAGGAACCGAGCGAATGCACTGCTGTGAGCGGCTTTGGCTTTGGGGGCGAGCCCAGCTCACGACTGGCCGAGCTCTGCCCGGGGCAATGCCCGACCGAATATCATCGCCGCCGGTGCTCCGAGTCACTTTCACTTGTATCGTGGTCGCAATGATGGCCAGGAGCGACGGGATGGGCCGATACTTGTCCTGCGTTGCAGGCAGACTAGAACCTGCACTGCAACACTGCAGCATGATTTCGAGTCGAAATTGCAGGCGGCAACCAAATTGAAGGACGGAGTAAGCCCCCTCTCCTCCCTTCCTTTCCCCGCAACCTGCAACAGCTTTGCATGTCGATCACTGGAAATAGTGTCACCGACTGCTTCATGGCCAGCCCCAGCTGCAATGCTGCCTGAAGTACTAGACCGCGAGCAGGTCATGAGCGTGGCCTCCATCGCTTTGCAGTGCTACCGTAGATACGTATCCGATCCTTGGATACGGCAACGAGATGCCGCGTCTCATTCAAGAGCAAGTCTTGCTAGTCGTCGTCGTTTCCACTTCCCCTTGAGTCCTAGGACGAAGTCCAATGCTCCGGCGCGCGGCAATCAGTGGTAGGAAGGCTTGAACGCTGGAGCTGAGTGCGGCGCCGGCTTTCTCGATATCACAGACGCCCCAAGTTGCAGCCGGACATACAAACACCGAGTGTTCGTCTGCATGGTTCACTTTCTTATTCGTCGAGGCAAGGAGCAGCGCCGACGCCATGCAGTTCCACCTCAAGAAGCTCTGCGTCCGTGAAGATGTTCGCCCGCTGCCAAGCTTCAGCTCCCTGTTTGCAGCCGCAGCGGGCAGTCACGATGAGTCGGAGCCGCCTCCCGTCGACGCCTCGATGACACTGGGAGGGCTGCTGCCACTCCCCCACGCAGAGCTGGCTATCATCAAGACCGAGGAGGTCAACAGCGCCGCTGCCGCTGACTTGGATGAAATCATGATCATCAAGGCCGAGGAGATCGACGGCGACGCTGCTGCCGACTCGAATGAGATCATGACGGCCTTCGCCAGTCTGGACACGGAAGCTGAGGCGCTGGACGAAGAGCTCCCGCTGGAGTTCCGGTGTCGCTATCGTCGAGGCAAGTGCTCGCAACCACGGACTCTCAAGAAGAACGGGTCGATGCACAGCTACTGCGAGCACCACCGCCTGCTCTCGGTCCGCAACCAGCGAGTGTTCGACCAGAAACGCCGACGACAGCGCCAGCGTGAGCTTGGAGTTGAAGAGGACGAGCAGGGCCAGGAGCAACAAGATGGGACGACCAACTCCAGTGAAACTGAGAAGTCCAGTAGTACCCACAGCAGTAAACGATCCACGCGAAGACGCCGGACGACGTAGCAGCAACACGCACACACACAACAGTAGCCACAATTTCCCCCTTCTTGCGAGCATTAGCAGACTACAAGCAAGCAACGAGCGTCATACTTATCTATGCAGAAGAATCGCATTCATTTACTTACTCGCACAATGCGTACCGGTTCACATTCGCACGTTCTCGACAATTCCTATAAACCATTGCACAGAACGGGTGCAGTTATCATCGAGCGGTCGAGCGAGGACGGATACCTTGGGACGCTTCTAGGCTTAGTCGACAACGATGGACCACGGGTGCTCGCGGCGGCCGTACTGGATGTCGGACAGCTCCTTCCAGATGCGCTCGGCCAGCTTGCCGGACTTGCCGTCCGTGCCGTCGAGCGGGATGGCCAGGTCCTCGTCCATGTAGTTGATGGTGGACACGGGCGAGACGACGGCGGCGGTGCCCGAGCCGAAGACCTCGATGATGCGGCCCTCCTTGCTGGCCTTCTGCAGCTGCTTCATGTTGATGTTGCCCTCCGTGACCTTGAACTCGTTCCACTCGCGCGTGAGGTGCAGGATCGAGTCGCGCGTGATGCCGGGCAGGATGTCTCCGCGCGTGAGCGGCGGCGTGATGAGCTCCTTCTCGCCCTGCTCGTTGATCCAGTGAATGAAGAGGTTCATGGTGCCCACCTCGGTGATCTCGTGGTCCTCGCCGAAGATCCACAGGTTCTGAGAGTAGCCCTGCTCGTGGGCGTCGTACTGGGGCAGGATGCCGGGCGCGTAGTTGGCGCCGACCTTGTAGCCGCCGGTGCCGCCGGGCCACGCGCGGATGTAGCGGTCGTTCGCGCACAGCTTCACGGGGTTGAAGCCCTCCGGGTAGTACGGGCCAACGGGGGACAGGATGATGAAGAGCTTGGCCTTCTCGCTGGCGCCGACGCCGATGGAGGCCTGCGTGGAGATGCCCGTGGGGCGGATGTACAGCGAGTAGCCCTCGCCCTTAGGCACCCAGTCGCGGTCGATGCGGATGAGCTCCGCGAGGCACTTGGTGAGCTCATCGCCGTCGAACTCCGGGAGCAGCAGGCGCTTCATCGAGTTGTTGAGGCGCTTCATGTTCATGTCCGGGCGGAAGAGGCGGATGTGGCCCTCGGCGTCCACGTACGCCTTCATGCCTTCGAAGCACTCGAGCGCGTAGTGCAGCACGGCGCTGGCCGGGTCCATGGCGATGGGGCCGTACGGGTGGATCGCCGGGTTGCCCCAGCCCTTGCCCAGCTCCCAGTCCACCTCGAGCATGTGGTCCGTGAAAGTTTTGCCGAACTTGAGCTGCTCCTTGGGCAGCTTGGCCTTTGGGGTGGTCGTGCGCTCGACCTGCAGGTTGGCCAGCTTGATGTCGGCGCCCGTGGAGAAGGCGGCGGCGCGCGGGGACGCCACGCGGCTCAGGGTCTTGGCGCCGCGGGCGATCATGGCTTGAGGCAGGCGGAGAAGGTCTTCTTGCGCTCGAGACGTCCAATGCAGGAATGGCACACTGCTCGTGTCTGGTGGTGAAGAGAAACTTAGTGGAGAGGGTAGGTGGCGCAATGATATGTTGTATTTTTTCTATGTGGTGGAGAATTATACGAAACGTAGAGTGATGCGCAAACATAATGTGGCTTTCGTATAATTCGCCGCCATTTAAAAAAAAACATAAGTATCTTCTCCTCCACCACACACAAAACGTTTGGCAGCTTTTTGGCCCAAAAGGGAGAGCTGCGCTTCATCTGCCGGGCACGATGGTCGTTGATGGATGCAAGGCCGTACGGGCACCATGGTCTCGACTCAAGACCCTCGAGGTACATCTACAGTAGTAGGTTCTGCTGGTTTTCCGATTGCTCAACTAGTACTTCATCATAAACTACAGCAGCTCTGATAGTTTTTGAAAGCCACGAGGATCAGTAACAGCGTGCTGAAAATGCAGAGGATGAAGCATACGAAAGAAACAGCCCCCTTCCGATAGCTCTTAGGCTCAACTTCAGAGCCTTCACAACAACAATGCATGGTGCGAGATGGTGCACTGGAGAAGTTTGAGCAGAAAGAGACCTTCCATCCTTCTAGTCTCGCCGAAGAGGGGGGCGATGGCACCCGCGACGCGAAGTGCGACGGTGATGGCGCTGGGCAAGACAGGATGCTGGTAAAGCGGGCCAGCTCCTGCCCAGCACTGCAAGTGAAACCCCTGCAAGAGAGTCCAAAAATGACGGACCACTAGGAACGACTGGCAGCATTTCTCCCAGTGACTCGCCCAGCAGGGCAAGTTTAGCGCACGCTCCTCTAATCTTAGGCTGAGGTTTGTCTCTTGGGCTGACACCGGCAGTCTGAGACGGACAAGACGCAAAGGCCGGGCGCCATTACGGCCTCGGCGCCTATTTCAGCTGGAAGCTGCTGCTTTCAATAGCCATGCAAGACTGCGGCGGTTTTACGTGATGGCGAATTGAACTGGGGTGAGTGAGACCCAAGCTGCTGGCTTTCCATTCGACGTTTTACCAGTCTTCTCACGCACTAAACTCCGCCTCTCAAGTCCGCGCAGCAGCTATGGGCGCCGCTGGATCGATCGAGACCACGCCGTACGACGAGGCGAAGTTCCTGCAGTCGAAGGCCGTCATGGAGTCTGCTGCCGAGGACGCCGACAAGTTTGCCAAGTTGAAGTCCATTTGGGCTAACGGTACCCCTCCTGCTGCTGCAGCTCCAGCCACCGATGCTGCTCCTGCTGCGGACGCCCACCGTAAGAGCGTTAAGGAGCTGCCGACGGCCGCCGCCCACGAGGGCCACAAGGAGAACGGCCATGCTCACGAGGAGAACGGCCACCACGCTCACGGGGAGAACGGGGAGAATGGCCACGCTCACAAGGAGGGTGATCACCATCACAAGGAGGATGGCCATGCCCACAAGGAGGGCGATCACCACCACGATCACGCTCACAAGGACGGAGAACACCACCACAAGGAAGGAGAGCACCATGGCGATCACCACCACAAGGACGATCACCATGACCACAAGAAGGAGGAGACTCACGCTCACAAGGAGGAAGCACACAAGGAGGAGGCACACGCCCCTAAGGAAGATGGCCACGCGGAAGCGCCGAAAGAGGCCCTGAAGGTCCCGTCAGCCTCGGCATCCACGAGCAAACTGCCCGGCGCCCCGTCAGAGCACCATGACGAGAAGCTTTCCAAGGAAGCATAACGGCCTTGCTTGCCCACCGCAGGTGCAACACGCTGCTAGAATTTATCAATAATGGGCTGGGGTCGCACTAAAAATGCGCCAGCCTACAGCACGGACCAAGCTTGAAGAGGTTGACCCTGCTTGAAGTGTGTGCACCTGGAATTAGGAATTAAATATACCTTGTTTTGATATTGCACGACTTTTTCTGTACCTAAACAGAAATTTATTTTGCATCGAAACAAATTGATGTGATGCAGTGGATACTTAGCAGAGGTATTGAAGTTGTCGCGAATTCTTGTGGACGTCAAAGGACCCAAGCAGAACACGCTGATTAGATGAGTCAGGACTTGATTAGAGCAGAGCTACACGACTAATGCATGTGCGTTAGTTTGCATCCATCGAGGCGTGGCGGAGATCGAGAGTCTCAACACAATCAACTTGGGCACAGAATTGCAAGAAAAGCGTGTCACTAGACGTCCATTTTGACGTCGCGTTGCTCAAGTGACCTCTCAAAACATAGCCTTACTCTTGCCTGCTCGAAGCACACCGTGCGTGGAAAGACTTAAAACCAACCGCATAAAGACTTTTAAAGTCTTCACTTGTTTACGCGCTAGCACCGATATTGTATCGCAGCTGTGTGACAAATCTGGACTCACCGACCTTGTCAGCACAGTGGCCAATTTCACCTCGTTGCTGGGCAATTTGCAGCGTGCGTTGCTGTGGAGCGCTGGGTGGGTCCAAGTCGCCACTGAGTCTGAAGATTCGAGCTCTTCACCAGCAACTCGACGGCTGAGTATGCCCAAGTCTACGTACTCTTCTATGAGCGACGTACATGTATTCCAATCTGCCCAAGCTTTCGACGATTCGACGCAGTGTGAGCTGAAAACCTGCAAGAGCAACGTTATTGCCTACACCACGTCGACATGTGAGCCAAGTTACGTGGCGACCAAGGTACAGTGTGCAGTGAGCTTAGGTGCGAATGTGGCCTTCAAGCAGAAGAATGGACCAATGTAGTCGCTGGATGGGCGGGTCGATGCCGACGCCTTTGATCCGCAACTCTTCCGGTACAACGACAGCGCCAATGAGGGCAGTTTGACACCCCTCATGCTGGCACAGAAGAGCTCCTGGGATATGAACGATGATAGCGCGACGTTCATTGTTCCATGTTTCCAAGTGAACGCCAAGAGCGTCGGCGACAACACGCAAGACCGGAATTGGTGTGAGCCTGAATAGAGCTAGGCGTCCTTGGTTGGCCCTCCGGGGGAATTGCAAGTGTCCACCACCGAGACCGCAACTAACGAAGAGACTCAAATTAATACGCCAACTGGAGTTGGAATTATCGCTGCGAGCCTTGCAGCCGCCTTGGTCGTGCTGGGATTCATTCTAGCTCGTCACCAATGGTCAAGCTCCAACCAAACGCAAAAACTCGCATCCGGTTTGTGGGAGGACGACGTCATCACTGCCAACAGAATTCCTATGGAAAAGGTCCGTTTTCTCAAGATCATCAGCAGTGGAACCCTGGGAGAGATCTATGCTGGGGTCTACAACGACGAGCGAGTCGCGGTCAAGATGCTGCTTCCAAGCAGCCGTCGCGACGTCAAACTTGTCAATGAGTTTCTGACGGAAGCCAAACTGACTGCTACGTTGGAGCACCCGCACATTGTCACTTTCATCGGAGTTGTATGGGATACATTTTCGGATCTTTGTATTGTACTGGAGTTCGTGGACGGTGGCGATTTGCGCAGCCTGTTGAATCGTTTGGAGAAGGAAGGCCGCTTCACTGGATTTGATCACGAGAAAGTAGTGTACTCCTCTAACATGTTAGCTGATTCTACTGGACACTAACTAACAGTTAGTTGAAAACTACACATGTCAGCTACACTGCATAGTGGAGGAAATGGGTACATGAGGAGATTACTTAGTAACCTGTACGAAAGCGTATTTACTAGCTGGTCTGGGTGTCTATATTGCACCGCGGACTTTGACATAGGTAGGAGGCACCTAAGTCGTCTTCACTCTTAAAATCGGCCATCGTCTGCGCTGATAAGTGGTGTGCCAGCCCCCCATGTGAGCTCCACCCAGCAAATGTTTCCCTATGTTAGCAGATTCTTCAAAGTATTATAGATTGGATGGTAAATTCTTAGTTTTGAGGGTGTATTTGTGTTCAGTTTGATACATCTCCCTTCTCGGCTGCCTTCGGTGCAAGCATATACTCTTCTCCATACTTTTGCTCTAACACTGCTAACATGTTAGCTCAAAATACTAGACACTAACTAACAGTTAGCTACCATGTATAGCAACTAACATGTCAGCGTTAGGGAGTACACTACGAGAAAGTGACTATCGCGCTGCACGTGGCTCGCGCTTTGACCTATTTGCACTCACTGGACTTCTCGAGAGCGACTCGACCGATCGATGGATGCTGGTGTCAGACGTCCTTGTGGATGGCTCCAGAGCTAATTACACTGGAGAAATACGACGATAAAGCGGATATTTTCTCCTTTGGGGTGGTCTTGTCGGAGTTGGATTCCCACACGCTACCGTATGCTCAGATCAAGCAGGAGATACAGCAGTCGTGTGGGAGGCTGATAACGGAGGCCACTACAACGCGTTGCAATGGGAACAGTCAGTGTCGAGTTTTCAGAGGCAGTCCCGCAGTCGATTATTGAGCTCGGCAACGCCTGCGTGTCGGTGAATCCAAGCGAGAGACCAAGTGCAGTGGAGGCTCTGTCCAAGCTTGAGGTGATTCTCTCGAAAGAGTTGGCGTGAATCGCATCGTGCATCCCGGGCATTGACCCAAACGATGATCACATTGTATGTAGTACATGGAAAAGTTTCCCCATTATCGAAGTGCAGTTGAAGCTTGGGTCGAAGTGTTGTTTCAATCTCACAACCTAGCATATGTATATGTGGTTTCCGAAGCTAAGGCTCGGAAGCCGAGCGCCCGAAAAAATAAAACCAGAATTAGTTAGTCGAGTGAAGGAGTTCTGTCCAGGTGAACGAACCACTAATCGAACGAACACGGCTAAATACAGGGGAAAAACACTGTGGGCCTGCGAGAAAGTAGCCGATTCCAGCTCCAGAACCACAATAACCGAGCTATCTGTATCGTACATATACAGTAACTCGTTATGGGCTGTATGATGGCTTGTGGAATGGCGATGTCATCACCGCCAACCGAATTCCTCGCGAGAAAGTGCGTGTCCTGAACCTCATTAGTCGCGGCGCCTTTGGCGAGGTCTACGCTGGTACTTACAATAACGAGCGAGTCGCGATCAAGATGCTGCTCTCGAGCACACGCCGCGACATCAAACTGGTGAGCGAATTTCTCACGGAAGCCAAGCTGACTGCTTCTATGGAGCATCCGCGTATCGTCGCCTGCATTGGTATCGCCTGGGACTCACTTTCCGATCTCTGTGTCGTGCTGGAATTTATGGACGGTGGCGATCTGCGAACACTGCTAAGCAACTACGAGAAGGAGGGCCACCCCATTGGGTTTGATCGTGAGAAGGTGACTATCGCGCTGCACGTGGCTCACGCACTGACCTATTTGCACTCGTTGGATCCCCCCGTGATTCACCGCGACCTGAAGTCTCGCAACATCCTGCTGAGCGGGACCCACGAAGCCAAACTGATAGATTTCGGGATCTCACGAGAACGACTCGACCGAACGATGACTGCTGGGGTCGGGACGTCCTTGTGGATGGCACCGGAGGTGATGACGGGAGAGAAATACGACGACAAAGCCGATGTTTTCTCGTTCGGAGTCGTGCTGTCTGAATTGGATTCCCACACGCTACCGTACACTCAAGTCAAGCAGGAGATGCTGAACACTCACGGGAGGCAGATTACTGATGCTACGCTGCTGCAACGAGTGGCGATGGGGACAGTTGCTGTCGAGTTTTCAAAGGCAGGCCCGTAGGCGATGATCGACTTGGGGAATGCCTGCGTATCGATGGACCCAACCGACCGACCAAGCGCAGCGGAGGCTCTGTTCAAGCTTCAGGTGATTCTGTCAAAAGAGTTGGCGTGAATGCATTGTGTTGCACCCGAATATCGACGTATCGTGAAAAGGAAAGCCAAATCGATATGAGAGACGGTAGCAACTCTGATTAATCCAAATTAGTGTATGTAGCATTCCTTCCCGTTTGTAGGAATAATAGCGCTACGTACACTTCACTGAGTTCCGAGTAATTCCACACAAGTCATATTTGTGGATTATGAAAGACGCTACATCCGGCATCGCCACCCTGACCGAGACCGAAGGAAGGCACAATATGAATGTATCTGGGGAAGTAACGCGTCGATCCACTTATGCGGATGTGAGCAAGCAACTAGAGAATTTAAGCGTTATCTAGCAGAAAACGAAAGGAAAATTGTCCTAAAGGGCTTGTAGCACGTTATTTACTTTTGTGAATGCCATCCCAACAAGCAACGTCTTTATAGGGGAGTCAGTTGTTGCAAGTTGATGCAGTGAACCAGTTCAAATGAAGTATTTGTACTCGGAAGTCCGAGCGCATTACTCATTACTCGAAAGTCCACGAAATGTACTCGAAAGTAAGGACGACCCGTATGCTGTAAGGCATCCATACCGTAGTAAAACGTCTCTATTCTATAATAAAGTTTACAGTCATTAGGCGAAAGTCAAAAAAATTTGGCTAGTCCTTACTCGGCAAACCTTCATAGAATCCACATAATCTTTCGCACGGGGGCAACACATTCGGCGCGTTAATAAAGAAAATCTTTGCAAACGTTTACTTACTACGTAGTACAATACAACAAACTATCGCAATACTGCTGGTAGTTAACGTCACATCATTTCCTTTGACAAAACGACCTGAAGTCTAAACAGAGCTTCAGCAGCGCTCGGCCGCATATTTGGATCCAGTGACACACAGGCACGACCAAGCTCCACCATCGACTGGGGCCTTGAGCTTGAAAACTCCGCTCGAATCGCCCCCATGGCCACTCTTTGGAGGAGGGTAGCATCGGTCATCTGCCGGCCTTGGGTGCTCTGCATCTCCTGTTTGGCCTGCGTGTACGGCAGCGAGTGCGAATCTAGCTCAGACAACACGACACCGAAGGAAAACATGTCGGCTTTGTGGTCATATCGATCGCCTGTCATCACCTCCGGAGCCATCCAAAGCGACGTCCCCACCATCGCGCTGCACGTGTGCCATGCCCTCACCTACCTGCATTCTCTGGAGCCCCTGTGATTCACAGGGACCTCAAGTCTCGCAACATTTTGCTGAATGAAGCTCACGAAGCAAAGCTGACCGATTTTGGGATTTCCAGAGAGCGGTTAGATCAAACGATGACGGCCGGAGTCACCTTCTCGCGGTCGAATCCCACTGGATGGCCATCCTTGTCGTAATTGCTCAGCAGTGTCCGCAAGTCTCCACCGTTCATAAACTCCAGCACCACGCACAAGTCGGAAAATGAGTCCCACGCGACGCCAATGAAAGTCACGATACGCGGGTGCTCCATACACGCGGTCAGCCTCGCCTCAGCCAGAAACTCATTGACCATGCGAATATCGCGGCGTGTGCTGGGGAGCATCATCTTGACAGCCACTTGGTAGCTATTGAAGAACCCCGTGTAGACTTCACCAAAGGCGCCGCGACTGAGGAGCTGGTCGATGTGGACTTTTTCGCGTGGGATCCGATTTGCCGTAATGATGTCATCGTCCCATAGCCCGGCTTGACCTTGGTTCGGTCTGGAATTTCGGCGCCGAACGAGCAGGAATCCCAGAACGGAAAGAACGGCGACAACTACGCACGCCGCGATGATTCCGATGATCGCAGGGGTACCCAACCCGTTGTTGCCCTCTCCTGCGATTGAGCTTGTTGAGTTTGTTGAGCTGGTTGTCGTATAGTTCTCCACGAGCCACCGAGATACCCACGCGCTTCCTTCAACGGTGGTCATGGAGGCCCGGCATGGCAGATAAGTTTGCCGTCGAGGCGCAGGGAACAATCGGAGTGCTGTAGCCACCATTCTGTGTACTCGCAGGACACTGATTGTATCCCAGCTCACTCTCCCAGGGCACCGTGTGGATTGCAAGCACGGTGTACGTGTTGTTGCTAGACCCATCTGTCCAGACGTGCTTGAACACGTACGGCACTGGGATCATTTCTGGCGATCCACCAGTGGCCCACATTGTCGTAAAAACGGTTTCGGAGGTGTCGTCTTCAAAGTCCTCGATGAGGCATCTGGTCGACGACACAAGTTTATCGCCAGTACAGCCCAGGTCGACATAACTCGTCGTGTTGTCGGCTTGAGTGCAGTTCTTGAATGAGCAGCCAGCAGATAGGAAGTCGCTGATCGGAACGGCGAGATCCGCCATTGAATGTGTCCCATCGGTGAAAATCTGCACGGACTCGTTGGTGCTCGACAGGCTGAAGCCGGAATCCCAGAAAAGCGCCCGCTGAGCAAGGCCGTCGAGGTTGTCCCAGGTCAGCGAGTCGGCCTTGAATTGCACTCGGCAACTTGGTCACGTTGAGTTGCTCGGCCGAATCTCCAGCAAGCGCTCGGTAATACAACTGCTGAGCCAGGTCCGAGTTGGTTCCGTCGAACACGAACGAGTCGTTGTTGGGCAGCTCGGCAGTTAGGTAAGAACCTGAACCGGAAGACGACGAAGCCAAACGACGACCGTTGTTGCTACTCATGGGTAGGAGTGAGGAAGACTTGGGGGCCAGCGGGTAAAAGTCGAACTGCAGGAGCCCGACGATCAAGTCGAAGGCCGAACGAATAGGTACGGGAACTTTTAAAAAAGTGCAACACAGTTGCGACTTGCCAGGTGGTATCCATGGTGGTATTGCTACCTCGATCACAAAACTGGTCATGATTCATGACTCATTAAGCACTGCTCGAAGTTTCAATTAGCAAAACAGCACGGCCAAATATTGGGACAGCAACGCGTTTCAACAGTGATGCTATAAAGTAGACTGCTGATCGATTCAGCCCCTTACTACAGCGTAGTCTAATGTCAACAGACTCCTCAGCATGGTTCTGCGGGAGGGTACGTAAATCACACCGACCACTGTGGCCGCTTTTCACCCTGGCTGTGCATGTATTGTAGCCATTGCTTTATCTACATCCATGCAATTCATTGATAGCGGTGATATCTCAGTGAGTGAACTTGATAGGGCCAACTTGGCGCCACGAAGTCCTCCGGAAGTTCAGTGAACTAGTTCTATCTCAACTCGACAAGATACACTCTGGCACAGGTGTATGTTGCTCGCCAAAACCCCCGATAACAACTAGTTGTTATCTAGAGCCGCGCGACAAGCTTTTGCGCGTTGCAGCGATGTAATAGCTTACCGGAACTCCTCGTCGCTGAAAACCTCACACGTATCAAAAGTTTTGATACGTGTGAGGTTTGATTCAAAAGTCAACACATCGTCAGATGTAACTTACAGTACAGTATTAGGTCTCTGATTGGCTAAAATGCAATTTCATTTCGATGGTCGCAGCTCCCCACATCTTGCTCGACGTCATCGAGATCACTTCCCCCAATTAATTCCTCCTCTTCCTCCCACGACGCTGTCCTCGATCCTCATGGCTTCCAAGCGGCGCAGCGTGGTGCTGCACTTCGACCTGAACCGCACCGTGCTCATGTCGGACGCCGCGGGCGGGCGCACCATGGAGAACACGGTGGACTACCTGCTGTCCGAGTGCACGTGGGGCTACGTGAACCCTTCGAGCCCGTCCGAGTGGGTCTGCGTCTCCGACGCGTCGTCCATCGAGCCCCCAAGCGCCGACGCCCACAATGTAGCCAAGCTGATCACGTACAAGCAGTTCGTGGACGATGCCCACCCATACCAGTGTCTGGCCACGGCTGCGGGCAGCGACATCGACCACATCAAGGCGGTCAACAAGGCGGCCAAGAAGAAGCGGACGGCGCTGCAGTCGGCCTTCACGGGCGGTGACAATGCGCCCGGTCGTCGGGTGCGCGGGTCCTTCGAGGAGGTCATGCAGAAGCTGCACTTCCCCGAGGGAGCGCAGCGTGACGCGGCCAAGCAACTTGCAGCGTCGATGCCCAAGTCCCGCCTGCAGGAGGCGTGGAGCGAAGGTCGGTACTATCTGCTGCCGTCGTTTCTTCAGTTCTTGTCCTACTTGGCGTCCCCCCAGGTGGCCGACAAGGACGTGGATGTGAAGCTGGTATTCCGCACGTTCGGTGACGATATCGTTGAGGTCGCCAGGGAGCTGGATCTGCTGGTGGACGGCCAGCATCCTGTCGGTCTGCCGGCGCTGCCGGAGAAGTTCCGGCTGAAGCTGGAGCCGAGTGAGCGTCGGGTGGGCACGTTCTACCGCGACGGGTTTGGTGCGGACGGCACAGCGCTGGCGGTGGGAACGCTCACGAAGGTGCCGTTCTCGTCCAAGCTCGCGGAGGAAGGTGCGAGTGCGCCGAGCAATTTCTACGCGGCGAACGACCCGGATGTCAAGGTCGTTCGGGGATTCCAGCCTATCCAGGAGACGCTGGAGGGCATGCTGAAGGGGGCGAGTACGCTCGCGCTCCGTGATTACTGGGAGTGGTGGAGCGCCCACGCCGAAGACGGCCAGTACGGCAAGCTGCTGCTGATTGATGAGGAAAAGGCGGAGAAGGATGGAGAGGTTGCTGTGTTCTTTGACGATCACGTTGAGGCGCACCACTCGCACATTGTGGATGTGCGCGATGCTCGCTCGGGCGCACCGGTGGACTTTGAGAAGAGCCGTGGCAAGTACCTTCAGAGGGTGGAGCCGTTCGCGGCCATCACGGACCCGAACTACTTCACCGCGCTGTTCGACAAGTACGTGGCCACGTAGACGCGCTAGCTTAGCTCCTTCTCCGACGTTGTTGTGACGATTTGAGTGAGCTCCGTTGGCGATATAATGGAAAGCAAGCCTTCAGACCTTACTATTCATCGTTCATAGTCATTTTTCAGTACACTGTACTTGCCAATTCGCGTACGACCTCGGTTGCCATGGCACTCGACATTCAAGGCCCGTTGAGAACTCTTAATCCAACGACCTCCGCCGAGCGACACAAACCGTGACAGCAGAGTGCCTCGTAGGCTCGGTGGGTTCGGCAGTTCAAGAGGACGACTCAAGACATCTATTCAATTAATTTATTCATTTTACGGGTATTATTTATCATAGATATCACTGTACTTGCACGACTCTCCAATCCGACCCAAAACCTTCCATATCCGCCTATTGCATATCAAAACATTTTCTACAGTGTATAAGGTATCTATAGACTAAATCCAAGTTTCCTTCGAAATAATTTTCATTTCAAGATCTCGGCTGCCGAGCGCATCACGACCCGCGTCCGTCCATTGTGCGCCGGGCGGCCACTCGCGCAGATCCGCCGCCCCTTGACCCGCGAGGATCCGCAGTATGCGGCTGCGGCGGCCCAGGCGGAGGCGCGGTCTAAGGACCCTCTCCAAGGCGCCTCAGCCGTCGATGCCTCGGCCCACCTCATGATTGTATGCCGCGCGATCTTGGAGGTCCCGGGCCACGGGATCTTTTCGAAGCGGTGGCTGCCAGCCCAAGCATGAGGCTCATGAGCTTGGGCGACTCAAGGACTTTGCGCTTCGCTCCAATCACTTCCCAATTCTCGTTGTCGAGGAAACATCGCCCAGAGAGCACCGCAAGGCCCAGCGCACTAGTCACTGAGTGAGCTGTCTGTCTGTCTGTCCCCCACTGGGCTCTTGCCATCATGAAGTCCCCGACCAACTACGGGAGTGAGAACGAGGAGACGCGCTTCATCCGGCGCGTCGCGGCGCCCGACCGCCCGAGCAACAAGCGGCGCCAGAAGAAGCGCTTGGCCGTGGCCGGCGCCACCATCGGCCTGCTGGCCGCGTCGGCCGGCGTGGGCTACGCCACGATGCGCGCGTCGAACGCCTCGAGCGACGTCAAGACGGCCAAGCTGGCGGCCAACATGGCCAACGAGGCCTTCGTGTCCAAGCTGGGCGACGCCTTCCACCCCAAGTTCGACGAGATCGACACGGACGGGAACGGCGAGCTGTCCAAGGACGAGATCCTGGCCGACCTGAACGGCAAGGAGACGGCGGACGTCAAGCGCGTCATGAAGTCCGACCTGCCCGACGACATCAAGAGCAACCTCGTGGCGCTGCTGGAGGGCAAGCTCCAGAGCGACAGCGACTGCGCCAAGCAGGCGCTGGACTCGCGCCCGACGGCCGTGCGCCGCGAGGACCACGAGATCTTCTACTACATGCTGGACGTCTTCTGCCCGCGGGTCACCATTGCCGTCACGCCTCCCGACCAGGAGGACGAGAGCGAGGAGAAAACGCCCGCTGACAGCCAGCAGACGGTCGAGATCCCGACGCCCGACGGAGGCACCGCCCAAGTGCTGATCGTCGGCGAGCCGGAGGACGGGAAGCAGACCATCGCGATCCCGGACGACCAGGGCGGCTACACGACGACGGAGGTCAAGTCCATCGAGACGCCGACTGGCGAGCAGAAGATCTTGATCCCGAACGCGGACGGCGACATCACCCCCGTGGTGGTGCCGGAGCTGCCAGCGGACGTCACGTCCGAGTTGAGCGAGGACACGCAGGTCGTGGACGTGGTCACGCCCAGCGGCGAGACCCAGCAGGTGATCGTCGAGGGCGAGCCGGAGCACGGCGAGCAGACCGTGCAGGTCCAGGACAGCACCGGCGAGTACGTCGAGACGAAGGCCGAGGTGGTGGAGACCCCCTCGGGCGAGGAGCAGCTCATTTTTTCGACCCCCGACGGCGACATCATTCAAGTGCCGCTGCCGGAGCCGGTGCCGGAATTCGACAGCGGCCCGAACCCGTACGCCGACCAGGAGCCTGAGCCGCCCGTCGTGCAGACGGTCGACGTGGTCACCGACAATGGCGAGCACGAGCAAGTCATCGTCGTGGGCGAAGTCGAGGACGGCAAGCAGACCATCGAGGTCGCCGACGACCAGGGTGGCTACACGGAGAAGGAGGTGGCGGCCGTCGAGACCGACCAGGGCGAGTCCATCGTCGTTCCCGACGGAAACGGAGGCACCACGGTCGTGAACGTGCCCGATGTGCCGGACGTGATCGCCGACCTGGCCACGGACGACACCCAGGTGGTGAACGTCGTGAACCCCGACAACGGCGCGCAGCAGCAGGTTGTCATCGAGGGCGAGCCGGAGCACGGTGAGGTGACTGTGGACATCGTGGACGCGTCGGGCGAAGTGACCACTGAGGAGGTGAAGGTCATTGAGACCGACAGCGGCCTGAAGCTCGAGGTGCCGACGGACGACGGCATCGTGGCCGTCGTGGTGCCGGACGTGCCGGCGGAGATCCACGAGGAGATCGTCGAAGAGGAGAACCCGGTACCGCCTGTGTTGCAGACGGTTGACATCGTCACCGCCAGCGGCGAGGAGAAGCAGGTGATCATTGAGGGTGAGCCCGACCACGGTGTGCAGACCATCGAGATCCCGAACGAGCACGGCGACTACGTCGAGACGCAGGTCAAGGCCGTTGAGACCGACAACGGCGTCAAGCTGGCGATCCCGGATGCCAAGGGCGAGACTACGGTTGTGACTGTGCCCGATGTTCCGGCTGAGGTTGTGCAGCAGGCTTCGACTAGCACTCTGGTGCTGAACGTCGAGACCCCAAGCGGCGAGCAGCAGCAGATCATCATCGATGCCAAGCCCCAGAACGGCATGCAGACCGTTCAGATCGTTGACGAGCACGGCGAGGTGACCACTGAGCAGGTGAAGGCCACTGAGACGTCCGAGGGCGAGAAGATCGTGGTCCTGACCGATGGCGGCTACGCCCCCGTGACAATTCCTGATGTTCCCAAGGAGGCCAAGGAGGAGATCGCTCAGCAGCAGGCAGAAGCCGCAGGCATTGAGACTCTATTCGTCGAGGAGGAGACTCCGGTTGTGCAGACGGTCGATGTGGTCGCCGACAACGGCGAGCAGCAGCAGGTGATCCTGGTCGGCGGCATTGAGGACGGTACCCAGACGATCGAGGTCCTGAACGACTTCGGCGGCTACACGGAGACCGAGGTGAAGGCCATTGAGACGCCGGAGGGCGAGAAGCTGGTGGTCCCGGACGCTGAGGGCGACATGACGGTGGTGACTGTGCCGGAAGTGCCGGCCGAGATTGCCGAGATCGCGACGGAGGACACGCAGGTGGTGAACGTTGTGACCCCGAGCGGCGAGCAGCAGCAGGTGGTGATCGAGGGCGAGCCCGAGCACGGCGAGGTGACCATCGAGCTGGTCGACGAGCACGGTGAGGTGACGACCGAGGAGGTGAAGGCCGTTGAGACCGACGAGGGCATCAAGCTTGTGGTGCCGACCGATGACGGCTACGTGCCGGTTGTGGTACCGAAGATCCCGGAGGAGATCCAGCAGGAGATCGTTGAGGAGCAGCCGACGATGTCGGGCGGAAACCCGTTCGCTGAGGAGGAGACTCCGGTTGTGCAGACGGTCGATGTGGTCGCCGACAACGGCGAGCAGCAGCAGGTGATCCTGGTCGGCGGCATTGAGGACGGTACCCAGACGATCGAGGTCCTGAACGACTTCGGCGGCTACACGGAGACCGAGGTGAAGGCCATTGAGACGCCGGAGGGCGAGAAGCTGGTGGTCCCGGACGCTGAGGGCGACATGACGGTGGTGACTGTGCCGGAAGTGCCGGCCGAGATTGCCGAGATCGCGACGGAGGACACGCAGGTGGTGAACGTTGTGACCCCGAGCGGCGAGCAGCAGCAGGTGGTGATCGAGGGCGAGCCCGAGCACGGCGAGGTGACCATCGAGCTGGTCGACGAGCACGGTGAGGTGACGACCGAGGAGGTGAAGGCTGTTGAGACCGACGAGGGCATCAAGCTTGTGGTGCCGACCGATGACGGCTACGTGCCGGTTGTGGTGCCGGAGATCCCGGAGGAGATCCAGCAGGAGATCATTGAGGAGGCCCCGGAGGAGCCGATTCTCTCGGGATACTTCCCCGAGCTGTCCGGCGAGAACCCGTTCACTGAGGAGGAGACTCCGGTTGTGCAGACGGTCGATGTGGTCGCCGACAACGGCGAGCAGCAGCAGGTGATCCTGGTCGGCGGCATTGAGGACGGTACCCAGACGATCGAGGTCCTGAACGACTTCGGCGGCTACACGGAGACCGAGGTGAAGGCCATTGAGACGCCGGAGGGCGAGAAGCTGGTGGTCCCGGACGCTGAGGGCGACATGACGGTGGTGACTGTGCCGGAAGTGCCGGCCGAGATTGCCGAGATCGCGACGGAGGACACGCAGGTGGTGAACGTTGTGACCCCGAGCGGCGAGCAGCAGCAGGTGGTGATCGAGGGCGAGCCCGAGCACGGCGAGGTGACCATCGAGCTGGTCGACGAGCACGGTGAGGTGACGACCGAGGAGGTGAAGGCTGTTGAGACCGACGAGGGCATCAAGCTTGTGGTGCCGACCGATGACGGCTACGTGCCGGTTGTGGTGCCGGAGATCCCGGAGGAGATCCAGCAGGAGATCATTGAGGAGGCCCCGGAGGAGCCGATTCTCTCGGGATACTTCCCCGAGCTGTCCGGCGAGAACCCGTTCACTGAGGAGGAGACTCCGGTTGTGCAGACGGTCGATGTGGTCGCCGACAACGGCGAGCAGCAGCAGGTGATCCTGGTCGGCGGCATTGAGGACGGTACCCAGACGATCGAGGTCCTGAACGACTTCGGCGGCTACACGGAGACCGAGGTGAAGGCCATTGAGACGCCGGAGGGCGAGAAGCTGGTGGTCCCGGACGCTGAGGGCGACATGACGGTGGTGACTGTGCCGGAAGTGCCGGCCGAGATTGCCGAGATCGCGACGGAGGACACGCAGGTGGTGAACGTTGTGACCCCGAGCGGCGAGCAGCAGCAGGTGGTGATCGAGGGCGAGCCCGAGCACGGCGAGGTGACCATCGAGCTGGTCGACGAGCACGGTGAGGTGACGACCGAGGAGGTGAAGGCTGTTGAGACCGACGAGGGCATCAAGCTTGTGGTGCCGACCGATGACGGCTACGTGCCGGTTGTGGTGCCGGAGATCCCGGAGGAGATCCAGCAGGAGATCATTGAGGAGGCCCCGGAGGAGCCCATGACTGGTCTTGAGGGATCGAAGTTCATGACCAAGGACGAGTTCCGTGAGTGGATCTCCAAGCGCTACCAGGATAAGATCTCGGAGATGATGGAGCAGGAGCAGCGACTCGAGGAGGAGGAGGCGGCCAAGGCCAGCCGTGTGAAGCAACTCGAGGGCTGCATTGAACAGGCGGCGAACAAGGTATGTGTCAAGATGCTGATCTCTATGAGCTTGATCATCTGACTAACTCTTGTGCTTGTTGTTTGTATTTGCAGTTCGGCTACTACGGCGTGTACGAGCAGCCGCCGCACTACCAGAACGCTGTGGACTGGGTCGAGAACGAGTGCTGGGCCAACCAGTGGGAGCCCGAGGCTCCGGCCGAGCACCCGATGCTGCGCCGCTAAGACGGCAAGCTCGATCGGTTGGCGGGTGAGGCGGACGACCTGGTGTGAAACGACTGGCTGACAATGTGTTGAAGACGACGACTGGGTAGGGTGGCGCTTTGCATGGATTTGCATTTCCGTTCTGTGCGCTTGTAGTTAGTGACCTGCACGTGCATGTAGCCAAAAAAAGTAGTGTCGCGCATTCTAAGGCGTTCTGTAAAAACGATTTGGTTTCTTGAAATGTAGCCACTTGTAATAGGCAGCTGTAGCCATTAATCTGTTAGGAATTCAGCCAATGGCATTCGAGGAAAGTTTCAAATGGAGGACAAGAAACGATCACCTCCTCCTCCCGTTGGTGCTGCGGACAAGGCCGTGGACGTCCAGACGCCCAAACGCGCTCGTTTAACCCCTTCTACAGTGAAGAAGACTGCTGCTCCGCCCTCGGATGCGGAGACGGAGCTCCTCCGCGCGTTAGAAGAGGAAGTAGCAAGAGAAGAAGAGGAGAACAAACAAGACAAGAACAAGAACAAGAAACTCCTTCTAGAAGAAGAAGAAGATGACGACTACGACGAGTCGGACGATGAATAAAACTTCCAAGAAATGAAAAAAAGAGAACAGGAAGAGAGAAGAACAAGAAGATGATAGATTTTCTTGTTAAGAAGGAGAGGACGTCTTCTTGAGCTCGTCGTTGAGCCAATTCCGCAGCGCTCGGACGCTGTCTCGGTCTTGCGCGCAGCACTCGACGACGTTGGTGAAGATGGAAGAAACCGCAGAAGAATGAGAAGAGTGGGGGCCTCCAGACGAGTGGCTATTCCTTCTGCCTGAATGGTTTGGGAATCCGAGCTCCGCTGCCACTGCCGCGGGGCCCGTGAATAAAACCCCTTTCGACTTGGAGGAGGACGAAGAGGAGAAGGAATGCGCTGCACCAGTGGCGTCTCGCGAGCGCACCGGATGCCTCCGCTGGTCCATTTTCAGCTCAAAGTCGACGCATTTCCGCAGTTCTCGTCTTGCTTCTTGCAGTGCGGCGCGCTGCAGCTGCTTGCGGTTGTTGAGTAGTTGCTGGTACTCTTTGGACTGCGGTTCTTCGGGCGTCTCGGCCGGCAGCGGCGGCAAGAAGCGGTCGGTCTTGTTGAACACGAGCAGGAGCTGCGTCTGGGAGAAGACCTTGGTGCGAGCTCTGTGCTTGAGGAAGCGGATGAGCTCCGAGGCCACGAGGGGGAAGCGCACGGCGTCGGACGCGTCGACGACGAAGAGCACGGCGACAATGGGGAGAGAGGACGTCTGGAAGGAGGTCGAGGGGGCGAGCGTGTTGAGGTTGTTGAGGTTGGAGCTGCTGCCCCCTCCGAAGGCGGACGCGAAGTCCCCCGTGGCGCTGTACCATTTGGCTCGAGAGGAGCGACGCCCCGGAGGATTCACGAGCTGCAGGTATCTGTCGCTGGATTCCACGCGGTAGGAGGCCGTCTGCAGCGTCTTCGTCGGCTCTGGAAACAGATAGGAGGGCAACTCGAGGCCTTTAGCCGTGTACAGGGTCAAGTCGTCGCCGATGGAGATTCGAGACAGGTGATTCACTAGCGTTGACTTGCCGGCACCGTCGAGGCCCAAGAGCAGTAGCTTGCCGCGATGTTTCTTGGCCGCGTGCTGCCGAGTGAGCATGCCAGTCAACATCCTTAAGGACCCGCGATAGTCCGAGTCGGAGGCTGCTTCCCCCTCGGTCTGGTAGCTGAGCAGCTCATGTGACGGGAATGCCCCCATTATCACAGCCGAAAGATAACTAACTGCGAGCAGGGTGAAGCGCGGACTATTTCAGCCTGCAGGCGTTGCTAGGCGGTTGTGCTATTCCACCCGAAATAGTGGCGTTGATGGTGTCGAGTACGGGATCGGACAGTCGATATGCGATCGCTAGTGTCGCGCTCTATTCACTCTGGTAACACGCGCGTAGTGGAGGTAGACGATGGGTTCTGAAGGTGATGACAGCGGGAAAGACCGCATAGCCTCGTTCAAGGAGGGCGCAGCTGTGCGTGTGCGCGATGAGGATGGAGAAGTTCAAGACGCGACTATCGTCCGCCAGCACCGCAATGGTGACTACACCGTCAAGTACGAGGACACAGGCAAAGTGGAGAAGAATGTGCCAAAAGCTCGAGTCCAGAGTGCTGAAAAGGGCGAAGGGAAAGGCAGAGCAAGGAAACGACAAGAAGAAGAAGAAGATGGCGAAGACAAGAAAGGAGAGGACAGTACTGAGCTGGAAGTTGACGAGACTGTGCAGTTCAAGAACGACAAAGGCGAATGGTGCGACGGTCAGATCCTTAAAGTTCGCAGCAACGGCCGCTATGACATCGCAGTAGACGGAGACGAAGACGAAGTGGCGAAGAATGTCGAGCGACGAGATATTCGCGAGCGTAAAGCCTCAAGTAAGAAGAAGAAAAAGAAGAAAAAGAAGGAGAACACGGAGGCGGATAACGAGAGCGACGAGGAGAGCGACAGCGAGAACGAGAAGCGCGCAATGCGGAAACGAAGAGCTCTTAGAGGCGGCAAGGGCAAGCGCGAGCTGGTGACCAGCGAGGACGACAGCGACGACAGCGTGGGGCGAAGAAGACAGGGCCGCTTCCAAGCTCGGAATGGAGCGGCAGGCTTCGCTCAGCTTCGCGTGAATCAACTGGTCGAGTTTGAAGACAAAAGCGGGCGGATCCGTCGTGGGCGGATCAAAATGCTCAACCGGGAGCAGCGCAGTTGCGACATTGAGCATGAAAGCGACACGGAAAAGGTCTCGAAGCGGATCGCGCTGGACGTCGTTCGGCCCACAACCGCCTTCGGGCGATTCTTTGGCGGAACCAACCGCAACTTTGTCCCCTTTCAGCTGAATACACACGTCTACTACCGCACCAAGGACGGCACAGAGCGTAAGGGAATCGTCCTAAAGGTCTCGAAGAGTACCGGTAAGACCCTATACGACGTCGAAGATCTGCTGGACGGAACGATGTTGAAGCAACTCTCAGTGGGGAAGTTGCGGGCGGTGCCGTGGCTCGACTACACGCTCCCCAGTTGGAATGGCTTACCGGGGTTACCGAGTTTCTCGCTGTTCTCCGCCCCCATTCTTCGCAGAGGCATGAACGTGCGCTTCCGTCGCACCGACAAGGAAACTGGGCGCGTTGTATGGAAAGACGGCGTCATTATGAAGGCAAAGTCGAACGCGTGCTGTATCGTCGAGTACTTTGGTCCCAATGGTGACAGTAAACGCGAGGAAGTGAAGAACTCCGACATCCAAGCTCGGTTCTTCCGGATGCCGTTTAGCGGGATGCTTGACGGCGTCATGGACGGTCTTTCACTGCCTTCTATCCAGCTGCCTGCGGGTATGTTCAAGGTTGGGAGTGCTGTGGAGGTGTCGAATGGAGCGAAGGTTTTCCTCGGGACGATCGTGAGCTCTAACGACATTGACAAGACGTACACAATCCGATATGAAGATGGTCGTAAGGAGAAGAACGTGCCTAGTGATCGAGTTCGACTGTCGCTGCGTCGCTTACGGGTCGGAACCGAAGTCGAGATGATCGTCGAGGGTCCATGCAAGGAAGTGTCCAAGTTGGACGGAGAAGTGGCGTGGATCCATCGAGACGAGAAGGTGGCGGTGCGGATCAACGGCGGCAACAACGACGTCTTCGCTGAAGTGTGTACGCATGCGCTGATGGTGGATGGGAAGCCGGCATTCACTGCGCCTCTGAGCAGCACGTGGCTGGAGCTGATGGGCTACTACTGCAACCTAGTGGCGGAGCTGCTGATCTACGCGTGGTTCTTCTTCGGCTTGATGGTGGAAATGGACGAGATGCTGACGTTGCATGGAGACACGGCGCCCGACTTGCTCCAGGATCAAGAGAACATGGCTGCGATGTATGACAGTCAGCAGATCGACTGGGGGCTCTGTCGTCACTCTGCGCTGCATAATGAGACCTCTTCAGGCTCGTCCTCCGCGTCGAATTCCTCGTCCTACCTGCTGATCCCCTCGAATGCAATAGCAACCGACCGCGCGTGGCTCATGGCGTTGTTGGTGTCCAAGGCGATTCTAACGGCATGTAGTGCCGTCCTGGTGCTTCGATGCCTACGCTCCAAGCTGTCCGCCCTGCAAGATGAGTAGGTTATACTGGTGCTCACACTTATTATGTTAATTGCCCTCTAACCATTTCATTTCTTCACTATTGCAGCTTCATTGACCTGAAGGAGTATCAGCAGGAGCGCGTGATGCGGCGTCACTTGGCCGTGACCATGGGCTGGACGCTCATCGTGACGTTCCTGACGCTGGTGAACTACGCGTCGCTGCTGAATCGGTTCGACTTCTTCTGTCTACTCAATGGCAACACCAACTCACTGAGCTTCGACGAGCTGGCGCTGAGCATCGACCCGTTCGCCATCCACACGAGCTACGCCAACCCCGTGCAGCTCCTCGTCTCTTTATCCGCCAAGACGACGTTCAACCTGTTCCGGGGCGTGACATTCCAGCTGCTGCTCTACGCCTTTCCGACTAGCGGCACCAACTTCATCCGCCGCGTGGCGTTCGCCGTGCCCTCCATCGCCGTCACCGCGTTGCTCTGTGCCATTGGAGGCGCCGCGCTGCACACGTTCTACTACGTGCAGAAGACGGAGATGCTGGGCAACCAAGAGCTCGTCGTGTCGACGCACATAGATCTGTCGGTGCTGCTGCTGGCGTTGTCGCTGTGGTTCATCCACTGCCTCTACAACATTGGAGCTGCAGCCGGACGGTTCTCCGAGACGAGACTCGAGCGACAACGCACGTCTCGCGGCGAAGTGTCGGAGGACGTCCTCGATCTGGCAGAGCGTGGAGAGTTCGGCCTTCAAGCTCAGCGCGAGGCTCTCGTGACGAAGGTGGAGCAGCGCCAAGACCAACTCGGAATCTGTAAGCTCAGCATCCTGCGCATCTATCGCCACATTGTCGTGCACTTTGTGGCGGCAGCGGTGGCCATTTACATCGACGTGACACTGCGCAAAGTGGTGAAGGAGTTGGATGGGGGTTCTGGCGTGGCGTTGAATGCGTTGGCCTTCCACCTCGGAGTCTCCATCACGTGGCTCGTCGGATCAGTGATGGCAGCAATGTTTGCGATCTCACTACGACAACAGTCCCCAGAGCTGCTAGCCTACATATTATACGTGTAGACAAGCTACTCTTAGACTTTTCGTGACTGATTAACGGATTTTGAATCACCACTTCTCAGTAGTAGTAGCCTCATTCGAGAATCCGCGGCCTCGTGATGAAGTGTCCCTTTTTGGGTGGAGTTGGAGGAGGGAGACTTGGTCAACGATTTGATAAGAGGCATAAGCCGCTCGCTATCACGTGTGATGCCAACCAGCTGCAGCTCTTCCTGAAGAAGAAGGAGGGCGACGTGGAGGACGGCGCGTGGCTGACGGAGAATGAAGTAGTTTCTCGTGAGTGGATCGATTGGAAACGCGTTGGGATCCGCTGTCGAGTTAACCGTCTGGCGGCGTCGTATCTTGGGTATTATGATGCTGAACTTGGAGACAAAGCGCTGTGGTATGATGGAGCGTTGTTGCGGATCCACGTTGTATTCAAGCAAGGTGTGTGCATATTTTGGGTTGTCGGTACTGGATTGCCGTGCTGTGCTGGTTGTTGGCCAGCATATTGCTGCTGTATAGAGAGGCATGCTTTGAAATTGAAAACGAATTGCAGAATGAGGGTTTTATTACGGGTTCCCCACTCTATGGCCACGAGATTTTGACGAATGTAGCCCCACTTACTCGCGAGTTTATCGACCTTCGGCGCATCTTAACTCAGCGTTATGATCCAGATGAGCCCGAATCTCCTAACGCGACTATGTCGTTTCCTTTGAACAGCGCCTTGCTTGTTGACACGGCAACTGATGGATTCAAGTATCAGCGTATTGAGAGTGAAGAGGTGTTTATGCATTTGGGGAAGACCTGGGGCTGTCAATCGATGTCAGTAGATGAATGCCGCAGACGTGAAGACTGGAAAAAGTACGGCAACGACCAGAGCAACCGTCTAGCGCTTTCGACAGTCATGCGCGCCCGGTACGACGGCCGTTTTTATGCTGTGTCGCTGATGAATAATTCGGTCGACTCCGTGTCTGAGGTCCGGTAGTCGAGAACCGATACAAGGTAAGATAACAATTGTTGGAGCTGTTTGAGTGTGCTGGTAATGCTTTGACAGTGCTTGCGTTGTCGTATCCACAGGTGGATCTGACACACGCTATTAACACTGGATAGGCAAGACTGATCTCCATGCTCTTGAAGGAAGGCTTTGTCACGTCGGAAAATGGCTTGGAGATTGCAACAATTTTAACGATATTGCAGATACAGAATCAGTAAACGTGATCATCCAGAGCGGCGTTGTGATTGGTCCGAACCCCCCTCGAAGCGACAGATGGCTACATTTACGTCATGCTTGACTCGCATCGTAATCGCTCACGTCTACCGAAAGGTGTCAACGGTATCACCTCGAGCAGCAAGGGGGCAATGGACGTCGCCGTCTTTGCCACTGCCGCTTGGACAGCACAGCCACTGCAGTTCACTCTACAATTTGCCTTTTAACAACAGCAACCACTACTACTAACCACCGACCAAGTCGCCACCTGTGCACCATGTCCGCCAACCTCGCCGACTACGAGCTCTTCAAGCCGCTGGAGCTGGCGCCGGGCCTGACGCTCAAGAACCGCTTGGTCTTCAGTCCGTGCACGCGCGCGCGGTCGGACATCAAGACGCGCTGCCCCACGGACGAGAACGTCAAGTACTACGCGGCGCGCGCGAGTGCCGGCCTCATCATGTCGGAGGGCTGCGCCGTGTCGGAGCAGGCGTACGGATGGTACGGCGCGCCTGCGCTGTACACGGACGAGCAGCAAGAAGGCTGGCGCAAGGTCGTGGAGGCCGTGCACGCCAAGGGCGGCAAGATGTTCGTGCAGCTGTGGCACATGGGCCGCCAGTCGCACCCGTCCTTCCACCCGAGCAACGAGGTGGCCTCGTGCTCGTCGTCCTGCTACTCGACGGGCCGCACGCACGACTCGGAGGGCAACGCCACGGGGTTCCCCACGACCCGCGCGATAACAATTGAGGAGATCCACCAAGTGATCGAGGACCACCGCAAGTGCGCGGAGCGTGCCAAGGCCGCGGGCTTTGACGGCGTCGAGTTCCACGGAGCGGGCGGCTACTTGATCGACGAGTTCCTGCAGACGAGCACCAACAAGCGCACGGACGAGTACGGCGGCTCGGTGGAGAACCGTTTCCGCTTCCTGCGCGAGCTGATCGAGGCCGTCACGACCGTGTACCCGGCCGAGCGTGTTGCTGTGCGTCTGTCGCCGAACGGCGTGTACGGCGGCATGGGCAGCGAGGACAACTACGAGACGTTCACGTACGTGATCACGGAGCTGAGCAAGATGGGTCTGTGCTACTTGGCGACGCACGACGGCTTCGGCTTCGGTCGCTCGAACAAGTGCCGCGTGTTCACGGTGTTCGAGCTCAAGACGCTGTTCAAGGGCCGCGTCATGGCCACGTGCAGCTACACGCGCGACCAGGCCGAGGGCGTGCTGCATGCGGGCGTGGCGGACTTGGTGGGCTTCGGCCGCCCGTTCCTCGTGAACCCGGACCTGCCGGAGCGCTTCCGCAACGACTGGCCGCTGGCGGAGCCGCTGCCGTACGAGCTCTTCTGGAACGCGAAGAAGGGGCTGGAGGGCTACCACTTCTCTGCGTACGACCCGAAGAAGGCGGAGGCGGACAAGGAGAAGCAGGCGAGCCCCGTGGACCCTTAATGCGCAAGTTGTAAGTTCTTGGTTCGCAATGTTTGTCGACGTACTTGCAGTAGTAAATAGTGAAAATGACGAATGCAGGCATCATGTTTTGCGATAGTGATATGGTCTTTCCAATCTGCTGGTGATGGATACCACATTGATTCTGACTTCGTGCTGAGTCCACGATGAACGCAGTCGTTGTTCACATGCCGCCGTCGCCACCACGTTCGAGATCAAGTTCACATGATGAGAAAAGTTTTTATCGTCGAGAATACCCAGCCCAGTTCCGCACCAAGCGCATGAGAAGTGCCAGGTACTCGTGGGCAAGTCATTCAAGTGGATTGCGACTGATACTTGCTATTGGTTTACGATTGCTGGGCCGGATGCGTAGCCGGTAGTTTCAGAGTCCTCGGTCAACACTGAAGGTTGCACTTGGTGTTGACCGAGCAGCAACTACACTTACCTCAAGCGGGGGGCATTCAACCAGTAAGTTTACCCGATACTAGTTCGCCAGCTCCTTTGACAGAATCACCTGTAGCTTAAAAAGAGCCTCTGCTGCGCTTGGTCTCAAGGTCGGGCCCACCGAAACACAAGCACAGCCAAGATCCACCATGGACCGAGGTGCTGCGTCTGAAAACTCGACACTGACCGTCCCCATTGCTACCTTTTGGAGGAGAGTAGCGTCGCTCATCTGACGGCCATGGGACTGCTGCATCTCCTGCTTGGCCTGAGCGTACGGCAGCGTGTGAGAGTCCAGCTCCGACAGCACGACTCCGAACGAGAACATGTCTGCCTTTTCATCATATCGCTCGCCTGTCATCACCTCCGGAGCCATCCACAGTGACGTCCCCACTCCCGCCGTCATGGTTCGGTCCAGACGCTCTCGTGAGATCCCGAAATCCGTGAGCTTTGCTTCATTGGCGTCGTTGAGCAGAATATTGCGAGACTTCAGGTCTCTGTGGATCACGGAAGGCTCGAGAGAGTGCAGATACGTGAGTGCGTGGCACACGTGAAGCGCGATCGCGACTTTTTCGCGGTTAAAGCCAACCGGGTGGCCTGTTTTCTCGTAGTTGCTTAGTAGTGTTCGCAGGTCACCGCCCTCCATGAACTCCATGACCACGCACAGATCCGAGAGAGAATCCCAGGCGACTCCAATGCATGTGACAATGCGCGGGTGGTCCATGCTGGCCGTGAGCTTCGCTTCAGCTAGGAAATCGTTCACAAGCTTGATGTCTCGGCGTGTACTCGGCAGCAGCATCTTGATCGCCACACGCTGGTCGTTGAAAACTCCAGTGTAGACCTCGCCAAAGGCGCCCCGACTGACAAGCTCGTTAACGCGGACCTTCTCACGCGGAATTCGGTTGGCCGTGATGACATCGTCGTCCCACAAACCGGTCTGGCCTTGGTTCTGAGCTCCTCCAGAGTGGCGGCGGCGAGCGATGACGAATCCAAAGACCAGCACGACTACGACGCAAGCAGCGATGATTCCTGCGATAGCACCAGTGCTGATTCCGCCGCTACTTAAATTCTCAACGCGGTTGTCAGTCTTGCTCGTATTCGTGGCCGCTATCTCCTGAAGCCATGATCTAACACTAAGCTCGACTTCGGGCTCGCACCAAGTTGCTCCCTGCACATTTTCAGGTTCCACTTGTATGCAGGGAGCTATGAAAATCGCAGAATTGGGGCAAGTATCATCACTCATAGACCACTTGCTCTTCTCTGCCAGCATGTAGAGAGTCGTATCGGCATCACTGGCGCTGTACTGGAACAGTTGTGGATCAAAGCTGTCGATATCGATGTCTCCGACAGTGGACCACATGGGTCCGTCACTCTGCTTAAACGGCACGTTCACATCCAAGCTCAACGCGCAGTGCGCCGTGGTCGCCACGTAGCTTGGGTCGCAGGTCGACTCTGTGTAGGTGATAACGTTTGCCTTACAGCTCATCAATGCACACGCTGTTTCGTTGTCAAACGTCAACGAAGCTTGGAACGTGTCGCTCATACTGCGGCCACAAAGCACGTAGACTTGAACATAGTCGGCCGTAGCGGAGCTGGAGGAGGAACTTGAATCCGCATACCCAGGGGCGGCTTGAACCCATCCGGCACTCCACAGCAACGCGCGTTGCAAGTTGTTAGGCAACGTGGTGAAATTGGTTACGGTGTTGACGAGCTCGGTCAGTTGAGAGTTGAGCTTGGAAGGGGTCGTGGGGGCAGTGAAGTTCGAGTTGTAGTACAGCTGAGAGACAATATCAGTGCTAGCATGAACCCTTGTGAAGTGTATGGGTAGCAGCGCTATCAAGTAAACAAGCAGCGAAGTGGGCATCGCGACGTGGTGGGAAGAGAGTATTGCCGGTAGCTGGAGGTTCTGTCCTGTTGGTGTGTGCCTCGTTGTCTTGTACCACGCCTGGAACAACGAGAGAGTAAGCTATCGGATTTGGTTGTCGATGCCTCAGGTACACAACGGAAGCCTGCAAACCTTTGTTTGTTGCAGTGCGTACTAGGCGGGAGATCGTAAACTAATTTACCTCTAGTAAGGTCCTCTGGGGCAACACGAGAGGGCCCTTCGCCCTCTTGTGGCAAGCACTCTATGCAGCCAGAACCTCACGTACTGTGCGGCCCAGCGTTCTCTCGGCGGGTGGGAGGGTAAATATGTGTGCAGTAGTGTGATGTACGTATTGTGAATTCCTGCCAAATTTGGACTTTTGGGCCGGTTCTTCCAATCGACTCCCACCACAAAACGCCCATGAAACGCCGACGTACCTTATCATTCCGTATAACTACGGATTTAGCACCTAAAATAGCCTAGCATAGTACCGGGGCGATTCGGAACCAATCGGCCACTCCAATTTTGAGTTGAACCCACAATAATAAAAGGATGAGCCACCTGAAAACTGGCTTCAGTGCATATTTTAAGAAATATGCACTGAATTTATTTCTTAAAATACGCACTGAAGCCAGTTTTCAGGTGGCTGGTTACATCTCATCCTTTTTTATTATTGTCAGGCGCGGCCCCAGAAACTGATAAATTCGTTTTGTCCTGTGCTTGTCAGATCAAAGCCATAGTTCGGAACGGGATACATCAATTCCTAAAAGGAGTAATTGACGCGTTTCAGCGCGGAGACCCCTCTGCTTCATCAGCATTTACGTTCTTCTGCAAGATGCCATACTTAGACGTAGTCAATTTTGAGTGCAGGCTTTCGTACCGCGAAAGGTCGCGCTGAAAAATACGTGTCCAAGATTACTTCGGTGATGGCCACGCACCCAATCCGTGGGGAACACATCTGCGCAGCGGGATTCCAAGCAGAACCCGTTTAGCAGGAATACCCCAGTGTCAACAACTTTCGTCGATCTCTATAGCTGATAAATATCATAAATTACTCGCACATTATCATAAATAACTTGCACATGAAAAGACATTACCGTAATTTATGTCGAAGAGTCGCATGGATGGCAAATTTCATGTGCTCATTTCTCGTGAACTGGAGCACTAGTGCAGCTCTAAGCATCAGTGGTAGTAAGACCTATCCAATGATACCTCTTGTGTCTGCACTAGTAGGCTCTTTTTGGTACCTAATAAATATGCGTTTTCTCGGAGAAATCCAGTTATAGGTACATTCTTAGGGGCCGCGCCTGTATATTTTAATAAATTAAAATATGTCTGAGGAGAAAAGCTTAGACGCACAGGACGTGACGGTCGTTATTTTTTTGGCTTTGAGCATTACAGCAGTGTCGTGGTCCCGCCGATATTGCATACCTGTGCTTGTAGTACTTACCAGAGCTCGCAATCAGCGAAACTCGGGTACCCGCGGGCAAACTTTGGTACCCGCACCCACCCGACGGTAAGCCCTGGGTTCCCCACCCGAGATAAACTATACTGTGGGCGATGCTACATTCTATCAACGGTCAAAAACTAAGTAGTATATGAAAGAAGTGATGATGTCAATTATGAAAATAAAACTCGTTTTCCCCTGTGAATTCTGGTATTGCGTGTCCATTAAATCAGGTCCGCATTTGACCTCACCGTTAGCTTCTTCGTGTGCCTTATCAACAGTAAAGACTTCATGTCGTGCATTAGGGAGCTTCTCGGTATCTATGCTTGGAGGTTGGGTCAGGCGTCGTCAAATACACATAAGAGTCGAGATGCGAAACCTGTCACTCAATTTATCTTACCCGAGCTTCACCCGGGGATTGTTTCGGGTTGGTGTACCCGGTTCGGGTGGATAATTTACCCGGTTCCCCGATTGTGAGCTCTGGTACTTACTGAGTAAGGGGTGATCCCATGCACTAATACATAATGTATACGTATCGTGGTCCACAGAAAGTGAAGATGTAGGATAGGCATATACTTCACTCCTGTATCCAGCATCTTTACTATGAAGTACAGTAGTTATAGTTCACAACTGAATGGCTGACGTGGAGAAAGACGAAGTGATAGTAGCCACAAAAGTTTCCATGCTGGCTCGTAGCTAATAAGCTACGACAATGGTGGACAACACATCCAAACAACAGCTTGTTTCACTGGCGCTTCGACACTGTTGCTCGATCAACAGTGATCGTAGACCAAACGATTTACAGCTTGCGCATTAAGGGTCCACGGGGCTCGCCTGCTTCTCCTTGTCCGCCTCCGCCTTCTTCGGGTCGTACGCAGAGAAGTGGTAGCCCTCCAGCCCCTTCTTCGCGTTCCAGAAGAGCTCGTACGGCAGCGGCTCCGCCAGCGGCCAGTCGTTGCGGAAGCGCTCCGGCAGGTCCGGGTTCACGAGGAACGGGCGGCCGAAGCCCACCAAGTCCGCCACGCCCGCATGCAGCACGCCCTCGGCCTGGTCGCGCGTGTAGCTGCACGTGGCCATGACGCGGCCCTTGAACAGCGTCTTGAGCTCGAACACCGTGAACACGCGGCACTTGTTCGAGCGACCGAAGCCGAAGCCGTCGTGCGTCGCCAAGTAGCACAGACCCATCTTGCTCAGCTCCGTGATCACGTACGTGAACGTCTCGTAGTTGTCCTCGCTGCCCATGCCGCCGTACACGCCGTTCGGCGACAGACGCACAGCAACACGCTCGGCCGGGTACACGGTCGTGACGGCCTCGATCAGCTCGCGCAGGAAGCGGAAACGGTTCTCCACCGAGCCGCCGTACTCGTCCGTGCGCTTGTTGGTGCTCGTCTGCAGGAACTCGTCGATCAAGTAGCCGCCCGCTCCGTGGAACTCGACGCCGTCAAAGCCCGCGGCCTTGGCACGCTCCGCGCACTTGCGGTGGTCCTCGATCACTTGGTGGATCTCCTCAATTGTTATCGCGCGGGTCGTGGGGAACCCCGTGGCGTTGCCCTCCGAGTCGTGCGTGCGGCCCGTCGAGTAGCAGGACGACGAGCACGAGGCCACCTCGTTGCTCGGGTGGAAGGACGGGTGCGACTGGCGGCCCATGTGCCACAGCTGCACGAACATCTTGCCGCCCTTGGCGTGCACGGCCTCCACGACCTTGCGCCAGCCTTCTTGCTGCTCGTCCGTGTACAGCGCAGGCGCGCCGTACCATCCGTACGCCTGCTCCGACACGGCGCAGCCCTCCGACATGATGAGGCCGGCACTCGCGCGCGCCGCGTAGTACTTGACGTTCTCGTCCGTGGGGCAGCGCGTCTTGATGTCCGACCGCGCGCGCGTGCACGGACTGAAGACCAAGCGGTTCTTGAGCGTCAGGCCCGGCGCCAGCTCCAGCGGCTTGAAGAGCTCGTAGTCGGCGAGGTTGGCGGACATGGTGCACAGGTGGCGACTTGGTCGGTGGTTAGTAGTAGTGGTTGCTGTTGTTAAAAGGCAAATTGTAGAGTGAACTGCAGTGGCTGTGCTGTCCAAGCGGCAGTGGCAAAGACGGCGACGTCCATTGCCCCCTTGCTGCTCGAGGTGATACCGTTGACACCTTTCGGTAGACGTGAGCGATTACGATGCGAGTCAAGCATGACGTAAATGTAGCCATCTGTCGCTTCGAAGGGGATTCTATCCAATCACGGCGCTGCATTGAATGATCTCGTCAGGCAATAATGCCTGACATAAGCGCTGACCGTAGAGCAGGCTGCGCATCCAGCACAGCAAACGTAAAGCAATGGTCGAATATCCGTCGCAATCCGCTTGAATGTCTTGTCCACAGGTACCTGGGATCTTCAGTCTCGGAGCAGATTGCCGTCTCGGGTCACGAAGAGATGCTGGTTGAATAGCAGTGGAGTTCTGAGCACCATGCGCGACGATCAAATATACCTCAACTCGATTCGTCCGGCCGGGGGCACCCCTCATGATGATGGCCGTAACCGGATTCATTTGCGGAAGGAAGTGCCTGAGGCTTGACTCAGAATCGCCGTGACTCACGCCGAGAATTCAGAAGTCCGGACAGCTCACAGACTCACACCGCATCAAGACGGAGACTGCCTCAGCTTGCCGCCATGGTAGTTGCAGCGTTTCCGCCTGCCCCCGCAACCCATCGAAGCGGACAACGCAACCATCACGAATTCAACGGCTTAAAGGTGGGGCGTAACGGGCTTGTTTTGGCGTTACTTCCGCTTCCTCACCAGCATTTTTTCGTACCATGGGATACCCACCCAAGCAGGCTGCTCAGCTGGACACGATTCGGATATTCACCGAGGGCGATGAGTGTTCCCACGGACGTGAGCGGGCTTGAAGAACACTTCAAACGCGTTGGAGACGGCGGTATATGAACGACGACTGCCTTCATCGTTGGCTCAATACAAAGTGAGAATCTAGGCGGTGTGGTATGGCCACCACCAGAGGCGGTTGATGCTTAAGTACTGCCGAACACGGCGGAAATCCTGATTTATTGCGATCGTAGACATGGGCTCGCCACGCATCCGTCGAGTTGAAGTCCCTTTGTCCGAAGCGCATTGTCGCGACATGGAGCGCTCACTGTCTGGGCACCACTGCCCGCCACATCAGAGTGACGAAGCCAGAGCCACATGCTGTGCCCGTCGCCTCGTACACGTACGTCCACCGCAACGCGTTCCGCGTAGCATTCTGGAGATGTGCAGCGATGGCGGTGGGATCGCCAGTATCCAAGGTGGTCCTTTCAGCGCAGCTGGGCAGCTCCGCCGTCCTAATTGCTCTCGGGCAAGAGGACAATGGGAGACGCAGCCGAATAAAGCGAGAATTAGCACCCACGCCCAGTGATGATTGCCGGAGGAGCAGCAATTACCTGCGATTTCTCACAGTCCAGGGCTCCACAAACAGACCTTGTTGTTCGCTGCGTCTGTACCTTGCTTGGTCTCTGCCTCCCTCGAAACCAAATGTGGCACGATGGTAGCGGAATCGGAGCCTCATGATCTGCGATCCGTGCCAACTCTCGCTTTGTGTCCGACGTGCAACCAGCACTCGAACAGCGTTCGAGTTGAAGTCACCCCTCGCCAACACTCTTACCGGCCCTAACTGCAGGCGTTTCCCTTGACAGCCGCAGCCTGAAAGTCCAGTTGGGGTCAACCTCACCACCGATGGTATTTCATATCCATAGACTGAATCGTTGTTCGTCCGCGCGTTCCAGTGCGAGACGAGGCTTACTAGCGGAGCCCTCTGGACGGCGGCTGAACGGCCCCGAGAATGTTTCAACGGCGAGGTTTTCCGCAACGCTCAGCAACCTCCTGCATACCAATACTCGACAGTAGTGTTTTGGGGCGTTCTCCGTTCTCGCCACCGCTAAGAAGACGAGGGCCGCTCTTCCTTCCTTGGAACCTTTGGCTCGACTGTTGTGTTCGCTTTCTGATCTCGTCGCCCCACTTCTTCAGCGCGCGTTCACCACTGGCGATAAGGCGAGAGTTCTCAGCGCCCAGCAGGTGCAAGAGTCACTCGCGTAGGCACCCAGAGAGCGGAGAGCCCTTGGCGTTACGGAGCCCTGGACTGCGCTGCAAGCGCACGCGCCCACTTTCCAATTCTCCGCGGAGAATCCAAGCAGCCCCCGAGTCTGATTGTTAAACGCAAAAGTCCGTCTGGTGCTGCCGACTGTCCACCAGAGTCAGCTCGGAAATTAATGGCGATTACAGCAGATGGAGCCGACTTCAACAACGAATTCCCAAGTCGACCTCGACGAAAGTTCCTGAGATGGAGCAGGCACCGATCCACCAGCAACGACAGGGACTTCCCTTCCGAGGTCAGCGGCAGCACCGAGGGCCCCGAAGTCGCTCGGGTCACGTCGCTGCCTTCATTGAGCACGACCCACCACCGGGACGTCGAGGAGCTCCTCTGGGCGCGCACCCAAGCTGTCGCTGCTCCCGAGATCGACTTCGCGGGATTGTCGAACCTGTCGCTGGAGACGTGGGAATCTATCCGAAGCAAGCACAACAAACACGAGAGCTTCCGCACCTTCAAGCGCCAATTGGTCACTCCTAACATTCCCGCCGTCATGGAGGTACTCGTCACGGGCGAGCTCCAATGCAGCGTGGCGGAAGCTTCGGCGCTGCTGTGTTCACCGGGTGAAAGCGAGTTCAACTCGGTCATGACAAGGATGCACGGACGCGCGTTCCAGCATGGCACCGTCGTCCACAACTTCAAAGCCGAGAACCAGGGAGAGGTCCTGCCGGCATACCGTTGTGTGAAGACGGCGTGCTTCGCTCGTCCACGCTTGGCTCTGTTCGACACTGATGAGAGGTGGTGCTTCCTGGAAGAGTTTGCCCCCGTGGTGACAGCGACTGGTGTCCAGAGCGACTTTACGCTGTCCCAGAGATCACTGCGGCCGTCGACGCTGCCTCGAGCAGTGCGTCCTGCGATCGAGCTCGTCCGACGTAGCAACGGTGCGGGATTCACTCGATCCAAGAAGCACACTCATCAGCTCCTGGGTCTGTCCCTCGGCTACTCCGTCCAAGAGATCAGCGGCCGGCATCCTGCTGCAGTCCGCGTCGTGTTCTACGGCTGCTCGTCCGATGACGAGAGCGAAGACTTCAGTGTGGTCCGAAGACGAATCAAATTGCTGGCTCGCGGAGTCCTCGAGCTCCCTGGTATGGTGCGTCGCCGTCGATTAAGCGCGCAACTTCCCGCTGACGCGTGGTCCATCTCAAGGTTGGCGTCGAAGCACGAGTCGTCCCCGGCCGCCTCTCACTGCGTGAACTGTGAGCACAAGTTCCACAAGCTGCTCATGACCAAGAAGACGCGCTGCTACCTGTGCGCACACTTCGTGTGTTCGAAATGCTGGATCCGACAGCCTCTGGAGACGGCAAACGGCAGGAAGATAGCGGTCCTCGTGTGTCCTCACTGCCTGGGCAGCATCCAGAACTGCAACTACGCGCACCTTGCAGCTTCTTTCGTATCGGGTCGTGGAAGCGGAAGCAGCGCGAACACATCGAGTCGCGTTTCGCTGTATCCCGCCGGCGCAGCTGGAGAGCAAAATCTTCGTCCTGTACAGGTGCTGCCAGACGCTGACGACGCACCTGAACCGGGTCGTGCGGTGGTCTCGTATCTCGCTGGCGTCTTCAGCGACGAAGATGACGAAGAATCGTCCTCCGAGTCTGGGTCGACCGTGGATCTCAACAACAAGAACGACGCAGCTTCCAATGTCCTCCAACACCTAACGTCCGTCCTGGATGAAGGAGTCAACCGCGTGATGGCCCACTGCTTCTACGATTCCGACAACAACGCCGACAACGAAGAGCTGGAACCCGAGATATCCTCAGCGCTGCGAAAGCTCCAGGCTCAGTTTGCGAGAGAGGTGCTGCCTCTGGAGGCTTGCATCCTCTCAAACGCTGTGGCGCGAACCTACCCCATCGACACCACGAGTGGAGGAAGTGTAGCTGGCGTCCCCGTCGGTCCGATTCCCCCGAACGAGACGCTCCGACTTGAATCCATCACACAGGAGCAACTTCTGCTGGCGACGGGGTCCCCCGAACTCACTCTCGTCTGTGAGCTAGTGACTCGGGAAATGTCGTGCATGGCGTCGCTGGTGACGATCGTGGGGAAGACGCTGCAGTACGTGCTAGCGACCGACTATCCATCCTTCCAGTACGCCGAGCAGCCTCGAGAGCACACACTCTGCCAGCACCTGCTGATGGGGGACAGACCCATGCTCGTCCAGCATCCAGAAGCCGACGTCCGCTTCTGCAATTTGAGTCTCGTCGTGGACTACGGCATTCAGTTCTACGCTGGCTTCCCCATCTTCAGTCGTGACGGCCTCGCCGTGGTTGGATCACTCTGCTGTCTCGATACTCGTCCGCGAGAAATGACTCAGTCCCAGTACTCGACACTCTTGCACCTCACGCGCACAGCGTCGAGTATCATCGTGACGAAGTGTCTCCAACGACGCGGTCTCCAACGGCTCCAAAAGTGAGACTAGCAAGCGCCCACAACATGTTTCATGTCGTCCAGATCAATGTATAAGGTACATCGGCGGAAGTGATACCAGCCTATGCCCAACAAAAAGAGTTCTACATGTAGTGAGTACCAGTAAAGAGGTTACGTATAAACATGTAAGTGTGGCACGACGGAAGCTGAAGATGCATAACAAAATTACGCCCACGTACCTGTTGCTCGTTACTCCACTTGGCCCTTGTCCACCGTTTAATTCCCTGCAACATCTCGCGGGAAGTCATCAGCGTTAAACATGCTCCAGTTCCTGCAACAACTCCGGTGGTGCGAATGGGGATTTGTCGCTTTTTATTACGGCAAGCAGTCTTCCAAGATAGAAGAATGGGGAATGAGGCTATAACACGCAAAAGGGCATTTCCCGGTCTTCTTCTCTTGCTTGCACCATTACTTTTGCTCGTTGCCTGCTCTACATCATGCCGCACTAAATGCAAACAAGACAAAACAGAGCACAACATGTCGATAAATCAGGCATCACATGTAGCACGTCTTGAAAGTGAACTTACGTTTCCAGAGGGGGGAGCCTCATCATCCATGAATTCTGCTCGCATATCTGCCTCAATAGCGCGCACTTCGTCGTCTGGCAGGCCTGCACTCTTCATGCTCACCGGAATATCTTCGGACGACAGCAGGACGACGAAGTCACCCTTGGGGTTCAGCGAGAACTTGTTGGCCAGGAACGAATCCTCGCCCTTCTTGCGTTCATTCTTCGCGTTCTTGTTTCTCTTGCTGGAATGCACCGTCAGCGTCGACTGTGGCCGCATCACGTAGGTCGGCGGGAATCGGAAAGTCTGCTCCATCTGACCACGTACAATCCAGCCTCCAAGCGGAATCGCGTCGCTGCTACTGTTCTTCAGCACGATCCGGTCCTTCACCAGGTCCAAAGCCGCAATCTGCACTGCCGAAGATGAAGAGGATACTGCTGGCTCCGCTACAAGTGCACGCTTTGTTCGCTTGGCCGACGTCCCGTTCGTGTTCTCGCTCTTCCGCTTCCGGCCCTTTGTGTTGGGCGTGGACACGGTTACACGGCTCTCCTCGCGATCCAAAATGCGTCGGTACTTCATAATCTCCGCGTCCAGAGCAATCTTAACGTCCATCAGCTCGTTGAACTCGCGCTCCTTGGCGACCTTCGACGACCGGAATCTCTCCAGCGTTTCTTCATAGGCCTTGCGGTCCTTGGTCGACTTCGACCGCACTTCACGGTATTCACGCTCCAGCTGGGCCACCTTCTCCGTAAGCGACTGTCGCGCATTCAAGCTCTCCTCGTAATCGTTCGCCGTACGATCCAGCTCCTTCTTCGTGCTCTCAAGCTCCGCGTTCACATCATCTAGCTGACTCTGCAAGCTGCCAGACACAGTATCATAGTGGCTGCGGATCTCCATCTCCATCGTCCGTTGTCGGTCCTCCGCCTCCTTCTTCCACTGGGCCTGCGCCTCCAAGTGCTTGGCCGTCCACTCCCGCCTGAGCTTGGACAGCTCGGCGTCTCTGGTCAAGTCGAAGTCCGCGCTCTTCTTCCTCAGCTCCTCCAGCTCCTGGGTCGCGTCACTGAGCGCCGCTACGTGGCCGCGCATCTCGCGCTCCAGCTCCTTCACGCGGCGCCTGGCCGAGTTCAGCTGCGTGGTCTGCTCCGAGAGCGTCTCCTTGGCCGAGTCGGCATTGGCCTTCTCCCTGTCCAGCTGCACGCGCAGCGTCTCCACCAGCACTTTGACTTCTCCCAGCTCCACCTGCTGCGCGCGCAGCTTCACCAGCTCCTTGTGCTGCTCCTGCTCGAGCGTCTGCAGCCGCGCGTTCTGGTCCATTTCATCGTCCAATTTCCTAGTAAAAGCATACAAGCATGATTAAAATCACTTCAACAAAGTGTTAAAACACTTTAAACACTGACGTACTTGCGGGTCTCCTCCAGCTCCTTGGTCAGTCTGGTGCGTACGCTGTCGAGATCCTGCTGCATGCGCTGCTTGATGGTCTCCAGCTCTTTCTCCGCGGCGTGTTTGGCTCCTTCCAGCTCGTTCACGCCCAGCACGTACATCTCCAGGCGGGAGTTGAGTTTCTGCAGGTTTAATCACCCATTCAAGCCGAGTAAAAGCACACCCAACTGTAAGTCAGCGGTTCTCGGTCCACAGAGCTCCAATCCAAGCGCGAGCGGCGGCGCTGGACGCACCTGGAGCGAGGCCTTCTCCTCCATCCTCTTGGACTTGATCGGGGACAGCTCCGTCGGCATGGCGGGCTCCTAACAAGCGCAGCTGGAGTGAGCGATTGAGTGTCGGCCGGCGCCAAAAAGGACGCGGACACTTTCAAACTGGCGGATGGAAATGGAGTCACTTGGCGATTGTATGGACGATTGGTGTGGCGCACGTTAAATGAGACTGAACGATCAGCGACATATGCTTTTAGATCGGATGCTTATTCGCTGTTAATAAGTGCATGTGAGTGCCGCTTATTCGCTGAAAATATAACCAATCAAACGCGGTTTTGGGCTTCACTTCAACTTGGCAGTGAAACGGCCAGCTTTTTTACAATTATAAACGTGGAAACTTTACTGGCCCAAGACTGGCCCTTTCATTTCCTCTTTCGCCTCCTCTTGCCCACGACTCGAGCTTCAATACCGATGAACTACGGAAATGGTCGACTCTTGGCCTCCAGCGCGAGCTCCTACATGGATGCGGAGCTGCCCAACGACGACTCGTTCGTGTTCGACGGCACCAACTCCGATTTGGCCCAGCAGCTCTACTACCGAGCGCGTGCGGGGGGTTCGGCCGAGAAACTGAGCCTTACCAAGCTCCCAAGTGCGGTCGAAGGAAGACTCGCTACTCTTGAACTCGACTGGGACAATCTGGACGGGATCGCGCAACGGGCGCTGCTCTGGGATTCCGGTTTCGGTTTCTCTCTCGCTGGTGAACCACTGCAGATTTTCACTGATGGGACACACTCAATAGCGGATCTCGCCATCCCAGTGAGCGACTTTGAAGGAGCTGGCTGCGTTTGGAATAACTGCACTCAAACCGACAGGACGACGAGTTACAGCAACCTGTTGTGTGACGGCGACCAAATGCTGACGGCGACAAGATGCCTCGTTGAGGATTTTAATGACAGCTCCGAAACCCACACGGCGATGTGGTCTACTGGAGGGTCTCCCGAATCGGTTCCATTACCGTACATATTCAAGCACTCTTGGACCGATGCTTCTACTAACAAGCCATTTAATGTGCTTGCAATTCACACAGTACCCACGATGGACGAGGTAGCATACGGGCAATGTCCTACGGGCTCAGAGAATGGAGGGTTCAGTTCACTCGTGATTCCGTGCGCTTCGACAGCGAATTTGTCAGATATGCCGGGAGCCATGATGACCACCGTAAAAGGGAGTGATTGGGTCTCTCGATGGCTGAAGGAGAACTACTCGACCACAGCAACGCCAGCTCCTGCTGCCACGAGCGTGACTACAGTCATTTCTGAAGATACAAACAATGGTGGGGCAATCAGCTCTGCAGCCATCGCTGGGATCATCGCTGCTTGCATCGTAGTCGTCTTGTTGATTCTGGGCGTTGTAATCGCTCGCCGACGCCACACCGGAGCAAATCAAGGTCAGACTGGTTTGTGGGACGACGATGTCATCACGGCCAACCGAATTCCGCGTGAGAAGGTCCGCGTTAACGAGCTTGTCAGTCGTGGCGCCTTTGGCGAGGTCTACACTGGAGTTTTCAACGACCAGCGTGTGGCGATCAAGATGCTGCTGCCGAGTACACGCCGAGACATCAAGCTTGTGAACGATTTCCTAGCTGAAGCGAAGCTCACGGCCAGCATGGACCACCCGCGCATTGTCACATGCATTGGAGTCGCCTGGGATTCTCTCTCGGATCTGTGCGTGGTCATGGAGTTCATGGAGGGCGGTGACCTGCGAACACTACTAAGCAACTACGAGAAAACAGGCCACCCGGTTGGCTTTAACCGCGAAAAAGTCGCGATCGCGCTTCACGTGTGCCACGCACTCACGTATCTGCACTCTCTCGAGCCTTCCGTGATCCACAGAGACCTGAAGTCTCGCAATATTCTGCTCAACGACGCCAATGAAGCAAAGCTCACGGATTTCGGGATCTCACGAGAGCGTCTGGACCGAACCATGACGGCGGGAGTGGGGACGTCACTGTGGATGGCTCCGGAGGTGATGACAGGCGAGCGATACGATGAAAAGGCAGACATGTTCTCGTTCGGAGTCGTGCTGTCGGAGCTGGACTCTCACACGCTGCCGTACGCTCAGGCCAAGCAGGAGATGCAGCAGTCCCATGGCCGTCAGATGAGCGACGCTACTCTCCTCCAAAAGGTAGCAATGGGGACGGTCAGTGTCGAGTTTTCAGACGCAGCACCTCGGTCCATGGTGGACCTTGGCTGTGCTTGTGTTTCGGTGGACCCGACCTTGAGACCAAGCGCAGCAGAGGCTCTTTTTAAGCTTCAGGTGATTCTGTCGAAAGAGCTGGCATGAAAATTGCCTAGAGTTATGCAGCAATAGCACTGGGTAAACAAGACCAAGGTCTTCACTTTCCACGCTGCAAGCATATCAAGTTTTCTCGTGCCATCACGAAGCGATGTCGATTTTCCCGATAATCCTCACTCACAACCCGTGAATATCCATGAACCTCCGGCGTAGCCTATGCATCTACAAGCCACACCGCATATACATTGTGTAACTTCCGACTCGTATTCGCCAAGCGATGATGTAGTGCCGCATCGATGCTAATCGGTATGTACGTATCTAACTAAGCCTGCTCCTTAGTGCTCTCTGCAGTTTCAGCCTTCGGAGCCTCGCTGCTCACATCAGAGCTGGCCGGCATCTCGTCGACCTTCGTCGTGTTATCACTGTCCTCTGTAGCCTCGGCTTGAGTTCCGTCCGTCTTGTCGCTTACTGGCTCCTCCTGCGCTGGCGTACTGTTGTTATCCGACTTGAGCGTAGCTTCTTCGACGACAGCGGACTCGACAGCTTCAGTTTTCACGTCCTCACTTGCCGTAGTTTCGCTGCTAGCCTCGACATCTCCATCCTTTGTTTCCTTCGTCACAGCTACCTCAGCAATAGTCTCCATGTCCTTCTTCTCCGTGACAACAGCCTCGACCTTCGTCTCCTCGGTTTCAACAGACTCAACCTTTAATTCTTCTGTCGCAACAACTTCGACCTCCTTCTTCTCCGTCACAACACTCTCCATCACGACCTCCTCCGTAGCAATGGCGTCGGCCTTCTTCTCCTCGACGACAACAGCCTCCGTATCCTTGCTCTCCGTCTCAGCCTCAACCTCCTTCTCGTCATCTACAGCAGCAACGGTCTCGATCTTGGCCTCCTCCTTCGGTTCTTCCTTCACCGCCTCAGCCTTCTCCTCCTCCTTAACTGTCTTGACCTCCTTCCTCACGGCAGTCTCTTCCGTGACGACAGCCTCTTCCTTGGTATCTTCCGTCACAACACCCTCGACTTCCTTCTCCGTAACAACAGCTTCCTTTTCCGTGGCGACAGGTTGAGCCTCGACCTTCTCCGTCTGTGCTTGTGTTTCGGTAGACCCAACCTTGAGACCAAGCGCAGCAGAGGCCCTACCGATCTTCGCTTCCTGCTTCGGTTCTTCTTTCACCGCCTCTTCAACTTTCTTCTCCTCCTTGACAGGAACGACCTCCTTCTCCTCCTCCGTAACAGCAGCGGCAACCTGAGCTGCCTCGACAGGAACAGTTTCGACCTTAGTTTCCTCCTCCACCGCCTCTTCAACCTTCTTCTCTTCAGCCTCAGCCTTCTCCTCGTCACCCTCTTCAATCTTCTCAACCTTCTCAGCACCTTCCGGGACGGGGAATCGCTTCTTGAGCCAGTTGTCCAGGTACACGAACACGGCCTCCGACTCCGGGTCATCGAACAGCGCGTGGAAGTAGTCGTCGAACACCTTGAACTCCTTGTCCTGGGCAGCCAGTCGGTTGTAGAACACCTGCGCCAGCTCCAGGCTCGTGACCTTGTCGTTCGAGCCCATCATCATCAGCATCGGCAGCTTGCACAGCGCGCTCTGCTTGTCCTCCACTCTTTTGTCCGCCTCCAGCGCCCTCATGGCCTTGAGCGTCTCGGCGCCCATTCTCGCCGTCACGGGCTCCGAGACCGTCAACGGGTCGGCCTTGAAGTCGTTCACGTAGTCCTGATCTCTGCACAGGTAGTCCCCATTGACTCCCGGCACGATGCGGGCCTTGGGGATGAGCTTGCTCAACGGCCTGGCAAACACAGCCTGCACCCTCAGCGTCGTGGTCATCTCGACCAGCAGCGCCGGCGCCACCAACACGACGCCGCTGAAGCCGTGCGCCCCACTGAGGATGGTGTGCAGACTCACGAGCGTGCCGTACGACATGCCGGCCAGGACGAGCTTGGGCTCCTTCTCCTTGTCCTGCGGCAGCGCCAGCTGCGGGTACAGCTGCATCTTGGCCAGCTTGATGAACTCGTTCGTGTCGTCCACGAAGTACTGGAACCTGGCGCTGTGCGCGCGCAGCCCGTGCTGGTCCGAGTCGCTGGCGCCGTGGCTCAGCAGGTCGTAGGCCAGCACGCCGAAGCCGGCATCGCAGAGGCGCTCGTACAGGTGGAAGTAGCGGCGGCTGTGGTCGCCGATGCCGTGCAGGTAGAGCACGACGGCGCGCAGCGGCGTGGACGCGGGCGGGAAGAGCGCCAGGTAGGACAGGTTCTGGCCGCGCGCGTTCTTGAACTTGCCCTCGAGGTGGCGCAGGTGCGCCGGCATGTGCTGCGCGCGCAGCGCCGAGTTCACGCGGCTACGGGTCGCCATTGTTGCGCACGAAGTGACGAGAATGCCGGAATGACCCGACGATGGGGCGCGGAAACTGACGTCATCTTGCCTCGAAAGTGGGCACCGGTGATGAGTTATGGGTTTGCGGTAAAGCTGGAGTAGGGAGCGAGGAATTTTGGGACATGGCTTCCTGTCATTGTGAGGTCAACACTGGTGTTGATGGTGACCGTCAACACGGTCAACACCTTCAACTTGTGCACATGTCGGCACGGTCATCTTGTCTGTAGAGGCGGAGAGCGCAGCAAGAGTGAAGTACAGTGGATGCAGAGTGGAAATACAGAGTTTATTGGCAAAATAAGGACGTGCGAGCCCGCACGCTCTCGGGGGTCGTCTCGAGCGGGCAACGCAGCAGCGACGTCTGTAACTTAAGCGGTGGCGGTCTCCTCCTTCTTGGGCTCCTCCACCTTGGCAGCCTCCTCGGCCTTGGGCTCCACTTCCTTGGCGGGCTCCTCGACCTTCGCCTCCTCCTTGGCAGCCTCCTCGGCCTTGGGCTCCTCCTTAGCAGCCTCCTCGGCCTTGGGCTCCTCGACGGCGGGGGCGGCCTCCTCAGCGACAGCCTCGACGGGCTTCTCGACCTCAGCAGGCTTCTCCTCAACGGCGGCGGCGGCGGCCTCAGCAGGCTTCTCCTCCTCGACAGCGGCGGTCTCAGCAGGCTTCTCCTCTTCAACCTTCTCGTCCTTCTTCTCCTCTTCAGCAACCTTCTCCGTGGCCTCCTCGGCGGCAGCGGCGTCGGCAGGCTTCTCCTCTTCAGTAGCCTCCTCGGTGGCGGCGGGCGTCTCCTCGGCCTTGGTCTCCGTGGCGACGACCTCGGCAGGCGTCGTCTCAGCGGGCGTCGTCTCAGCCGGGTCCTTCGCAGCGGTGGATTGAGCGCAGCCCATGGTTAATAGTACTTGGCAGTGGTGGTGGTAGGTCTCGACGTGCGTCCGAGCGTGCAGATTCGCGAATGCCTCCCGATGGACGGGGAGCGACCACGCTGCCGCAGTGAGCGTAAAGTCGCGAGGGACGACCTCGTCTGTGCGGCCGCCTTCCCTCGCCGTCTCATCCTCGCCGGGTTCTCGTGGCTGCATGCTTGACGGAGACTGCGGCGCCACGCCTGACAATGCCGGCCGTCGCCACGTCGAACAGCGACCAGCAGGCGGACGACGGGTCGACTATGTCGCTTTCCGCGCGGTGTCCGCCGGCGGTGCCGCCGGCATGATGAAAGCGCCAGGTCTCTGCAGCTCCGACGTTGGCTCGCGCCGCGGCATTGACTGGCCGGTAGTCGCCGACACGTGCTTCGCCTCGTTTGCTAACTCGCCGCGTGCGCGCCATTGCTGTGACGCGCGCTCCGCCTCTCGGCGTCGATCGCGATGGCCGACGTCTGCTTGGTGCTCGCCTTGGACAGGCATTGCAGCAGTCGTCGGACTCGAGCTTGGTTCTTCTCAACGGTGTCTATAGATCTATACAGTACGCCGTGCTCAAACCTCGCGCTCACGCAGAACGAGAGGCTGTTGCAACTGCTGCTGCTGTAGATTGGAGGTGTGACGCGGTGACGCGAGCTGCGGGTACGGTCACCGCATTGTACTGTATCGCCGACACCCCGCACAAGACGACGACATCGCGTGCGTAGAGCGCAGAGCCCCACGGCGGACAACAGCCGGCCGAGCAGAGGCCGGACCGAGCTTGGTCCGCCTCGCGCTATCCATGATGGTGCTGGCGGTGGCGAGAGACGCGTGATCGGTCCTCGACAGGCAAAGCGACAACAGCACCACGGCGCTCAGACCGACACGGACAGCAATGGCGACAGCTTAGCGGTGACAGAGCGTCGAGCTAGTGGAGCCCGTTGCATCGTGCATGGGATCACTTGAAATGGCGCGAAGTTGAAGTGCACACTCTGCGGAGGAGGCCCTGAGATATCGGCGATGCTGACAAGATATGGTCTCAAGCCTTGAGGTCAAGGCGGCTGCGCTTTCCTGCCCATTCGTGATGGGGATTAGAACGCCGTTCCTGGACGAGATGCGAGTTCTGGGACGCTGTGAGCGCGCCACGGCAGCCTGCGCGATGAAGATGTTGAGCCAGCCCGTGGAAGCTGCACTCTGCTGGCAGTAGTGCTACATCTCTCCACGCGACCCGCAGCAGCGATTGAGTCATGCATGCCTGGGTAAGATCTTATCGAGCAGGAGATCCAAAAAGCGATATACGCTCCTTTCACCTGTGTGGCATCTATACAGTCGATGGTTGGCTGCCACTTTGGATGACCCAAACCAGGGACGTGAGAACAGATACTCGCCGAATTCGTTGTATCAACATGATCAGGTGTAGCCATGTTCCGCGAAAGGACGCGAGATCTTCACCAGTCGTTGAAAACGAATCGTTACGCAGCTGGCGCACTTCAACATGGAGCGCGTCCCGCACTGAAAGTTGCAGCTCGGCGTGGCCACGGCCTCGGCCATGATCTCCACCGGATACGGGCAGCATTGTCGCCCCGATTGTCGGATTTCTTCGTCAGGATAAAGGCGGCGTCAAGAGTACGATGCCTGCGCTCTATAAGAGGCCGGACCCCCAGCAGCAGGATCGAGGTGTGCATCGGACTCGTTTCGTTGAGCGCGCAATGCTAACGCTTCACGTGGCACGCTACTCACGCTGGTTCGGAAAGCCGCGTGGCGCCCATCGCTGATCGTGCGGACATCACAATGCCTCAAGCCGCCGTTGGAAGGGAGCCTCAGCTTAGACACTGGTGCAGAGGGAGCATTCGAGGACATGATGAATTCTCGGCTGTTGCCTCCACGTGTTCAAGAGTGCAGTGAACGTGCAAGTTGTGGCTTCGGAAGAAGAATAGCACCGCGCTTTCGCGGGCGAACGGCAGTGTTGGGCGCCAATTGGTTGTTGGGCTCACGCACTACGTCGTCTGAACTGCAGACACCTCCACTTGACGCGTGCGGCACCACCGTTAGGTTCGACCTGACCCCTTCATCCGCGTTCTGCCTCGATTCTGGAGGCACTGAGTGCGTCAGAAACGTAAGGGGGTAAGTCGCTTGACCGAACCATTCTCACAGCGCGCTGGGCGATAATGAAGGTAAAATTTGTTCCTTCTCTCTAGCACCGCGACGAGGAGGACTGTCCTCATACCAGCCACGCCAGGAGCGTGCCATCTAGAGGGCGGACCTTATCTCGCCAGTGCGGTCCATTAGCTCAAGCTCTCGACTTTACGTTCCCAAGCTGCTCGCCTTCTATACGCCCACAACTTAATAGCCTCGCTGCACACGACCAGAACCATCGTCACCTTCCAGTAGTTTACCACAATGCACTTGCGGATATGGGGCAGACCGCAGCCTGTTGCATTGGCCATGGATCTCGGTGACGACGACGACGACAGCTCTGCATCATCCGTCACAGCCTCCGATGCGAACTTCAGCCGCTTCTCGACAACTCAACTCACGTTTGAGCAACGAGGCAGCACCTTTACCAGCGCTGGAACAACCCCGTCTGAAGCCGAGCTACTGCGACGAGCTCGGAGCGTGCATAGCAATACCGACTTCAATGCTCTCGCAGCGGGACCGGAACAGGGCGGTCCGTGGCAGTGCGTGGAGACTGTCGAACGGTTCTCGGTCTTTCAGCGTCAGAGCGCTGATACTTCAACAGCAGCAGCATCGAGGAACACCATAGTGCGCGCTCGATTGGAGGTGCTGTGTGCTGGTCGCCTCGACGCCAGTCTTGATGAAGTCGCTCGAATCCTGTGCCCCGAGACGGAGGCCGAGCACAACGCCGCGATGAAGGGGCTATACGACAAAAACTTCATCTTTGGGTCCATCGAGCGCAACGTTCCGTGCACTAGAAGTATCCGCTGCGGGGCATCCTGTGTGACAGAGCCTGTAAACGGCGAGCAGCTCGCAGTGAAGACCAGCAGCTTCGTCCACACTGCGCTCTTCGGCCACAATGAGCAATGGTGCTACACCTACTTCTTCCAACGGAAACCCGAGCGAGACGGCTTCACCATCTCACAGCGCGCACTGCGGGCGGATGAATCCACACCGGGGCGTGTCAAAGGCGCGCATGCAAGAGTTCATCAACTCCACGGCCTCGCTGCTTCCTACCTCGTCGACCAACTGCCTGAGCGTCAGGGTCTCCGCGTTGTCTTCCACTCGTGGTTTGACGCAGGACCGCCGGCTCAGAGCAATTCTACACGAGGAAGTAGACGACGGTCGTTCTCCGACTCGACAGCCAATGCCTCAGCGGGATATTACCGAAGAGAGGCGAAAGCTCAAGCCCGTCGTCTGGTAGCACTCGCACACGGCATCGCTCAGCTCCCCGACTACGTGCGTCGCCGGCGTTTCAGCATCCAGACACCCGGTGACGAGAGCGCTCTCCAAACCGACAACAACCGCTGCCCATGCTGCACGTGCAGTCTCTCCACCGTGAAGTTGACGCTGGCCACGGGTTTGTCGGACTGGAAAAGGCTCAAGAAGAAGCGCTGCTACCTCTGCTGGTATCTCGTCTGCGGCTCGTGCTGGGTAGTCGCCCAAATGGAGATCGGGGTAGGACGCGTGGCCTCCATCGTCGCGTGCACGCGATGTCATACGCGCATCGAATCCATTCGACCTGGGTCGGCGGATAATTCGGACGGGGAACAGTAGAAAGTCAATAGAAAGAGTACTGCCAAACAAACTACACATCACGCTGCTCTTACTTACTCTACTAGAGAGTAACTCTAGGAGCAGAGACTCCGTCGCGAGGACTTCTTAGGTGCCACGAACCGAATCCAGTTGTGAGCAGGTTCAGTGCGAACTTGACCACGAGCTCGTGAGGGTGGTCCCCATGTTGTGACCTCCGGCAAATGATGAATTCTCTTGAGCGTGCTCACCTTGAGTTTGCATTATCCTTCCCCACCGTTTCCATTGTCCGGACTGAATTTGCCGCATCCGCCCGTACGAGGCCCCGAAAGTCGTTTTCCAGAGGCGACAGGCGGACTCGGGTTTTCAAAGCTCGGTTGCGTCTCCAGAATCCTTCGGCCCCCTGAAACTTTGAGGCTCAAAGCTCCCGGCCTCGACCGAGCAGGGGGCGGCAACAACAACGTCAGTTGGGACTCCGAGCGCGACACCGCGTAACACTCTTGAACCTGCTTGGCCCAGCTCAACACATCAGGCCAACCAGCACCTTAGCCATGAACCTGTCCAGAGTGCGCTCCATGTTCGAGGAGGCAGGACGACGCCGTCGCCAAGGGTGGGGAGGGTCCTGGGGCGGATCGGAGAACGCGTCCAACCTGTCCGACATGCCGAGTCCAAGCCCGTCGATGTCGACGCAGCAGAGCGACGACGACATCCAGCAAGAAGCACTGAAAGCCGCAGCAGTGCTGTCGGACCAAGAGATGCTGAAGCGAGCTCGAGCCGCCCACAACCGCGAAGACTTTGACTCCCTGTCGGCTGGTCCGGAGGCGAACGGACCCTGGAAGCGTGTGGAAGGAGTCGACCGCTTCGTCGTCTTCCGGCGACCAATGACCACGGGCAACAATAACCAAGAGCACACCAACGACCTGGAAGTCATGTGTGCCGGTCGACTCGATGCGAGTATCGAGGAGGTGGCCAGCATCCTGCGCTCTAGCTCCGAGATCGAGCACAACGCCTCCATGACGGCGCTCTACGCCAAGAGCTTCATCTTTGGGTCGTACGAGCGCGAAGTCTCGTGCTGTAAAGCTCGGGGTAACCAAGACGATAACGTGGTGCACGACGATAGCGGCGAGCAGCTCGTTGTCAAGACCAAGAGCTTTGCACGGACGACGATGCTAGGACGCAACGAGCAGTGGTGCTACTACGACTACTTCCAGCGCAAGAAGGAGCGCGACGGCTTTACCATCTCCAAGCGCGCGCTGCCTCCATCCGAGTTGACGCCTGGCCGTATCCTTGGAGAGAACGCCCACGTCGATCAACTTCACGATTTAAACGCCTCGTATCTCGTCGACAAACTCCCGAACCGCAAGGGACTGCGCGTCGTCTTCCACGCGTGGTTCGACTCACCCGATACAACAAAATCTCTTGGCACTACTCGCAGCACTTCGAGTCCAGGCCCTGGCCTGCGTTCCAAGTCGTTCGACTATGGAGAGACGACCAGACACAAGGCGCAGATGCGTCGCCTATTGGCAATGGCTCACGGCGTGACGAACCTCCCCGACCTCATCCGTCGTCGCCGCTTTGGCGCCCAAATACCCGCCGACCTCGCAGCAGTGTCCGCTTTAAACGCGCGCTGTCCGTGCTGCACTCACAGTTTGTCCTTGGTGAAGTCTACGCTGGCCAAGGCGGCTTCGGCTTTTACTAGCCGAAGCTTGGCTCCACTCAAAGTGGACACAAGACGCTGCTATCTCTGTGGGTATCTCGTCTGCGTCAACTGCTGGTCGGCGCAGCAAATGGAGAGCATGGCTGGGCGAGTGGCCGCGATCGTCGTCTGTGTCCGGTGCCAAGCCAACGTCCAGGCCTGTGAATACGCCGAAGTATTCGCTGGCACTGCCGCCGAGCGTGAACGGCACCGCGGACCCCCTCGAGTTGTTGAAGACTCGAACAATTCCTCGACTGTGGCGTTGCTGGTCAATTTCTTTACTGCTTCGCTATTGAACGCGACAGCAGGGAGCTCTGAACATGCGGCGGCGATGGCTGTGATTCGGACGCTGCTGCGCCAGAATCAAGAAGACTCGGAGGAAGAGAGCGAGGATGAAGACGTGGACAACAACGAGTACGAGAAGAATGCACCTCGTTTCAAGCCTCTGAACGAGACTGAAGCGGTGAAGAAAGTCGGAGAAATTCTGAGTGACGACACGCAGTTCTCAACGATTGAGGACTGTAGATTAGGGAATGCAGCGCAACGCAGCTACGTCTTGGATCTACCGGAAGACCCGAGTGTCGACGTCCCTCGCTCTCCGATCCCAAGCAACGAAGCGGAACGAGTCGCCACCATCAAATCCGCTGGTCTGCTGGAGCTCGCCAACCTCTTTGCGCCAGAAACTCCCCCGACGGACGTCTCCGAACTGAAAGGAGACTTACCCGACGTCCACGACCTGGAATTGTTGTGCCAGTTGGCCGTCAAGACTCTGGGCTGCGCGTACTCGTTCGTCACGGTCATGTGCGCCAAGCACGAGCACGTCATGTTTGGAACGCACCCGGCTTTCGTCGGCGCTGCGGTGCCTCGGGAACAGACTTCGTGCCAGCACGCGCTGATGTCCCCGTATCCGTTCATGGCTACGCACCAAGAGGCTGATGTACGCTTCCACAAGCAGGGAGCCATCTCCGCGGTCCCCATTCGGTTCTACGTCGGATTTCCTCTAAAGCTGGCGGCTGTAGGTGGAGAAGCAGAAGGAGAGGAGGTGACGGTGGGGATGCTCTGCTGCATCGACTCGAAACCTCGCGCCGAGATCACGTGCACTCAATACGCGACCATGGCGCGGCTCGCCAGCACAGCGACGCATTTCTTGTTGCAAAAGGCCCGTCAAAAGCAGCGGCTGTCAAACCATTATTAAGCGAACGACGATGTCTAAAGTATTGTATATTACGTGAGACCCGATAAACTAAAGATTTACTGTCTTCGTCTTCTTGGACTCGAGATCATTTTTTCTTTGATAATCTGGCAACGTATTTCAAGGTGGAGACCGTCAACGATTGACATATTGGATGGCGCTACTCGTGTTTCGAGTACGGGTACTACGGGTAGACTCCGTCAAACACTGCGCTTTGGATTATTTGCTCACTCATTCTGCAGTTACCACCTCTACAGTAGTATTCCAGCACAGATTGTAAACACTACCCACGCAAGTTTTTAGCTGGTCTGTCTTCATTTTACGTCAGTGGTTATGGACAGGAGAGAAATAATTCAACGTCAAGTGGCATCGATTCGCTTACCCCGCAGAGCTTCGCTGATCTCTGAGCTTTAAAGGCACTTAGGCATCACGATCGTGGGTCGAGACGTTGTAGAGTCCAGCGTCCTCGCGATGCGTGAAGAATTCTTCATAGTACTCGGAGACTTCTTGCTATATTATCTGCGTGGAAGTCTCTCCGGCCCGAATCGGTCAGGCACCTGGTCCTCAAAGCTGCCCGAAGTCATGTCCACGTATGGCCGACGACAGGCGCAAGAGGAGCTTGAACACGCTTCCTGGCTGAATTGAAGGCAGTTCACAATTGGTTTTGGTCGAACACCTCCATCATCCCGCCATGAACCTGTCGCGAGTGCGCAGTATGCTGGAGGAAGCTAGACATCGTCGTCCACGACAACAAGACTGGGGGAGTTCATCGTCCAGAGACACGAGCGAAAGTTTCAATTCAACTCCGTCGATGCCATCCCAACAGAGTGATACAACAGCAAGAGCGACCCTTTCAGACGAAGAACTGCTGCAGCGCGCTCGAGCTGCGTACGCGGATGAAGACTTTGCGTCGTTGGCGGCCGGTCCAGCAGCTAATGGCCCCTGGGTTCGTGTGGAATCCATCGATCGCATCGCCCTCTTCCAGAGACCAGCTACCAGCTCCAACAAGATCGAAGTGCTGTGTGCTGGACGCCTGGACGCGAGTCTCAAAGAAGTGGCGAGCATTCTTCGGTCCAACTTGGAAGGCGAGCTCAACTGTGCGATGTCGGCTTTGTACTCCAAGAGCTTCATCTTCGGGTCGTACGAACGGGAAATTTCATGCGCCAGCAACCAAACCCAAGACGACGGAGATGTCGACGGTAGCGAGCACCTCGTAGTCAAAACCAAGAGTTTCGCGCGCACGTCCGTGCTGGGGCGCAATGAGCAGTGGTGCTACTTCGACTACTTTCGTCGCAAGACCGAGCGCGACGGATTCACGATCACAAAGCGCGCTTTACCAGCTTCTGAGCCCATTCCTGGACGAATTACCGAGAAACCCGCTCACGTCGAGCAGCTTCACGGATTAAACACTTCGTACCTCGTGGATAAACCCGCAGATCGAAAGGAGTGTTCCGCGCGTGGTTTGAGCCGCCCCAAAACGAAGGAGATCAGTCTCGTGGTAGTCGAAGCAATAGCTCCAGCTCCAGTTCAGGCTCAAGATCATCGACGAGTTGTGGAGATACTCGGAAGTACAAAGTTCAACTGCGTCGGCTGCTAGCCATGGCTCGAGGGATAACTCAGCTCCCGAATATCGTGCGGCGTCGACGCTTTGGAGTCCAAGTCCCCGCGGATCTGAGCGCGATTCGAGCCCAGAACACGCGCTGTCCGTGTTGTACGCACAGTTTAGCACCCTTCAAGCTCTCACTGTCAATCGCAGCTTCAGCCATCGCGACTCGGAGTTTGTCCCACGTGAAGATCGCCACAAGACGCTGCTATCTGTGTGGATACTTCGTCTGCGCCAATTGCTGGACGGCGGAGCACATGGAGAGCGCCACCGGTCGAATCGCAGCGATCGTCGTCTGCACCCGCTGCCACGCGAACGTCCAGGCGTGCGAATACTCGAAAGTGTTTGCTGTTCAGAATGGGAGATACCGAGGACCTCCGCGAGTTATCGAGGACTCGAACAATTCTTCAACTGTATCGCTATTGATCGACGCCTTGAACGACTGTTTCCTCACTGCAACAACAGGAACCCCAAAGTACGCAGCCACGATGAGCGTAATTCGGACTCTTCTCCATCAAAACACCGAGGAGGAGGACTATATCCAGCAAAGGATTCCGTGCTTTGACCCTCTTAATGACCTCGAAGTCGTGACAAAGCTCCAGGGAATGCTGACCGACGAGTTGCCAATTCTTGGTGACTGTACTCTTGGAAATGCTGAGCAACGCTGCTACACTATCGACCTTCCTGACAATCCGAACACTGAAATGCCGCGTTCTCCAGTTCCGAGCAACGAAGTCGACCGAATCGCAGCACTAAAATCTTCAGGTTTGCTGCGTCTTGCCAACCTTCTCGCACCGGAGGTTCCACAAACAGCAGTACCCAAACCAACGCCTGACACTTACGATCTGGAGCTGCTGTGTCGACTGGCTGCGAAGACTTTGGACTGCGCGTACTCGTTCGTGGGCATTATGTGCGCCAGGCACGAGCATTTCCTGGCCGCGAGTCAACCAGGCATCGCTGGCGCTGTCATCCCCCGAGAGCACACGACCTGCCAGCACGCGCTCATGTCCCCCGACCCTTTCGTCGCAGCTCACCACGAGGCCGACGTGCGTCTCCACAGGGCGAACACGACGGTGCAGTTCGGAATCCGCTTCTACGTGGGCTTCCCCCTCAAATTGTCGAATGGAGATGGCGAGGCTGAAGTGACTGTGGGGGTGTTCTGCTGCATCGACTCGAAGCCTCGAGCGGAGATCACTCGATCTCAATATGCCACGATGAAGCGCCTCGCAGACGCGGCCACAAGCTTCTTACTGCAAAAGACTCGAGAGATCCAGGAATTCAAGGGCCGTTAGCCGTGCGCTTGACTGTCGAGTGGGAGAAAGACTTCATCCAAGCGGAGGCTATCTCCGGCCTGAATTTGCCCCCGAAACCCCTGTCTGTTACGATCCTCGACAGTCTCCCCACGACAGCCACTTCATTCCGGAGATCGTCGGGCTCTCAACACACCGCTGCAGCTACCAACAGTGTCGATGAACTTGTCCCGAGTGCGCGGTGTCTTCGATGAGGTGGGGCGTCGACGACGACAAGGCTGGGGAGGCTCAGGCTCTTGTTCGATCTCCTCGGACAGCGCATCCGGCTCGACCCCGTCGGTATCGACGCAGCAGAGCGACGAAGACACCGAACTCGAGGCGAAGCCGGCCCCCATAAGGCTCTCAGACGCCGAAATGCTGGACTGAGCTCGAGCTGCCCACAACCGCGAGGACTTTGCCGCTCTGTCGGCCGGTCCAGAGGCCAATGGGCCTTGGAAGCGCGTGCGCAGCGTCGACCGCTTCGTTGTGTTCCGACGAGACTTTGCGGAGGGCAACAACGGCATTCAGAATGAATTGGATGTGCTGTGTGCCGGTCGCATGGATACCAGCATCCAGGAAGTGGCGAGTATCCTTCGCTCGAGCTCAGAGATGGAGCACAATGCGTCAATGGCGGCGCTGTACGCCAAGAGCTTCATCTTCGGCTCGTACGAGCGCGAAGTGTACTGCTCGCAGCAAGGCAATCAGTCGGAGAGCAGTGGCGAGCGACTCATCATTAAGACCAAGACATTCGCGCGCACGACGATGCTGGGGCGTAACGAGCAGTGGTGCTACTACGACTACTTTCTACGCAAGACCGAGCGCGACGGCTTCACCATCTCCAAGCGCGCTCTACCCCCAATGGAGTCCGTCCCGGGGCGGATCGTCGGAGAGAACGCTCACGTCGACCAGCTCCATGGCCTGAACGCCTCGTACTTGGTCGACAGACCGCCGAGTCAAAAGGGACTGCGCGTAGTTTTCCACGCGTGGTTCGATCTGCCAGAGGAGGGGCCTCTTTGCAGCAGCCAAAGCGCGGCGGATAGCAGCATGGATCGCCACAATTCCACTTCAAGCTCAAAGTCGAGCCCAGGCTCCTTGATGTCCTCGAAATCGCTCGAGTATCGAGACGCCAGCAAGCACAAGGCTCAAATGCGCCGCTTACTTGCCATTGCCAATGGCGTCACGAATCTCCCGGAGCTCATTCGCCGTCGTCGCTTCGGAGTGCAGATCCCCGCCAGTTCCAGCTCACCACAAGGCTCGAACTCGCGTTGTCCATGCTGCACTCACAGCTTGGCGCCTGTCAAGCTGACGCTAGTGAAGGCAGCTTCGGCCATCAAGAGCCGCAGCTTGACTCCGTTGAAGATGGATACGAAACGCTGCTACCTGTGTGGTTACCTCGTCTGCTTCGATTGTTGGAGCGTTGAGCACATGGAGAGCGTTTCTGGTCGCGTGGCCTCCATTGTGGTCTGTACTCGATGCAACGCTAATGTTCAAGCATGTGAATACTCCGAGGTGGTCTCTGGGACGGCTGCCAAACGTGCAAAACATCGAGGGCCGCCCCGTGTAGTCGAGGACTCGAACAACAACTCCACCGTCTCGCTACTGGTGGACTTCCTTTCAGCCTCGGCCTTGAATTCGACTGCGGGGAGTCCAGAGCACGCCGCGGTGGTGGCTGTCATTCGAGCGCTTCTTCGACAGGAGAACTCCGATACTTTCGACCAAGATGAGGACGAAAACTATGCTGAGTATGAAGATACGGCGCCATGTTTCAAGGAATTGGAAGATACATTACAAGCCGAGGAGCAGATACCAACGCTGGCAGCTTGCAGTCTGGGGAACGCAGAGCAACGGAGCTACCCAATTGATCTCCCGGAAGACCCCACAGTTGACGTCCCTCGCTATCCAATTCCTAGCAACGAAGCCGATCGTATTGCGGCTGCGAAGACGTCCGGATTGCTTCAACTTGCTGATCGGCTCGCACCAGCGACGCCTGGGCCAGAGCTCTGGCAGCCGACACCCGACACCCACGACCTGAACTTGCTCTACCAATTGGCTGCGAAGACTTTGGACTGCGAGTACTCGTTCGTGGCGATTATGTGTGCCAAGCACGAGCATTTCCTGGCTGAAAACCACCCACTTCTCGCTGGTACAGTCGTCCCCAGGGAGATCACGACCTGCCAGCATGCGCTGATGTCTCCGTATCCGTTCATGGCTATTCACCACGAAGCGGACGTGCACTTCCACAAGCTCAGCACTATCGCCCAGCTCAACATCCGATTCTACCTGGGGTTCCAACTTAAAGTACCGATTGAAGGGGGTGAAGGAGTCACGGTGGGGATGTTCTGCTGCATTGACTCCAAGCCCCGAGCGGAGATCACTCGAACGCAGTACGTCACGATGAAGCGCCTTGCTAGTACAGCCACGTACTTCTTGCAGCGAAAAGGCCGCCAAGTGTTGGAACAGCAACACCTCCCGGTAGATTAGTCCCTAAGTAGTTGTAAAACTTCAACGGTCTGCAATTTACACCCCCTCTATATCGTTACTGAAGATGTCTAACGAATTCGTTCAGCAAAAAAATATATTTACAGCGCGTTGGTGCATTTACTTAAGCTTAGCGTGGTGAGGCACTCCACTTGCCCCAATATCGCTGGCCACTCGTCATGGCAGGCAAATGGCAGGTGTCAATGGCCAGAACGGATCGGAACCAGCACCTACTACTGCTACTACTAATGAGTATTTCTAAGCATTTCCATTTTCTAGAAACGAAGAACCGGGTCCAGTTTGCCCCAAATAATGACCGGTACTTTACCGCACACTTCGAACAAGGGCTAGCTTGTGTAGATCCCTCCTTGCCTTTGTCGGCTCTTGTCCTGCGTGTTTATGGCGAGCGATCTCCGCCGAGGGGGGGGGGGCTCAGTTACAGACTCTTGACTCAAATGCCCCTCGTTGCGTCATAACGTGGCGCCACTCGGGCACACCACTGTCTTTCCCTCCTGCATCGCTTCAACATCTCTCCGACCAGTGAACGGCACCGCTGAACTCACCCTGCTGCGTGGCGGGGAAGGTGTTCGCGTCACCCGCTTGCATATAAATGGCCTGAGGTCACTCCGTTTCGTTAGCAAGACTTGCTCTCTAGTACTGACCACCTCTCGTCGCACGCTTGATCTCCCACCACCACCACCATCTCACTTCAACACCGCGCGCTTTTTCTTACAAGCCGAAGCAAGCTCCTCAGTACCGAAAGAGCGACGAACGGCGAACGTCTCGACATCAGGGAAATACGACAAGCTCTGTCTGACTCGACAATCCCATTCTCCCCTAATTCATGAGCTTGGCCAAGATGCGCAGCGTGTTGGAGGAGGCGAACAAGCGTCGGCAGCGAGGATGGAGCGGCTCGCAGTGCAGCGCCAACAGCGACTTTAACCCCGCTTCGTCCCTTTCAACAGAGCAGAGCGAGGACTTCGACGTCGAGAGCGGCCTAAAACCCCCATCCGACGCCGAAATGCTCGAGCGAGCTCGAGATGTTCACATGAACGTCGACTTCGTAGCGTTAGCAGCTGGACCGGAGCGCGGTGGGCCCTGGCAGCGCGTGGAAGCTGCCGACCGCTTTGTCGTCTTCAAACGGCCGTCCACTGCTGAGGTTTTGAACGGCAACCGCATTCCGGGGCTGGAGGTCTTGTGCGCTGGTCGTCTTGACGCAAGTCTGGAGGAAGTGGCGAGTGCTCTGCGCTCCAACTCAGAGGTGGATCTAGCGAGCACCATGCAGGGGCTGCACAAGAAGAGCTTCATCTTCGGATCACTGGATCGGGACGTACCTTGTGCCGACGAGACGCCCATAAACCAGGGAAATCAGAATGAAGACTCGAATCTCCACGCCAACGAACAGCTCAGCGTCAAGACCAGCAGCTTCACGCGCACCAGCCTCTTCTCGCGCAACGAGCAGTGGTGCTTCTCCGACTTTTTCCAGCGCAAGAAGGAGAGAGATGGCTTTACTATCTCTCAGCGTGCGCTGCCTCCATTTGAACGAACTCCAGGGCGCGTGGTGGGGAATAACGCGCGTGTCGACCAGCTTCACGGCTTGAACGCGTCGTACCTGGTGGATCAGCTCCCGAATCGGAAGGGGCTACGCGTAGTCTACAACGCGTGGTTCGAGGACCCTGTAATGGGTATTGAGGCGTCAAGTACAAGCACCATGTCCAGTCGTACTAGCAGTCGACGAAGGAGGTCTGGATTGAGCGTAGTGTCTTCTACTTCGAGCAATGGCAGCATCGGAGAGACCACCACAGACAGCAAAGCTCAGCTCCGTCGTCTACTGTCGCTAGCCCACGGCATGACAAAACTCCCCGATCTCATCCGCCGACGCCGATTTGGGGTCCAAGTGCCCGTGGACTTCGACGCCGTTCAAGCGGGTAACACACGCTGCCCATGCTGCACGCACAGCTTAGCCCCCGTCAAGATGTCGCTGTCATTAGCTGCGTCAGCCATTACCAAGCGAAGCTTGCGGTCTCTCAGGATGGACACCAGACGATGTTATCTGTGTGGATACCTCGTTTGTATCGACTGCTGGAGCGCCGAGTACATGGAGAGCACCGTAGGCCGTGTAGCGGCCATTGTAGTCTGTACGCGGTGTCGCGCCGCGGTGAAAGCTTGCGATTATTCAGAAGTGTGCGCTCCGGACAACACCAGCAACCACCGAGGACCTGTGAAGGTCGTGGACGACGAGCCTGATGCTTCGTCCGCTTCACTCCTCACCGACTTCCTCTCCGCCTCGTTGATGAATGCGTCGGCTGAAGGCGCTGACCGAGCTGCCGTCCTCTCGGTCGTTAGACTTCTGCTCCGACAGAGCGAATCCACCGATAGTGAGAGCGACGACAGTGACAACGACTGTGACTACGACAGCGGTTACGATGAAGACAACAACGCCGCCGTGAAGGAGCTCGAGCAGTACTTGGGTGACTCGAATCAATTGCCGGAGCTCGAGTCCTGCGTCTTGGCTAGCGCTGAGCGACGGGAGTACGTGATCCATCCTCCGGATGACCCGACGACCATGGTGCCGTCCAGTGTGATCCCCAGCCACGACGACATCCGCCTCCAGGTGGCAAACGATAAGGGTTTACTGCTGCTCGCGTATCAATTGGCGCCATTGGATCTCACTCCTGGGATGTCCTTCCACGACGCGTGCGACGTCCGCGACCTCAATCTGCTGTGCCAACTGGCTATACGTGCTACAGGATGCACCGACGCGTTCGTGACAGTCATGGGGCTCAATCACAACCATATTTTGGCAGCTACGAATCCGGGTTTCCACCACGCCGCCGTTCCGCGAGAGCAGACGATCTGCCAGCACACCATCATGACTACGAGGCCCTTTGTGGCGACACACCCAGAAGCGGACGTCCGCTTCCACGAGATCGCAGCAGTTAAGGCGCTGTCGATTAGACATTACATCGGTTTTCCCGTCACGGTGCCAGTAGCGGCTAAGAACGGATACTCCGAGCCAGAAGTACCTGTGGGAACGTTGTGCTGCATTGACTCAACCGCGCGCGCCGAGCTCACGCGCTCACAGTACGCCACAATGAAGCGGCTTACAGAGACCGCGTCCAGGCTCATCCAGATGAAAGGCCGACAACTCCAACAGCAGCTAGCACAGAACGTATCCATAGCTGCTTGATCGACGACCCCATACCTCCAAGGCCTAATCAACAGCGACGCTGTGCCGCAGCTTAACAAATCCCTTGTAACTGAGACAAATACCCAGAGCTGGAGTCGTGCGTCTTCGCTAACTCAAGAGCGACGAGGGTATGCAATCGATATTCCGAGCGGTCCCGTGGTCACCCCATTGTAAGCTGGTCACCGAGAAGAGGTTGCTAGTTCCAGACGTGTCTTTCGATGACGTGTGCGACGTCCACGACCTCGACTTGTTGAGGCAACTTACTCTGCGTGCTTCGGGCTACGCCAACGCGTTCGTGTCCATCATGGGCTCGCAGAATCTCCGTCCTCGAACTCGGCCTTCTGTCACGCCATCACGCCACGAAAGCACGGCTGAGCCAACGTGAGGGTTATCAATGACAACCCTCACGTTGGCTTATCATCTTCTCCCCATTCCGCAATTTGCGTCGCAGAGCTCAAGCCGCCAGGGGGACCAATCAGAGAGACCAAGCGATAGAGCCGGTCTAATCTGAGGTCCAGCCAATCAGGAGTGACGGTGAGCACCGTATCGCCTCCTGATTGGCCACGACTGATCGGAATCCTCCCTCACGGGGAGCCAGTCGTGCCTGACGGGGAGGGCGCTGGTGGACGGCGTTGGGTGCGAGGACCGCCGCCGCCTCGTGCGAAGCCCACCCTTAACGAAGCTCGCGGATTGACGCCCGAGGCGCCGAGTAACAAGTCGACGGGTGCGAGGAAGTGATGACCCACCAAGAACTCTGCTCGCGGACTGACCACCTGCGGTATCAAGCCAACTTTGTCAGCGTGGACGTGCCACGCTGGTGCCTTCAGTATTTTTCACGTGTGGTCTCTGCCGGTCAGATGCCAGCTCGTGGATTATGCATGCGGACACTGTCTTAACACGTTGGAGGTGTCACTGTACGCCGGGGGCGAATGGTGCTGGAGGAGCACTGGGACCTGGCACGACGGTATGGGCTTGCCAGTCGGATATTGGTGATCGTTAGCGATAGACTAAATGAACACAATATACCTCACCTGCAAAATGAAAATGAAATGAAGCATCTTGAAAAAAGCAATCCTGGGACGTCAACGTAGGCATCCAGTCGGTTTGATTCGTTGTCTCTACTGCTTGCTGCAAACGTCTTGAATTGTGTTGATAGCACCATGCTGAAAATAGGAGTAGTCAATCGTTCTAAACTATCGCTGCACTGCAACGTCAGGGAAAATCGTTACCACGTGCGCTTGGAAATATCTCCACGCATAGTACTCGCGCCTTGCCAACGCAACGCGTTCGCGGATCCGCACTAAGGCGCTGGTGTGATGCGCCCCCCCATGGAAGGTGTGGATAGTCAGAAGAGATCGGAGCCGACATCCTGGCACGCGTTGTCATCTTCTAGAAACGAAAGACCAGGCTTGCATGAAATGGTAGTCAGCGGTAACTGATCGCCGGTCACTTGAAGCGCACGCGTGGTTATACCAACGATCTCCGCCTTGGAAGTACTTACAGGGGCAAAACTTGCCTTGTACCCGAGATGCCTGGCCCAGAGCTCTCTCTAGCAGGAAGTAATTGTTGTGTTAATTGGCTGCCAAGACTTACTTTGGACGGCGTGGGAGCGAGGCACGAGCGCTTTCTGGCTGAAAACCACCCATTCTTGGCTGGTACAGTCGTTCCTAGGCAACAGCAGCAGCAGGTCCCGGTGGATTAATCAAAAGGCAGTAAAAGTATTACTTCGAAGTAGAACGTTCGGCAAGACCCCCCACCTTGTCGTTACTGAGAAGAAGCGTTGGGCAGCGATGTCCTTGGAATTCTTCCGCAACACGTTCGCACATTCATGCCCAAGCGCAAATTGTCACAGCTTCGGTATCTCCGAGCGCCCGCCCTGGCAGGCATATTTGAACGCGCCAATGGCCAGAACGGATCAGACCCAATAACACTTCGCACTACTCATTCAGTAGCTAAGAAGCACTCCAATTTCGAGAAACGGGTGTACTGCATCGCCCGCACGTACGTACACACGTGTAGACTCTTGTCCTGCGTGTTTATGGCGAGCGATCTCCGCCCCCGTTACGGGGCCTTGACGCAAATGCCTCAGAGTTTCTGCCGCTTCAATACCTTCCGACCAGTGAACGGCGCGTCTGAACTCACCAGAGGTACGTGATGTTGCTCGCATCACCCCCTCGAATATAAATGACCCGAGGTCCGAAGTCCGCATATCTGTTTCGTTAGCAAAACCTTCGTCAAGTACTGGCCACTCACTCCACTCTCGCCGCAAGTGGCCCCGCCATCCCATTTCATCACCGCGCGCTATTGTCACCGCGAGCGAGCTCTCAGTGCTCAAAGAGCGGCGAACGACAAACACCCCCAACGAAGCTTGGTCTGCCTGAACGATCCCCCATTGATGAGCTTGGCCAAAATGCGGATCGCGCTAGAGGAAGCGAACAAACGGCGCCAGCGTGGATGGAGCGGCTCGCAGTACAGCGCAAACTCGGCGCCCTCCTTCTCGACGCAGCAGAGCGAAGAGCTCAACCCCGACAACGAATCAACCACCCAACCCCCGTCCGACGCAGAGATGCTTGAGCGAGCTCGAAGTGCTCATCGAAATGTTGACTTCGTAGCACTAGCCGCCGGTCCAGAGCGCGGTGGGCCCTGGCAGCGCGTTGAGGCCGCCGACCGCTTCGTCGTCTTCAAACGATCCGTCAATGCCGAGACGAATGACAACCGCCTTCCTGGCCTGGAAGTCATGTGTGCCGGCCGCCTCGATGCCAGTCTGGAAGAAGTGGATGGCGTCCTACGCTCAAAATCGGAAGTAGATCTGGCGAGTACCATGCAGGGGCTGCACTCGAAAAACTTCATCTTCGGGTCGCTCGATCGCGAAGTGCCGTGCTCGGACGAGGCGCAGGACACCAACGATGAGGAGTCCAACAACTATAGCAGTGAACAGCTCAACGTCAAAACCAGCAGCTTCGTGCGCACCAACCTCTTCTCGCGCAACGAGCAGTGGTGCTTCTCCGACTTCTTCCAGCGCAAGAAGGAGCGAGATGGCTTCACCATTTCCCAGCGCGCGTTGCCTCCATTTGAGCGGACTCCAGGGCGCCTGGTGGGGAACAACATGCGTGTTGATCAGCTGCACGGACTCAACGCGTCGTATCTGGTCGACCAGCTCCCGAATCGGAAGGGGCTGCGTGTAGTCTACAACGCGTGGTTCGAGGACCCTGTAATGGGTATTGAGGCGTCAAGTACAAGCACCATGTCCAGTCGTACTAGCAGTCGACGAAGGAGGTCTGGATTGAGCGTAGTGTCTTCTACTTCGAGCAATGGCAGCATCGGTGAGACCACCACAGACAGCAAAGCTCAGCTCCGTCGTCTACTGTCACTAGCTCATGGCATGACAAAACTTCCCGATCTCATCCGCCGACGCCGCTTTGGGTTCCAAGTACCCATGGACTTCGACGCCGTTCAAGCGGGTAACACACGCTGCCCATGCTGCACGCACAGCTTAGCCCCCGTCAAGATGTCGCTGTCATTAGCTGCGTCAGCCATTACCAAGCGAAGCTTGCGGTCTCTCAGGATGGACACCAGACGATGTTATCTGTGCGGGTATCTCGTGTGTATCGACTGCTGGAGCGCCGAGTACATGGAGAGCACCATCGGTCGTGTGGCGGCCATTGTGGTCTGTACGCGGTGCCACGCCGCGGTGAAAGCCTGCGATTACTCGGAAGTGTGCGCCCCAGACAACACCAGCAACCACCGAGGACCCGTCAAGGTCGTCGCGGATGAACCGAATGACTCTCCCGCTCCGCTCCTCACCGACTTCCTCGCCGCCTCGCTGTTGAACGCCCCACCCGGCGGCGCTGACCGTGCTGCGGTGCTTTCAGTAGTCCGAATGCTTCTCCGGCAGAGCGAAGCCACAGACGACGAGAGCGACGACAGCGACTACGACTGCAGCTACAACAGCGACTGTGGCGAGGACAACAACGTGGCTGTGGAGGAGCTCGAGCGATACTTGGGCGACGAGAGCCAACTGCCCGAACTCGAGTCCTGCGTGATCGCCAACGCTGAGCGACGAACATATTTAATCGATCTCCCGGATGATCCGACGACGACGGTGCCGCCCGGTGTGATCCCGAGCCACGACGACATCCGCCTTCGAGTGGTTACCGACAAAGGCTTGCTGCTTCTCGCCTACCAGCACGCGCCGCTGGATCCCGCCCCCGGGATATCCATTGACGACGCGTGCGACGTCCGCGACCTCGATCTGTTGTGCCAGCTCGCAATGCGTGCTACGGGATGCACCGACGCGTTCATGTCGGTCGCGGGGCTCAAGCACAACCACGTATTAGCGGCTACGAACCCTATGTTCCTCCATGCCGCCGTCCCGCGAGAGCAGGGCTTCTGCCAGCACACCATCATGACGACGAAGCCCTTTGTAGCAACGCATCCAGAGGCGGACGTCCGCTTCCACGAGATCGTGGGGGTCAAGGCGCTGTCGATCCGTTACTACGTCGGCTTCCCGCTCTTGGTGCCAATAGCAGAGACCACCGGATACTCCGAGACGGAGATGCCTGTGGGAACGTTGTGCTGCATCCACTCGATCGCGCGCGCCGAGCTCACGCGCTCGCAATACGCCACCATGAAGCGACTCACGGAGACCGCGTCCAGGCTCATCCAGCTGAAAGGCCGACAACTTCAACAGCAACTCGCACAGGGCGCTGCATGACCATGATTTACGTCCAGAAGCGCAACTGTATCGCTTTCGATGAATACACAGAATCCGCATCCAAGTCCAGCGAAGGCTTTGGTGGTGCTGGATAGTTTTCACCCGTCTGCGACTTGTTAGAAAGAGTCGCTCAGCGATCCTTGGTCCCAGTGTTCACTACAGAAGTCTCCGCCCACCTACCGAGCACTTCCGACGATTCAAGTTCCACGCGAGGGGGCACAAACGCCTAGTATCGGAGGTGTCGGCGTCGAGATGAACCTTTCGATGGTGCGAGGAATGCTTGACCAGGTGGGAAGACGGCGTCCCAGCTACCCGTGGTCGAGTTCAAGTGCTCATCGCAGTGATGGCTCGGAGAGCGCCGAGTCCAGCTCGACGTTCTCGACAGGGGCACAACCGAGTGAAGCTTCGGACGTTAATGACCGTGGTCGAAGCTACAGCAAGCCTCTTCCAGACACGGAGATGTTGAGAAGAGCACGAGAGGCTCATAACCACGTCGACTTCAAGGCGTTAGCTGCTGGACCGAATGCCGGTGGGCCCTGGAAACGCGTAGAGGCTGCCAATCGATTCGTGGTTTTCCGTCACCAAGACGCCCAAGTGGGGATCTTTGTCAAGAGCAGGATCGAGACAGCGCCTCAAGTGTTTTGTGCCGGCCGCCTTGACGCTTGCATCGAGGAGGTCCTGCGCATCTTGTGCCCACGAACTGAAGCTGAACACAGTGCAGTCATGACGGCGTTATACGCCAAACGCTTTCTATGTGGATCGGTCGAGCGCGTTGTTGATGTCTCCACTGAAGATGACGGCGAGCAGCTTGTAGTCAAGACGAGCAGCTTTGCCAACTCCTCTCTCTTCGGTCCCAACGAGCAGTGGTGCTACACCGACTTCTTCCAGCGCAAGCGCGAACGCGACGGATTCACAATCTCGCAGAACTCTCTAGGGCGGAATGAGCCGACTCCGGGGCGTATGACGGGGACGCACACTCGAGTAGATCAACTGCATGACCTCACCGCTGTCTTCCTGGTCGATCTGGACCCCAGAGGCAAAGGGCTGCGCGTTGTCTACAACGCTAAGTTCTTGGCAGAGTCGCATGACAGAGATCGGAGCACCTCGAATCAATCCACCAACCCCACTGAAAGTCTCAGCTCACCAACAGCAGACAAGAGTGCTGAGATCAAGGCACAAGCCCGACGGCTTGAAGCTTTGGCTCGAGGAGTGACGAAGCTCTCGGAGCTCGTACGCCACCGTCGCTTTGGCTTCCAGATTCCGGCCGACCTCGACGCCATCGAAGTCGCCAATCCTCGTTGTCCATGCTGCACGCGCAGCTTGTCGCCCGTGAAGCTTTCGCTGTCCGTAGCGGCCTCAGCCATTTCGAAACGGAGCTTGTCGGCGCTGAAGACGGACACCAGACGCTGCTACCTGTGCGGCTATCTCGTCTGCATCGACTGCTGGAGTCCCGAGCGCATGGAGAGTCTCTCTGGACGCGTAGCTGCCATCATTGTCTGCAGAAGATGTCAAGCTTGCGTGGACGCGTGTGACTATTCCGACATCTCCACCGACCGAAACCACGGCCCAGCTCGCGTCGTTGAAGACTCTCCAGAGAGCAGTACAACTTCACTCTTGGTCGACTTCCTGTCCGAGTCTCTCAACCAAGCCCGGCCTGGTAGCGCAGAGCGTTCCAACGTATTCGCCATAGTCCGCACCCTGCTGGATCAAGATCAAAACTCGGACGAAGAGGACAGTGGCGAGGGCGACGACGACATGGCTTACCTTGAAAACAAGTGTAACGCTGACGCCGTTGCCAAGGTCGGCGAGTTCTTGAGAGACAAAAGCAAGTTTCCGCTGCTCAAAGCCTGTACACTAGGCAACGCCGAACGACGCAGCTACGTGCTGGACTTGCCCGACGATCCCGAGAAAACGGTCCCGCGCGGCCCGATACCAAGCAACGAGGGTCGACGCCTGTCAGCCGCGAAAGCCTCTGGCTTGCTCAAGCTTGCGGACCAGTTGGCACCAGCTCAGCCTCGCGACTCCCCGCTAGAACCCCAAATCGATGTTCGCGACTTGGAGCTCATCTGCCAGCTAGCTGCGAAGACCTTGGGCTGCTCGAACGCGATGATTTCGGTCATGGGGGCGAGCCACGAACACGTTCTGGCGTCGACCAACGTCAACTTCAAGGGGGCTGCTGTGCCGCGCGACTACACCATGTGCCAGCACCAGCTAATGTCCCAAGATCCGCTGGTCTTGATCCACCCCGAAGCCGACGTGCGTCTTCAAGCTATCGAGACGATCAAGCTGATGTCTCTCCGCAGCTACGTCGGCTTCCCGGTCACCGCGCCGCTTGTTGAGTCTTCCAACGAACAAGTCGCAGTGGGCACGCTGTGCTGCATCGACGACAAACCTCACGCCGAACTCACGCGCTCGCAGTACTCGACCCTCCAGAACCTTGCCCGCACAGCGTCCAGCCTCGTGCAGATGAAGGGCCTCCAGCTTCAGCAACAAACCGCTGCTCCAGCATCATGAAGGATATAAAGCAGACAAAAACCGCAACGTACAATGCAGAATACAGTGTGTCATTTGCTCGAGTCGTACCTATCCCTGCCTACCAAGTGTCCTGGCCAGCTCTGTCCGTCCTCTTCGTCCTCCTCTTCGTAGCCTTGCCGCATCCGAAGCCGTGAATTGGCTGCTTCGGGTAGTAACCTCGACAGACGTCGACAGAGTTCGCGGCTCTCGTCGCACTTGCGTTCGAGTTGTGCCAGCTTCGCGTCCACGCTGCGCTGCGAGTTGGGGTCTTTGCTACGAGGTTCCTGCTCGTGCTCCGGGTCATGAGGAGACCCAAACGCCCCCTCCAACTGCTGCAACCACTCCTCCTGTTGAGCAAGCTGCGAGCGCACACGCGCCTCAAGCGCCGCACGCTGGCGGGCTTCCTCCGCCAGCAGCTCCTCGAAAGACCCGCTCAACCGCGCCAACGAAGCCTCGTGCTCACCCGCCAGCGCCGCCAGCACAGCATTGGAAGACAGCGCGTCCTGCGAGTCGCCACCTGCCGGCTTGCCCGCTACAATGCCTCCCAGCGCCGCGTTGATCTCCGCCGTCAGGTCCGTGCGCGCCTCCGCCGTCGCCTGCTGCACCTTGGCGTCCACTTCGTCGCGCAGCGTCTGCACCAAATGTTTCACAGGGCTGTGCTTACCAGGCTTACCCGTGGGAATGCCCAACACCTTGGCGATCTGCGCGAGCTGCGACTGGAACGCGCTCTGTCGTCCCTCCAGCGTCGAAATGCGGTCACTCAGCACCGTCGCCGTGGCTTGGTCCACTGCCGAAGCAGGCGGAGGCGGGGGAGGAGGGGGCTGCGTCTGCTGCTTGTAATGCTGCTGCTGTTTGGGCACAAAAGGCGCCGCGTTGGCGCTCCAGTTGCCGTTGCTAGGCGAGCTGGCCTTGACGTTCACGCGTCCGACCTCGATGGCCGTGGGGATCGAGTTCTTGGTCAGCTCCAGCACCTGGTTCTGCAGCGACTGCATCTGCAGAACCATCTCGTTCATCTGCGCCCGCATGGAGTCGCACGCGCACCTGCATCTGACCTGAGTCTTGTCGGGCGTGGCGTCCCCCAAGTGTCGCTGCACCGAGCCAAGCACCAGGTGCTCCAGCGCCTGCGCGAGCTCCGAGCTCTTGCGCGCGACGTTCCCCACCTCGGGGGTGACTCGCACTGGCTGCGGCATTGGCGTGGGGGGCGTGGGCAGCCCCGGGGCGGCGCGCTTGGCCGTGTAGAACGCTGGGGGCTGCTGAGACGCACTCGGAGCCAACGTAGTGGGCGTCGCAGGCGCCGGACGGAACGCCGGCTGCAGGTAGGACAGGTAGGACGGTAGGGCTTCCTCCTCTCGCTCCTCCTCGGCCGGCTCCATGCGGTTCCAGAGCGCGCGCGAGCCCGAGGCGCCGATGGTGCCGTGCGACGCCGCCGACTGGTTGGACGCGGCGAAGCCCCACACGCCATCGCGCGTGCTGGCGCCGTCGTCGTCCGCCGAGAGATCGCGACTGTTGAGCCACATGGAGGACACGCAGGCGCAGGTAGGACGGGGAGAGCGAGCGTCAGCGCGGCCGTGGGGGACGCAGGAGACTGACGCGGAGATGGCGCGGATGGCAGATGGACCAGTACGGTTGGCGTAGAGCTGCAACACCGGTCCTGACACACGATTCGTACACAACTCCAACACCGGTAAGCAAAAAAAGTTTTTTTTAGAGATGTCACACTGTGTGACATCTCTAAAAAAAACTTTTTGACAGTAACACGATTTTCAGTAACACGATTTTCTTCTGAATTACCATAGTAATATCCTGGTCGGGTTGGGGTGACGCCCTCCCGGGAAGCCTGGGCAAGCATGCTGCTCGCCCAACGCTTCCAGCAGACGCTTCACGGCGTCTGTCAGTCTTTGACGGGTCTCTCCCTCTCCACATCTCTCTCTAACCACCCCTCTCACCCCCAGCTCCCAGCAACGCAGCCACGGCGCCGCCCGCGGAAGCCCGCTCGCCATCTCCGGCTAGGTACGTTAAACGTGCAATCCATTGGCTCCCAGCGCAAGCAACAAGAGACGCTCCCTCGAGACCTGTCGGCCTACCGCGTCGACGTGTTAGGCCTCCAAGAAACCCGCATACCCTATCAAAGTGAGCAGAAGTCCGGTAAGTACCATCTCCTGACTCTACCGACATCCCAGCGATGGCATGGCGTTGGTTTTGCTATTGCACCTCACCTGCGTAAGGTCCTGTATAAGTACTGGGCCCATTCGGACCGTGTTGGAGTCCTCCAACTACGCATGCCCAAGGCCCAGCGAGTGAACATCATCAATGTGTACTCACCGCACAGTGGCTACACCTCTATCGAGGTCGACCGTTTCTACGAGGATCTTCATGCAATGCTAACCAAACTCCCACAGCGCGATACGACATTTATACTGGGCGACTTCAACGCAAAAATTGGACAGCAACGCGAACACGAACCCTTCTTAGGACAATGGGGACGTGGCCGACGCAACCGCAACGACCACGTACTCGCCTCCTTTTGTGACGCCAATGATTTGTTTATTTCTAACACTGCTTTCCGAAAGCGCGCTTGCAACATCACGACGTGGACGCTCCGACTCAAGGAACACAGCATCTTCAACCAAATCGACTACATCATTTGCAGCCAGTGGAATAAATCCCTGTGTATCAACGCACAGTCGTGGGGCGGTATCCTCACACCGACCGACCACAAGCTGGTCACGCTGGACTTTGATCTCCGCGCACTCGGTGGGCTCCAGCGTCGAGTTGCCAGAGTCCAATTCAACAACGCCGAGACTCGCCTCGCCACGCACCTCCTAGTGCACGACCAACGCTCCCGACTACAATACCGCCAGCTACCGCCATGCCACACCAGGGGGGATCGCCAAACCAGCGCTGGGCGACGACGCTGAACACAGCACTGGAATCAGCAGCAGACTCGATTGGATACCTTCCACTCGCCAAAAGCGCCAAAATGCCGGATCCAGAACTAGCACGTCTCTCCTGCGAACAACGACGACTCTGTCTAGCCATCTACAACGACCGTGCGCTGGACGTCGATGACCTCCGCCGCCGACGCAACCACGTACTTCACAAAATCTGGGAGAGCAGCAGACACCTTGCTCGCACTTTTATTGACGAGAAACTAACCGCCATAGACCGCTCTAGCCATTCGGCTAGGATGTTCGAGGCAACGCGAGTGCTGCTTCGACAGCGCTCACCACTAACGTCTCTATGTGACTCCACAGGTAAATACATTCTCCACCGCAAAACAGCAGGCGCCAAGATCCGACAACACTTCAAGGAACAGTTTTACGACCCGAGCCGACAGTCCGTCCCCAGCGACAGCGTGGCTCGCCCTCTGGAGAGGCCCATTACAGCCGACGAGCTCGCACGCGCCTTCCATCGCCTTCGCAATGGCCGCGCAACCGGACCTGACGCCATCCCAGCTGAGCTACTCAAGTACGGATCTACGACACTAGCTCAACCTCTCGCTGCCATACTCAAGGACGGATTCTCTACTGGAGCAAACATTCATCTGGGCGACGGAATTCTCCTTGGACTTCCAAAGCCAAACAAGCCGGCTGGTCAATGTGCCAGCCTTCGACCAATTGTGCTGCTCAACAGCATTCGCAAGGCCATCTCGCTCGTCGTTCTCGAGCGCATCTCCCCGAAGGTCGAACGCTTTCTGTCCCCTCACCAGAGCGGGTTCCGACCCAGTCGCAGTACTGCCGATGCAGTATGGACCCACACGTGGATAGCAGCACGGGAGCAGAGATTCAAGGAACGGTTCCACATACTGGGTATCGATCTCTCCCGTGCTTTTGACACAATCAACCGCGACAAGCTCCTTCTGGTTCTCGAGTCGATTGTCAGCAGCGATGAGCTTCGCCTGATCCGACTACTCCTACAAGACACCAAGCTCGCCCTCCGATTCGGCAACGACTTGCTCTCTCCGTTTGAGAGCAACACAGGTACCCCCCAAGGTGACTCACTCTCCCCTGTTCTTTTTGTTGTTTACCTCGAAGCAGCCTTACGCGATCTTGCCGGCCAACTTGACGTCCCCCACGACCTCCTCGCGGACATGATTGTATACGCCGACGACGCTGACTTCATTTGCAGACACGAAGATATCGCTATCCTGATCGAGACTCAAGCACCAGCCATACTGGCCAAGTGGTTACTCAAGATGAACGCTTCCAAAATGGAACACACAATTGTTCACCGCAGCCCGACAGCCCACACCACCCGGATCGCTCGTGCCAAGGATGAAGCCTGGCGCAACACTCGCAAGCTCGGCTGTGGTGTGGTAATACCACTTAAATTCTCTTCTACCAAAAGGTATTAGAGACACCAACAACACGCTAACCCGCAAAGGTAAGCGCTTATTGGATCAAAACCTGAAGACCAGGAACGATCCCTTACACCGGGTCGGTTGCAAGCGCCTCTGTGCACCTTAGGTTATCTTCGGTCAACCCAAAAACCTGTACCACTAGCCACGAGCTAAGGCTAGGATACTATGTACCGCTTTCGCGCAACCCCACTGCAGTCCCTCAGAAAGGAAGGGTACCGGCGTGTTAGGCCTTATACAGGGGGACCAAGGTAAAACCTCGGTAGGTAGACTAATACACTCAGGGACACTCTACTCCCACAAATATATACTGAACGATACTCTAATACCGTTCCTGCCTCTCCGGCCACACCAACTCTTGGCGCTGCCAAGGAAACTCTCGGTCAATGCACGATAAGCTCCCCGACAGGCATCCACACGCAGCCGAGCGTGCCCAGGCACTACAATAAGCTAGCTACACTTACCGAAGTCGGACTTGACCCTTGTTGGCTTTGGGGGAAGACTGTCTTTTTATTACTGAGTTTTCTGAGGCCCTGGGGGCCTCGTTCTGGCCATCCTATGATGAGTCCTATGTCCCTATACAAATATCTAGTGTGAACGATCGCAATAAGGCGATTCCGGACACATCAAATGACGATCGCGGCTACACTAATAAGTGCGGCCGAAGTACGTAACTAAATGCATCTGTACCTAAAAGTGGGTACCATGAAGCCTCGTTCGGGGTTCTATTAGGACCCGACGAGGCTTCGGCCACTGCCGGTCACTCTACCGAGGATAATGTCATCATCCAATCAGAAGCAGCCATCTCCGTCTCTCGCTTGACCTCGCCTTGATCGCCCCTTGATTGAACTTGACTGTCGGGCTGGCGGGTCAACAGCGTTGGAAACTGCCACTTTCCAATACCACAACTGCCCCTGCCTCGACGCGAGCCTCCCACGCTGGTGAGCGTCTAGGCGTCCTCAGTTCTTCGACTCCATGGCTCCTCCGTCGCGTGCATTCGCCGACGCGGCTGCCGCTGCTCTTCGGGCTCTCCAGTGCTCCTGACCGGTACGCTCGTCGCTCCCGCTGCTCCACACGGTCATTCGGATCCTCGTTGTTGACTCCATCTCTTTCTTGATCATCTCAGGGAGCTGTTGATGTTGCCACCGACACTTCGGGTCGTCGTCCGGCGCGCCAGGCTCGTTCGGCGGGTGCCCCCGCCACTATCGCCGCTGGTGCTGTGCCCCCAGCCCCGGCCGCGCCTGCAGGTGACCCTACGCTCATTCCTGCCGCCTCCGGGACCTCGGTCGACCCTCCACCGGCTCCTCCAAGTAGTCCTGAGTCTGCTGCTGGGGCGACCGAGACTCCCTCGCCGGCAGTTCCCAGTGAAGAGGCTCCCGACTCGCCGCCGATACCGCCGCCAAGCGCCAGCCCTCCACCGCCAACTCCCGCGCCTTCGGTCACGTTGGCAACTCGCGGGGCGTCGGTGGGGGGCGAGGCAGCTGTAGGGGGTCGCGCCGGAGCTGGTGCTGGCCCGGCCGAGGTTCCTCCGACAGCGGTCGTCTTGGGCGAGCAGCAGATGCTGGAACTCGCTCGTCTCGTCGTGGGTGTTGCCCGTTCACCCCCAGCTCGAGTCAACGCTGCTCTCGACCACAGCCTGCAAGCTGCTACTAACGTCGGTGAGGTGCTGGCTGCTGCCGTTGCCCCTCCGCGTCTCCCTCTTGTGGAAGATGATGAACTGGTGGCCCTCCGCCGCGAGAACGACCGGCTGCAGGCAGAGCTCTCCGACGCCAAAGATAAACTCGCTGAAGAGATGAACCTGCGGACCAAGTCGGACTACTTCCTCGTCTCGGCCAACTCCGAGTGCGACCAAGCTCTGGACCATGTCCAGGACATGCGCGTCCAGCTCAGCAACGCCAGCGCTCAGTTGATGCAAGCGAACGCGGCCATCGCTCACCACGCTGACGTCACTCAGTCGTTGGAGAAGCGGACGCTCGTTGCTGAGGCCGATTCAGCCGCTGCTGTACGTCGGAACACCCAGCTCCACGAGCGTATAAGTGCAAGCCTCGTTACCTACAACACTCAGTTGGAGAGGCTTCGGAAGCAGTTGGCCGACCGCGACCGAGCAAACGTCATCCCCGCACGCATTCAAGCGTTGACGGACGAGAACAACAGCTTGCGGCGAGCGAATTCTATCCTTCGTCGGCACTCGGCAGCACACGGACTCGACGTCGACACCTTGGTCCTGGCCTCAGCCGGCATCTCCGCCGCAGAGATTGATTGGAATCTTCTCGGGCTGTCCCCACCGACGGTCACTGTCGAGAGTCCACGCCATGACGAATCCTCGTCAGAGGAGGGAGAGGAGTCCAAGACGACCGACGTGCCGATGGCTGAGTCCACCGAGGGTACGTCCGCTCCCGCCGCTTCGGTGGACGCTTCTGCTGGTTCCCCGGTCTCCACTGAGTCGTCATCGCGCAAGCGGGGTCGGCAAACCGAGTCTGCTTCCGTCGGGAATACGGCATCCCAGCCTCCTCCTCACAAACGCTTCGGCAGACCGTCAGTCGACCTGAGGGCCAGGGCTGCAGCGGCCGCCGAGCCATCTAGTCCTCGTTCGGCATCAGGAGAGATTTCCCCGCCTTCTCGGTCGATGGTGCGTCCTCCAACGACGGCTCGCTCAAGCTGGTTGGAGTCTCAGCCTCTCCCGTACGAACACTCAGACGTCCCCTTGTATCCTCGGCTGGACAGTCGCGCCTCGCCTCCCTCGCCAGCCCCAGCCCAGCAGCAGGAATCGTCTGACGTGGGGTTTGGAGGGGGTATGAGTCCTTGCGACACTTCACAAGATGACCTTGAGCCCGGCGAGATTCCGGGGGTGTCGGCCAGCGCTCAGGGTGTTCAAGGTTCTGCTACCGAGCTGTCATCGAGGTTCCATCCGAGGTTTCGCCTTCGGCGGCGACTTCCATTCCTTCGCCAGTCTCGTCTGGTACAGCCGGCGTCGGCCGTGCCCCTCGAGAATCGGCTGCTGGGGTCACCGAGGGCTCTGGCAGCCCGCCAGACCGTTCACCTAGCGGTGAGTCGCCTCATGAGTCCAAGACTTCCGAGGACCGCGCAGCGTTGTTCCTGGAGATGTTCGGCCCCGACGAAAGAGAGGATACATCGGTGGCGCAACCTGTCGCTCCTTCGGAGGCTCCTTCTCCTCTGGCTGCCGCGACCGGGGTTCCTGTAGCTTCACAAGCGGCCACCGTGCCACTCCCGAGTCGACTCCACACGCGGTCGGCCTCTGTTCACGCTCGGGCGATGGTAACAGCAACGGTGACAGCTTCACCGAGGGCTGGACCTGCGTCGATTGCCCCAGCAGTGGTTGACGCTTCCGACGTAGCTCCTGGATCGCGTCAGCTCAGTGGTCTTGCTACCCTGTTCTTGGAGCCGGGTTTCACGGCACCCGGAGCGTCGGAATGCTGGCATCTCATCCAAAACGCCAGTGTCCCCCTCGTCTTCGAGGACGACTTGGTCGCCCCCAGTTCAGTGGATGGAATCGTGGAGTTTGGCTTGCGGACGGATCCTGCTCACCCCTTCCAAGTGTTGCGCCAGCTTTTCCCAGACGAGCCTTGTTTGATCGATACGACGGGTTTTCCATCCTCGGTGACTATATCCCGTCGTGCAACTGGTCGGGCTCTTCTCGTTCGCCTATGGCGGCAGTTCCAGGGGTACTCCTACCAATCCAGCGAGAGGGGCGACCTTGGTTTCGCCTTGTGGGAGCGTCGCCACTGGATTAGGGGTAAAGCTGTCAAGGCGTATATCGACAACCTCGCCAGCACTCTCGGTCAGCGCAACGTGCAAGTCCTAGCGCTTCGACAAGCGTGGTCCAAATACCACCGAGAGCGCAGTTATCGTGCAGATCGCTTGCGAGACCAGATGCTCCACAAGGTGTGGAATGGGGCCATTACGTACGACGGACAACCTCCACAGCACCGCACCGAGGTTTTGCTGGAGCCGTCGTACCTGCAATACTCGTTCGAGGTGATGGAGTGGGTCCCCACTACCGACGACTGGGCCTCCGAGGTGGCAGACGTGGATGCCCGCGAGCCGTGGCGTAACTGTTGGTTCCAAGCGCCGGCAGACTACCCCTACACCACGGCTTTCGCCCCTTGCAACGACGTCCCGTTGTTTGTCCCCAACGGATCGACTCGAGAAACCGTGGCGTCGTCGGTCGTGGTCGAATCTTCTCTGCGGACTTCGATGGTGGTCGCTCCATGGGTGGCCGAGTTCGCAAACGCTCGTCGTTCTTGCTCTCCAAGCCCCGATGAGGAGACGAAGGAGTCGGGTGAAGCTTCGTCCGCCGCCGGGTCAAGTCTGGGCGTGTTGGCTCAGGCTGTGATGGAGATTTAGACTCGTTAGGCCCCGCTCCAGCTTCACCGTTTCGTTCACGTTCTTTTCCAATGTCGACCGAGGTCCGTGGCGCTTTAGGCGACGCTGCATGTGCTATCCCAATCCAAAATAACGTCATGTTGGTCGTTCCATTTCGGAATCTTTTCTCGCGTCAACGCACATCGCATTCAATACTCGGTCGCGGTTCCCAGAGCTTCTTCTCTGCCCTCGACCGCTGTGGCTGCCTCAAACGAGGCTTGGTTCGTAGCTGCGGCAGCCGGGCTTCTTCTTGTCTCCCTGCAAGAAGATCGTTGAAGACCGGACTTGATTCGCGGGAGACCGGGCGTACTTACGCTAGCTCCGTTGCGGGTATGTTTTCGCATGACAGCCCAATTTTGACAACTGTACACCCGGTCTGCTGCGGGTATCCGGTGTCGACAGCTTGCATACCCATTTCATCATCAACTTCATACCACGAAGTCGAGCGCACTTGTTCGTGCTACTTCCATGGCAATCACTGCGTCCGAAGCCTCGGTCGCCCTCCCATTTGCTTCATCATCGCTTGTTTCGTCTGTTGAGGGTTTGACCGAGGCTACTTGCGTCTTCCGTTGTCCCTGGCTCCATTCCGATATCTCCATTCCCTCGTGACTCGTTCACTTAACATGTAACATGCAGATTTCAGTAACTTTCTTCGTCTGTCACTGCGAGCTGGATAGCCCTCGCAGGCAGTTCAATAATCATCTCCAGTAGCCTCGTTCGTCTGACATCGCGGGCTGGATTGCCCCCGCGAGCCGTTCAATCCTCGTTGGGGCGCAGAATTACTCCTCGTCGGCCACCTGGACCATTTGCAAACGTCGGTCGCTTCGCTTCCGGCGTAGGTAATCGTACAGGAGGCGAGAGAATGGACGCTGGTTCCCATGTCGGCTCGTCATAGCCGACCCACTTCACCTTGAACTCTCGGACGGCCCGGTGAGTGCTCGTTGACAACGGTGTCCGGTCATCGAGGATAGCCTCGACTTCATACTCGCCGTACAGGCGGTCCGGCTCAAAACTGTCTTTAGGCAGTAATTCCTCGTCGAAGTCAAGACCAGTGTCTTCGGCGACCTCACGAGCCAAACGAACCCTCGGTCGGCCTTTGAACTCGTCCACTGACTTGAGTCGTGAAACATGCACCACCGGGTAGAACCGGTATCCACTCCACTTCGGTCGGGTAATTCCAACTCATACGCAAATTCGTCGACCTTCTTCTTCACGCGGAACGGTCCGTGCCACCGATGGGCTAGTTTCTTGGTCAGTCCTGGTCGAACCCGCTCCATGTACAGCCACACGCTGCTCCCGGGCTGCAAAGAAAACCTCGTTCTCGTCACTGCAGCTCTACTATGGTCAGGGGAACTCGGTGCCCGGTCGACCGAGGTTCTATTCTCGTTGACGCCTCCTTCTCCTTCATGCCAAGCGACGCATTGTGCTCTTCAGCTCTCCGAGCCTTTTCCGCGGCTTGGTACTCTTGGGCCATCCTCAGGGCGATTTCCTGCTGTCGGTTGACCTCTCGGCGCCATGCTACCGCGTCAGTTTGGCTACCGAAGCCTCGTTTGAGTGACGAGGACATTGCCTTGAGCGTCGACTGTGCATCCCACCCATGAACGAGGTAAAACGGAGTTTCCTTCCTCGTCGTATCACGGGAGCTATTGATGGCGAAGATCAGTCTTTCTGCGATCTCATCCCAATCCTGCTGTAGTGGGTCTTCAGCGTATACGCGGACTGACTGCATGATCGTCTTCACCGATCTCTCCTGCTGGCGGTTGGCCTGCGGGCGGTAGCTCAGGGTCGCTCTCGACCGAGACTGCATCATTTCCGCAAAGGCTTGGAAGACCTCGCTCATAAATCGAGGATCTCGGTCATGACGGATCAAGGACGGTGCTCCAAAACGTCGGTAGACACACTCCTCGAAAGCTTGCGCAACGAGTAAGGCGGTAGTGTTAGACATGGCTTTGCCCATCACGAATCCCGTGAACAAGCATTGGAATAGCAGGAGAGCCGTGTTGCCACGGCGACTCTTCGGTAGCGGTATCACGAAGTCCATAGAGACTAGTTGGAAGGGTCTCTCGGCTAGGATGTTCCCTGGCGAGTACCCGCGGAACTGAGGTCGGCTCTTACTTGAACTGCAGTCAGGGCACGACTTAACGTGTTTCTCCACATCGGCATACTGGCCGATCCAGTAATAGTCTCTCGCCGCTCGATGTAGCGTACGGGTAATACCTTGATGACCGCCTTCAAGTGAGTCGTGACAGCTTTGCAGGACCTCTTGGATCATCGTTGTGGGCACCACGAGTCTCATCTTCAACTCGGCTTGCTCGCCGTCACTTGAACGACGGCTCGTTCTTGTGTAATATAGCACATCGTCCTCGCTCAACACAAATTGGTCCGCCATTTTCCATGCATCTCGTGCGAGGTTTGGCAGAAGCTACCACGGCCCATACTGTGTTGGCCGAGGGTATGTCCTCGACGACGCAACCGTCAGCAGCCTCGTAGAAGACTTCAGCGATACGGTTTAGCTTCATCAGCTCTAATACTCGGTCGTCCGACGATACCACCGTAGACTCCTTGCACTCGAGAGTCTCGCTTGCCAGAGAGTCGGCCGCAGCGTTAAACTCTCTCACCACATGCAGGTACTTCACCGACCGAAGCTTGGCCGTGAGTTCTTGGTGGTGGCTGAGTTGTTGCAGCAATGACTCCTTCCGACAGGCTATCACCCCTAGGGCTTGCTGGATCGCGAGCCTCGAGTCGCCAACGACAACTAGATCGTCGACTCCATGCTGTAATGCAGCAGAGACGCCGTTGTTCATCCCGGTGTACTCAGCGAGGTTGACCGTGGTGTTCTCGAGGTAAGCGCTCGCAGCAAGCACTACTGTCCACTCTGGTAGCTCCCATAGTATCCACGAGCAACTGCCGTATCCACCGTTCTTCTCGGTCTTCGCAGACCCGTCAAACGACATAATGAAACCTCGGTAGGACCGCGGTAGGCGTGTGTAGAGCAGATGCGGGTCCAAACGAGGAGTTGGTGATCCTCGTGTCCGGGGTGTGACCAACGCCAGTGACTTATCCAAGTCAACGAAGTTCGTCAAGCCGGCTTGAAGTAGCTGAGCAAACGAACAGTCGGTTTCTTTGACTCGTTCGACCAACAGGTGCCACGGCGACAGCAAGACGGTGAACTGGGTA